ATTAAACTTTAATAAGACCCTTTTCATAATTAAAACGGTAGTAACTTTTTAAATAAAAGTTATAAAAGCGGTAGACGTAGAAAGAAAAGCTGTAGTAAACGCCTTAATTAGTTTAGTTGCAGTAATTACAATAATATACGATATTATAATTACAGCCAACCGGTTATATTGTAAGGGATTATTTTAACAAGTAAAAAACGATTTAGAACGCTAAAAGCGGCGGTAAAGTTTATAGTAAAAATTAAAATAAAAGCATTATAGAATGGTTTACTTACATTTTATAGTTATAGTTAAAATTATTGGTAAAGTTAAAAAAGTTTATCAATATTTTTAAAAATAATTATTATAATTTCACAGGAAGTATTAGCGATATTATTGCTTTTTAAAAATAATATAATAAGGTAATCATATTAAGGCTTTGATTAACTACGAGTATTATAATACGCTTAATTAATTTAAGCTTATAATTATAAATTATTTAATATGTTTTAATATGTTTTAAAAGTTGTAATTATATAATTATAAAGCTAATTAAAATATTTTTGATACTTTAAAAAGTGCCAAATTAAAAGTAGTTATTTTAAAATATCTTTATCTTAAGCTCAGCATATAATTATACATCAAATTGGAACATAATATCCTATTAAAGGAATTTTAACCTATAAATATACGTTAACTAAAACTTTATAATAGGCTTGATTAAAACTAAAGAGCTAGATTTATGTAGATTTTAATTAAGGTTAAACCTACGATAATAGACATTATTAAAAGCTTTATAAAGTCTTTTTTATACTTTCAAAAAGAGCGTTTTTATAATTCAAAAAGAAAGCGCGATAAAAGGACTAGACTACTTTTACGCTATTTAAAGTAGGTAAAATACATATTAATTTTATATTTAATAATAAAGTAATGTTATCTATTAGCTTTTATTATAAAGTAACGAATCAAACGTTTATATTATAAATAATTTTAATAATTCTAAGTTTAAAAGCATTAAACATTTCGTTAATAAATTACTTATTATTATTATAAAAAATGCATTAGATATATTATCTATATAGGTATAGTTTTCAAGAAGTATAATAATTAAAAAGTAATATGATTAATATAAGACTTTAATAAAGTTAATATATCAATCATTTTACGATTGATATCTATTTAAGAGAACTTTTTATTAATACGAAGGTTATTTTTAACGGTAATCTACTAAAACATTAAAATAATAATTAGTTTGTTAATCTTAACGTTTAAAGAAAAAAAGTGGTTCATTTTAAAAATAAGGCGAAAAAGAGATTAATTTTAATAAGTTGTATTAAAAGCGCGTATTAAAAAAGTTATATAGTGCGCTTGAAATTTTGCTTTTTACCATAACTTATTAAATAACTGACATGTTGTTTTAAAGCTTTTTTGTTAGTAATAAGAATTATATTATCCGAGTATGAAAAAGCTGCGAATAACGATTAAAATAATGATAAATATCGATTTAAAGTTAGAAGATAGTTTTAACGTTTTAATATTATATATGAGCGCTTAAAGATTAAGAACTTTATCTATTAAAAATTACGGAAACATATTAAATATATCGAAAAGATTACTACTATCGAATTAAGCTTTTATACGCCGATTTCAATAAGGAAGAACGAAATATGCGACATTATTATAAATTATTATTATTATTATTATAAACTAGCGTTTTATTAATAAAATACGGTGTTATTAATTATTGTAAGAAATGAATTATTAGAATAAATTTCGCGCTTATAGTGATACTCTTTATTAATAGCTAGGCTAATTGAATAATGATTATTTACGTAAAAAAAGGCTCAAAATGTATATATTAGGTTTTAAATCACGTCATAAAATGACAATATTTGATTAACTGTTTTCTATTAAATAACTACTATTTAAAAGGCGTTTTTAAGCGTAATTGTGACGTTCCGTATATGTGAATATGACATAGAAGCCCTTGTTTACTATGTACGTAAAACTATCTCTTGCTGAAGAGAAAAAAGAAGATCAAGCGGCACAGCCAAATCTGGTGGGCAACTAGATAAGTGTGTCCGCCCCACAATTCAGAGCCCTAGTGGGTCTGGGACAACCAGTCGTCTATAGTCCTCCAGGAGGTCACGTGCTATCACGTGATCCTAGAACCATCACCGATGGTAGCAACGTAGCAACTATCACAGTAATATTTAAATTTATATAAAGAATGCTTATGTAATTAACTTTGAAATAATATAACGTTTGTTACAATTATTATTTTAAATCGAATAAATTAATAAAATTTAAGTAATTATATTTTATATGAAAAGTTTATAAGTAAAATACACTGTTTATAAGGATTTCGTTTTTACGACTTAATTTAAGGTTTTAGAACTAGGATATTGTATTTTATTCAATAGAAATTATTATATGATTTTTAAAATGTTTTAAGCGAAAAAAGCTGAAGCCATTTTTTAAAATTATTCCAATATGTAAAACTATAAAGTTTAATTAATTAAAAAGCGGCTATTATTAAATAACGCCATACGCTTCTTTTTTAAATAAATTAAATATAAAGATTTTTTCAAATAAATGATATTATTAAGTCTTTACTTTTAACCGCGTAACAGCGACTAAAGCTTAAAAAAAACCTAAACTTCCGATTAGAATTAAAAAGTATAACCTTAATATGTTTAAAATAACGTTATAAACGATAAAGCGCTATAAAGCGTAAATAAAAGCGTTTAAAAAGAAACTTTACGATACATATTACTTACGTATTAATCTTTTTAACTGTAATAATCTTTATATAAAAAGGTAGAAGTGATTAAGAAGCAGCTTAATAATTGGTTTTTATCCTAATTAAAACGATTTTAGCGGATATTACGATTTTAAAAAGTTTAATTACAATGCTTACTTTGGAAAAAAGCGCGTTACGGCTATTACGTTTTATAATATAGTATATTATTTAGCTGTAAATTATCTTTATCAAGTATATTAAAAAATAATAACAATGTTTATAACGACCGCTTAGACCTTTAAGCTTAAAACCTTTCTGAAATTTTATACGTATTGTGATGGATTTGACATCCATCATGGTGTGTGCGCTCCCATCATGTGACCTGGTGGGGTGGACGCGTTGCCCCGCTGCACAGATAGATAGATATTGTGGGTCGGGATTCAGGATCTATCACCCCACCAGAATTGGCTGGTGTGACAGATCCTGTCACGGCGAGCATACTGGGGAGCTGGGACATAGCCTGCAGCAAGCAGCTATTACTCTATTGACAAGAATATCAAGACTAGAGAGGAAAGGAAGAGAGAGAGAGAGATAGATACAGTGGGAGGTTGCCCCTTTAAGGGGATCCTCTGGTCAGATCCTTCCCCTATTGGGAAGTATCCGCTTGTCATGTGGGAAGGTCTGTGCAGGCCGTCACAGATCCTTCTTCTCTTTCTTTACCAGAGTATTTTTGTACAATACAAGTGATTGATGGGCATCTTCGTCCTGTGCTTGTATCTGCTCTGTGACACGTATATTAATAAAGTTATTTTTAAAGTCTTTTAATCGTCAGATTATAATAAAACCTTATATTATAATCCCCTGGTAGCGAAAACGTTCCTGTTAATTAGTAAATAATTGCTTTGATTTTCGTTTTACGTGTTATAATAGTTAAGCCGCTATCCTTTTAACGATTTCTCTGCAAGTAGTTGGGCCATTATATTTAAGTGGTAGCGTGTAAAACCGCGCGTTTAGATAAGAATCAATATTGAATAAAGGAAATACGTTTATTCGACGTTTCGACGCGGCTGCACCTAATTAGTCAAAGAGTTCACCGAAACGTTTTCATCTCGAAAAGTAGGCAGACTCGCGGCAACGTAAAGCCTACATAGGTAGGTATGTAGTCGTTGTCGCGGTCTGCATCGTATCACCGACAGCCGGGCCATTAGCTACGCGAGAAAACCTGGCTGTGGCGCCTTCGTTGGACGAGTGGAATGTCTTGTCACTCACTGCCTGTTCGAACCAGGACCCGAGAACTCGAACATTGGCAATTCGACTTGACTACCGAAGCGAGCGGGAGGCCAGGCAGTCCAGGGCAGCCCAGGAATGACGAAACCCAGCCAGAGATAGAAAGATTCAATGGGGGACTGCTCGCAAGCGAGGCAAGGAGGATTTGTGCCTGACCGCAATCTTATCAAATCTTATCGCTGCGTATAGCAGACAGAAAGAATGCGGCTTTTCTATTGGATTTCCTTTATATCGAGCATCGTCTGAAGCCACTCTCAGACTTTGGCGTCTAACACAGTCGGCCCATTGGGATCTCCCAACCCTAGACACTGCCACTGGCAAGACCACTTGGTGCAAATTGAATGAAGCAGGAAACCTCAGTTGCCTATGCAGAACTATTTGACAATCGGCGGGACTCTCTGGTAGCGTAAGGACGAGGCACTTGAAGAATTCGAGTACGATGGACAACAGTGAAGCGGGACTGGAGCTTGAGATCGGATGGGCATTGGGGGAGACCCCAAGTGTGGCGGTGCCAGCGCTGTGGCTTTCCTGTCGAACAGCCACATCCGCCATGCACATCAACTGCACCGTGTTGGGCAGGCCTGCAGGTGCGATGTACTGTGGGAGGACCATTGTATCTCACGTCACGGCTAGCCCTGGAGCTTCCCGCTCTCTCCCAACATCACCTGCAGACTCAACTCCACCGCTGTATTCATAGTAACACCGCCGCCTGCACCCTTCCGGCTCCCAGCTCCCAGCTCCCAGCTCCCAGATGGGTCGAGTTTCAGCTGCTTCGTACCACGCGGCCACAGAGTCGAGTTGACTACTTAAGTACCTATCACTCGGCAAATACGACCTGCTTAGGGCGGCAGGACCACAGTAACACATCATTCCGGCTCCCCAAACGAACTCGGTCTTCCGTGCTCCTGAGTGACGACCTACATCGGACACGCAACCCGTCCTCCTGTGTGGATTGGTGCATATTCTCGTTGGTCTTGTTGAGACACTGACAATGGATATCCTGTTCCCCCCTGAAGTGCTGCACCTGATCTTTTCGCACCTGCCGTCATCAGAAGCGCGGTCTGTACGACGCTGTTCCAAGACCTTTGCGGATATTGGTGCTTACCATGGCTTCAAAAAGATCAGCTTATTTCTCTGCCGGGCTGACTTCATGAAACTGGGTGCTGTGGCTGATCACCCTATCATCAGCAAGAGTGTCAAAACACTCGTTTACAATGCCGCCAACCTTATGGAGCCAGCGTTGACTTTGGGAGAATATATCGAAAGAACCAGCTCCCCTGCATTCCGCCCTCAAGTCGAAATTACTGAGCCGAACTGGCTTCCTGAGACAGCATTGCTGAAGGAGCGGCTACGGACCTTTGCCTTCTCTACCTTCTCTGAACGAGAGCGGATATCCGCCGAGGACATTGCTGAGAATTATGCCCAGTACCTCAAGGCTGTCCACGAACAACGCCGTATCCTGGCAACCAAAGAGGATTTCGTCTTGTTCAAAGACACCCTCCCAAAGCTGACCACTCTACGAAGCATCGTGGTATTCAATCACGCTTGGTATACGGGTGACACCACCCCAAAGTCGCCGTTCGATGCGTTCTTCTGCTACAGTCTAATCTCGCACGAGCCACATGGAGCTCGGCAAACGGAAGCAATACTGCACGGAATCAGGGACTCGGGTATAGAGCTAGACCACTTCAAAGCTGGTGTCCTCGACTTAGGCTTAATCGGAAGACCATTCTTCGACGGGATCCGTGAATCCTGCCGGAAATTGAGGAGGATTAATCTGGTCTTTGACGTTGTTGACCCCGTATTTGACGACGGACCTGAAGATACAGGCAGGTATGTCAGAAGAGCCCGCGAGAAGGTCGATACAGGCGTCATTGCACATTTTCTCAAGTCTATTCCTAGCCTGTCCGAGATATATATCGGATTCAGCATGTCAAAGGGGTCCGTGACCATGCGCGCGGGTTATCCCGCCGATCTACCCCGTGTCTTGGTACCCGGATTCAGATGGCATGAGTTGCAGCGCATTGGTCTGGTTGGTATCGAAACCGAGCGGCAGGACATGATGGCATTTTTCGAGCTGCATAAGGATACACTCCGATCTGTTACCCTCCGCAATTGTCAACTCATCAGCACCTCCTGGACTCGACTCTTCCGGCAGATGAAGAACTCGCTGAAGCTCGAAGACTTTCATGTATCGGGCAAACTCAGGGGTCTGCCAGAAGCGGAAGAAGATTACCCAGGGGAAGACATTGATATTAATGATGAGGGCCCGGGCGCGTCGAATGAGTGGTTCTGGCTAGGCGATCTTGCGACCGAAAAAGACTCTCTAGCTAGAGATTTGTCGTCTTGGTTCCTTCGTGATTCAGCGTATCCCTTGACTCAACTTTTCATGGAGGACCCCGGACGATTTACCTGATACCAACGCGGACAATCAGGTGACAACAATTGTCCGCAAAGGTTAGAATTTAAAGTCTTACCGAAAAGGCTGGTTTGTTCAGAAGAGATGAAGTACGCGAGTGCAAATGGTGAGACCCAGGCGAGTGGGTGGATGTGCTTGAAAAGCCGTGGATAATCGAGGATGGAACTGGCTTATCTATGTCCGTGATGAGTGTCAAGACTTGGATGAGACTCAACCGTGTGTGCAGTGTCTGTGTGAGACTTGCTGACTCTGGGTTTTCAACCGAAAAACGTCTGAAAGAGTCATCCAGTCCGACCAATCAGCCATGACACACGATCTCAGAACAGCCAAAGGCCAGTGTGAATGATCAGGTCAAGGTATCCTTAAGAGTATCAAACTACATAGGAAATTATTCCTTCTTCACCTTTCAATTCTTCTTACCGAAACAAGCACGTACGAACCGAACGAACCGAACGAACCGAACGACCCGAACGACCCGACAGCGAGCGAAGACCTACTTTCGTTCAATACCAAACACCATCGCGATCGTCTGCACCCTGATGAGAAACAACAACATGAGGCTCGCAGTCTGGGCCTTGCTAGCCATCCTCTCTGCTGGCCAGGATGGGGCCGACCAAGACGTCTTCGACCACACTGTAACCATCACGATCACGCCGACCACCACCCTGACCCTGACGACAACCACCATCCTTGGCGGAAACAACACCCTAAGCGCACCATATCAAAACAGCACAGCATCAACACCAAGGCCCGAAACCTGCTACTGCGCCCCGGGTCCTACCACAGCCGTGAAGGGGAGGTCCTACCTCCTGAGGCGTCCCAACCGGGCAAGAGATGGAGACCCTCCTGCTTCTTCGAACATTCCCGCTACCAACCCTGATCCACGCGCCTGTGGGATATCCTATGCCGTCCAGCCGGGCGACACATGCGAGTCGATCGCGCGTGCTAATGGGGTCAGCTTGATGGACATACTGGTGAGCAATCCGCAGGTCGGCAACTTGTGCGACGGCCTGCCCGACGGGTTGATCATATGTGTTCCCGGCATGCAGTCCTCGTCTGCGGCGTCGCAGATCTTGTCAATACCACAGGCCTCAATACCGCTGGCCTCGATACCACAGGCCTTGATACCACAGGCCTCGATACCACAGGCCTCGATACCGCAGGCCTCGACACCACAGACCTCAATACGACAGGCCTCGACACCACAGGCCTCAATACCACAGGCCTCGATCTCGGCTTTGGGCCTCGCGACCACGCCGCCGCCTCCGTGCGCCAGCAGCTACGTCGTCCGTGATGGAGATACTTGCGAGCAGATCAGCGTGTTACAGGAGCTGACTCTCATGGAGCTTCTCAAGCTGAACCCGGCCCTGCATGTTGACAGCAACGGGGCTTGCTCCATCGATGTGGGCCAGACGCTGTGCGTTGCAGAGGGCAAACCGTCCTTTGAGATGCCACGGCCTGTGATCACTGGCGGGGTGCCTTCGATGAGTGTCAGTAAAGTACCCGCAGGAAGTCCACTGATCATCGCGAGTGGAAGCTTCGATACAGATATGAGCAAGGCCACACTTCCGTATGCAACTCAACCTGCTTTAACTGTACATATTCCAGAAGAGACCAGTCGTCCAGCACCGGGGCAAATAGGTTCAAGTGCCCCAAGTACGGGCGCCAGCATAGACAAACCTATGCCTTTGACCACGGCCCCAAGCCGAGTCCCACCAAACGCTTCTCAGTTCTTCACCATACCGATCGGCGCCTCTGTGGCGACAAGTATCTACTCAACGTCGCACTCTATCTTACCACCAGGCAACCCGGGCCTGCCTTCCGGAATGCCCAAGGTCTCACCAAGCACAAGTCTCGCCGCTCCTGAGCCTATCCCGACGACCTCGTCAGTACGAGCTTCATCGCAGGCAATGTCGTACCCTCCGCCGCATGTCGCTCCCTCGTCACAAGTACTATCGACCCCAGCACCGCCACTGCCGACACAGGCGCCTCCACCGAGCACAAGTCCAGCGGCCCCCGAGTCTGTCCCGATCTCACCATCAGCACCGAGCGCATCGCAGGCTCCGCCTCTGACTGTAATACCCCTCGCTGCATCGGAACAAGACTCCCAATCGGCACCACCCACACCACCACCGCCGCCGCCGCCAGCATCGCAAGCCGCGCCGACCTCAAGCCCATCCCCGAACTCCGAAACACCGCCCCAGGCTCCAGGACCTCAACAATTTCCCAGCTCGGACTCCGCTCCTCTACGGCCCTCGGCCGAGCCCAAGCCCAAGCCGACCGCGGAGAGCGAAGCGACCTCGCCAGGCCTGCAAGTGATACCCGTCGACACGCGGACGATAACCAAGCTGAAGACGAGGACACAGGCTCCGGCGCTGACGCAAAGAGAACTGGCCGAGAGGGCGCTTTTGGGGTGGCTGCCTACTAGTTTTCGGACTTCGACTACGAGAAGGCAGGGTGATGATTAAGGATGTTAGGGATGGTCTGATGTATTTGTGCATGTACGAGAGAATATAGCGCCATCAGATTCCCCTTGGATCGGATGCTGGGAGAGTATGATAGATTAGAACCACCGTTGGGCAAGTGAATACTTAGTGTAATATACTGTATACTATCTGTAATACGAGCATCCCACCCAGGGCATTTGTAGTGAGACTGCCTGGTAGCGACAGACAGTACCTGACTCAGATGTGTGGACGTCGTCCGACTTCGTATTTAAGGAAATACACCGCAGTAGAGACACATGTTTCCTTCCCTTTCCATGCTGGTACGAGCCATGGCTTCAGGATGCCATGTCATTGCCATCCGGATGGCAGCAGATGCACTGCAGATATTCATGGATACATGGAGAAGCGAAACACCCGGGTACGGGAGCGAGTCCTAGACGCGCTCCAGTGCACGCCTGTGTACCTACGATGGTAAAAAACCCGAGCATCTGTATGATGGGCATTTTAGCAGCACTGTAGTGGGTTCTACCACTGGTCCCTCTGTCCAGGCTGTGAATGGCCCTTCCGCAGGCGCCTTTGTGTGTGCATTCGTCGATCCACTTGTCGGGTCTGTAGTAGATGCGGCTAGAAGTAATTATGTATGGTACCGACAATGAAACTGTCTAAGGGACCGTGTCGTAAAGCTATCGTCGAACCAACAATTAGCCTAGAGAATGTGAGATTTCAAAGTGTTCTATTAAGGAGAGGAATTCCAGCTACTCTGGAGCGGCCAGAGTGGCCCTATATATCCAAGATACTAAAGGAAAGGATACGTGGCCTTATGTGGCCACGTATGTGACAGAGTCACAGATGGGGATGGTGATCCTGAAGGATGACTATGGATGGGCTAACGTAGCACAGAATCCAACAGAGAATGCCTGACACCCCCAAGATCCAGTGCAATTGTCCAGTCTGGTGTACAGAGAGTAACTTACGAGATAGCAAAGCCACCCCCAGCTGTAAATTAGTGGTATATCACAAATCACATAAATTATCACCATAGCAAGACGCAGTAGTGTGCAGGGAAGGGTTCTCCAATTCAGAATGGGCCCAAGGCCCGCGAATGCTTCCAGCAACCTATGTCATGATCCTGCTTCCTCCACACCCAGTTCTTCTTGTGTTTGTGCTTCTTCTCCCGAGGCAACCAGGCAGCAGATGAGTCGGAATGTGTATGAGAAGGTCGGGGACCGCAGTATTGCCGCTATGATAACGCCGTATGCAAGGGAACTATGCCGCGAGGCCGTCCAGGACGATTCGCTCGACTCGCTGCAGCTCGTGGCCGACTGCGGCGGCGGCAGCTTCTCGCCCACGTCGGCGCTGCTGGCAGCGCTTGATGCCGACACGGATGAGGTAGGCGGAGCCGGCGACTGCTCCAGCTACTGCGACAAGGGCGAAGAAGTACGCCGCACCGAGCCAGGTCGCATTATTACCCATCTCTGTGGTGGCCGTCAGTTTTGAGACAGGGTTGGACGCGCTTCTGGCTGATTGGGGAATGCAACTTACTGCTGGTGGCTTCGCGGAGCGGAAGGTTCTTGTATGCGAGACTTGAAGGCTGGTGGATCGTGGTTTGCGGTAGCGGGTTGTGTGTATTCTCCTTGAGATGATCAAGAAGATGGTTGCTGGCTTCAGATTGCAATGTAGTAGCTGAAGGCCAGCCCAAATCACCTGCCACACTCTTCGCAGCAAGACCTTCTGCAACCAAGCCCCGTAACTCACCCTATACCACCATTGAAAGCAGATTTGGCACTTCTTATTGGGCGCAGCTGGAACAATCGTGGGCCTTGTTGTGTCCCCCTAGCCGTGTTGTCGAAACACAGGTAGCACTGCAAGCCAGTTTCGCATCTGCCCGAACGAGTAACTTGCGCTCTTTAAGACCACCCGGAATCGTATAGTTAAATACGTCTGAATTGATGACAGAGAGTAAAGATTGTCATTTGACGTATTCGTGGAGTTCTGACCGAGTGTCATGCGGTGACGCTGACGGCCGTCCCGGGACGGAGTGGGGCGCGACCGGAAAGCCGCAATGACCCCCGGAGTCGGCTCGGTGGGGCCGTTGACGGTGGGGCTGCTGGATTTCCCATCTTGCGACGCAGAGGAGGACCTTTAAGCCCCTTCATGGAAGTGCCGGACAGCTCTGACCGCTTGAGCCTTATCGGTAATTGACATGCTGTTTAAACAGACTGCGGTGGGACTTCCATAGCAGTTGTGACGCTAGTCAATGACTATAGTCCACTCAAGAAGAGCGTAGTTCTTGAGAAGAACCTTTAAACCATAGACTTGGTTGTCTGCTGTCATTTGTATTTGATTTGGAAAGGGGTTGTATTGCAGGTTGTGCAGGCGACTTGATGAGCCAGTCAATGGCTGTGTGGAGCCAGTCACGTGCCAGTCAGGATCGTGAATCATGGTCCGTGCTGAAGGACAAGGTGCACGTGATGAGTCAAGATGGATCGCTGCTGCATGATGCCTGACGCAGCATGCGATGATCAGCGAGTGAGGTGAATTTGATGGTCGCAAGCGTCAGGGGACTGACTGGCTTGCAAAGCTCCACGCAGAGCGTGGAACAGGCCGAAAGGCTGCAATGCATTGATGAGCTTGTTGTTGGTGGTGGGAGAGAAAGTGGAAAGAATTGAAGTGGTGGGGAGAACAAAAGATGGAGATGCAGGACGCTCGGGCCACGATGCAGTTTGTCCGCCACAACGCCACCCCCTGAAGTTTTCTAGCGCCAAGTGATGCATTGATTGATGGTGGTGGGAGAAAGGGTGGAATGAAGTGGTGGGAGAACAAAGATCAATGGCCACGGCTGAGATCCACCCATCAGCCAGACGCACGGGCCATGACGCAGTTTGTCCGCCACCACGCCGCCCCTGAACGCCATCCCCTGGAGTGCTAGTTAGCCCCAAGTGATGTATTAATTGAGCTTGTCGTTGGTGGTGGGAGAAAGGGTTGAATGAAGTGGTGGGAGAACAAAGATGGCTATTAATGAGATCCAGCTGCCGGACTCTCGGCCACACCGCCCATCCATTCGCGACAAGTCCACCCCCTTGAACGTCACCCCCTAGAGTGCTAGTTAGCACCACTCTGTGGTACGCACTCAACCGCGGAAACAATATTGTCCCCACAGGTCAATAGGAGTAGAAGGCCAGTTACTTATGACTTCTCCAGGTCCGGCGCATACGGTGAATGCTTTTCGCAAGAGTAGCTCGCGCATGAATACGTTCCTAGTTGGGGGTGTGGCGGCTTTTATACCAATTCCTGGAGCAGACCTAGAAGAACACGGGGACAATTACATGTTCACTCGCGGCATGAATGCGCCCTAATAGACTAACCTTGTAGCAAATAACCTTATGAAAAACTGATTTGATTTGATGATTTATTAGTTTCAGTCAGTTTTACGAGGCGTAGTAATTATGCATAGATTTTGGCTTGGTGTTAAGGTGGTGCCAAAGAGCGCTCAAAGGCATAGTGTGTAGAAAACGCTTAGAAATATACTATGTTTTCTTAGACTAAGGTCAGCCGAAACATTCGGCGGCTCCATACGAGATATACCTCATCTATTTATCAAAAAGATCGAATGGAAGGGCAGTCCAAGGTCCCTTTACCAAGGTCGATGATTGGCACGAAGTTACAAGTATTACGATTGGCTGAGGTTGGTGAGGTGCATGTCCGTGCAACCTGTGTTTCCTGAGAGCGTACGGTGTCTAGAAAACCGGGCTCATCATTAAGAAGAGGGCACATTTCTCCATGTCCAGGGAACCAGATGAGATCAGGCGTCGCCGGCCTCCTGGTGGTATGAGAGAGTGCAAGATCAAGTTCTAGTAGTGAATGGCGGCTTTGACGTCATGCTGGTACTAACAAGGCAGCTTACTCGAGGTATGCAGAAGATAATAAAGTAATATAGTGGCCAAAAACATATTTACATCAACTTATCACTGACCAAGTGATTTCTCCTTGCTTGTTCTCGTCATGATCGTATCTTGGAGTATTTGGTCCATGCAGGTGGTGATTGTGGAAGGGACACGTATACCTTCACGATGGATATACACGCTAAATCTTGGCCTCGAAGGCCATGCTTCGTTAGTCACCTTCAGTGCTTTCCATCAACTTAGCATGTGTTGCGTATCAAGGAAATAAAAGTGGTTGCAGGCTGCTGGTGGTTCTTAATCTTCCCTGGGATTAGACTAGTCTGTGTGGTCTCCAAACTTCGCTGCATACCATTGCGGTGGTTGAAGCTCAATGATTGAACTACGAAAGTATGGATAAGCTTCCAGAGAGGCCTATCGGGTTCAAAGAGGACCGAATATGGTGTGAAGAGCACCTAAAGCAAGGCAGACGCAAAATAGGGGATTTCTACTTCTAGAATGCACCTGCAGGACTGGACGAAGACAGCAGTTGCCATGGAAGACGTCCGGGATGCCGGTGGCCAAGGAACCACAACAGAAATGACCGGGAGACCGGCGGTTGGGGGTGAATTGTTACAGGCATTTACTGTATATCAAGACTCGATCTCTGCGATTGGAAATGAACTCACCCTGCAGGATCGCAAAGGCGGGGAAGGAAGGGAGAGAAAAATTGTTTACATCGCGACTATCAGAAGATCTTGCGATACACGCTTGCATGAAACATGATCGGGAGCTTGAGCAAAAGCGAGATTACAACTCGACCTTGATCCATGGCCATTTATCTAATTTAAAACAAAATGCTCGAAGCAGTGCAGCGCAGGCAAGAAAAGCATGACCATTAAAGAGTCGACGCCGATCCAGCAACATGCGTTGCAGTTGCTCTCTGGACGGGCCTCGATGCGGTTGCCGGCTTCTCCGTCAACGAGATCAGAGTGATATAGAGAACAATGAGGAATGCCACAGGAAAAAGGTGTATCGGCTTCAGCTTTGTCGACATTTTCATAACTGGAGACATGCGGTGCAGGGAGGGGGTATGGGTTGATAGTTACGAGAAAGACCAGCATGGCTCCTCAGATATTGTAATTTATAGTAATCTCATAGCCGAGGATATACTGGACTTGGCTGCAATCGCCATATATTGTAGGTTCCAAGTCGTGGCGGGGAACGCGTTGGTCACCATGAGGCCGACTCCAACAGCCTTCCAGTATTTCGACGCAACTGACACAAGGCGCTTATTGGAACCCTGATTCACTGTCACTTTAAGATCACTATCATGAAGATGACGCTGGCAGAGCCCTTCTAAAGAATATATGATGAATCTCTTATTACTCCGTCTCCTCAGGCAGACAGTCATTCCCCATGATCCTAACCTCTATGTCATTGTATGCTTTGGTCAGTTCCTCTGAGCGCCCTATGAGCTCTTTCCGTGGGAGGCGCAACTCCCCCGGTGGATAGCTAGGTGTATCTGGCTGTGCATCTGCAAATATCTCAATGTCATTCTTGAAGATGGCAGTCGTTATGTGGTCTTGAAGCAGTTTTAGTGTCAATGCAAGAGCCATCTGTGATTCGCCATGTAATGTTGGCTCGGCCCAGTACGCGTATACTTTCTTGTGAGAGGGTTGCATGCGGAACCACGCCGCTCCGCTGCGCAAGGCGTGCCAGCACAGCCAACATGGTTGCTTGCTGCATCCGATATAGTCGTACATTCTGCGCCTATCGGACACATTGGATGCGTCGAACTCTTGGAGAAGCTGCATCTCACAATGCAAAACACGCCTTTGGAGATTCTTAGAAGCTTGCCCCACCCTTGTTTTGAGGTTCACCGACCACCCACAACGATCACCATTGCTCCAGGCGCGCACTTGTCGGTCAATAGCATCCGATGTTAGTTCGTCTCCAAGTGTTGGAGAACGTCCAAGTCGAGAACGATCAAGTAGCAACATTGTGATGGGTTTCGCGGAGTGTTCCATTCGAAAACACACAATGCCGTAAAAGGACTGAGTATAGCCGGATAATTTCTTGAGAAAATGCAGAAGTCTCCTTGTCTCTTTCTCGTGTTCAGGTGGTCCATTTCTCCATTTTCTTGCCGAATCCTTCAATTTGACAGAATGCGCAGTCATCGTATCATACAATCGGCTGAGAAATGTATCCAGAGCAAGCAAACGAGCGTTTCCGAGATGCTGGAACTCTCCTCGAATGTCGCTCAGACGCACTGTCAGGGAGCTTTTGTGCTTTGAGGAAGCCGTCAGTATTCGATACACATCTAGAGCAGCCAGCACTTGCTTCGCAGCTTGGACTGTATCTTGGAAGTGAGTCCTCCTTGCTTCGCTTCCTCCCCATTCACCGACATTCCCTAAGAATCATTTTAGGTCCTCCAATTTGTCGTGCAGACCATAAATATCACCAACTGTCTTGTTGATTTTGTCTTTACAGTGCTCCAGTACTGACCTCCACAACGGGTTCTCGTAGGTGGGTCTCAATTGATGTACCAACATGTCCGAAGGCATGTTGGACCAGGAGGATTGAGCATGCTTCTCCATCCAGCCTTCTACTTGTTTCGTGAAAGCCCGGCCTGACGACCTGAACCCAGCATTCTGGGTGAGTATGATCTGGAGACCTTCGTTTCCTCGGTCTTTGATGGCGGCGGCGACCACACGCCCACCCCCTCGACCTGCAAAGATCCGTGCTATGGCGTCAAGCAGGTTTTCGACAATTTGCCCAGATCTTCTTGGGCCATTTGGTGCTCGGAACGTGGGAAGCTGCTCGAAAATCTGCTGTTGAGGCTGTAGCTTTTGCAGAATGAGCGCCGAAGTATAGAATTGAACAGCATCAAGGCCTTCGTTCTCCCAGATTCCAGGGAGAAGCGGGACCTCGGTGACAGTAGTGTCAGTTGAGGAGGTTACTGAGAGAGAGCTCGTGGTTGGCGACGTAGTTGACGTATCCATTTTGATTCACAAGAGTGCACTGCTGAATGGAGTCGTGGGGATTTTGATCTACAGAGAGTATTGGAAAGTAATTGAGGAGCATGGGCTGTGAGATTTATAGTACAAGAAAGCCGCGAGAGTCTGTGGCCGTTACCATCTGATTGACTCAAGGCGATGAGTTGATGACCCTAGAGCCAACTTCTTACTGGTATTGCACACGATGAGACATGTTGGAAGCTGCCCAAACACGAGTATTGTAGGATTCATGTCACATACTGTATGAAAGAGAGAGATTATCCGAACCCAACGATCTAGGTGAGATAAGTTGACACGGCTGCAATTCTGCAGCGAGACAACGATCTAGTCACCGCATATTTTGTCACACTTCACGATGTGTGGATTAGTGAAGGCCATGTGACTAATAATAGAGTACCAGATGGCGCAAGAAAGAGCCAACGTGCTATATCATCGTTTGAAATTACCCAAAGAACTGGCTACTACTGGCTGTCGATGATAACTGCGCCTATCTTCAGCCCAGCAGTCAATGGTGGCTTTCTTACGACTTGTAGCGGTTACGACTTTCTGTCAGGGAGCATCCCGACAACAAAGGAACCACTCATTTACATATACAGTGCTTCCGCACCTGATTAGTATTGCACCTCTCTGCAGATCAACATATCATTTACCCCCCATATGGTTGGCCTTCTGACACTTTCGGCGGTTACGACTTTCAGCAGGAACCGCATTGGCCCGAATGGCATGCCTATCAGTTCGTCTTCGGCTGGTGGATCGGAATAGGTTTGCAGCAGGCATTCTTCGCGGTGCAAACAGTCGGTCTCACGCAGGAAGTCTCGGTCGGTATCTAAGCTTACTTGTATGGTAAGGGTAAGCAATGTATCGATTTTTACCGCCATCGCCGAGGCGCCCTTCAATCAACATCGTAGAGAACTCCGCTTGGGTTGACGGTTTCCATAACTTGGTGACTACCTCTGAGCTGTCGCAGGCCGTATTGGCTTACAGCAGAGCAACCACGACAACTCTGTAGCTGTCTCGCGGCAGGGGAACCTGTGCAGGAAAAGAAAAATAAGGTGTACAGCAGCTTGATAATCTCCATGTTCGCTTCACTCGGTCTCATTGAATAGAATTTGGCGAGAGAAATGTGGGAGATACGTTGTCAATTCATCCTATTTCCCTGTCGCCTTCCCTATTTCCCTGTGACTTTGCCTGTTTCCCTGTGACCCTATCTGCAACGTTGACGATTACCAAGTCGAGAAGCCGAGCTTGAAGCCGGATCTGTACAGTAACGCCAGAATGCAAGAAGTGAAACCAATCCGAAACACCATGTTCCTAGGTCGCAAACCCTCTCTCCCTACTTGGGCTCAACAGTCTCGTCCATGTCCTGCGAGGTTCCTGCTCTGCCCGGCTTCCAGCGGCTGCCATCGCCCTTGGAGTGTCGTTGGGTGGTGATCTGACCGGCGGGGATCTTGGCCGCCAGCTCGCGCTCGGAATCGCTGCTGTCATTGTCTTTGCCGAACGGGGTTCCATCTTCCTTCAAGAACGGGCCATCCTGAGCGTGGATGTCCGTCTGAAGGACCTCGGGGCCCGTGTTGATGTAGAACGGGACAACGAGAATCTTGCGCTTCTTCTTCTTGCCCTTTCCCTTGCCCTTGGCCTGGCCGGAGGGGGCGTCGGGTGCCTGTTTCGTAGATATCTGTTAGTAAAGGGACCGAAGCGACGAGGAAAATGATGCAAAGTGATTGGGATACTGACCTCCTCTCCGCCATCGGCCACTGCCTCGGGCTCCTCCTCGCGATCAGCCACTGCCTTGGACTTGCCCTTCGACTCGCTGACCTTGAGACCGGAGACGGCAACCTCGAGTTCGGAGACGGCACCATCACGCTCAGAAGTGGGCGGAAGGATCTTGCTGTTGCCCGCTGGCGCGCTTTCCTCGTAGGTCTTGGGAGGCATGGTTGCGATCGATGCGGCTGCTTGCGATGGTGGTCCTGGCGAGAGCAGGATGTTAGTGGACCCTGCGCATTGTATGGAAGAAGAAACGGGACGTAGATAACTTACTGGTATCGACTTGGGATGTGGTCTCCTATGCTGGGGCTTGGTCTGCTCGGAAATGGTGGTCACTCAAGCATGGGAGAATGAGGAAGATGAGACCGTGGGGAATGGGAAAGCAGCACATGGAAGAGGCAAGTACCACAACACTACCGGAATCTTCTGTGGAAGGCGGTCCAAGCTTAGACTGACTCATCATGTTGTCAGAGGCGATGGGGCATAGCAATGACCTGGGCATCTGCAAGGACGAGGGGTGTTGACGATGACGAGGGGCGTTGACAATGACGAGGGGCGTTGACAATGACGAGGGGCGTCGACGATGACGAGGAGCAGCAGAGGGAACGAGGGGTGTTGGCGACGACAGGGAGCGTCGGCGAGGACGAAGGGATGAAGAGGGCTGTCGACAAGGGGTGTCGACAAGGACGACAGGCAAGGAGAAGGGACGATGAGAGCCCAGCCAGGGTCCACGACTTCGGTTCCATTGAGTGATCAAGCGTCCTGACAGTAGATGTTGGCTTAATTCCAATGTATTGTATCATGGGAGTGACGAATATGTCAAACATGATGGCAGGTAGAAAAGGGGTGGCGCTCAAGACACACGTGAAGCATTTCCAGAGGCCAAGGAAGACAACTCTCAGGATTTGGCTAGCCCGTCTGTTTAAATATTCACTGGTATAGTCAGGACTGTGCGTCATTCAATATGATGGTCCGTGAGAGTCTTTGACTCTTCATCTAACAGTCTACTGAAACCATCTGTCAGCTTTGTTCGGGGCTGACCACACAAGGACCGAGGAGCTTGGATCATTTATAAGAAGTGCACTAGATGATCTACCCATGATACAGGCAGTTTCACGTGTATGGCTACCAAGGTAATCAATGGGTAGATCCTATATTCGAGCTGTCTGGTGACATCTTCTAACAGCAGAGCATGGAGACATACAAATTTGGGTGTATTGATGAGAACGCTTGAGCACTCAGGGAAGGTATCTTAGATGCTTGAATGGAAGCTATCGTCAGAAGTACAAGCGACAGCGTTGTTCGGCATGTAGATTGAGACTCCCACTTGATGCTCCAGGGGGCTCTTTGGAAGTGCTACGTGGTGAAGGAATAGCTGGTAAAGGGGCGTCCTGATCGCGTGAACGCGTGACTGGCACGTGCTGGTCAACCAAGTTTAGAAGGTTATCATAGCTCCAGGTCGCATCTACTCAAAGAGGGTGACGACTGGGTAAATCAGTCAACCCAAACACTCCTAGTTCGAAGCCTTGGGCAGACAGAATAGTTCTACGGTACCGACGTTGCTATTTAGCCTACGTGTATGACTGGCCAGTATCAACTACGTTAAAAAAAGCAAGCCAATTCGAAAGTCGGAACCGCAGAGAAGAATGATAAGTTCGCAATGCCCATACTAAAGGGAGGATGAAGAAAATTGAGACAGGAGAAGGTGGAAAACTATCGAAGGCAAGACAACGGAACACGGAGTGCGGTCACCCAAGGCCATACTCTCTCACAACCTCGTTGAATGCCATACAACGAACGCCGCGATCCTCCCCTGCCGAAGATAACAGAAGATCAGGTACTTCATTTCAAGCATCCTTCATTTTGGGCTCGAATCTGACGTATTGCCAAGTCGTTGGAGGTACATCCCAGAATACGCCCCGGGGCATATTTTGGATATTGTAAAAGGCGTCTTGGTTGAGGCGAGCCGCTGGTGTCGCTCTCTCGCATATACCGGGATAGGTTCTTTGCCATCGTTTACCTGCATCGCTCTTGAGCCAGGCGCGCCCCGTGTCGGTCTCCTTCAACCAGATCAGGCTGAAGTCCACGGGGACCTCTCGTCCATCTTCCGTAACTGTGAGTTGACAGTTCAGCCATTTCTGCCCGTCGTCACTTTCAAGCCACTTGTGCCCCTGTTTCGTTCCAAGCCAGGCACCTGGCCGGAATCGAAGCTTGTCTTCTCCCGAGTCTCCTCCCTTTGAGGATCTCGGGCTGCAAGCCAACGACGGCCTCTTTCGGTTGATAGGAACTGAGCTCGATAGACTGCGTGAGCTGCGGCGTACCATCGTAATTGCCTACCCACGTAGATCATCATACGTTTCTCTTCGCCTGTTAGTGTAGCGGCCTTGGCATCGGCCTGTTCGATCTTCTCGAGGTCGGCAGGGCTGCCCTCGGGGTCCCATTTGCCGACAAGGATCTGGAGCATATCCAATTTGGCTCGCATGTCTGTGATGCCACCGAAAGTATTTCCGAAGGGCACAAGCATTGCTCCAAGGCTTTCCGGGGCTAGGTATGTTCGACTCCTTTCACACTGTCGGAATGCCGCATCGATACCCCGGAGCTCCAGGAGAGGGCGGCGGATGCGGTACATCGGGGCGTGCTGGGCCGTCGTGTCGCCGTATAGGTGACGAGAGATATGAGAACCTCTTGCCGAAAAGGATGGATTGGCTGCGATCCCTTGGAGGAAGAATGTGTCGACCAGAGGCCGCAGTATCAATTTTTCTTGCTTCCCATCGATTATCATGAACACACTCTCCAAGCCGGCCTTGAGTGCTTGAACCAGCCATTCATGATCGTCGGCTGTCTTGTTCTTGAAGACGTCAAGGAGTGCTTCGCACATGTCGAGGATACCACCCGCGCGGTCGCGGCTGGGGTACCGGACTAGGCCGTCCTCTCCGTATTTCCAGTGCACGGACTCGGAGTTCCGCGCCAGGATGGAAGCTATTTTCATTCTTTCCTTCGCTGAGATGCCATGCGCCGTAGCTAGGGTGGTGCAGGACATGATTTGGGCTCCTTGAAACCCGTCGCGATCTCCCAACCATTTGCGAGACGCCGCGAGTCTTGCATCGCCAGGCTCTTCTTCCTCAGCCATTGTGAGTGGACCGAGAGGCGATGATATGTGAAAAGTTCTATATCGAGGGCTTCAGTGGGTGCATGCACTGGGAACCGGGCAAGGCTAACAAATAGACAGCGGGAACTGAGCCCGAAACTCTTGATCAGTCAGAGCCTCCCCAGAATTCCGAGCCCAGTATGGGGAAAGACAGTATGGGAAAAGATGAAATCGGTTTATGGAGATGGCAAAACCACTTATGGACCATTTAGGGCCCTTTTCTCAAGGAGTGTACCACAGGACCGCCCACGAGGACAGAAAAATACAGGGTCACGACATTCTAGGGAGCTGTGAGACTCTTGGGAACAAAGAGGCCTATGGTGTTGGAGCGATCAGCGCTGTTGTGCTCAGTGCGACATTTATACAACAAAGTTGGATGCCCAATAAACACGGCCCGGTCCCACATAAGTGACGGAATCTGGAGAAAACAGCTGAATGTGTAGTGCGTGAAGCTTCCCGAAGATGTCCCTCAGCTTCCTAGGGACTTTGTTTGGGTGGTCATACCAACGTATCTTGCGATGTGGCCAACATCGTGTTACGTGTAACAATGCTGACCTGAAATACCACATGGTTTTCCAACCACGCATGATGACATAGTCGTCGACGAGCTTGAATCTGGCAGTCGCACGCAGTCGTGGATCGTAAATTGTGGCACCAAATTGAGATCACTCACACGTACGCTGGTAGACTTCACTGCTAGCGGCCACCTTGTTATCAAATACTCAAATGTTCATGGACTCTATTGCAGTTCTACGTCTATCTTATCTTCCTATGTAAGCAGGTTTGGAAGCTCTCACTTCCTTTCTAACTTGGCGCTTGTCTCTGGTTCCCGGGTGGTACACCAAAGTAGAGACCGTATCGAAATATGTATTCTTTCAACCTCCTGAGCACAGACTCTTCGGCAGGTGTTCTTCCAGTCGCGCTCGGCGGGTCAACAATCGTTTCCCCTCGAGGCCGTAGGCTCCGGTAGCCGTTTTGCGCTCTGATAGACACGGATTGCTCGAGTTGGCCATTGAGTCTCTCAAAGGCGCGGTGAATAGGTTGGTACATCATCAAGTCGCGAGGAACGCCCCAACACCAATAGACCTTCCAGTGCGGCTCGCTCATCTTGAAGGGTGTTCCGTGATTAATCGTGCTGGCACATAGGTAGCAGGGGGCTTTGCTACAACCTATGAAGTTGTACAGGCCACTCAGGTTCTCTGTAGCCTTTGTCTTGTTCGTACCGAGGAAGTCGGCAATTGACTGTTGAATGGCGCGCAAGCCACCGTGGCGTTCAGGGAGGTGGCAGTGCACCAACAAGGCCAATAGGGCATTTTTAGGCCACTTAGCTCACAGAAGGATTTTCACACAGATACAACAAGAACACGGATTACACCAGAATATACGTTTTCACCCATCAAAAAGCCCCCACGCACTGTTTGACATTAACTGCATTTCAGCGTGGACCACGACAAGCCTGTCCTGCCCGACAATTTCCTCTGCATTCTCTTCCATTCCTTTTCCTGGCATTTCCTTGACTTCAGAGATAACCTGATCGCGATCAATTTCGTACTCCAGATCATATTTCCTTTGAGGGTTGACGCATATTGTCGTGAAAGTCGCGTGGATGCTGGCAAGTTGCTGGCGGAATTTGATGAGGCTCATAAAGGCTGCAGGAACTCTGGCCAACCTTTCAATGCTGTCGATACCGAAGAGCAGTGGCTTACTTAAGAATGGTGTTCTTTCATATTCCCAGATACAAGGCTTGAAATGCTCGATCATGTAATTATGACGCAGGGTGAACACATAGCACTGTTCCAAAATCTGGTGCCTTAAGTTGACGGCTTTCTCAACCGGTCTGGCAGTAGAAATTACACCATAAGCTTCCTCAACACGGTGCAAGACATCACGCAGCGCGATCAAAAACTGTACGAAGGGCTATTCACCATTAGGGCTTTCGCGAGCACATCATGTGACCGTCAAGCGCCTCCTGGCAGGATCTGAATCTATTGTCGGTGTGGCACTTGTGATATGATTTGATACGCTGGGCAGTGTGTTCCAGGATTGCTCTCCACAAGGGATCCATTCGATCAAGGCGATTGATGTCACTAACTGTTGAAGGAGTGTGCATCCACCCTTGGAGATGGCCGATGAGGTCTCGAGAGGCCAGAGTGCCGGCATTCTTCGCAATATATAGGGTGTATGTTGGACTTTGATGTGGGTCTCCCACTCCTTCACAAAACCGGAGAGCAGTGGCAGTAACTTCACCCGAAGCTCGCTTCCCTTCACGTATTCGTAAAAGTAAGAGAGCACAGCCTTGAATGAAGTCACGCTCGAGTGCACTGTCGTTAAGCGGGCGTAGATTGCTGCCCAGGATGTTGTTCTCTGTCGATGAAGGCTCTTCGGGTGATAAAACCTCACGACAGAAAGCCAAATTTGCCGACATTGTAGTCGACGTAGAAGGCAAGTCGCCCTCCTGCTGTCGACTAAGACGTTCGAGTATAGCAGCCCGAGCAAAAAACGGCGGCCAGGTGAAATCTAGCCTCTGCTGGTCCGAAATATCTCTGGAAAGGTTGATAGTATTGGGCTTGATACAATGTACGGCTGTCTATGCCTGGGAGTTCGATAGCGTACGAGTGTTGAACAGGATGAAGAAGTGTGGTACTAGGACTTTCAGATTACTTCTCAACTTCTTACTTTATATGTCCCGTCCGAAGCAGTAAATTTCCTAGACTTCATACAATCATCACAGCAAGAGGTCTTTTCCGCAAACATTGCGACTCATACTACACGTTGCGAAACACCATTCCGACTCGGGCTTCATCTGCGAACAGTTTCGTTCGTTTCGTCTCTAGATGAAACACATCTTCGCGGATTTTTCTCAGCTTGTCTTTTAGAATCTCGCACACAAAGACGAATCAGGCACCGCTTGAAACTGACATTGGCCCTCCGATTAATTGACTGTGCCGCCCATTATCGCAGTATGGCAGCGGGCTCAGCAATCTACAGTCCTTGTGGGAAATGGCATCACTGCGATGACACATTTTGGAAACACCAAGTAAACATATAAATTCAAACCTGATATCCTTTCCACCAACTGACTGCTCTCTCAGAAGGCAATTATCATTCCTGAGAGGAAGCACATTTCCCTGGACACAGAGCCAAAATCCCATCCTGTTTTCATTGTCTCAGCTCTTTACCCCTAAAGACGCAATATGCGCATGGAGATGATGTTGAAGCTCAAGTATGAGTCAGCTTCCTCGTGACTCCGAAGGGATGAGCACCACGGCACGATTCTCCTGTTTCAAGTCGACCAGAATCCACACAATCGTGGCTCGTCTGATTCATTGCGACCGGCTGTTAAACGACTCCACAGGGGGAAACTCACAGAGAACGAGTCATAGTGTGTGGATATCAGCATGTGGCAATTATTCTTGTTCATCGGGACACAAACAGTTAGATTTGCAGACACGTTGATAGAAACAAAATCAATGACCTGTTAGCGGATCAAAGCTCGAGATCAGATGCTATTCAAGTGACCAAGTGGGGAACTGTCAGTTTGTAGTAACCTGGAAATATCCTAGACGAGCGAAACATGTCGGCTGTCAGGGAACATACAATCAGTACGATAGATCAGATATGGCCAGCCACTGCGGGCCTATGGGTGCTATGTTAGCATCTCCTCCAGGCGCTGCATCAAGTCGGAACTCATCAGTGGCTCGCGGGTGACCTTTCTTCTGTGTAGAATGGTCCCAGTGCAGACTATCTGTACACATACAACCTCTGCCTGATCCTTCACAGCTGAAGACGGAGTTTTACGTTCAACAACTGTTTCTGGGTCAATGCTCTCCTCCGTGAGTCTATCCCGATAGATATCGTCATATTATCACCATAGCGATCATTCCACGGGAACGCTCTCTGTACGTTCTTTTGAAGCCATCACTATAGGAGACACCCAACCTTCCCCACGCCAACAATCTTCCTGACGGTGAATCCCTTCTCCCGTCCGCTTCCAGCCTTCAGACTAGTGTTGGAACCTGAAACTACATGGTCCAGTTATCCAACTATCTGGATATCATGAACAACCAGCCCGAGGGCCAACAAGAGCTGCGTGACCACATCTTGCTCTATGATATCAGCTTCCCTGTCGATTTCGTCCGTCCCTCCCGACAAGACAGCCAGCATCTTCCGACCAGACCTCCCCAAGTCAGGCCCATGAACGTCAACCCTCTGCCCACCGTTATCATGACAAGCAGCAGTACCCCTACTGCTGCGGGTCCTACAAAAGCCGAGCTTCACAATGTTAAGACTGCCAACACTGAGGTACGTGCACCCAAGGACTACCATACTGGTCAGGCCAAGATGTCAGCTCACGCTAGTCCAACCACTGGAATGCAGGCAGCCAGCAATGATTTTCCAGGAGGAGCGCCGGCCAGAGTGAATCGCGCCGGAGCGTCACGAACATACGCTGCTGTGCTTACCGACGCGAAAGCAGCACCCGGCAACCCGAGATCAGCTTCTTTGACCACGGCCGACCAAAGCACTCAGTGTCAACACCAACCGCTGAAGACATTCCCATCCGGACAATGGGTGGTCGTGCTCGAAAACGTGCCCAATAGCTGCACCGTCGACAAGTTGATCAATGCAATCAAGGAAATGGGAAGAACCGGGAGGATCTTCAACATCGTCATCGAGTGTGCTGGTCCAAGGGCCGACGACAGGACTGACGCAACCACCGCGAGAGTTGCGTTCTTCGACCACGCTGGTGCGAACGAACTCCTACGCCTGGTCTCCCAAGGCCGTCTTTGGATCGACTCCCACCAGCTCAGCGCCAGGGGCAGCATGACCAAGCTATCCGAAGTCACCAGCCCCGAGCTCGCCTCCCGAGTCCTGCTTCTGCACGGTCCGGAAGATGTAGTTACCGAAGAATGCATCTACACGTGGCTCGGAGTCGGAATCGCAGAAGGAAATTTGTTGGGCCTCATAGACGCGGTGGACGTTACTCCCTGCGGAACGCGCAAGCTTGGTCGCCGCATGGTTCGTCTGGAATTCGCCGGTTTTCAGACGGGGGCTCAGGCTGTCCTCCAATATCTGTTGGACCAGAGAGGACGGACTGGCTGTGCGTGGGCTGGGGTGCTGGTGTTGTTCGCAGACGACCCCTGCGATTATGTTCTCGCGTGAGGGGAGGATACGGGTGCGGTGGACGTATATATATGAATAAGATGAAGCATGATCGGGTGTTGCATGCCACAGAACATACCGGAAGGTGCTAGAAGCGGTGTCCTTCATAATAAGTTCGCCCCTTTGGGTATGTATCAAGGAATTTCCATTACATATGTTCTAGGTGACGATGATATGGGACCTATCCCTTTGAACAACTCCTTCGATTCTTATTTTGTCTCTGATAAGTAGATCAAATTCAAAGAATCTAGACCCAGACATTGAAAATGCCCGGAAGACTCGTGCCTTGCGATCTCACCCATGAGGGCTGGGAAACTCAATCCTGAAGTAACCTAAAGCTTTTAAGTCTTATGTCGGAAGGGGGTTACGAGCCTTGTTACCAGGTCCAAAACCTTCCAAAATGGTATACTAGGCAGCAAGTTTATATGATGTAGCATGGTGACGGCCGCAAGAACTCTCCCACCACATGACTATGGTCTGAAAAGTATAACAAAATCTATTGGGGTAGCGAGGTCTTCCTAGGTACTTAGCATGTGTGCCCGAAGTTGCATAGCAGAACCTTATCTGCCGCGAGTGCCAAATTCCATTCTAACACGTGCTCAGTGGCGTATTATGAGCATGTTTTGGTCATCCTGTGGGACCCCCAATTCATAAGCAGGTGGCTGTCCCCTGCAGACTTCTTCTTCTTTCACATAATATGTTGAAATCCGACAATATCACAGAGACAACGCTCTGGCGATCAGCTCAAGATGGACGGGCAGCCCGTGCACGTACCATTGGAGCTGGGTTTCAAAGTGATGACCAGTCTCTTGCCCCGAAATCCGCACGCAATAATTCCCGCCGCCCATGATGCAACACAGCTCCTCGTCACCTTCAGTCTCGTGAGCCTGGCAACCCACGGGGTCGCAGTTCAGAAGCTGAAGCCGCACTGCATCTACATCGACAGTGATCAGAGGTTGAGCCGATTCCTCCTGTGTCACAAAGAGTCGCTCAAATCCACGGTCGACTTGCCAAGTCCCTTCCGCGACATCCCCGCCCTCTATCTGGCGCCATTCGGTGACGGCCTCGATGACTAGAAGAACTTGACCATGGCGAAACTGACGAAAGAACTCTTCTACTATACCAGCAATTCCCTACAGCGGCTGATCGTGGACATACTTTTCCAAGTCATATACGGTCCGCTTGAACATTGGAACCGTGTGGGCCAGGTGCTCCGAGAGGGCTTCGCGCAATTGACGGAGCTGGAAGAGTTTGTGAGCATCCGCGATGCGACGCGTTTCGTCATGAAAAGCCACCCGGGTGAGGAACGGCCATTGGCGCAGCAGTGGCCCAACCTAAAGCGGCTGGGGCTCCATGACCCTGATTGCTTTCGGGAGTTCTGGCAGTGCATCGCCGGCATGCCCAACCTGGAACATGCTGTCATAGCCTTGCCACTGCGTGTGTTGAGCGTATGGACCTACGTGAACGACTTCATGGCGCTCTTTCAGCAGCGCACAGAATGGCCCGTGACGGTTGTGTTTGCGCAAAACCAGCAGCTGGACCTGGATCTGCCGTGGCTCAACAAGTTGACGCCGCCTACGGCGGTGGGTGAAGAAGAAATGGTGCGCGTCATGGCTTGTCAGATGCCAAAGCTTGAAGGCTCCGTCATGGCCTATTATATGCCAAAGTTCAAAGACCCTTTCATGTGAAATCCGATCGGCTGGGTTTGGCTCACGCAAGCCGCCTTGGAAGGGGAGCTATGGGATATCGTAGATGAGAGCTCCCCATTGAGTACATCTTTTGGGTACGTCACTGCCTATCAGCATAGCGGTATGCCACCACAGCCACTCCCTTGAATGGCAATGCTTGCGGTCTGAACAGCCACCGATGTGTGACCTTCAATCGATCGCATCTCCTGAAGTCAGCTCTCCGATGTGTGGGATTCACTAGGTTTGGATCAAGCAATCGCGTCGCTACCTGTTCGACCACTTGGGAAAAGAGAAAGGGCAACCGTTGATCTGTTTGTCGAAGAACCTCTGTAGTTGAACATTCGCTCTTCCCGCATACCGTCTCCGTGATGATCAGTGTGGTGCTGGTGGTGTGGATTTGGTTCCCCACAGCCTCGGTTCTGCTTTTGATCTGGGAGTGACTGGGAGACTTCAGCAGGTTGACAAGAGAGGAGACGGCCACCGGGCTACCTGGACGATGGAAGTGGAACAAAATGCTGGTTCCTTAGTCAATTCTAATGTTAGCCACGAATGATCTGGAGCAACGAAGTACATGGACGAACGCCCATATGTATGCCCGTGTACGTCAGAAAGAAGATGTTGTTGTGATGGAAGATCCGTGCAGCCGTGGAAGCCTTCGTGGAAGCCTTCAACCCCTGGAAGTTGGTAATCCCCACCAGCCCCCCACACTAGCATGCATGTATCCTCCAATAGGTAAGGATGATGCATTTCGTGCATAAAAGCTGCATTATGCCATTCGGTGTTCCGCCCTGCCGGTTCCAGCCGAAGGCGACGTCGTGCATGTGGACTGTACCTCTTCTTTTCCTTTATCAGCTGTTTGTCTGTTTGTCGTATTTCGAATCAGGAGCGGTGTAATAGGTGTACACTAATCATGCTGACAAGGCGCTGGCCAACATTGACAGACCGCCGGCGGGAGGCACGGCGGGGTAGGATGACAGGGGGGTAATTGGAATTGTTACCGACTGTTTCAACTGATGATTGACAGGCTGACAGATCGAACAGGTACCAAGATTCAGGGTCGAAACGGATGCAACACCAAGACACCCTCGCCGCCCGCCTGTCCGACTGCCCGCCCGCCCTGCCGCCATGTGACGATGTGACAAGGTAGCAACAAGATGTGATGGAGATTATGAATAGAACGGGCGTCAGGCAACAAACATTTAACGGAATGCTCTAAAGCCCCGCTTTTACGCACCTTACCGCCCAGGCGGATAGACGGGGCAATGGTCATGTTACATGCAACTCTTCGAACAACTCTGCTTACATGCATAAGATACCTTAAGCATGTAGTACATGCCATGTACTGCCACCATCATTTGAAATACTGCCCATCCAACCAGCCAACCCACACCTTCCCGATTGTGACTCTCTGTCGTTCATGAAGGTTTCATAGTCATCACCTCCTGCATCTTCTTCCGCCGTGTCTGCTGGAAGGGGAAAAAGTCCGCAGCTCGGCAACACTACCTAAAGTATTCATCGTGCGCCAACACTGGGCTTTTCAGAACTTCTTGGATAGCAACAAGCTACATGCATGTAGTGAGGCTCACTCGTGCGTCTATGAGCATAGATTAAGTAAGGGACTACTGTGTGCCGTCACCGAGCAGCGACATTCCAGTTTGTAAATAATCTCAGCCATCGCCGTTTTTGACGCCGACGGGAGCATCCCTGCAATCGCTCAATCACCCATTTCCTTCTCCTCCAGATCTCTCCACCAAACGGATCCGAATCATTACCGCCTCCCTACCGACACTACAAACGGCTCTCGCCCATACACCAGTCCGCCAACTCCGGTATGCAGTTATGAACCTACGTCGCTCGCCTACGCTCGTCGACTCTCTCCCGACACCCTCCCCCTTATCGCCCGCCTCTCCCTGGCCGCAATAACACCGACATCACGAAACGAGTCAAACCGCGCCAAGACAAGAGCAGACGAGACCGTGGTCATGCCCGAGAAACCGCTCACCGTGGCCACCTACGCCGCCGGTGCTTCTCTGGCCGCCATCACCCTCGTCTACGTCTTCGCGCCCACCTACCTAATCGACGGCGACTCCAGTTCTATTTCGGCTTCTGCGCGCAAGAAGGGCGTCGTGGGTCTCCAGAACCCGGCAAACGACTGCTTCATCAACTCTGTCCTCCAAGCCCTTGCCGGCCTAACCGATCTCCGGGTCTACCTGATCCGAGAAAACCACCGGAGGCACATTGACGAGCCATGGGTATACGAGGAGGTGGTCGAGGTAGATCCCTTGCGCAAGAATGCACCCGAGTGGAAGAACCAGGGCCTGCAAGGGGGTATTGTCACCAAGGGACTTAAGGATATTCTCGACGCCCTCAACGAGCGACCCATTTACAAGAAGGTCATCTCCGCCACCAGCTTTGTGAAGGTTCTGGAGACCGCTTTTAGACAGCGCATTAGCCGACAGCAACAAGATGCCCAGGAATTTCTGCAGGTGGTGGCCGAGCGGCTATGTGACGAGTACCATGCCGGGATGAGGGCACGGCGTGCTGCCAGAAAGAAAGGCGGAGTCGAGGGCGAACCAACCAGCTCGGCTCCGACAGAGGGAGGTGCTGTGGGTGACGGTCTGGCCGGTGTCGAATCGAATGGTGATACGAGTGATGACGCGAGCGTACCAAGAATCGAGGCAGAAGTGGATTCGACATTCGAAGACGACGACGAGGATGGGTTTCCGATGGAGGGTAAGTACGAAAGCCAAATCGAGTGCCAGGCGTGCGGCTTCAAGACAAAGCCAACGGAGAGCACCTTCTGCACCTTGACATTGAGTGTGCCGCAATCGAGTTCGACTTCTCTCAACGCCTGTCTCGACGGCTTCTTCAAGACGGAATATGTGGACGATTACAAGTGCGAGAAGTGTCGGCTCATGCACGCCAGAGATCTTCTGGAGAAGGAGATGGCGCGCTCAAACTCGGAGAGTTTCAAGAATGCCACGAGAGAGTCGATTGCGAAACTCCAGCACGCCATCGACACCAACCCTGAGGTAGCGCCACCAGATGTAGTGTTACCAGATATGCGGTACGCGCCAAAGTGCAGAATCGCAAAACACACACGTCTCACCGACTTTCCCAAGATCATGGCCATCCATCTGTCCAGGTCAATCTTCGAGACCAACATATCACAGAAGAACTCGGCCAAGGTGGTCTTCCCCGAGGAATTACCGTTAGGCGGCTTACTCTCGAAGAGGAAGTACAAACTACGCGGTACTGTAACACATAAAGGTAGCCATCACAGCGGGCATTACGAATCTTTTCGGCGGCAGGACATCTCCCTTCCTTACTCGACAACCAACACCTTTCAACCTTCAGGAGTCTTCGCAAAGTCCGGAAACCCAAGTCCGACCGCTACTCCCAGTCCTGCGGCTACACCTCGGATCGGCGCAATATCCAAGTCGGAAGAACCAAGTCCAGGTGCATCGACCCCTGACCTTGTCTCAGCTTCCTCGGGGGCGAGCTCATCGCTCCATTCACTGGACACGTTACCACGTCCCTCGACGGACACGGCGGCCTCGACCGCGAATGGGCGATCATCACATCGTCATAGTCCTACATCCGCCCCGAAGGAACGCGATTCCGACAGTATCAGCCTCAGATCTGTTGCCGCATCGGCGCGCTCAACCGTGTCACGGCTATCGCACTCGGCTAGGAACAGCCGCCAACGCAGCCCCGCCGGCAAACGTGCCTCTGCGCATTCAACAGCAAACGGTACCGTGAAGCCATCCAAAATGAATCTCGCCAAGCACAAGCGGCGCAAGCAAAATGACAGATGGTGGCGGATCAGCGATGAGAAGATCAAGGAGGCCAAGACAAGCGAGGTCTTGGGCATGCAGCGTGAAGTGTACCTACTCTTCTACGAGTTGGAGCGCGAGGGCCCGGCGCAGTCATCGTAGGAAGATGTGCGCCAAATCTTCGATAACATTTTGGACGCGGCAGCCTACGATCCGTTCCAAGACCCGGACCTGTTCGAGGAGGAAAACGACGGTGGGATGTCCTCCCCCTATCTCGTGACCAGGGCGAAACAGGGGCTCACCTGCTGGTTGGAGATGGCGCTCGTGAGGACCCGATTCGTGCTGGCGAGGGTGGGTGCGACGCTGAAGGGCTTCGTACGTAACGCTTGGCACGAGTACATGGGATACTACGATGTGATGGATCTCGAGACTGGCCTGGGCGGTGGTAACTCGCAGCGATGGGGTTCGGAGACCACACGCCAGGGACTGTGGACTCCTATTCCCGATTTGGTAACAGCTTGACGATCCTGCGGACAAAAGGACTCGATCAAAAAATACATGGCATAGGCATTGCGGGCGAAGAGCATGATCATACGGTATTCATCGGATCGACATTGAGATACCTGCATCTTTTCAGCATAAACAGAGGGCGTTCAGGACCGTGTTCTACGGGACCAATTGGGCATTTGCATCATGTTACTATTGGTTGGCTGCATTTTGGTTTTCCCGCGGCTGGCTACGATGCCCAGGCGGGGATGGAAAGGCGTTACTACTGCTTTCTTGGACAATGTCTCCCACTTTTGGGTTTGCACTTTTCATGGGTGGAGAGAAAGATCAAGGCGGGACGCGGATGAGAGAAAAGAGGCGGATGATGATAGACGATGTGACGATGTTGAAGGAGAGATGATGGCATGGGCATGAGCAGCGAGCGGCGAGCGGCGATGAAGAAGAGGAAGTCCGAGGCGCCTCGGCGATAGAGAAAGCAAAGCGTATCGCGCAAACAATACACATTTAAAATACATACGAGCGAACATACGTGAGGGTGGGCGGGGGGGCGAGGTACATGTTGTATTATACATAGATAGGGGCCGGTGGCGGTTTTACCTTGCATAGCATGCATGACTTGAATGAATTCGTTTGCGTGGCTGACGACCATGAATACTCAGGCAATTTCATTCGCTGCATTTTTGGGAAGAGCGACAAGTGGTCAATGAAAGAGGGCTAGTCACACCAGGCCTCGCGTCATCTACTGACGCCCTGACTGACAGTTTGTTCTGCCTTCACCCAAATAACCTCATGATCACAGATACAGTCACCGCTTCCGTCACTCACGGACCTCGCGGGACCTCAGCTCCAGCCCCCTCATCCTCTCCCTTACGGGGTCGATGGTTACACGAGCCCTGGTCCAGTTCTTTGTTCACAAGAAACGTCATCACTGGGCCAACCAACGATTCGTTCCAGGTTTCTTTGTTCACGAGAAAAGTCATCCCTGGGCCAACCTCCAACCTCCAGCCTCAGTTTCAAAGTTCTTTGTTCACAAGAGAAGTCATCCCAGGGCGAACCCTGCTGCCCACCCTCTTGATAGTGAATGTCGAACTGTCCTCTGACTCTCGGGGTGGGTTGGTGGTCATAACCATGACTCCACGAGGGCAGTGTTGGACCGCTTGCGGCCAACAGGCCTCGAGCTTTGGCCTTCGACACGGACATAAATAGGCTGTGCTGTGCCGTACATTCGAGCACCTTATGTCTTCGAGCACCTCAGAATCTACGCACTTGACGCCCCGGCAATAACATATTCACTCGACTCTAGGCATCATTCATCACTTGGTCGACACGACATCCCCTGCCAACAGTCCCGCCCCTTACTTCCAGACCCGCCCCCAAGGTTCACCAGGAACTACGCCGACCATGTCGACACCAGAGTACGCACCGAACGAAGCACCACTGCTATACGGAGTGAATAGCAAGAAGATAGCCGACAGTGTCTCGGCCGGTGACAAGAGACAGATCAAGGAGTTCGTGCGTGGCGCATGGTGTAACGATGCCGCCGAATCCCTCAAGTACGGGGAGACGTGAGTACGTAAGGACAAGGATTTGCACACATATCAAGAGCCATATTTGCGCCGAAACCAAGAAAATCAATGGGCCAAATCCGGCGCCGGGCTACGCGTTCCCTGCGTCTTCGTGGAGGCCCCTACTACTGCGGATGAGAAGACATGCCGGGCCAAACGGGATGCACTTGTGGGGTTCTCGAAAACCAGAATCTGGGGCAATTCCCCGGGGTTGGAATACTATATGGTGTCCGTCTGCCTCAGAGACCATAAGCAGCCGAAAAACGAATGGGTAAATAAGTACTACAGCCGCGAAGACCTACTGTGCCACCATAGTATCGATGACCAGCGGCCCTACCGAACGAGCAAAGAACTTTGGTTTGGAGATCATTGGAACGCACCACACAGTCACCAGTACCGAGTATCAGTAAAGGGGCCCTCATGGAGAAAGGACATCTCGGCAACACAGATGACGGACAAGACATGCGGGAGTCTGGAAGGAGAATGGGCGATTCTGCTGAGAGGAGAGGGGATAAAATGAGCTTGTGCTTGGACAACGAGGTCTGGTCGCCAAGAAGCCGGAACTTCTACCATCTACGACACTTTCACACCCAGGACGCCCTCGACGCCAGCTCGGACATCAGAACGACGGGTGCGCACCTTTCCTCAGTCACTCTCTGCCTGCCGGCCAGGTTGGCGGCTTCACCGGATAACACGACCTCTCTCCTTATTCATCACTTTGCCCGCCCCCACCGTCGGTTCATTTCGCATTCAAGAACTCATTGTCAGACCTCGAGGAAGTCATATTTCTGGTGGAAGACGGAAGGATATCGGGCCATTTGTTTTGTTTTGATTTCACTTTCCCTTTTCGGGCGTTTTGGAGGAAGTTAGAGGCAGCATGTAGGCGTACGGAGTTTCAATGCTAGCAACTAATCATTCGGGAATTCACTCTTTTATTCTCTAGCCATCTAGACCTAAGCGCTGCTGTGGAGATTCGCTCGATTTCTTTTCCCACTCATGCTGTCGTTGATGCTATAGTGGTGTTGGCACTAACCTCATCAGTGACACGGTCGATGAAACTGCCACTGATGCTGCCATTAGGGACACAGCCTGTTCGACAGCCAGGACTTGTAGAGCGAGGTGAAGCAAAACTGGCTACCCAAGTCAATATTCACACAACTACAACGTTAAAGCCGCAGACCAGATCACCAAATTGGCATCAAAGAATGTCATGGGGTGGGGAGTGTAATGTATTGTAACGGCAGTGTCCTACGAACTCATGAATGAGTCGAAAGACCAGGCCATGTGTATATATAGCATGCTGAGAGCGGGAAGTTTGCCCTTCTCCCTTCTCCAACCCCTCTCTCCCCTGAGCTGCCCAAGGCGACACCCTAGCCAGGGCGACTCCCCTTACATGACGGAGCAAATGCCGGCAGTAACCTTATCCTGCGCGCCGTGAAACTCGAGGTCGACGTCGCCGTTGTTGTTGATCTTCATGGTTGATTTCGAGATCTTGTTTTGTTATGACAGTGAAAGAGTGTTCGTGTGTTTTGTCTGAAGGAGTGTTGTGTTGTTGGTGATTGAGGTGAGGTAGATCTACCAGAGACCACCTTGTGGCCAGAGTGGATTTATAGAGCTCGGCTGGCTGACAAAGAGATGAGTTTATTGTACGGATCGGCCTTTGACCGTGTCGATGCTGCTTTCACCTTGGTAATTGGAAGGGGACGGAATGACCCAGGCTCAACCAAACCGCTTTGTCCAAGTTGATCGCATGATTACAGTGCGAAGGGCTAATACGAGCTACTTCAATGGAGTCACCCATCAAGGCATGGAGGATGGGTTTTCAGGGGACTGAGCCGCAGGAGCCAGGTCCTTCAGGGGATTGAACCGCTGGAACCTGTCAAGTAGTGCGTAGATATTCGTGCACATGTAGTCAGTGCTGATTGTATTGTTCTGAAGTTGCTGTTGTGGCCAATTGGCCCCAAAATGCCCTAATGGCCCCTGATCAGTGCACTGCCACCTCCCTGGCGCCATGGTGGCTTGCCAGCTTGCGTGCAATTCAACAGAGCCAGGCCCTTCAGGTGACTGAAGCGCTGGAGACAGGAGACTGCAGCGGTGGAACCAGGTGCTTTAAGTGGTGTGGCGACGACGGCGACGATGCTCATGATAAAAATTGGTGTTGACTCCTTTTTGAGCAAAAGCAGCGTTATTCGAACGGCTCGTCACTGCGGATGATCAGGGGCGGGATCTTCGTTGGTGGGGCTGCCAACGAGGAGAAATCGCGCTTAATAAGATCTTCTGTGCTTATCGCGCGAGCATGCCCCTTCCCATTTGAGCAACTAATACACAAGGCTGATGGACGGCGGTGCGCTTGCAATAATAATGCCGCATGGAACGGTATGACAACTGTCGGTGACCACGTCCGGACATGTTCTGTGCCTTGGGGTCGGTGGACCGTGTTACAACACGCAAGGAATGCATATTGGGGGCTTCGAGAGGGTGATCGAAGTGCATCGAGGCTTGGATGGGGGAATACTGGAGACTGGTTGGAGTATCCCTCCTATCTTCCTATGTATTCCTGCAGACAAGCTCCAAGCGGGAAAGGGTGTCATTGGCATACGTTGGTGAGTCGTGACAGCGCAACACAGTGGAAATAGACAGACAGGTCTAGAATCGGTCCTTCGTGGTCCACGGTGACATCAATTCCCCGTGAGATTCCGCTTTTCTGGTGGGGTTGTTTGTATAGATGAGGGTCCTGGCCGAATGCCCGACCGCATCTGGTTTGCGGGTCTGGTTTTCGTCATTGCCATGGTAATGCGTCAGGTCAGGCCGGACTTGAAACGCTAGGTTGAAGCGGTTTGGCGACTGAGATTAAGTCGGATACCTAGATGGTGCTGTGGTTGAGATTTGGACTCGAAGGAACTGAACTGGACACGATGTTTCGAGGTCGGTGGTGTTTTTGGGCCTTATCACGCTGAGGAGAGACACCGCTGTTTTTACATGTTCTGAAGCCAAAGCACGATATCCAGCGGTCGGCGGTCGCTGGAGAGATACGTCATGCTGGCCAGGTGGAGAATGCCGGCCTAGATCCGTTACCCGTAGGGCTACCGAGATGTTCTCGTGCGTCCCGTGAAAGGATCGGCAACTTGCCCCTCCATTGGCATCAACCGGTCCGTGGCTTCACGATGCAATATCACGACAAATTCCGAAGCCGAGGGAGTCGGGGGAGTTTGGCGAATGTTTGATATTGCAAGCTGGCGAATAGGGCTGGTTCATGGTGAAACAGTAGAAACTCTCGATTGGTCGAGGTGTGTTACGGCCACAGTTATTAGTGCAAGACAGAGTAGTCAGAACCGGTACTCCGGGCCTCAACCGACGCAGTTTGGTCGAGGAGTAATTGTACAATTACCCTTTCCAAGGTCCTGGTTGTGGGCTTGTAGAAGGTCGTGATTAGTGGTCTCACTTGAGTTATTAGTTGTGATGTCTCGAGGAAGTTACCATGAAGTGTTATGAGGTAAGTGCCTCCACCGGACGACATACATGCAGCTGTGGCTGCCCCACCTCGCACGGGTCAAAAATTTCGTCGCATTGGGGGATGACGAGAACTCAAAAACGTCAATTGCCCCGCGTTGAGTTCCGAGACTCTCTCCTCCTCCTCTCAACATCAAGACTCCTACAAACGACAACACATCGCAATTCGTAAGTACGCCCTGCCTACATGATTGAGAGGGACAATGGCATTCTATCACGCACACCGCCGTCTTCGCTGCACGCTGCCGTCTCCAAGAACAAACGTGGTCTGAGCAAGGAAATCGCGCCGGATCAACCCCACCATCCCACCATCCCACCACTTGCGCATCCACCGCTCGTTCGTTCACCACCATCCAAGTCATGCAAGCCATCCCACCAAAGCAGAGGCCGCTACTCAGCTGCGGCCCATATCAGACTTGCTTCCTCACAGACCCAAAAACCCCTCGTCCCCTTATTATCAGTCCTTCTCCTGCGCTATAAACAACTGACCCCGGACTTCTCTCTGATAGACATTCTCTAAATCACTCACCCTCTTGTTCTCCAACAAATAGTACTATCCAGATATCCGATCCTCTCCCAAACTTTCGACAATGGCCTCCGCAAGACTCTCCCGTAAGACCGGTGTCATCGTGGGCGACGATGTCCTGGCTCTGTTCAACCACGCCCGCGAGAACAAATACGCCATCCCGGCCATTAACGTCACCTCCTCCTCCACCGTCGTCGCTTCGCTCGAGGCCGCCCGCGATGCCAAGTCCCCCATAATCCTGCAGATGTCCCAGGGTGGTGCTGCCTACTTCGCCGGAAAGGGCGTTCCCAACGGCGACCAGTCTGCTTCCATTGCTGGTGCCATCGCCGGTGCTCACTACATTCGTGCTGTCGCGGTACGTTCCTCCCCCCTGAGTCGTATGGGTTGCGATGGTTTTGTCTTTTGGAGTTGGGTTCTACGTCTCGAGGCTTTTATGGTCCAGAGTCGACACCACGGAGAGACAATTGGCCCCCATCAAGCAACTTAATAGGCCATACACTGACTTTCGGATTGAACAGCCTGCCTACGGCATCCCCGTCGTTCTGCACACCGACCACTGCGCGAAGAAGCTGCTGCCATGGGTATGACCTTTTGCTCCTAGGAAGCGAATTACGTCCAGTACCTGACAACGAGTGCAGTTCGATGGAATGTTCGACGCCGACGAGGCGTACTTCAAGGAGCACGGCGAGCCCCTTTTCAGCTCTCACATGATCGACCTGTCTGAGGAGTCCGTTGAGTGGAACCTCAAGACCACGGCGCATTACCTGAAGAGGGCTGCCCCCATGAAGCAGTGGCTCGTGAGTTTCCCTCAACAGATATAGCTTCTATACTCATCTTGCTAACTACTTCGCAGGAAATGGTATGTTGCCGCTCGCGCTGGACTTGCGTTGTTGCCCCCTATTCCGTGGCGCATATTGCTGATTAATTTCGAAGGAAATCGGTATTACCGGTGGTGAGGAAGACGGTGTCAACAACGAGTCTGTTGACAACAACAGGTACTTAGCCCACGAGCGGTCTAGCGGTTCAGAGCTAACTCCGTGATAGCTTGTACACCCAACCTGAAGACATCTACGAGAGTATGCAGCACCCTCCTGGCACCGGGGGCATTGAACTAACAGATCGCGAACAGTCTACAAGACCTTGAAGCCCATTTCACCTTACTTCTCGATCGCTGCCGGCTTTGGAAACGGTTCGTAACCTCTGGACTTCTGAGTTAGTTCACATCTAACATACTGAACCAGTCCACGGTCTGTACAAGCCTGGCAACGTCAAGCTGCACCCCGAGCTGTTGGGCAAGCACCAGAAGTACGTCAAGGAGCAGCTCAAGACCGACGACGAGAAGCCTGTCACCTTCGTCTTCCACGGCGGTTCAGGATCATCCAAGAAGGAGTACCTCGATGCCATCAGCTGTATGTGACTGAGCATTCATTCCTTTCCCTTCAGCGCCTTCTGGAGCACTGTTTGACTGTTTTGGCTTATGGGCCATTCGGGACAATCTTGGTTGCTGCCAATTGGCATCTGGTAATCTTATCATTGGAGCGTGTTACTGACATGATGTTTGTCGCAGATGGTGTCGTCAAGGTCAATGTCGACACCGATATGCAGTTCGCTTACCTGGCCGGTATCCGAGACTACGTCCTCAGCAAGAAGGACTACCTCATGACACCTGTCGGCAACCCCGATGGCGAGGACAAGCCCAACAAGGTACGTGGCAATGATCTGGGATCAGTTAGTCTGGCGATTGCTAACCTGCGAACCAGAAATTCTTCGACCCCCGCGTCTGGGTTCGTGAGGGTGAGAAGACCATGTCGAAGCGTGTCACCGAAGCTCTCAACGACTTCAACTGCACTGGTCAGCTATAAGCTCCACGTATCATGATGGAATGATTGCACGTTGGTTTAAGGAACATTACGGGTCGGTCGGCGGATGGACCCTGTCGGTATAGTCGACGGATGGGGTACAACTCAGGACCTCATCCCTACTTTAGGTTACAGATACCAAGAAAGTTGTGTATGATTGCAATACAACAACTATAGAAGAAGATTGTGATTCTTCAATGCGCTGTGCTAGGCGTCATCAAATCTTTGCAGAGTAGACCTCTGCTGTACAGTTCGTGGCAGTCCTGAAGGCTCACCTCCATCGCTTGCAATCAGAGTATGGTCTTAAAAGTGAGTTTGCGGGATACAGGCATCCAATCTACGTAGTCTCGATGAGAACGCCTCGTACATTCGTGTTCTATATACTAATCTAGATGTTTCATGAGCTTTTTACTCGCCAACAGACATGCGAGTCATCTTTAGTGTCTTCCCTCACACGTGAGGCTGGTCGATGCGGGAGACGAACCTTGGAGTCTGTCATGGCTCAGTGTCAAGGGGGGATGAGTGGTTACCAGTTTCACTAGATTTGTATGACTAATCATCTTTCAGGGGTATCATTGGTCCAGGGGTAGATACGAAGCGCTCATATCTCACGGAGTTACAAGAATCAAATGCTTCTCCTTCTTTGTCCCCGTGTCCATGCATGTGACCATTCGATGCTTTTACAGACATAGTCATCCCGGGATCTCTAAATATGCGAGAGGCCACGACCTAAGATGACTAATTTTGGAGGTACCTTCGACGCGTGTACCGTCCAGCAATAACATACATGGTGGTATTTGGTTGTTGGTATTCTGGACTATTCTCCTTGAACACTGATAGGATGCAAGGGTTGGCGAACAATGTCAACTTATCAGCTACTCCCAGATTTGAATCTACTGGTTCTGTACCAACTGCTCACACAATAATAGAGAAACAGCAAGCAGCTCTTCCCCCATAGTTCTCCTTTGCCGCAATGATCCGAGCCAGGTGGTTGCCCTGCGGTGCAAACTAATCATCTGTTCAAACGCTTGCAGGGCCCTTACAACTTCATGAGGCGTCGAATGCTGCATGGTAAGACATTGCGAGACTATAGTGTAAGGATGAACATTCAGGACAGTCATGTCAGATGTGCGCATCCCCATATGGCAGATCTACGGTGTATATAAGATGCATATAGTATCGTTCTTGTCTGGTGGAATATGCTCTACAGCTCGGAAGAGAACAGTACATCTCTGATCATATAGACATCCAGCCTTGAACATGGCCCGATTCAATATCAACGACAAGGAAGATTTTCCACCGCTGGTCGATGGAGCCCAGCATGCTCACTCAGTATCATCTAGTGAACAGTCTACACCGGAGTCGATAGGTCCGATCATACGACCCGATCTAAGTGACGAGGGCTATGTATCCTTTTCGGACGAAGGACTTGACAGCCAGGACAAAAAAATCTACAGCAAAGCGCACCTGAAGTTCCCCAATGACACGACCACCCACACGGAGGACGAGATAGAAAGTGCCCAGCGTGGTTGGCAAACACTCATCAAGAATGACAGGGTGACGAAGAACGACTTCAAGGGACATCGAAATCACAAGGCTCTTCGAGTGAACACGGAAGAAGGCAGGCCAGGACCCCTCGATGAGGCCTTGCTCCAGGCGTTATTTTCAATACTCAATGGCCAAGAAAAACAACAACCTATCGTGAAATCCGGATCGTCAGCCGTGATACGGACACCATTTCACAAAACTGAAGGCCTCACTCAATCTTTTGTGATGGATTTTCTGTATACCTCTGCCCTCTTGGTCTCTAGCAGGAGAGGTCATGGTGGTAAAGCCGGGTGGAAGGACGTGACCTGTACCATGCTGGAGTACCGTGATCGCTCTTTGCGCGGCGCATCAGGACCCGCCATCGTATTATATTATGCCGAGAATGGGGGCTTCAGTCAATCAGACGCTGCAATCCAGGAAAGTATTACACGGTGGTTCAGAAACACCGACAGATTGACCGGAGATGACGATCAACGCCTTCACGATGCAATATTCGCCCATTGCAAGCCTCGTATCCTTCCTGTCCTACCTCAGAGGTGCGAAAAAAGGGTTGGTTTGATCCGGGAAAGTGAGAGCTTTCAGAGTGGTCTCCGTCAGAGGAGGCCCTCGTCTCTCTCAAAGACCCTATCAACATTGTCCTCCAAAGTATAGAGGACGTTCACCTCACACAGGACCTGGAGGAAGGAGCTACGGGCCCTATCACTAGGATGTCACGAGTTTCTGACAAGCAATGGTGATGCTTTTCAAACTCTCCGCGAGAGAATCGATGCTGAGGATCAGGATTCGCACTGCTTGACCGAAGCACATTGTCGGTGTGCTTCGAAGTGCCTACAGTTGATCGAAGACCTTGGGAAGATGCAACGAGCAATTGAGAACCTCAAGAGGATGCGGGAATTGGTTCCAGATCAAGTAACGTTCGAAATGAAAGAAATCAACTTCGAAATTCCGAGGCAAGTGCAAAGGGCGTCGCGCTTAGAGGCAATTCGTTCGAAAGTGATGGAATTGGAGAACAAATATCGTTCGCTCAGATTCGATCAAGTGACAGGACCGACAGGAGTAGTTCAAAAGCATGGAGCGGGGCCACACTGTGAGATGCAGTTGCTGCATCATATGATCAAGGAGTATAAAGGCAGGCCACACCTCTGGCCTTTTGGACATTCATCGGCTGCAGCAAGCTTCCTTGCTTTGCCTGCAAGCACATGATCAAGTCGGCAACGGACTTCCAGATGGCGCCGAGCCATGGCAAGATATGCTATCCGTGACAGATTCCAGACTCGTTCTTGAATGACACCAGGTGCCGCTCGGCGTTGGAAACCCTTCAGAGGGACTTGGTGAACCGGCTGGACCTTACTGGCCAGCCCGGAAAGGGGTTCCAGGGTTTGAAACCCGAGCCTGAGTCCCCACGGAAGCTTGAGTGGTCGAAGGAGAGGTACGATACACCCAAGAATGAAGAGTCGCCTGTAACTTGATCTAGTGTAGGAGTGAACCCACGGCGAATCGCCGACACCACAGGCTCAAAGCAAAACACAAGTGACTTCTCGAGGCAGAAAGACCCCTAGTGAAGTCGACTGCGGCCTGCCGGTTACGTTACAGGAACAGCTCGTCGAGCGATCCTAAGGCCAGGATCACCACTCAGGCAGCTGAATCAAGACAGCAGCAACCTGCGATGACCGGGCTCAGAGAAAGCAAAACGAAGCAAGCGGCAGTATTTCAGCAGCAGGGAAGTTCAAGGTGGCAAATAAAGAAGCGAAAGCGGTGGGGAAGACAACGCTGTTCTAACGTTGACAATGGGGGCGAGGTAGAAGGTGTGATAGGTTACATACTTGACAGGTTACATAGTGAATACACAACCAGACTTTACGTTTGCCCAGGTGAAGGAGCTTCCTCCATGTGGATCTGATGTAGTCAGACCTTAAGTTAGAGTATCCGTGCACGTTTTTTTTAGTATCAAGACTAACGAAGCACGCGCCTATCCATTGATAAGTTTCGACGTGGACTTTGAGCTACTCACCTCGAATCACCTTGCGAACTGAATTTACGAAATTATCATGGAAAGCCATGGCGTCAAACACTCGTACTGTATTTCTGCTCCAAAAGACCATTGATGTCTCCTCGCAATCCTCTACTCGAAATAACCATCGATTTCATCTTTGATGGCGTCCCAATCGTAGTCCGTGGCGTTGGCCGAGGGCTGGAAATTTTCCATTTCCATCAGCAGGCCTGTGAAAGCCTCAGAGCAATTGATATCGGCAACCTCGGAGGCTTGCAGACCATGCTTGTTGCGTACCGTGTAGTCCACGCCCTTCTCCAATAGAAGCTTGCTCCCCATGTACCAATCCGACTTAGCAGCCAGGTGGAGGCATGTATTCCCCTGAATGGTCGTTGCGCTGATATTGGCACCGCGCACCAAGAGCCAGGTCATCGCCAAGTGTTCGTTTTTGACGGCGGCCTGCAGAAGTGACCAGCCCTTGTTGTTCTTGGCGTTGAGAGACGCCCCATGCGTACGAAGATGATGGGCCGCAACCAGCTGGCCAGCTGCAACGGCCATGTGTGCGGCGGTGTTGCCGTTCATGTCCTTCTTGTCGATGAAGCTTGCAAGACCCATGGCGTCCTCGTTGTGGTGACCCACTCCGAAGACGGTAGTTACCCCCGATGAACTTCAACACTCCTGAGGTTTGTCAGCATCTTTAAGCATTGTGATCAGGTCATCTTTTGACTGTGAGTGTGTACGTACCAATGCTACCATTCATTGCGGCGACATGCAGAATCGTCGATCCATTGGTGTCCTTGATCATGCTGGACACTAGCTCATTCATCGAAACACGATATTTCCTAGCGAGAGATTCTAGGGCTGTTCCCATAGCATGCGGCTCGTCATGTTCAGCATGACCGAGAACGACGGTGATCTCATTGCGAGAAGGCTTTCGAGGATAACGTCAGCGATGGAAGTGATTATCAACCGATTATAGGGTGCAAGCGAGCTTACAGTAGCACTGGTAGAAGCCATTTTGATTGCTGGATGTGTTGTTGGTAGGTAGGTATCAGAAACGAGTGCTGTCGGAGTAGCTGGATGAAATATTTGGGTGCGGGAGCTGTGTGTGTTGCCGGTAACTGACTTACCTACCCAAATCCGGTTCGTGTATGGCGCACCGACAAATTTGGCAGTTAATGCCTGAGGCAGCCTTGGTTGATTGACCGATATCACTCGCGGCCTGGCTGCAACTGTACCTGAGGGCATTCAATTATATCTACAGTCCTATTTGCAAAAAACCATGCCTATTAATTGACTTGAGTAAGCACTAATATAGTATACCAATCTCGAGAGTCAAAAGTACAGCGCTGGCGTGACAAGACGCTTGTATATATGCTATCAGGATAAAGACGCTGAAGATACTTGAAAGTCACCCGCTGGTCCTAAGAACACAGATGAGGCCATATGTCGCGAGCTTGGCCGCCGCGTCATTATATTTTTACTTGTCAGGCTCTATGAATGAATTTCTGTCTTCTACGTCTACCAGTCTACAGCATCGTTGAGCTGCAGCGAGTGGTGACCCTTACATCACAAACACTACGCGGTCGTCCTGCTACCCAGTCACCAAAACAAACACTTCTTGGCCTCCTTCTCTGATTGGAGGAAACTCCGGCAATAACCGTTAGTTTTTGATCGAGTCGGCGTTGTAGTCTGACTAACAGAAGATAAGTGACGACTCCTAGTTATCGCTCGTCCCAGCTCCGCCATCGGTACTACAGTTGTAGCTCCGCGAGGTGTCCTTGTGACACCAGCAGCCCTTAAAGGTGCCGTCCAGAGCAACCAAAGCCCAGTGTCGGTTGGCTTACGCGGCTAGAAAATAAGGTCAGGAACATCATACCAGCCGCCAACTCCAGTACGTGGGCATGGGGTTCTCGTAATCGAGTAGATGGAATGTAATAGGTATCAGCCAGCCAGCAATATGATAAATTGTCTTATCATGCTCTTTTATCAGACCAAAAGATACTGTAAGTTACGGAAATATGGATTTAAGTGGTGAAGAGAGGTGCTTAAAGACAAAAGTAATGGTTCAATATAAGTACAAACGGCTTTCAGATTCATGACCAAACTTCCCAACTCATGCTTGGAGGTTCAACTCGGCATACTCTGGGAGCTTCCACCCCTGAGCGTTCTGAGCAGGCGACCGGTGCGTCATCTGCTCGAGCTTGGATACAGCCCACATTGCGTTGCGCAAAACCCAAATGCCCAGTTGGGAGGATGGAAACAAAGCCCCAAGCGGTGGACCACGCAGCGTCTGGAACTCTTCGACCGGAGGCCTGGCTACATCTTCGTATGCCTTCAACGCGCCAACGATGTCGTTCTTGTGTGTTGCCAGTGCCCCAGCAAGCACATACGCGCCGACAAGGCAGCCTGTGGCCCCCATACCCGTGAAGGGGCTTGGGCAATAGCCCGCGTCGCCAAGGAGCACCACGCAGCCATTGTAGAGACGACCCATCTTGATCTGCCCAACCTCGTGCGCGTAAAAGTCGTCACACGTCTTCATTTCACTCAGGAAGCGGTCAGACTGCCAGCCAGCGTCCCTGAACGCTTCCGCGAACGCCTCCTTCTGCTTCTCCACCGGCTGTTTGTATGACTTGCTCAACTCTTCAACATCCTTCATGATGAAGAGCAGGACTTGAGTCACCGGGCGATTGCTGGTCCGCGTAAACATCATCCGGCTCCCGGGAGCACTGTAGGTTTTTGCATTCCCCCCCTCGCCTTCGATCCGTGGGATGCTGAAGTACGCGGCGTGGATGCCGAGGGACTTGAAGGCGGCGTCACTAGCATCCTGGCCGAAGGCGAGACGTCTGGTGCGAGATGCTTGCCCATCTGCGGCAACGACGAGGTCATAACGGCACTTTCCCCCATCCGAGAACGTGACGTCCACTTCGTCGCCGTCTTGTGCGAGTTCTTCGATCGTCTTGCCGAACTCATAAGCCAGTTTCCCATTCAGCTTGGCATTCTGTCTGAGACTGGCCTCATAAAGCTCCATCACCACATCGCCGCGCATAATCTCGTACTCGGAAGTCAAAGCCATCCGCCTCTCGCCAGACGGACTGACGCCAAAGAAGGCAATCGGCTTTGCCTTCGGGTCCAAGATCTCGAGGCCGGTTTCTTCGACGCAGTGTGCCTTGATAGTGTCGAAGAGACCCATCTTCTTCAGGACCTCGATACCCTGGCTTTTGAGATCGATTTGCTGCCCTGCTGTCCGTAGCGAGGCGGAGCGCTCCACGACGGTGATGTTGTAGCTGGGGTCGGAGCTTTGCAGGAGCATGGCGAGGGCCGGGCCACAGACACCCGCGCCTACGATGAGGATATTGAGAGGCATTGCGACTGATGAGTGCAGAGTTTTGAAATGTCTAGTGCTGATGTTGCGTTTGGAGATGTTGGTCTTGAATGATCGTCGGGTTGGCTGCAGAGCACGCTGGCCGACGCGGGTGATTGATGCGAAGAGATATCGGGCGTTTCGACCGCTTCTCAAAGTTGATGATGAACCTTGCAGCCCTCGATCCATAATACAATAAAGAGAATAGCCCGCAACACAGAGAGTGGATCTCGACAACGTGAACGAATTTATCAGACCTTTGGACACCGGGAGAGCGAGGGATATAATATATTAAGCATAGACCCAAAAGCCCGTATGTCGGCCGAGACTCCCCCTATCCCCGGCCAATGCCGCTTACGCCCGCGTATCATTGTTCCTACCAGGGCAGATCCTTCAGCTGACGGTCATCCAAGACCACGGGACCGAGACTGATCAAAGAGAAATACCACGGACCGAATCATGCCAATTAAACTACATGAGTCACCTGATCCTGAAGACCGGCGGAGATGCGGGCGGTCAGAATCGCTCTCGGTGAATTGTGGACTTTATGCCACTCTTCAGTCGGTCATTACAGTCTCATCCGATGCTATGCAAGTTCAATGCGTGCCCAAGCAGGTGATTTTCGGCAACAATTTCTAATTTGACACTGTTCCATCTAGCTTTGCATAATTCGCCTCTGCCCCAGTTGGTCTGTAGTTAACTCAACAGCAGTTTCGAGGATGGTACTGAAGTCATGTGTCTCTTTTCAACGGATACGTAATGCACACCATCCGCCATGACCCTCTCGCCTTGGGAATCGGAACTGACTCAGTCGTCTATCTGCTTCCGGTACTGTTCGCCTAGCGTTACGTTCTCCGGCCAGTAGGGTGCCTCGTTCGGCCTGCACTGGCAACAGTCACACTCTTGGAAGGTAACTTGAGGTATCGAACTGAAGAAGTCGTCGTGCATGGGGTCCATCGCTTGGTCTAAACAGGTGATGGTAAGCCCCGTTCGACCGCGATAGCACGTTTTTCAGTCTTAGGCTGCAGCAGTTTCCATGAATTGTGGCGGGCAACGTCGGCGCAAGACTTGGTGGCCAGCAGGAGTGCGCTGGGGGAGATATCAGGCGCATGGTTTTGCACAGTAAGAAGGCCAAAAGGTTGCATATCTGCTGTATTGGTGTTGTTGTTGTTGTTGTTGTTGTTGTCTGGTGGTGCGCAGCTGCAGTGGATGTGGGCAATATGCCAACCCAAGTGGGTCACGTGACCATGCAGCACATGGTATTATCGCCCGGACTGATGAATATGTTCTGAAACCCATTCTACTGGCTATCCGAATGGGAGCCTGTAAGGTATCACTGTTTGCATACCAGGAGAAGAGTACGGCTCAAGTTCGGCGTTGCTCAGTAATGATGCGTTTGCTTGTATTGTGGTGCCCATATGGTGTCTACCTAGGAAATGCTGTTGCCCTGAAACTCCTAATCTTCCGATGAAACTGTATAGATACAATGAAGCATATTGCCGTCTTCGTCCGTTGATACAGCCCATCAGCCTAATCGGGTGTAGTAGTGCAGGTTCACGCTGCCATCATTGTTCCTCGAAGTAAGTGTCGTAACCTCCCTCACCCGAACGTACCCCAAAAGGTCTTCGTACACGTCACACATCTTTATGATGCCTCCAATGATCGGGTTACCCCTGATAAGTTCCTGTGGCTGTCAGTTCTGCTATCACGTGTACGGAGGTGGCTAGGCAGCAGCCGTTTAGTACTAACATTCCATCCTGTCTTACCCTCTTCGAATTCGTGTTTGTGGTAATCCACATCTGCAAAGGGATCCGAGGTTTCAAGAGGGCCACTAAATTCTTCCCCCACAGCCTCGAGTGCCGCTTGGGTGGCAGTGTTTGCAGCTGGATTCGTAACGTGCATGGAGAAAAGCTTTCTCAGGTCTTTCGCGTCTGTCTTGCCGACGCTTTTCATCCAGTTATCCATCCTTAATTCCCTGTAGCGCATTTCGGTCAACTGCTTGCCGCCGCGCCCATATATGTTGGTACCAAAGCCTACATAGGCTCCGTTACTCAACGATACCGCGTACGTGTTGATGAGTTCCTTGTCCTGGTTTTCAACATAGAAATGCTGGAACTTCTCATTTTTATAGTAGATGAACTGCTTCACCCAAGCGTCCACTTCGCCTTTATGCGACGGATGTCTCGTGAGGCCGTAGACTTCAGCTGAATTGACCTCGGCTCTGGATGAAACAGCTGGGGGGCTTTCGGCGCCAGCGAGTAAGCAAAGGCTCGACAAAACGCCGGTCCCTGCTATCAAGCAGCTTTGCAATCTCATTTTGTCTCGCAGCAATGGTCAACAAGAAGTTCTCTGACTGGATGTTGTGGCTTGTCGTCGTTTGGTGGGCGGTGCGCTTTGCGCTTGAAGCGCTGTGGAAGGTATAACGAGAATTTTTCGTGCTGCAATGTTCAGGAAGTAATAATTGAAATGCTATGACTGAACCAACCTCCCACCTTGATATAATCAATTAATACTGATATGGGCGACCGTACAGGACCTGGAACGGCGAAAGGATCGGATTCTCCGGTTACTGCGGACGGTCCGGGTGGCGGGTGAGCTAAGCAGACAGCAGGAAGAAGGCAGCAGGCACAGAGTGGTACATATACGACCTATTTTTATTGTCAAGCTCTTCAACCATTCCTAAAATAGTGTCTTGCCCCGTTCTTGCTATCCACTGAATCCTTTGAAAAGGGGACACTTCCAAAATCACTAACATCCCTGTTTACTTACTGGGCCTTCGTGACCGCATGATAGCACACTAATAGAGGATCACGATGGAATGCCCATTTGCGCCAGGTGGGTTCATATTGGGAGGCCACGTTGCGTGGCATCGCGCTGTTGCACATGCCATCTAAGGTACGCATATGCTCTTTCAACCTGTCCTCTTTCAACATACCGCCTACCGATCGGGTAAAGAGAAATAATGCGACAAGGGCTTGCTATGCAAGGCTGTGTATTGTCGGTTACGGCCCCATTGCCCTCTCAATATGTCAAACCTCTTCAGCATTTTCGCTTCTACCCATTGTCCGTTGGCATGGGCCTTGTTACGAAACAATACCCTGTCCTTGAGGTCGAGCTGCATCTGTGGTAAATTGGGACATTATCCGCTTCGATGAAGCACGACTGGACGACCCTTGGAGGGTTTTGGAGAGCACGGGGGCGATTGTGACCCCCGCGAGGTTGTCTACAACGGTAGTCTGTCAGATGGAGTTTTTGTCCACATAGGTGGATTGGAAGACATGTTGAGCTGCGTGAGTAGTTCAGAGTCGTTATGAGTAAATGATACTATGATATATGCATTGATCTATATCCTACATCATATGGCTTTGACACTAATTATATCGTTCAGCTCCTTCAGATCGACGGGAGGGTCAATTTCGCCCTTCAGTCCCGCCGCCAGCATTCCCGTAACGCACACATTGAAAGTGACGACCAATTCAACAAGAACCACCATAGCAAAATGAAGCCCAACAGCACCCGTGTCTTCCGTGAGTAGCCTAAACACCGAACCTTCGCTCGCGAACAGCGAGATGGTTGAGTAGACGATTCGGACCAGTACGAAAGGCGTACAGGACAGCAGACACACTATCATGTTCGTCTCGGTGCGGTAGAACCGGAAGGATACGTTGTATAGCGAAGCGACGGCCAGTCCGATCGTCAGGAGGTACACCGGAATCAGCAGGGCGAGGACACCGGTGCGCATCAAGGTGTGACCTGTGGCCTGCAGCCCGTCCGTCGACGCACCTCCAAAGACCTGAACACTGCCGACCCCGGCCAATACTGCGCCCATCACACCGACGATTTGCATGGGGATGATGTACGGTGAGCGGTATCCGCTCGGCACAGGGGCGTTCCTGGGATATCCGTGAGCACGAATCACTCAAGCAGGCCAGTTCAAGGACCGGGACCTCGATGGTTGGGCGACTTACGCTGCCTTGAGCAGACCGACGAGGGTCAACACCAGCGGACCTATGAGCACGGTGTCGATCCTAGCAGACTGGGCTAAAAGATCGGGTCTCGAGGGCACTCCATCTGACGCCAGGCCAAGCGAAGCGCTTGCGATACGCATCGCCGACATTATGATGATGGGGACGCCGGGGGCGAGCCATTCCACGTTCTTCCGTCGCCAGTGTTTCGATATGACCAGGACGATCGCGGCGATGACGAGGGGGTAAAGCCCCAGTTCGATGGCAAATGTGGCCCGTCGCGGTACTAGCATCTTAGGAGTTCGCGATGAGGACTGCTTGGTGGATGCAGTGGCGAATGTCGAGAGTTCGAAACGCTCGGTGAGCGCGAGGAGATGATGTAGACGTCGAAGTTGAAGAAGTCCGTTCTTGCCAGGTTGCTTCGGCGGAAATCTGGCATCCTGACGTTTGAAGGAATCGACCAAAATAGATTTGGGTGTTGGTGCCAAGTGGCAAATCCATCAGGGTCTGCCGAGCAAAGGATTCGGGGTCCAGCTGAGTCTTGCCATCTAGATGCTGCGTAGATCGAATCCCACAGGAGCAGGACCCCATTCCTCAGGGCGCAGTGTTATGACGTACGGTGAGATCGCAAATGATCCCAATCGCTCATAGTAAGATATAATCATAAGTCAATTAATTGGTGGCGTTTCAAACCCGTGTTTTGTTTGCCACTTGGGGTAAGGCTTCTTCCCCCCTTTTCCCCGGTTCTCGGTCTCCACCGTACATTCACAAGACTACCGCGTTTGCAAGAACTCGAGCATCTGGACAACAGTTAGACAGCTGCCTGCGTGCACTTGGCCTCACGGTCTGGCTTTTTGCTCTTGGCTTTTGGGAAGAGGCTGGCTGCCTTCGACCGAAATTGTCAGTATCAAATGGGCTTCAAACACTTGGCAATGGCCCCTGCCCTGCTGATGTCGACAAGGTCCAGCACCTACTTCGACAGTTCAACACGTGGGATAACAGAATGAAAACCCAGGACGTGTCCGACGCAGCAGCATAAGAATCAAGGTACTCCAGATGTCAGAATTTTAGTTGGCAGTCACGTTCCGCTATCCAGCACATCGCTTCGACGTGCCTTCCTTGGGCTTGCATGGACACCACCAGTCCGCAGCAGCCACAGATATGCCAACAGATGGTCTAACAACAGATTATGAGGAAGGAACGTGGCAGCCAGAACCTTAAATCCCGTTGACTCATCGCCGGAAGTGAGTTCTCCTGCTTCGACACATCCTGCGGGTGGGATCATCGCTTCTTCACTAAGTAGATGCTCTTTCCTGGCAATCCCATCAACAAGTTGAGCAGTCAACTGCTTGGCTCCTCATATCTCGATTCGTCCAGTGGTCAAGATGCCGGCTTGTCGTGTGCAGCTCGGGGGAGACCGGGGTTCGATGCCCCGATCGAGAGGTATTAAGGTTGTTTCTTTTTGCTGTGATTTGCTCCTCCTCCTTTGCGGTTGGGAAGCGTTGTAAGGTAGAGAAAGCCAGACCTGAGTCGTGACGCGCCTCTTCATGCAACATGTTTAGCATCGCCATGATTGTGTTGCGTTGCTCCATGTCGTTGCACCATCCGAACCTGATATCCAAAACAGATGAACGATTTGGATCAACTGACATTCCCCGACGATTCAGATTCTTGGTTACTTCTACTCTTGTGCGAAGAGGTCTCATAACCAGTTGGCCCCGTTGCAATGACCCGCCCTCGTATCAAAAGAACAGGGCAGGATGGGTCAGCCGTACTCCCAAGTCTACCAGGGTAAATAGCCAATGAAGTCTTCACCAAATCCAGCGGCAGTTTACAGGCCAATGAATTGCAATCACCGACGTGGAGCCAGCTACCCATTTGCTTTGCATTCTCCTCAGCTAAAGCGCAGATATCGGCCAGCCGTTCCGTAGCCTCTAAGTGCCCGGAGGCCAGGTGTCTGTTTTGGGCCAACTGGCCTAGTTTCCAGCTTTATACCTTGGATGGCGGCTGGAATATATCGTTTTCGGCCTCGTGAATGATGAAATGATGAGGGGTTGCTGCCGCTTCTTCGCGTTTGCGCCCTTGTCGTCCTTCGCGGCAGATCCCCAGCCCATTGAGCCGGGTTCGGTTTCATGTGGCCTTGTATGCTATGAGGATGTCGCCATGAATATTCGAGTTCCACAAATAAGGGGAATAAGGCTTTTCCATCCCCTTCTTATCGCCTTTGTAGCTACACTGGAGGGAGGATCTTTGGCAGTCCGTGCTCCAAACTGTAATCTTCGTCAAAGCCGACCAGCCAGCGGAGAAACCTCGCATGTTGCGAGTTGTCATTGTCGCGGACTGCGATGCTAGCGACTGCTTCATGCTTGGCGATCGTAAATCTTCAGCGGCTGGTTCGTCGTCAGCCGCCTACAATTCCCCAATGCGGCCTGGTAGTCATAGAATGGGCTGTCGCAGTCATCGCCGGTGAGGCGCGGCACTTCAAGGTGGTTCGAACCGTCTGTGCTCTCTCTGACGGTGTTTCGGGCGGGGAAAATCCGTCTTCTGCATACTTGACTCGGTGCCAATGACAGGAGTCGTGGTTGGGGCCCGAGGTGGGAGGAGTCGCGGTGTCGAGGCCGGTGGTCGAGGGGTCTACATCTCATGATTCCATCGCAAGCATCCTCATGGCTGTAGGGGGGTGCGACCTGTGCAGCCATGAGTTCAGACCTGGTCTGGCTACGGTTGTTTGTCTTCTTCGCTAGACTCCTCGCCCTCCCAGTCGTCCTCGGGCTCAATCGTTGCTGCTGTCAAAATCGATCCCGGCTTCGTCCGCAACCACGAAACCATATCCGAGAATTGGCCGTATGGCGCAATGGTCAAATGCGCCTGGTTGTGTTCTCGTTTGTGCGGTGGGCGACGAGAACAAGTGGGTTCGAATCCTGCTATGGCCCCCTTCTGACCCGGCTTGTGCGAGTCGACAACCAGCACACGACAGTGGAGAGGCCCCTTATCGCAGAGCCCGATAGCCAAACAGCTTGTCTCCACAATACCCACTCCTGCGAGGTTTTTCCCCTTGTGGTTTCCCTCGCCAGTAGATAACAAATACCTACTTTACCCACCAATGCGACATATATCGAACGGCTACTGGAACGATGTATACACCAGAGGACTGAGGTTCACTGGGTCGCTTAGTCACTGGACAGGAGGTTTTTCTGAGGGAATCGTGTTTGGGTATTGACTAAAACCATCTGGTCACTCCAGGTTGGTACCGCTACAGCGAGGATAGGCTCGTGCGCGGATCTGAATGCATCTAGACTGACACCTCTATAACCTTGCGATGCAATGGCTCTGGGAGGCGTGGTTTGCCCTATGGAGGGACTGCACCCACGATAAATACAATCAATCATATCCGAGAATTCGGTCATACTCTAGGAGAACGGGAAGTTGGAAGCATTCTCATGGCTGTAAGTTCCATCGAGACCGGGAGTAGGCGCCGCGAACAGTGTTGCCAGCAATACCACGCATCGACGCGATGTCTTTCGTCCCATCAGTGACTGCGGACCAGGTGTTCTGGGAAGAGGCCTCCACAGCAGAAGAGGACGCCACGAGCCATATGCTCCTCGCCGCAGGGCAACGACCTGGAAGGCGGACCACATTCCAACTTTAGACCGTTGTCGCCATAGACTTTTGCGTCTCGCTTAGGGACCAGAGGAACCTCCCGCGAACCCCCGGATTGGGTTCTAGGTATTTCGAATCCATTCCGACAACGATATCCCATGTCAAGCTCTTTGATTGGTGTGGCGCCAAGCAGGCGGGCGGATGAGCGTAATAGAGCCATCCATTTCCTACCTCGTTGATAGCAGGGAAAAGGATGAGCAGGCGGCACAGGTTAACCCAAACCCGCTGCAACGAAGGAAGCGTAAGCCGTAATGCGTTTCGGGGAATACGACAGCATCTTCAACCTTAAGACGGTGTCCTCGCTAACAGGAGCGGACTCAGCAACAGCTGGTGAATCCGATGTACTGCATGGCCTTGTTGCGGTTGTCGGAGTCTAGGGTCCTGGCGGTTGGCCTCATGCTGTGCAGATCTTGCCAGTGAACATCGTGAGGAATACCACCAGGAAGCGCCCCCCTGCCTCGAAAGGTTCAGCTGGAGGCCCAGAGCCGGCGACAAAGCCGGCGGCAGAGGCATGCTCATGGGAACCACTGATTGTAAGCTTCACATCCCATCCATTCCCATCCTCCCCATCCCCTTCACAGCCTCCTCGCCACCTTCCGCTCGCCTTGACTAGGAATCGTCCAGTACTTCAGACACACGTCAGTCGCAAGTCTCTCAGGATGATACAGGCTTGTAGTCGGTCGGGTCGAGCATAACTCACAGGGAATATGCATCTTTGCAAGTCTGCGCGTGCTGCCTGGAAACACGTGGTTCAGTGCTTTGGACGCGCGCAGCGTTGCGTGCACATGGCAGGGGTTGTCTGTAAGGAAGGAGATCGCAACGAGAAGCTCCGCCAGCATGCGCTCGTATGGGCTCAGAAGAAGCGAAAATAAAAAGAAAGAAAGTTAAGTGCAAAGTTGTGGGAGAGTTAAGCGATGCAGCTGTTGTAGATCGGGCGGTGATAAGGAAAGTGCGAAGAATTGGTGGAAAGTTGATGGACCTGCGGCCTGGTGAACGAAGGTCGGAAGATTCTGCTCGGATGGTCGTTGCTGTGGGCACAACATCTAAGCGACTGGAGTGCGGAGCAGATAACCAGGCGCTCAGCTCGTTTGTACAGTTGACTTGTGCTGTAAGGTATGCACTTTAGGGTGCATTCACTTGCAAGCACTCATCACCTGCAGTGAATGTGCCAGGCACCATCCAATATGACTTATGTCGCCTTGCCAGGTTCCATCCTTTCAGTCAGGCAACATAGCCAGATTGATGGGTCTGCTTTTCTTGTCTAGAAACCCATCCAACGGCTTCAGCTAGTTTTCAATGTATAGACCTCAGGGATTGACCACTGTGGTCTCTGGTATCTTTGTTGCCCTCAACGGATCGCCAATGCCCTAAATAAAGTCGCTAACATCAACTCATTGAGACCAACTAGCACTGTGAAGCGAAGAAGGGGGCTCCATTTGGCCACTTTTTCTTGACGGCTCCTGGAAGACTAGGATGGCTGGCCACTGCTGCTCAGAAGCAACTTTGGCTTTGACATTGGCACCGTTAGCAAGTAACTTAGCAAGTGGAATGGGATCTTCTCGGTTCTCTGGAGCATCAAAGGTCGATACACACCTTTTTCTGTCTCCTCTATATTGCATCCCATTGGATTGCAATCAAATGTGACAAGCTTCAAGTGGGAATTTTCTTTGCCCATGTTCAGCCCGGAAACCACAGAATTGTCGACCCCTAGCCGGCTGCCTGAGTCCTTAGTTCCCAATCTGGATTTGGCGGCCAGCAACAAGACGCCGTAACCAGGCCTTTGTCTAGTTTACGTCGAAGCCGAGGCAAAAACAGCAGCTAAATCAAACCGCTTAATACACATCAAAGTATTGTGAAGGGCCTTGTACTCGGGACTGTGTTGAGATGACGAAGTCTTCGTTGGCGATGATGTAAGAAGCAGTGAAAGATCAGGAGGCGTATCCCCTCCATATCCCTTGAATGGCCCTGTCATCTCGTTGGTGATCCTAGCAGCCAGATATATTGCTTTGGGGAGTCAAGTGTGGTGCGCTCCGTCGAGCTTCCTGAATCCATGATGCTCGCAAGATGTTCATGTACACGTACATCATTCTAGGGGCAATGCCGTGTGGATGCGATCGTCCATATCACTGCATGGACACCAGCGCAGACATGTGGTCGGTGGACTCGCATGTCAGATTACAGCCCCAGTTGCCCGATTTAGTCGGCATGATACGCATATAAAGCCTTCTCGCCTCCTTAAGTTGCGGACTTACCAAGCTGCTGACCTACTCTAACTACCGTTAAATTGTATTACTCGCTCAGCAACGATTAGCATCGTCAATATACGCGCACATTTATACGGCAGCGAGACAGAGGCCGCTGAGGAGGTTCAGTCTGTGACCGCGCCCATAGAGGCGGATCCGAGACATCTGGCTGTGCACCTGCTGGGGCAGTATATGTATGTCGCGTACGAGGTCAATAGAGCGATCGGGATCTACGGGAGAGACACCATTACCGGCATCGCATGCTAACCTACGCGAACATGAGTTACACGATGATTTTCTACGAGTAAGCCTCAACATGCATCAGCAGGCTAGAGAGATCGGAGCAAGAGCAAAGTATTCTGCTAACCGGTTACCAGGCAGGCCCTAACAGCTGGGTTGAAGAAGTAGTCGTCTCGCAGAGCAGTGCGGACTCGCCAAAGTACGCGACGGCCTCAGCGAGCAGCCGCGTAGCCGATGTTCTTTCAGCTGGACGTGGATTCGGGTGCCATCACGAAGCAGCTATGTCTGCTGCTCACGACGAGAAGTGGTGGGGACGCCAATGCGGTCATGCCGGCCAAGTTCAGCGAATAGCACTTTGCGATCACGAACAACTATACTAACGTCGATAGTGAAACGAACCTCGTTGAGTAGTGGAAGACCGATGGGACAAGCGCGGCAGCGGCGGCTCCCCTTGATGTGTACTCCTAGCCTGCTAAAATTGCTTGCTTCAGCTCTTGGACTGATTTTTACTCGTTGGATACGGGGTGAGAAGGGCTGCTTTGGTGCCCAGTGAGGTCGGGCATGGGCAGCAGTTGCCACCAGAGAAGTGGTTTTGGTAGACTGGTTCCTCAAAAGCCTCAGCACACCTCCTCATCAAGCTGGTAAATCGTGTAGAGATATTGTAAATGTCAACCCTTCTGGTATCATCGACGACATTCAGCCCTCTGCATATAACTAATTCTCATTCGGAATGACAAGTGATAATCTTGGGTCTTCCCAGCTGAGAGGCTGACTAGCTAGGTACGTAAGTACTTGCAGAGTAGGAATCATAACCCCGTGGTGCTCAAACTTGCATTACAATAACCCTAATGCACAAACGGAAACTAGGAAGGGTGGACTGTAGCTGCCTCGGTCACCATCACCATCTGGTCACTGGGCACCTGCCTTCCCTTTGTATCTACCTCAGGCAATGGCCTCACTGCTTCTCCAAGACCACCCACGGCATTCACGAGACGAACCGTCTGCAGAGGAAGAAGCATCGATCCTTTATCTGCTCCAAACAACCTTCTCTGGACTAATCCCTAGGACAAGGTGATCTGGCCCAGTCTCATTCCAACAGCTTGACCACCCACCATCCACCACCATCACCATCTACCATCTACCATCATTCACTATCACCCACCAATCACCATTACCCATGACCCATTACCCATTACCCATTACCCATTACCCATTACCCATCATCTACCATCTACCACCGTCCACCAGTCGCGCCGACCACATACACAACCGACCACCATCTGCAACATGGAGAAACTAGCGACCGAGACCCTCGTGGCTATCTTCGGCTTTACGGACCTCGAGGGCGTGCACTCCTTGTTGCTTACATGCAAGAAGACCTACAATGCATTCAAGGGAAGCGCGCATCACATCTCAAAAGCACAGATATTTCAACAACTTGCAAATCCTCGCGACTACAAGCTGAGCGTGATGGTCATTGAATCGCGCCAAGTGGATCCGCTGGAGAGGGCAGGTGTCGAGAAATTCATCGAAGACTTCATGCACCACCAGGAATACGATTTGGGACTCTTCCGGATGCAGACCGCCTACAACTTGCCTCGACTCAACGAGGCACTGGATTATGTGATCGCGGTCGACAACGCAGATGCATATCATGAACGCCATGCAATCGTCCCCGAAACGCCCACCGAGTTGGCACGAAGACGGCGGAACTTCTTGATGCAAGAGGTCTGTCTCAACCTTTTCCATCGATTACCAGGCAAATATGGAGCGCTGCTATGTGAGCCACCGTACCAAGGATTATTTGATGCCTACTGGCAGAACTTCTCACGGGGTAAGATCAGTGAGGTAGCGGGCCATCAATTCGCATATCCGCCCATCCTGTTTGACGGTAAGTCCCCCATTTCCGAGCTTCTTGTACGGTTAGCCAACTTTCACTTCCACAGCATGGTCTAAAATCTCTGGCCTCAACTGTCCTCAGGGCCGCAAGGGCGTCTCGGGTGATACTTGTCACTGTTTCGAAAAATGGCAACTCGAAGGCTATGGTTACGAGTCCACGGAACCTCCACGCCCAGTCCTGTTCTCGCATCTGGTCGGCGTCGAACAACTATACTCATGGAGCTGCGGATCGAAGACGCGTTGCATCCATCGAGAGTGGATGAAATTCGTTGACCAGACACCCTTGAGTGAGGCCGATCTCGTAAATCTCCAGGTAGGAGGACCGGGCTGGCGTCCACTGACCAACAAAGAATGGTCAAGTGTCCGCTTCCAAGAGGACCCCAAAGCGATGAGCGAGAAGACATGGGATTGGGGCGACAAGGACTGGGAGGCATACCTGGAGGACGGAGGACGTTCACTGGACCAACGATGCTCGGCTCAACGGACTCAATGGGATGAGGCAACCGCGCTCGAGTGGCGACGCAAAGCACAAAATGGGGAAATTTAGCCACGCCAAGAACCTCAGATGATAGGACTCGTGAGTTAAGGTTGAGCCTGTCAAGGGACCGTCGGACCGAAAGCCTCCTTTCCACGGGCAGGGTGACCATACGGTCAAAAACAGAACTGGGAGTGGGAAAAGCATCACCCGGGCACTTATTTCATTCATTTGGCGCTGGAAAAGTTGCATAGCCCAGGTGATCATTTGGGTAATCACCTAGACCACATGGTAACCTGGTCGAGGCATGGGATACATTCACTGCGTAATGCAGTCAGCGTTGACTTCTAGATACTGATGAGGAGCGAAATATCGCTAGCTAGCAGAGAATCCTTCGATTTGCACAGAGGAGAGTTTTACAATGCATAGTGATCCATGGCACAGAATCCACCCAAGCACCAGGGGTTCAAAGATAGTGACCTATAGGTAACTACTTAATTTGATTCATCAGAGTGCAGGAACAAGGCTCAAGCATCCCAGAACGAGGAGTGTTCCTTCAACAAGTTAATTCCATAATTGTGACAAAGTTTCCAACAAATCCACAGTAATAGGCCGATAGTATGACAGGCGAGACAGAGGTATGCAGAAATAAAGTCACACCTGTAGTCGTTGTCGTCGGCCGTTGATAGGAGAGGGACCCCTAATCCACTGCGGAGCTCTCTCATTCGCCTAAATTCCCCGATGGCAAGTACCGCTCCACTTAAACCCGACCGCCGAAAAAACATCGCGAAGCTCACAAAGGAGAGCTCTGCCCGTCTTCAGAACCAGTACCCACGAACCACGAACCGATCCACCGACACAATGGTGACACCACGCCTTGCCCGCTCGCCAACATGTATCAGCTGCCTGCGACGCCTGGCACAGCCGCCCCCCTCGCCGCTCTCGCTGATGCAGACGCAGACCCGGGCGCGGACGACCAAGGCCGAGCTCGAGGACCTGCAGGGCATTCCCGTGCGCTTGCTGGCCGACATCCCAGCCTTTGGTCGTAAACGTACGTTCTCTGCTCTACTCTACTCTACCTATTCCATGCTCTCCTTCGTCCCCAATCCCAATCCCAGAAGCATCTGCAATGACAGTTACAAGCACTAACAACACCCCCGGGGAGGGAGAGCAGACGCCATCATCCGCGTGAAGCCGGGCCGCATGCGCAACTTCTGGTTCCCCAAGGCGCTCGCCGAGTACATGACGCGCCAGCGGTTCAAGGACATGGGGCTGACGGAGGCGGCGATCGGGGTGCGCGACCGCACGTTCGGGTCCAAGCTCGCCATGGTGGACGGCGAGGACGATACTACCCAAGGTGATGGTATACTGCTGCGAGAGGACATGCCGGGCAAGAATAAGCGCAAGGAGGTGCTTACACTGCCGGTGAGTGATTAATGTCCCTCCTTATTGCTCGGAGGAGCTTTGCTTTCCACGAGGATGTGGGATGATGAAGAATGAAGAACGGAATGCTGACGATGCTGAACACACAGCCCGAGGAGACCCAAGCCCTCCTCACGACCCTCCTCCCCGACATCCTAACCTTCGCCCGCAAGCCCATCGCCCCAGCCGCGCCCGCCGAGCCAACACCAGCCCCCGAACCAACAGTCACACGCTCGCCCTCCCTCGCCGCCAACGCTGCGACCTCCACCACCTCCTCCACCACCACCACCACTCCTACCACCCCTACAACACCAACCTCACCCGAAGCCGAGCCCGCCCAACAGCACACCCCCATCTTCGGCTCCGTCTCCACAAACGACATCCTAGCCCTGATCAAGGAGAAACTCCTAGCGGCCGACGCGCAGGGCAGCCGCGTGGCGCTCGAGGCCGAGGCCATAACGATCCTAGGGCTGGACGAGGAGGGCGACAGCGACGACCGCATCAAGCGGCTCGGCACGTTCGAGGTGTTGATATCGCCCGGCAGGGATCTGGAGCCCGTGAGGCGGGTTGTGGAGGTTGTTGCTGAGGAGTAGGTAGACTTTGCTAATAGGGAGATAGCTGGGAACGCCGAGGTGATCGTGGGATGAGGGAGAATTGCGACTATGATGAGATTTCGCGTGATGTGCTCCCGGAGCAGAGAAGGTTTTGGGGTGGGTGTACTATATGTATGAATGGCATATCAAAATGTGATGAGCTGTGTATGTAGACTAAAGCAAGCTCGTGGTGCTATTGTAGAATGTATAAAACTTTATACGATTCGGCTGGGTTGGACACATCAGTATGCTTATCATATCACCGTGTTTGGAAAAGTATGTTGATTAGATATATGACCTCTTTAGGCTCCCCCCCTTGCCTCGATTCTTCCCGGGCCATCAGTCTCCCCCTGGTCCATCACAGCCACTGGCGATGGTTGACAAACGAGTTGCCAAAACAGATGCAGAGTTCCTCGCGGAGCCGGGCATGTTGATATCTGTCCATACCCGACCAAAGAGCCTCGCCAAGAACGACCAGACGCCGCCGCTTCTTCCCATACAATGGAATCTAGTAACCAACAAACAGCGAAACAAGACGACACAAACCGGGTACACTCGACTGAACATGATGATCTTTTGAATTCCGCCCAAACTAATCTAGATAGGTCGGTAGGGTGGGCGTCGGATGATGGGATGAAGAGGATGTCACAACGACAACCACTACCCCGTGTAGCTGACATCCAGGTTCCACAACGAGTCCCACACGACGCTCTTCTTGTTCGGGCTGTCTGCAGTCGAGGCGGAACTCACGTCTCGTTGGAGCTGTGCGGGATGTCGTTGTGCTCCAGGCTCACCCGGCCCTTTCTCCGGACTTTGCTTCGGATGCGTATGCGGAGTGTCGTCTACTCGACGGCCCTAGATCCCATCAGTCCCAAAGCGCTTTTAAGGACCGAGGAGGGAGTCAACGTCATGCCGCACCTCATCAGGCTGATCGTCCGCCGTCGTCGTCGTCGGCCCGGCATTCTTATCTGCCTTGGGCTTCGCCGGAGATTCGTCTTTCGTCCCGCTCGGGCCGGCTACGCTCTGTCCCATGGTCGGGCTCGGTGCATCAGCCGGGCTGTCCGCAGCAACAGCACGCAAGCTGTTCGTTTCGCTTGCCAAGGCACTGCCCTTAGCAGCAACCGTACCACCAGCGACCGGTAGAGATTTCTTAGAACCTGTGCTGCTGCGTCTACTCTCAAGACTTTTGCTTAAGGTTCTGCTCACGCCCTCTATGCCACCACTAGAACCAAGCTTGGACTTGGGCTTTCCGGGCCGCCCGTGTGCGTGCATGTCTGCAACTGCTGCTACGTTATTAGAAGCAACAGTCGATTTGCCCAGCCCAGGAGTGGAAGGCGCACCAGGCTTGTCTTCGTGAGCATCAATGAGCCACCAACGTAGGCCGTCTGAAAGGTCGAAGGGGTTATCGTGCTCGTCGCCGGTATTGACCGAGTCGGTCTCACCTTCGGAGGGGGGCGCATTGGTGGACTGTAAGCTCTTAGAAAGGTCGACGACACGCTCCTGGATGCGAGTGATTCGGGCCACAATCCATTCGCGACTGCGTAGCCGGTGGCCTTCTTGCTCACGGAGGAAGAAGTGCGGACATCCAACGTTAAAGGCCGCCCAAGCACCAGTTGTCTGATTGCGGGTAGGGAGGAATAGAGCCAGATCACCCTCCTTGAAGTGCTTGAAGGAGATCTTTTCATGGGCTTCCTTGGCCAGTGCGTGGGAGCGCTCACGATAACCTCTGGCATCACGGGTCATCTTTCGTGCCGTGTGCTCAATCTCCTTGACGCGGCGGTAAATGGATTCAGAAAAGGCATCGACGTCGAAGTAGCCCGGGCCAGCCATGTACGCTTGATACTGCTCGTCTTCCGTACTGGCGTCATCGGCATTCATCCAGTAGAGTAACTTGAGGTCAGTGCTATCGGCGAGCAGATTGGTTGTGGCAGATACAGAACGTCTGACAGAGGTACCCGGGTCAGATAAATCGCCGGGGTTCTGTGCTACTCGCTCCGCTCGTGGAATCTTCTGAATTACCATTGATCCCTCCTTTCGGGTAACAGAGAAGCCCAAGCGCTCCAAAAGTCTGACTAGTCTCTCGTTGTGCGTATACAGTCGCTGTGTGAGGTCTTTGGTGCGGCCATTGCGATCCTCGAATCGACTCTTCAGAGCAGCAAAGCTCGACTCGGTAGACTCTAGTTTTTCTTGGGACATCCGAACTTCTTCTTCGAGACTGCCCACCTGTGACTGTTTCGATGCTAGGTGTTCAGTAAGCTCAGCGAGTCTCTTCTCTTCGTCTTCCAGCTTCTCTCGAAGGGTCTCTGATCCGGTTACGCCTTCGGTCATCTCGAACCTGAGCTGATTGAGTTGATCTCGTCCGTCATTGACTTCGGCTTCAAGTGTACTGCATCTGGCCTTCGCCTTATCCAGTGTCTCACGCAAGTGCACGGCAGTCGTCTCTTCGGCTGAGAGCTTTTCCTTCATTGTCGTAAGCTCGGATTTGGCCTCCTTGACAGCGCCATTCGCAAAATCCAAGTCGGCCTTCATTAGCGAGAGATCTCCTTCAAGAGACTGACATTTGGATAGGACATCAGTTGACTTGCTTGCGACGGCATCCATGAGATCCGCAAAGTCTTGTGGCGCATTATCATTCGGCGACAACTGTCCGTGGAGCTCCCTAAGCGTTTGAGCATGTGTCTCCGTGCTTTCATCGGCTGCCTCTGAACGTTTAGCCAAATCCTTGATGGCGTCACGGGCCTCCCGCAGCTCCCTTTCCAGTGATACGTTGCGTTCTCTCTGTACTCGGGTCTCGTTACGAAGGAATTCGAGTTGGCCTTGCGTCTTCAGCGCATCGTTTCGTTTCTCTTCGTTGAGGCGGTCCACTTCATCCTGTAGCGAGTGTAGCCTCTCATCGTAGGTATACTTCTCGTTTTCCCTGGACTCGCCGAAGTGCTCGATCTCATCCTCGGTCTCCTCGAGTCGCGTCTTCAGCTGTTTGATCTCTTCCTCAAGGGACTTGCGTTCTTCCATAAACTCCCTCTTTAGTGCTTCCATATTGCCCAGAAGATCTTGTTTGGTCGAATTCGCCTCGTCCATCCGGCCCTTCATGTGCTCTTTTTGCGCGACCAAGTCGCCTTCCAGCTGCGCGATGCGTTGCACCAAAGGCTGAGTGCTTTCGGAAATGGAAGGCTGCCGACGGTCTCCGGATGGGCGCGGTGTCTTGATTGTGGGTGAAGACTCGATCCTCTCTGACTGTTGCTGCGGCTGGAACAGAGATGGTCTAGACGCCTGGGTTTGACGATGCAATAGGTCTTCTAATCGACGAACCCGGCTTTCAGCCGTCTTCAGCCTGCTCTCCAGCTTAGACTTGTCGCCCTGTAGATTCCGCAGCAGATCATCATCTCCGCGCATGAGCAGTCCACTTCTTCCCAACGCGGCCTCATGAACGCTGCCGTTTTTGAAAGCCTTAAGTCGCTTCGACTGCTGTTTCGTGGGGTTGTTGAGTTCGTTGATAAGTTTGGTGACGTCTGCTATTATAGTTGCGTCCGCGTTCTGGCGCCGGATGACGGCGAGGAACTCGTCTAGATCCTGCTTCGTTATAGCAGGCCATTGCTCGTCCTCGCCAAGGAGGTTAACTTCAAGACCGAGTACACGATTGTCGTCCTTCTCAGGCCCATATGTACTGCCTACCATCTTCTGCCACTTTCGCCTCCTCTTCGACTCCTCGTCCTGGAAGAGCGCCATCTCGTTCACAAGGGTGGAAGAGTCTGTTTTTACCTTGTCGGCCCACTCTCTCCGTCTGATAGCCTCAACTGCAAACGAAGCATACATGAACGGAAGTTGTTGGATAAGCCGTAGATAGTCGAAGGTGGTCATCTCCTCTTCGCCCTGGTTGACCACGTTTATCTGGGTTTTGACAGAGTGGTGGAGGGAAGTGATCTCGGCAATGCTGCGCATGAAAACGAGGGAGTCTGCTGCCACGTCATTGCGAGCTTGGGTGGCATACCGCAGCATGTCATCCATCTCCGCCGCTCGATTCTGTATGCTGGGCAACAGCTGCTTTGTATGGTTGACAGCTGTTTTGGAAGCCTGCGGTACATCCTTTGCCTGGTTTGCGTACGACAAGATAGTCTGATAATCTGTATCAATCTTTCTCCCAACGGCCTCGATATCCTCCAGGAGCTGCTTGCAGTCACTGCTATGCTGCATTGCCGAGCGAGAGACGAGCTTGTCAAACTCCTGGAATAGCTCTTCACACCCGCTGAACATCTTATCGGCACCTTTGTCGAGTTCTGCGATCTTGTTGTTGAACTTTCGCAATGACGGTGCTGCAAGCTTGCCTGCTTTCCGCGTGGGCTCTGGATCGATCAGGTTCTCCAGTGTGGCCTGGCGAGACTTCCTCAGATCCTGCCCGGTCATGAAGCGCACCATTGTTGGGGAGATGTTGATGTTTCGAGCCAAGTCAAGATAGTTTTCCCAGTTCGCAGCCAGGGTGCCGTACTCGTCCTGTGCTGGCGTGACCCATTTCTTCAGCTCTGAGTATTTCGGCTCTATCGGCTTCAGTGCTGTGTCGAGATTCGCCACAGCTGCATCAAGGCACTTGAGCATAACATCCATCTCGCCGTAACGCGTTTCTGCGGCGCCGGCCATATTTGCGCAGTCCTCGACGACGGTCAGCGCCCAGTCGCGGCGCCTCTTGAAGAGGTCCTGCCATGATCGCAAAGAATGGGTATCGTCGATCGAATTCGGCGCGGGCGCGATGATGTATCGCTTAGGGAGAGGAGATTCGGAGACCAGGGAGGTCGATGTGCCTGGGGATGAAGCTTGAGTTATTCGGATATCGTATACATAGATCTCTTTCTGTTACGAAGCAATGTCAGCACCCATCCCGGGGTTCCAGTCGGTCCGGGCATGTACTGACCTCCGACTGTATGGTCTGGATCTTGACGGTCTTCCCTTGCGACATAAGCGCAACGATATTCTGTACCGGTATGGAGCTTTGTCGGGCGACCCATGCTTTGAAATCATCGAGGCTAGGAGGAGCAAGGCGGTCAGTCGCTGCGTGTGTACACCGATAGCAGAGGGAGCGGAGGAAACGAAGGCAGCACTTACGACGAGAACTGGGAGATGTCTACCTGCAGGCGCTGGCCCGTGGGGGCAATCAACACCTGCGTCTGCGAGGCCATGATGCACGTATTCCATCCCCTGCTAGAATCTAAGAGACACTATCGCGAGAGGTGATGTCTAGGTAGGTAGGTACGAGGGTCGCAAGAAAGCGGTATTATTGACCGTAGACAGGACAGATGAGGTTGACAGGAAGACCGTGTAGGATGGAAAAAGGTCCGAGATGACGGTGAAGCTCTCTATCGCTATCTGCACCCAGCTGTCAGCCTGTCACCCAAGAGCCCGACCCAGACAAGGCTTCCACTTCGATATCGGGCGCGCGGCGTCACCACCACTTCGACCGACGACGGGCTGGATTGGCTGAATCAGCAGGGCACCCCTTCAGGTCAACAGCCAAGACTCCGGTCCACCACAAAGTCCGGGGTGCAACGCGCGGACCGGTGATTATGCCTCGTGATGCGCAAGTTGCAGCGCTGGACAGGTGGTATAGTGATAGCGATAGGTATCATGGGCAGGTAAATAACCGAGTTAGAGAACTACCTAGGTAGGATCAAAAGGATCGAAGAGAACAAGCTGAAGGATGACTTCATCTTTGCGGCTTTGTTGATTCAGCTTGTCTCTGTGGTAATGGCAATAATGACGCCACAAATTGAACGGGTCAGCCACACTCTAGTCTACGCCACATATCACCAAATACCACGGTCTCAATCAGGACGCGTTGTATGAGCCTATGAGGTGGTGTTGAAATGAGATCGAAAGCTCCTATTCATAATCTCTACAACTCTTCTATAAGCATTCATACACAGCTGATCCTCATTTTCGAAGCATCGGAACCCAGTTCGCAACGATGATGGCAGACCAAGACCCCGAAGCCCCAATACCCCTCCGTCTCTCAGACGACGAGAAACGAGTCCTCGAGCTGCACGACCGGCTCCAGCAGCTGCAACTCGAGATCGCGATCATCACCGCCCAGAAGAACTACGTGCCAGGTAAGTGTCCTGTCCTCATCCTCGAATCAATCAGCAATGTAGCACCAAAACCGTCTGACAACACAACACAGATCCAGATTCAGAACGCAGCAGAGACGCAGCCGAGAAGCAGGTCCTGGAATCGCGGGCCCTTTACGTCCTCCGCAACGACAAGGTCGAGGGCGCTATGATCGCCAGGCCGATCCTCCAGGCGGCGCATAACGGGACGAGGGCCTCGCCTGTTGAGAGGTATGTCTACATATACCCTACCTGCATCTCACCTCACTTCACTCTACTTCATAAGCTTCGTAGCTCCCATCCATGTACTCACTCATCCACTTCCCACCTCTCACCTCTAATTCATCATCTATTACCCGGTACCTATTTACCACCACCGTCGCCCTCGTCTATAATAAAAACCCACCCTAACGCCCCTCCCAGAGACCTCCTCCCACACCTCCATGCCCGCGACAAAACAACCACCGCCCTAGCGCAGCAAGCGTCCGCCCACCGCGCGCTCCAAGACGCTCTCTTCGCAACCGAGGCGTCGAACCAGCGCCTCGCGCGCGAGAACGTCCACCTCGCAACGCAGATGCTGGCGCTGGCGGAGCAGACGGCGCACCCCGGCGGCGAGGCGTCGGCGCTGGATCCGGACTCGGAGCTGCGCGCCGAGATGGCCGCGCTGGAGGACGAGGTGCGCGCGGGCCGCCGCAAGTGGCGCGTCTTGAAGGGCACGGCGAGCGCGGTGGTGGCGGGCAGTGGGGTCGATTGGGCGCGGGATGCGGAACTTAGGGGGATGGTGATGGACGGGGAGGGTGATGGTATTTAGGGCTATGTGGTTGATGTTGGGTTGTTAGCTTTGTGATTAAGATGTTCACGGAAGGAGTTGTGGGAAGGGCGTTGGTCGATTCGATGATACCCAAGCTTAGGAGGCCACACTAAGGAAAGACAAACCCAAGTACATCCCACCTATCATCTCCGTATCACGGTGAATGGCTAGAGCTTTTGAAGTCGGCCGATATGGTGCTCAAATCGTCACCTCTCCGTCAATCAGTACGGCCTCAACGCTGAGACTGGTCATCCGAAGGTGTTCCAGTCAAGTCACTCTGACCCAGCGTCGCATGCAAGCACCACATGCAGGGAGGGTCGTCTCATCACCGCTTAACAAACCCCTTTGTGACATTAAACCAGTCACCCGCCCGCCGTCTTCCGCGGCGTACCCGGGATCGGACGCAAGCATCAGGAACCCAAGCAGCTTCCGCGACCAATGCGACAGCATGTGTTCCTGGCTGACAGAGATCGATAGGGCTTAGCGCGGGTCGGCGATCTGGCCGGCCACTGACTGTGCTGGGCAGCAGCCACGTGATTTCCGTATCTATTTTGGGATGTCTGTGTGCGATGCGACGTACACTCATCGCATTGGTTGCTGGCACGGCTGCCCAAGCCATCAGCCATGGGATGGGAACAAGCTTGGGGAGCTCCCCTGGAGTTCTGGCAGTGTGTCTCGTGGTGGTTCGGAGGGAGCGAGTAGATGCCGCCTCACCACCTACTTATTGCTTCCTGTTCCACACGTGATGTCAACAAACGGCGCGTTGCAATCACTCGCTCATGGCGTCCAGACGCCAGGGAAGGAGGGTGCTGTCTAATCACGACCAAGGCAGCCAGGGTGGAGGCGCAAGCGCTGCCTTTGGCTTTGCCGGAGCAAGATTTGGTGTGGTTTCTTGCCGTGGTGTCGTTGATGGTGGAGACACAGCTCCTGGACGGCTGGAGCGCCATCAGAAGCTGCTCAAGAGGCACAGTGTGGATGTTCTCTGCATGGCTGGCGGGCAAGTCTCTCCCGGTGTAGCCAGTACGGTACAGTGCTGTGTCCCCCGCGCGAATCACGTTGGCCTGGTGCCCTTCGCCATTTTGAGCTTCATCACTCTGGCTAGCAAGACACTTGGTTCTCTCCGACGGAATGAGCAAGAGACACCACCACCTGCCCCCAGCTTGTGTGCATAAAGCAGCATGGTCTGGGCATGCCATCAGGCGCATCCTGATCCTGCGCGACCTGCGCAAGCTTGATTTCCGTTATGAAGCTGTGACTGGTAGTCCATCAACACTAGCGGTGTCAGCTGGCTATTCGTGGGTGCTGATATCATTGACGGCAGATAGCATGAGGTTGATGCATTGCTCGCCTTGCCTCGTATCTTGTTGTTGCACCTATCGTATCACCCAGAAAAACATCCTCGGTGAAGCTTGCGAGCGCGTGTGTCTCTATGTCTCGAGGATGTGGTTGCACGGCTACTAACCCGTGTGACGGGCTTTTCTCTCCCCATATTGCTAAAGGGGGAATATGTCGAGCCCACGCAAGCTCGACTGGGTGGTCCGCGGGTCTCTGCGGAGTGTTGCGCCAGTGCGACAACCTTGATTCCTCCAGATGCAAACCACCGGATGCACAGGTCATTGGCTATTGGACCCTTGCGCAAAGACATTCGCCTGTTCAGAGACAGTCTGGTAGTTGCAGCTACCCACGAGAAGGACCTGGACTATGTGTATGGGTGTGTTCCAATGGCGGACACTGCGCGGACTGAAGTGAGAATGTCGTCCACTGGTAGCAACAGCTAATGGTGATGCTGCAAGGCAGCACAGTAGCCATCCTGATAGCCAGCAGCGGTCACAGCCATGCATTTCAAATCATCACTTCCAAGGCGCGCGAATCAGTGACTTCAAACTTCAAACTTCACACACGACTACTGCCGCGTGATGACTCTGATGAGTGTAGTCAATCGGTCACAGAGTCCATACGCCACTGCCAGCTCCGTTTGGGAGCGGGAGTGGCAGCAGCTGGCAAGCAAGCAGCAGATAGAGTGGCCATGCACGTTGGCAGGTGGTCGGTTGGTTGGGTGGGCAGAAAAGGGAGGAGAGACGGAGGAAACGCGCAGAGGCACACAGAGAGGGGACTGGCAGACTCCCAGAACAGCCAGCCAGATCTGCATGTGGTCGTAATCAGCTGCAAGCACCAGCAGTGGGATCGGGCAAAGCAAAACACCCACCAGACCAGCCAAGGAAGGCAAGGCAAAGGCAAGGCAAGGAACTGGAGTCAAGGACTGTCATGGCCCAGCCTGTAGGTAACATTGAGAGAAGTATCCTTGCGCTAACAAGGGACGGGGAGGTACTTGTGTGTGCCCGCCCTTGGTGGCCTTCTTCGGCTGGTGATCAACACCCGCGGGCTGCCCAGTCGTCCCAGTGTCCACCAACCAGCCTGGCTTGCAGAGCAGGCTGGCAGCGTAGATAGTGGCATGAGGGAGCCGGCATGTCGGACGAAACACCTCGACTGCATCCCCCACCAGGGGAAAAGAGAGCCTGCCTGCCTGCCCATCATAAAAGGGTGAGGCGTGCCCCTATGCCTTGGTTGGGAGGGTGCAGGTAAAAATTCGAGGATAGGGGACGGCACCAGCCAGGCAGCTGATTGAAGGACTGGTGGGAATGGGAGGGTTCACTGCAATTTGATGATGGGGGTAGACGCTCGGGAGTGATGTGAATGAATCAACAAAAGACCATCGGTTGGATACACCCGAAACCTTGAAGCACGCCTGAACAAAGCTAGCGGCATGCAACTGTAGAGCTGGTTTGAAGACAACGAGGACTTCCACTGCTAGAGGTGTCTTTGCATTGGGGCAGAGAGCACATGACTATACCATATTGAATGCGATTCAAGCGGCACTGAACTTCCGCGGCTTGCCAGTCTGCATTTGCCTCCATCTAGGTAGTCAGAAGTGTCAATGTCGTCGATCTGTTTGGTGGTGAGAGGGGGCGAGCGACTGTGTAATAAAGGATGGATGTCGTAGCGGTCAGCCAGCCAGCCTTCTTGCGCCTGTCCCTGGCATCTTGCTGTCTGTACCAGCATGTGTGCTGATGTTTGATTCATCCCGCATTGTCAAGAACGCTGTCGAAAGAGAACACTTCAGTAGGTAAAAGGGAGGAATTGAGATGACTCTTGATGAAGGGAAATGGTCAGAAAGGAATCATCGAGACAGGAACAGGAGGCATCGAATGTATCTTGGAGAGGTGGAGCTACAGTACGGTACACTGAGCCAAGGTAACAGAGGCAGAGATGGAAGGGCCACGCCGCGCTGCATGTGCGCTGCACTTTCCCCTTTATCATCCTAGCCCCGCCCGTACAGTGTTTTTTTCACTGTGCAAATCCTGCAAGCTGCTGTAGCCCAGCAGTACCCTTCGTCGCTGCCGTACAGTATGCACTCCACCGTCGTTTTAGTGCCTTGTGCAGTTGGAGTCCCTTAGACTGCTTGCAGATCTCCTTAGCCACACAGTCCGCCCAGACAGGCCTCCCTGCACCTGCAGTTGCCTGTCAGCCTGGCGAGCCTCCAGCTGGCTGCTGCCCGCTTTTTGGTGCTGCCCCCCCTCCCTCACACCCGACCTTTGCGCTTTGCCTGGCCGACTCGCACCTCCCTCAGAAATTGGAGAGTGTCTTGGACGTCTGCTCACACAATCACCCGCTTAATCCACCCGCAGTGAAAAGGGCAGTAGGCCAACACTCCCCCCATACAAATTTCCCTCCCTCTCTCTCCTCATACAATCTCCCACCCAAATCGTCCCTCCCATACAAACACCGCCCACACTCAACCTCACCACACTGCCGACTGCGCAGCCAACAATCGTGAGTACCTCTGTTTATATGGCCCTGCACTGCAAACACCAAGTCACTTAGCCGCTACCACTCCCACCGCATCGCATCGCATCGCCTTGTCGCGTTTTCTGCTGCCCACCAAGCGCATTCACTCAGTTGCCTCTGCTTGATTGCATTGGGTTGATTGATTGCATCGTGGCATCCGTCGTCGTTCTGGTGTTCTTGCATCAGTCAGACCTATCTCTATCTACACACCTGCACTTGCACTTCCCTCTTCGTTATCCAACCTTCGCAATTAGAGCCGTTGCCCCGTCCGTCATCATCAACCACCCAAAGTCAACATCCCACTGACGACGATTGAACGCGACAGCTTCATCAACCTCAACACCACACTACGATCTCTCCCAGAATCACCTCAGGTATGCATTTGGGTCTACTTGACACTATTCCGAGCTTCAAACCACGATTTTCGCATGTTGGCGGGCGCAATTGCATTTGCGACAGCCGTGCATCGCGCCCAACAGTCGCTCCCTCAACCGCCCATCACCGCAATCGCGTTTTCCATCACCGCCCCTCCAAAGCGCGTCATCCAACTGGCACCGCAAACCAACACACTACAACGCATTTCTCAGCGACTCTCTGAATCACTTCACCTTGCATATATCACCACATCGCATCCTTTGTCACATATAACACGCACTTGGTCTACCTCACCACCCTACTACACAAAACCACAACCTTTAGTACGCACCAAACTGACATTGCACCTCGCAGAACCCAGTCATCATGCCTAAGGAATCTACCAAGCGCGGTAAGACCGGCAAGGTCGAGAAGTCTAAGCGCGCCAAGAAGGGTAAGCACCATTTCATCCTCCACCTCCATCACGATTCGATTGCATATGCAGCTGGGCCGTTCCAGTCTGTTCTGGTTCGGAATAGTTCAACTCGACGAGTTTGTGCGCCATACAAGAGATCTCGGCTGACCCAATGCCGTAGACCCCAACGCGCCCAAGCGAGGTCTCTCTGCCTACATGTTCTTCGCCAACGAGCAACGTGAGAACGTCCGTGATGAGAACCCTGGTATCTCGTTCGGCCAAGTCGGCAAGATCCTCGGTGAGCGATGGAAGGCCTTGAACGACAAGCAGCGTACCCCGTACGAGGCCAAGGCCGCCACCGACAAGAAGCGATACGAGGACGAGAAGCAAGCCTACCAGGTAAGTGGCCAATGCGCCTACCTCTCCCATCTTTAGTGGTGAATCGCACTGAACTTTGCTAACTAGGACGGACTTGAATAGGCTGCTGCTGAGGAGGAGAGCGAATGATGGAATCATCTCTCTCTGTTTGTCTTCTATCACTCCAAAGATATCACGACGAGATGACTGCGCAGATGGTCTTCTGCTCTGGAGGCTTCAGGCGAAGGTGGCCAGAGGTTTCCTTTTCGTCAATGCGTATGGGTTCGGTCGGTGTTGAAGCACGGGAATAGGACATTATGTTTCGCTTTGCTTTCCATGGATCGACCGCGTCGTCGTCCTGTTCACCAGAGATGAGAGAGCCAGGGAATCTCTAGATCTGATAGCGTTGTCGCACACCATCCAGTCAGTCGGTCATCAGTCTACTTGGGGGGCAATCGACGACAACGCCATGTACAATACCTAAGCCTCGATGCATCAAACTGCGATGCATTATCTCACCCATTCCTACATTACCAACACTCTAGAATTTGTGAAGATGATGTCACATTCAGCAACCAGCAATAATTGATAAGTACCAGTGAGTTAGGACCGTCCCACGTGGGAGGTCAGATGGGAACCCGACGTGCACAAGTTGGGAGATCCGGTCCCGGGGATCTGGGTAGGCAGACCGGGGTCTGACCGTAGAGGGCAAGTGCTGTCGGCACAGGCAGACCGTTCGCCGCCTTCCTTTCTCCATTATCAACCACACAACATTGAACCGATCATCGCCTGGGCATCCTGGGGCAAAGCTGACGCTGCACTGCAATTCTCTTGCTTGCCATGGCGCCGTCCCCATCCAAAATCTGCATCTTAGATGATGCTACTTACTATCCAGTGGCTGAAAGCCTGCTCTTCTTGCTTCTGAATCGAAGTGGCTTGTTCACGACAGCGTCCCAGCTCAACCGGTCACAGAGACAGCTACCCGCGGACATGCACCTTGGACATTCACCAGAGCTACCCGAGGATGACTGCAGGAACCCAGCATTGGCATGGGCCAATACACGCCCACCAAGCCCGCCTCTGCGGGTTCGACATACAGCCCATCGTCACCCGTCTGTCCCCAAGCGTCCGGAGCGGCTCTTCGCTCAATCACAGCTTGGTCTGTACCGGTCATCACGGGTGCGTGTACCCAATTGATACCGAAACGGACACTCGTCTGTTGGTCCCGGCACGCCATCAGTGCGGCGGCAACAAACATCTTCGATTTGCAGCCAGCCAGTCTCGCGCTCTCACTTCCTGCAGACTCGTGCGAAAGCGCTTGCTGTGTCAATTTGCGTTTCACCCGTCTCACTTACCCAATCCGACCCAGTCCAATGTGTTGGATTGAAACATGTAGCACTGGCTGTCTCTCGTGCTTATTAGTGAGAGAGCACAGGTGGAATATGGTGCAACAGCTCATGCGCCTTCTGATTCTTGTATTCGTCTCTTCAGTCCAGATGTTGCTCTGCCTGGCTCCGGGTTACATTACATACATGATGGTACGGGCGAGGCAGCCCATCAGCAGCAGGTATACTCAGGCATGTATCCTCTTCCAGTCTGGTCTCTTCTCGGCTCTGCAGATTGTTTATGCAAGTGTTCCCCTCCTCGGCGCCGTGACTTGCGAGCCAGCACCAGCACTCACTGCCGACTACACCTGATCCGGACCGCGGCCTCGAGCCGTCCAATTATCTGTGCATACGATTCCTCGAAGTCTATGTGCTGGCTTCGTGGCAGACGCTCAGTGAGCCTCGAGTGTGGCGGTCGTGAGGGACCACTATCGCTTTCGAGCTGCCCACACAGGCATATTCCCGAGCTTCCAGCCGAGCGAGGAGATCCCTTCTTATTCTCTTCCGGCCATTAGGTGCTCTGGCTGGAATTGATGCATTTCCTGCGAATAACCTCGGGCGTTTTATCCCCCTCGCAAAGGGTCTTTGTTTTCCCTCAGTCGACGGACACAGCAAAGTAACTTGGCTCTACTTCCCTTCACTCCGTCAAGGGTTACGAGCCGCTCCCTCTGGTTAGACCAGGACTGAAGCGCCCAGCGATACGCCCAGTCCTTCTCATTTCATCTGTCATGTCAAGGTCCTATTCATTCTGGCAACCGCCGCTACCTGCTGTAAATGTGGTGCAAGCCTAGTTGTCGACCTCCTCGCTGGGTTGGCCTACCTCAAAACCCCACCCCCATTGGGCTCTCGCCACGTCAGATGAGCCTCATTTGATGGAGAATTCCCGCGTATCCAACTATTGTTTTGAGCTGTCAGCACGAGCAAAGTCTTCACCTGCCGTTATCTCTTCGGTGCCGTGATCGTTACAACTTTCCCCACACGGCCGCTCTGCCGGCCCATGCGGAGACGTCGCTGATTTCTTAGCAATCATGCCAATGAAATCTGTCTATACTGACGTCGGATTTCGCAGCTAAGAACTTGCATCCTCAGATTGTCCTCAGTCTCGACATCATCAACAATCGCACCGGGCAGCATAACGTCGTTGGCGGCCAGCGGAGGGGAGAATTGCTGGGCATTGACCGAGGAACCACACACTATCAGCGGCCATGGGACCTTAGTACGCCGGACCCACGATGTACCCCATCCAGACCAGGGCAAGGGCTCCTTCTGTCAGGGCACCGGCAGTTCATCCCCTGGGCCCTCAACTACTCAGTGGATGCTACACTGAGGCGGCGCGTGCTGACGACACATCTTTCCGCCTCCATGGCCTGCGAGATGCTCTCGCAGTCGACGGCCGTCCTAACCTTGACGCTCTTAACGCTATCATCGCGGAAATTCGCATGATCGGTGCCCGGCTCCGCTATCTGGCGGATCAGTCACAGGTCCACATGTGGAATTCCAATATAATCGATTATCTCAATGTGATCCTACCATGTCTACAAAAGACTCTATGCGATATCGACGAATTCTACAACGACAAGTCTAAGTCCAAGGATGATCGTTGGAGGAACATGTACTATGTCATGAGCAATGAGCTGCCCGGAACTACGCTCGTGGCGAGATTTATCTTATACAATCAATACCTCAGCCTCCTCCAATTCCTTTTGAACAGGTAAAGGCGCCATATCGCCGAAACTATGTCGTGCAAAACTGACGATCTGCGGTGATAGATCTCCATTCTTTGACTACAATGCCATGGCGTCGCTCCGCCTTCGAATATTCCAACTCCGCGAAGCCAGGCAGATATGTCCGTCAGTCACACCCCGATGCGACCCTCATCAACTCACCTCGCGACGCAGCTCCTCCGAGGATTACGAGCACAGAACTTGTCAGACAAGAAAGTGTAATGGACTTCTGGGGCCAGGAAACTGTTTGTCAGCACGTTCGATGTTCCGGAATACCGCAGTCACTGACCTGATGCAGCGACCTCACTGGGCGGAGGCCATCTTCTCGCAACCATTACCCTCCCGAAGAGTCTTTAAAACCAAGTACAAGTGCGTCATGCCTCCCCTGTGCGGCTGACATTCGAGGAGCTGACACTGTTCAGGTCTGTCGTATGTGGAACTTTATTTGAGCTTGGCCGCCTGCCACCGTTTCAACCCACCATCAGAACTCTAGCCACGAGGTACGTGCCATCTGCTGCCTCATGATCTTTCCTGGGCGTTGGTTCTACCTACCATTTTCTAGCACTTAGTATTTGTTGGGAAGCTGACAGGCTCGTAGATCTTTCAGTAATGACCGAGTATCCGTCATCATACTTCTCGACCCAATTGCCCAGGCTCCGTATTTTCTCGTCCGCACCATAAAAAAAAGGTCGCCATGGGTATCGCTACGTGGTGTTCATGAGCTTTGCATTAATCGAGCAAAGGACTCGCGCTTGGATCTAACGAGATGGAGTAACTCGGAACGCAGGGCGAAGCCCTGGGCCGAGCTGTCCTTCTCGACTTGGGAAGGTCAGTACCTTTTTTGATGGCATTCAGTGAACCTGTCGTTTGTCTGCAGGAGATGGACATGGCTAATCGGACACAGATATGGTATTGTTCTATTGCACCTTCGTCTGCCTCAAGGCTCGCAGTCTGCTCAGAATCAACGTCAAATCGAGCGAGTTCGTCCTTGAGAGAGAGAAACTCTTGTTTCAGGCGTGAGTATTCCGCTACAATATTCGGATACGAAGCACGGGGTATAGCGCTGACTTGAAGGGCAGCAAAATAGTCGATGATCGTTTCTACCATTGTCTGAACGTGTACGAAGATCAAGTCACGAAGGGGGTCCGTCTGCACGCCTGCGTCTGGGACGGCAAATTGCAGCACTGTCCTGTATGGACAGCCTTCAGTTCGTGTTCTCCAACCCACACCTAGTCCCCTTATCCCCGTCTCCCTTACTACCCAACAAACATTCACAACGCCTTGACCCTCTGACTCGCGTTGCAGTACCAGTTGACATCTCAGAGTCATGGGTCCTCCGCAAATCTCGCCATTGCGTCTGGCTCCGCGACATTCAGATTTACACCTTCTGCGACGAATACCGGGACCACCACCAGCGCAAGAACAAGCTCGGCGCCTTCCAGATCCGTTTCTTACAGACAAATGGCGCGCGGAAGTTTCGTGGACTCTTTCGCCCGGACCCCGAACCGACTGTCATCTCGGTGGAGGTCTCGTCGAGTGATGAGGATGAGGGCGAAGACGACGATGCTGCTGCTGGTCCTAGCGGTGGCTGATCACAAGTGATGAGATTGGACAGCCTGTCCCGACTGGTCTCGAAGAGGGGCGGATACTTATCGAAGCGAACAACAGGAGCTTCTGGGTCCCTAGACGATGACGCACTGTTGAGGGATTCACATGATCTCGTGCGGTGCTAGGTCATCGGACCCTCACAGCCAAGCCACGCAACCAAGATTTGACACAGCCAGACATGGACTCAACACCTAATACTCTATCGACACTGCCATACCTGGGGGCTGTGTTCCCACTGGAAGATTTTTCCTATATCGACTATACCGAATTCGCTTCCGTGGATACTCCGCCCATCCCCATGCCCACCTTGTCGGCAAATCAGTGTGCAACTATATCAGCTACATCAGCCGCACGAATACGTACGCTACCACTATGCATGGATGCACCTCAAGACCTTCCAATTAATATAAGGGGCCTATCGCTTTGGCGCCGCACTCACGTACTGGGACCATGGATTCACGATTTACGACGACCACACGAGATTGACGACTACCACGACTACTATTAGCAGCAGATTGCATGATACCCCCCGGCATTCCCAGCGTTTCCTTTCTTATGTTTCTCTTGCTTGGTGTGATGGGTTTTTTGATGTATGTATGGCCAAGAGTCAGTTATAGGGTTGTTTTTTTTTTTTTCTTCTTCTTTTCTTTTTTTCTTTTACAAGAGCGTCGCTGGGTGTATTAGCCAGTATTGAAATCGCAGTCCGGCGAGGGGCTCATACCCTATCCATTGATTACGTGTGGGATAATGAAGCTAGCGAAGGGCGTTGTGGTTTACCGACATGTACTCATGGGACTGATCGTGGATGGATGGCGGGCCTTTGGGAGGGAGATACTGGGGAGGTTGTTTATGTTGTGGGTGTCGAGGTTGCTACGCTCGGTCACCATCCGTATATAAAACCTTGATGGTTCTATACTCAGTCAGTTTGCCACATAAGAGAATAAGGAATGGAAAGCTTGTCCTCGACGTTTTTGGCTCTTCAAATGTGTCGATCGTTTTCGTATTTGGTATTTACTACTTTTCCCCCAGGCTCCGTCACTGATATGTCTGAAATTAGTGTCCCAGCTAGTGCCTGGATACTTTCTGGCTGCTGATCCTCGATACTGTCAAATTATCACTGAAGATTTCTTCTCACAGTATATACCAACCTGTACTGGTCTACTCGAGGTCGGTCTCCGGGAAATACGTCTGCCGATTGACGACCTTGGCGTTGTATGCATCGATGTACACCTTGGTGAAGCTCAAAGACCCGGGCTCGGACATCTCATCTTTCATGGCTCAGTACGAGAACGTCTGTTCGAGTGCCCTTGCTAGCGGAATGTGAAACCCCATCAAGTTACCCCTTTACCAACTTTGGACCAATGATTGGCATATCAGCACTCCAACAGCACCGAGTGCGACGCCGCATGACTCACCGGCGACTTCTCCAACCCAACTACCTACACACCCAACAAACAGGTACATACCCAACAACCGACCACATAAAACCTCAAAGGACCCCATCGCAGACCTATGTCCAGACAACTTCGTACCCTCATGTCCGCCAGCAGCCCAATCATGGCAAACCCAACCTTCACCCTCTCCCGCGCCACCCTCCAAGACATCCCCACCCTCGCCGCAATCGCCGCCCTCGCATTCAAAAACGACACCAACACCCAACTCAAAGCCGCCGCCCAGCCCCCCGGCGCCTTCGAGGCCGGCATGGCCGGCATGGCCGGGGGCCTCAGGCAATGGATCCAGACCCCCGAGCGGTGCGCCGTCCTCAAGGCCGTGAACGACCGCAACAATACAATCGTGGGGTCGGTGCAGTGGGGGTTCCGGGGCGTGCCGGTTGGTCGTACTCATGTTGCCGAGGTCTTAACTGGGCCTGCCAATGATGTTGTTGCCGATGAGGAGGTGTTGGATGGGGGTGAGCATTCGAGGCTTTCACCTGAAAAGCAGCAGATCCAAACCGAACCCACAGCCCGCATAAAAGCCCTCGAAACCATGACAAGCGCCCACCTCGCCGCCTTCCAGCGCCGCATCATGCCCGATGATAACAACACACAATGCATGTACATCGGCGGCGTGACCGTCGACCCGGCGTACCAGGCGCAAGGCGTCGGAACACAGCTCGTGCGCTGGGGCACGGAGCAGGCGGATCGCGCGGGTGTGTTCTGTTGGGTGTGTTCGTCAGAGGGCGGCTGGGGGATGTTTGAGAGGCTGGGGTTTAGGGAGGTGGAGAGGTTGACGGTTGGGTTGGATGAGTGGGCGGTTGGGCCGCCGCCGTCGGGGAAAGGGGAGGGTGAAGAGGAGGGTGAAGGGGATGGGGATGGAACTGGGGATGGTACGGCGCGGGGGAGATGGGGCGAGTATACTTTCCGGTATATGGTTCGGCAGCCTCGGGATACGTAGCTGCGATGGTGGTAGTGTGTCCTGCGGCTGGCCATGTCGTCCAACCCCAAACAGAGAGCTTATGGGTCTGAGCTTATGGCCTTCCCCTTTCCTAGGTATAAGAGGTCTGGTGAGGCCATAATCTACGGAGAGCACCAAGGGCCATACACAAGCCCCTCGTGCATTCATATGATTCTGAGCAGCTTGTAGGAAGAGCAGACGGAATGTGATGAGTCTTCCTGTTCCCAGCAGCATACTGTAAAGAAAATACTTGGGTACTCAGGACTGTTGGTTTTCCAATGGCGCTTAGGTTGTCACAGTCCATCAATCTCGCTTCCACGCCCACCAAAGCTTTTTTCTCGTGTTAATGGCTTGCCATGTCTGGATAACTCACGCCGCAACGACGAAGACCATCCGGCAGTATGTCAATATCAATGTAGCGTGTAAGGAGCCCTGCCAAGTCACTGAGGGATAGGGGTAAGCGTCCAGCACGAGTGTGTCGTTGGAGAGCGAACCTGTGTTTGAACGAATTCTATACGTAATCTCGAATGAACACGGTCATGCTCGTTGGACCCGATATCTGCGAGAGGGTCTGATCATGGCACCGCCTCGCATCTCATAGGGAAACAAGCGCTAGCACATAGACGTAGAACCCGTCGCACACGAACTTTTGCTTCAAAGATTGGTTTCGAGACCAACACACGCCCCTCAGAAAATCCCAGCGAGGCTATAAAAAAATTAAAAAAAGAGCGCCAATAACGCCAGACTACTGGTGTATCCAACCCACGCCAACAAAAGAAACCTCCAGAACTCCAACTTGTCTCAAAATCCAAAACGCTGCATGTCAGCTCCCGGACAGCAAATGCGTCCGCTGATGATCACCCAAACCCACTCATTAACACCCAGCCAGGTCCTATCGACTCGTCCGCGAGTAGTCCGCCGGGTTATAAGCATACCCCCAAGACCCATGACCCTGATTCACATTCGCATTCAAGTTCGAAACCGAGCCCTGCCGCTGCCCCATCGGCTGATGCGACGCCGGCCTCCGCCCGCCGCTCTCAGGCCCATGCTCCTCCAGCGTCTCGCGATGCGTCGGCAGCTCGGCCGCGAAGCCCTTGTGGTCCAGCGCCGGCGAGCCGTATCCCGCACCGCCGCCGAAGCCATTATTGGTCCCGGGGTCCGAGTTATACGACGTGGGCCGCGAGCTGACGCTCATCATCGACGGGCTCGGCTGGCCGTTCGAGTGCGACCATCGCGGCTCGGGTGTGTGCGGCTGCGACTGTGGCTGTGAATAGATCGACGTCGGGGAGTGGGAGTGCTGCCGGCCGTAGGCTTGCTGCGGGATCGTGGGCGAGGGCTGGGGCGGCTGCAGGTGTGGCGAGGATTGCGAGTGCGGGTGCGTGTGGTAGAAGTCGCCCGGGAGCTCGTTGACGAAGTGCTGGGGCACCGGGGAGGGGATTTGTTGGCCCGTGTTGTTGGAGGGGAGTTCGGCGTAGTGTTGGTGGTCTTGGTGCTGTTGCTGCTGCTGCTGCTGCTGCTGCTGCCAATGCGCCGGATACCCCAGGGAGCCAGCCGTGCCCGGACGGCTTTGCTGCTGTTGTAGGTGCTGCGGCTGCATCGATTTCGGTCGCGGGACTTGGTAAGGGATCGACGGGGACATGGGCGGTTGGTAGGGGCTCGCGGGCGACAACTGCGGCGATCGCAGCGCGTCGGTGAGGCCGCCGGTGTAGGTCTTGTCGTTCGGGTTGAAGGTCTTCATCTTGCCGTCCTCGATCATGGCCTGCAGGACCCCGGCGTCGAGCAGCTCGGCCTTCTTGATGATGCGCTGCACCATCTCCCGGCTGGCCGTCTTCATCTGCGACTTGACCAGCCCGACCATGGCGATGTTGCACCGGATCTCGATGTCTTCGCGCAGGTAGAGGCCGTCCTTGGGCGCGCCGAGGGCGGCGAGCCCGATCTCGGCGTGCTCGGGCGGCTCGACGCCCGGCTGGTTGCCGGCGATGCGGTACTTGTTGCGGAGGTCGACGCCCATGGGCACGAGGATGTGACTCTGCAGGCCCCAGGGCAGGTCGTGGAAACAGCCGGTGAAGACCAGCTTGCCGGAGCCGAAGCGACCGAGACCTGGGACATACTGTATGCGCTCGGTGATCTCGTACCAGGTGGAGAAGTACTCGTCGGCGGCCGCATCGCGAGGCGCCTTAATCTGTTTGTGCGACAGGACCAGCGGGTTCAGGGTGATGACCTCGCCGTGGCTGTGGAGGATGTCGATGGCCAGCTGGCGGGGTATGAAGCCCGGGATTGGTGTGCAGACCGTGTACACTTCTTTCTTGCGAAGCATCGTCGCGGATATAGAGGGGGCGGCTATCTTACAAGTTATGTCTACGTCAACCTGGGTATGGCTTGGTTCTTCTTGCGTTCACGCGGAGCAGTAGAAAAGAAGGTGAAGGGTTGTGAAGAGCGTTGGTAGTTCTGCTTTTTCCCGGCGTAAGCCCAGCTAACAGGCAAATTCCATAATTAGCTCGCGGTTTGTCCGTTAGTACGAGGATTGGGGGATGGATGATGCCGGGATGTTCAAGCTGGAGCCTGGGCGTTCAGCACGCAACGGGGAACGCTGTGGTGGGGGGGAATCCCAGCATGCTGATTATATCGAGTCTAGGGATGATGGCAAGGTCCATCAGCCCCCAACATGCATGTGGGCGACGGGCACCGTCACACACACGCAGCCAACTGCCCAACGGCAGATAAAGCGTTGGAACTAGTTGGTTGGCGTTCACAGCCTGTTTGACCTCGTACACCGACCCGGGGGAAGGGGAAGGGCAAAGGACGGCCGGGAGAGCCCACTCTGACACGTGGGGGATGCCCGGTCTAGACGGTGTTCACTGTTCACTGTTCACTGTTCAGACACTCAGCTGACAGGCAGATAAGCGATAAACCGTGGCGAGTCCAACGTCAGCGTTGGAGATGTTTGCTGGTAAGAGTGCTAAGGGACGGCATTGTCTTCAACCGGAACCTAGCCTCTTGGATATAACCACTCCCGAGGTCAATTGACTTTCCGCAACTCGTACCGAAGACTATCCGAGAGATGGCTGCTTGTCCGACGTCACCACCTTACCTTAGACATTCCGGTCGGTTTCAACTTTAACCCAAGGGTTCGGGTCAAGGATCGCTCACCGAACTTGTTAACCTGCTGCGTTGGCCGCCGTTGCATCCACCCATTGCTATCGTCAGCATTAATTAATACCGCGCGATGGATGCAATAGAAAGACTTTTGCAGCAAGGGTCTTCTGATCGGCTATTCTGCTTGCTTTGGAAATAACAATACTAATTGCTGACAGACCCAGTATGTGGAGGGGACTAAGGCAGGCAACACTATCGCTATTTATAAGTCTCTTGGCGGCACACTTATCAGAAGTGTGGAGGACCTCGACTGTCCCTGTCCAACAATGTCACGGACGTCCGGCCCAGCAGCAAGAATTGGCGAATCAGTTTCGCTATCTAGTATCAGACCTTTTGAAAAGAGAACGCATCTGCAATTATCTTCCAGAGCAGCTTCAATACACATATCGGAAGTGTGGATTCTGCAAGAGTCAGTCAGCAAGTCCCAAAACTCACAGGTCGGCGCGCAGCTTACCTCGAAATCCGTCAAGTCGGTGCTGACCTCATCAACCACCGCCGCCTCGTCGGACGTATCAGCAGACGAGGCCCCGGCATCTCTTCTCTTGTTCCGCCATACCAGCAGGAGCCGCAGCGCGAATGCAGCGCAGACCTGCCCAACCGCGCAGCCGAGAATAGTCTTGCAGCCCGTTGGATACGTCGGAGACTCGCTCGCCAGGAACGCGTGCGGGCCCATGACGTTCCCTATGCAGTACGCCATGAACACCACCGCCGTGCCAGTCATGCGCTTCGTGTATCCTCCGAGGTTGGCCGACGGCATCTGCATCGCGACGACGAGCGAAGAGACGAAGCCTCCGACAATGTAGTACGCCATCAGCACGCCGACTCTGTCGCTACGGTCCAGCCGCCACAGCACGCCGATTCCGATGATCGTTGGTATCATGTAGAGCATCATGATTATGGTGCGGCAATTACGGAATCGCGACGCCAGATACGTTCCTGACAGGATGAAAACTACTTGGAAGCCACCCTGGGGGATACCGAGGGCTGTCGTCTCGAGCGGGCTGTGGACGAGACCCTTGATGATGAGTTTTCCAAAGTTGGCGATGCCGCCGTTGATGATCTCGTTCAACAGCGTGAACAAGACCAACAGCCAGATCTGGGGGTCCAAGAGCGCCTCTCTGATCTGGTAAGGCTTGATCTTGTGGTTCAGGATTCCCGTGCGACCCAGCTTGCCCCGGCCGATCAGCGCTGCCTTCTCCTGGGGGCTGAAGCGCTTCGCGGAGATGATGTTATCCGGGAGGAAGAGGAGCAGAACGACACCCCACAGGATCGTGACGCCGCCGCACAAGAGGAAGATGGTCTTCCAGACCGGAAAGGTCTTGATCTGTCCGATGCCGAAGAAGAGGATACCGCCGATCATGGACCCGAATCCATTGCAGCTGTAGAATACCCCAGCGCGGAAGGGCTGGTCCTCTCGCACATACCTGCATCAAGTCAGTAAACTGCGGAGGCTGTAGAGGATATCAAATCAGGGACTGGAGAGGCAGACTCACCACATGGCGACTATCATCATGAAGCAAGGCGTGATGGGAGCTTCGAAAACCCCCAGCAGAAACCGACACGCCGCCAGACCACCAAAGTTGCTACAGGCGGCCGTGGCCATGAGGACGGTGCCCCACGCCATGACACAACCTCCCGACGACCCTAGCCATACGTGTGCGCTGTGCGAGGAAACTCCATGGGTACTCAGCGACGAGGTATGCGATGTAGAAGATGCTGGCAAACCAGGAGTACTGCGTCAGGTTTATGTTGGTGTCGTCGAAGAGGTCGAAGACGGCTGCGTAGCTCATGGCCTGCTTGTCGATGTACTGTAGCAAGTAGGTGCCGGCGAGCAAGGGTATGATCCGGAAATCGACCTTCCGCACCAGACGCTTGATCGACGCCTTGTCGTCGAGCAGCTCCTGCACGTACTCATTGCTGAAGTTGTTCTCCTGGAGGAACACCTCGGCTTCGTCGAGGTCCTGAACGACTTCTATGTCGACCTTTCCTTGCGCGAAGACCGCCTCCTGCCTCTTGTCGTCGTGGGTATCCATCGTTGCGGTTGCGATGTATGTCAGGCAGGATTGACGAGTACTCACAACACAAGGTGCCTGACTTGACACAGAGCCGCTCACAGCCTCTGACCTACATGCTCCTTAATAAGAGGTCTGACACTCGCCTTGCCTATCAACATGACACTTATCGCAGGTCAAGGCGTTGATATCGGAGAACGACTATCGGGGCTTCACCGACGACCGGTGATATAAGTATGGGCGATAATAGTGGGGAGTCAAGCTATTAAAACCAATAGGGGCACGAGTTAATATCATGAGCCACCCGTAATACAACGATTAGCCCGGCCTATAGATAGCAGTATCTCGGAATTAGAGCCGGCCGGCATCAGGTCGGCTTTGCCGAGTCTGCGGCTGATAAGTGCAGCACACAGACCGGCAGAAGCTGGATGAAAGGGGTTACTCGACGACATACAACCAGCCTGTGTATCATCTTGACTGCCAACGGCCGGTACTGAGGAAATAAAGGTTTCGGGGAGCACTCCCATATTGATCATGGCGACGAACGGGGATTCAACGGCCCGGCCCAAGGTCACCATAAACCAGGGCACCGTCGTGGGCATCCAACAGCAGGGAGCCTACCCGCGTCCCATCGATGTTTTCCTGGGAATCCCGTACGCCCTCCCCCCAACAGGGGACCGGCGGTTCCGGAACCCGGAACCAGTGCCCCACTCAACCGAGACCATCGACGCGTCTCGCTTCGGCCCGCGCGCCCCGGCCAAGCAGTTCGTCGTCCGGGGTCCGAAGCTCGAGACCAGCGAGGACTGTCTGACGGCCAACGTCTTCCGGCAGACGTCGCCGGCAGAGGGCAACGGCGCGGGCTCCAAGCTGCTGCCCGTCGCCATATATCTGCACGGCGGCGCCTTCAACAGGGGCAACGCGGCGATGCACGACAGCGCGTCCATGGTCGGCTGGTCCGCGGAGCCGTTCGTCATGGTGTCGTGCGGCTACCGGATAGGGGCGCTGGGGTTCCTGCCGTCGAGCCTGAGTGCCAAGGAGGGCGTGCTGAACTTGGGGCTCAAGGACCAGATCCTTCTCATGGTGTGGGTGCAGGAGAACATCGGGCAGTTCGGCGGCGACAAGAATAACGTCACGCTCATCGGCCTGTCTGCCGGTGCTCACTCGGTATGTTCACTTAATTTCCTAGGTGGATCGGGAAAGATGCGTTTACTGACGACATTGCGCAGATCGGACACCACCTCCTGGACTACGAAGAGGGCAAGAAGCCGCTCTTCCACCGCGTCGTAATGGAGTCCGGCGCGCCCACCTCGCGCGCCGTCCGGCACCACGACGCCGAGATCCACGAGCAGCAATTCAGAGACTTCCTCCGCGCCGCCGGCTGCCCGCCCGACCTCGAGGACTCGGACGTCTTCCCCTTCCTGCGCTCCCTGCCCACGTCTGCGATCGCCGACGCGCAGGTCCAAGTCTTCGACGCCTACAACCCGAGCCTGCGGTGGGCCTTCCAGCCCGTCATCGACGGCACCCTCATCCGCGGGCGCCCCATCGACGGCTGGCGCAGCGGGCGCTGGCACCGCGTGCCGATCATGACGGGGTTCACCGGCAACGAGGGGTCGCTCTACGCGCCGAAGGCCATGGCGACGTCGGCCGAGTTTACGGATTTCTTCCGCAAACTACTACCACAATTAACAGACGAGGACCTCGCCGCTATCGACGCGCTGTACCCGGACCCCGTCACCGTCCCGGACTCGGCCTACAGGGAGGACCGCCAGAGCTTGGGCGTGGGCGACCAGTACAAGCGCATCGAGGCGGCGTACGCGCACTATGCTTACGTCGCCCCCGTGCGCCAGACGGCGCACTTTGTCGGGGCACTCGTGCCGACTTACCTGTACCACTGGGCGGCCTGTAGTAGTGTTGTCGGCGGCGCCAGTCACGGCGACAATATGGCGTACGAGGCGCGCGAGCGGGCTGTGTGTGAAAAATCCGCGACGCAGGCGGAGCTGGCGGGCGTGCTGCATGCGTATGTTACTAATTTATCTGCACGGGGGACCCGAATGCTGTTAAGGCGGAAGGGGTGGTAAAGGGTAGGCCGGACTGGGTGCCGCATCGGGGGGAGGCGGAGCCGATGAAGATGGTGTTCGGAGGGGGGAATGAGGAGTTAGTTGGTGGGGACGTCGGCGAGGCGGCGGTTGTGGTAAAGGATGAGTGGGCGGCGAGGGAGAGTCTGTTTTGGTGGGTTAAGGTTGAGATCTCGCAGCAATAGGGGGAGGCAATGAACAAAAATCATTCGACACTTCGAGGTATCTGATTGATTGATCTGGGTATCCATCGGGCTTTGAATCTGTCCCGAGCACTAAGATTCTATGGATCTGTTGGGTACGGATGGCTCCTGCCATCTAAGCTTAGCGATGGGGGGTTATCGTCTTTGGTTGCTATTCACTGCCATCGACACGACGAGGCAGCGTCATACACGAAAACCTGGGATGAGACCCGGTCCGTGGTGTCGTCTTACTGTATCACGTCGTCGTACGTGGTGTTGTCTTGTCGACTCACAAACGGGTGCCACAAGACGAGATTACGTGACGGAGTCCAGTCTGGGGCATCGTCTGATTGTATTGCGTCGTCGTACGTGGTGTTGTCTGTCGACAATCGGGTTCCCCTTTCCACCGTTGTCTGGAACTGGTCGTTGTGAGCCGGGCGCTGACCTTTCACCGGACGCCAGGATATTCTAGGTGCGCCGCTCACGTTGAACATCGTACTATTACCAGACCTGTTTTTGGACTCTCGGACTGGCACAAGACTGAACTCTCCTCCTTGCAAATAGATAAACCCCGTCGGTGAATGCCGTATGCGCGCTGTAAGTAAGAGGCCGAAAAGCGTAGCCGTGATGTCGACGCGCGTTAGCAGCGCCCAGCCTGGTGTTCTGGTTCTAGGGTTGTCTTGCAGGCAGAACCTCGCGGGCCTTGATTCGGTGTTCGGTCCGGACGGCCTGTCCTGCCGTGCGGCGGTCGGCTGACAACTTTGCGGGCGACGTTGCTTTTGGGGTGATATTGTCGTCGCGGAAAGCCCGTGATGTTCAGGCGGACTGAGGAACGGGCGGGCAAGGGAGGAGGGTTGGAACTTAGCTCAAGCCAGGGTGGGCTCTGCATCATCAGCGAAGCCCATCGCCGCACACTTAACTCATACTACGGTCATCTCATGCTCTGTCTGCCTGGGCCGAATCGTAGCAGCAGAGGTTGAAGCGATCCGGACAGCGACAATCAGGGCGGCTGTGCCAGTTCACAAGACACCACATCCGAAGAACGAACTCTTAATAAAACAACTCAAGCATATAAACTTGACATGCCCTCAAAGCGTTAATAAGGGGGCCTCGGAAAGCCCGAGTTAAGTATAGATCGTATGGTTCTTCCTTTAGTTCGTAGCGACGTACATAGGCGCTCACACTTTTTAACTTCCGCTGTATAGACCCGATCGAAAACAACTTTATGCATGACTGAAGTTTTGCACGACTTGAATTACGATTTGAGCTTTCCAGACACCAGGTCGTGGGAATATTGGTAGTATCCATTCCATGTTCAAAGTCCTGTGTCGTACATATTGGACGAACCCCAAAGTGAATTTCAAGCCCCCAAAATCATAATCACAACCCACAAAATAATTAACACGACGTTTAACGTCGCCTCTAAGCCTAATGCGAGCGCCAAGGCGAGCCTACCCGTGGAGCCCTGATTACTCCTGAGCTTGTCGCTGCCCGACAGCTTGCCCGCCCACTTCTTGGCAAACTCACTTGGGCTCTTGTACTTCTTCTTGAGCTTTCCCGCGTTCTCCTTGAAGTCGTGGTCGTCGCCGTTCTCTTTTGTGTACTCTTGTCGCCAGAGCTGGGCCAGTTCGCTCGTCTCCTGGTTGGACTGGTCGGTCTGCTTGCCGCTGGCGTAGGCGCGGATGGTGTCCAGGCTCAAGAACGGTATGGTGACATAAACCATCTTCAGAATCTCCCTCTCGTCCTCGCTGTCGTTGCCGCTATCGGCCATGACTTCCGTCTCGGTGTTGAGGTTGACCCGGCACTTCTTGAAGGCCTGTGTCGAGCAGTCGCTGTCCCGCCGGAACTTGGCGCTCCTCCGCGCCGTTGGTAGCGCACAGGCTGGCAGGACGATGCACTCCTCGGGGATTTCATCTTCACGTGTGTCTAGAGACCGCCGGCTCGTGGGCGCGGTCCTGGCGGATGCACCATAGCTATGGAGTACATGTAGCCCGATAGCCAGGACACGTGGCCACCTCATATTCCAGGCAGCTGGTAGTGGCGGTCGCACGGAGTAAGGGGGAAGAAAGAAGACCGAAGACTCCGGTTCTCTGGCTGCTGGGCGTACGGAAACTGCCCGTGCGGCAAGATGTCTTGAATGTATCTCGGAGGTCGCGATCGCAAAGATTCTGAATGCTGGGGTTGGCGGTAAGAAAGAGAGGGGACTTAGACTGATCTGGAGAAGTAAACCATGTGGTCTATCAGCGTTGCCGACCACGCTTGTAATAAGTTACCTGAAGGCACCGCAATACCAACGGGGACGACAGGTGACATCACTGAGAGAAATGTTACAGGTTGCAGTTCCTTTGGGGATTGGCAGGAGTGAAAAGACAGTGGGATCTTATCGATTTAGGCAATTGATCGCATGTATTATTATATAAATATATCGGAACTTACCACCATATGTAGGCAGAGGCACCAGCCTCTATATATAGAGGTTTATGGTCCTTCGAGAGAGACGGCGTGCCTCTAGTAGGAACTTCCATCAAGAAACTAGGGGCGCAAGTATAGCCCCTTCGCGACCCTACGTTTCCTCCAAGTCATATACGAGCGACCGTGCTATGTACGCATGAGGCTCAATAAGGGTCCGGGTGTCCTAAGGATTAGAATGCCAAAAGCCCAGAGATAGAGACATCATCAGGCTGTGCGCACTTCATTCCGGGACTGGTGACCTCATGGTAGACAGGGTATCGCATCCATCGCCTAAAGTCGCGAATCCTGTCTAGGTATCTGCGGCGCTATGAGCCAGGCCCGATTACCGAGAAAGTTCTAATATAATGATAAGGAGCACCCGAGTGCTCTAAAGTCAGGCCACGCTAAGTAATACTTCATTCGTGGTGCCGGCGGTATTGTCAGCTGACGCAAAACAGTTTGAGGTATTCACGACCGCCGCAAGCATGCCCCAACCCTTAGGCATTGACAGATGATGACAGATTAGCTTTTGAGATTCAAGTTCACAAGGTATATACAGTGTAAGCCTGTCCACAGAACGGCCAGAAACGAGAATCGTGTGATTACCTCCGCCCATTGCTCCGAGATGCTGCCCAAACGCCCCAGCCGACAAAGGGAAAGAGGTACAGAAGATGCCGATGTTCCACTACTTCGACCACCCCAGGATGTTCATGAGGCTGTTGCGAGGGTCCCCGTACGTGTCGACCAGCAGGTCTCGCTTCCGCGCCGCCTCGACCTCGGGAGTGTTCTGCTGGGCGAAGATGCGGTCCATCTCAGACGAGTCCTTGTTCAACGTGTACGTGACGTACGAGATGACGGCGAATGCGGAAGCGGCGGTGGCTAATATTGACAGAGCCCTATAGTTCTGTCAGTTTAGAGATCATGAAGGAAGGTCGGGAGGTTGGATGGTTGCGGCGGAGACGTACTTGGAGGCTACAGCGCCGGATTTCGGTAGTGCGTGTAATTGGGTAGCGGGCTGGACCCTTGCAGCTGCGTGCATTGTGGTGTGTAAGGCGGGCATATTGGCGATGGTGTGGTGTGATGTTGTTACCGGGTAAGACGTAGGTAACACCGGTGACGGTTGGTAGCCGAGAATGTGTGTGACTTGGAAGTTGAGGGTTTGATTTGGTTGGATGCTGATGTCTGTAGTGAAACACTGAGGCCGTTTCGAGTGAGACAACAAGACCGTACACAGATATAAATCCATTTGGCCATTATGGCGCTGCTTGATTCTGCCCCGGATTCTTTCGCTGGTCACGAGAGTGTGACCGACTGATGGGGTGATTCTCGGGCCACTCCGAAATGCGGTGCTGCAGGTTTGGCAGCGCGTAGGCCCTGGCAGCTCAGGTCCGCGGCGCTGGGATCCTCCTCGCGCGACGGTGGCACCACCGCCAGGGGGGAGAATTGGACCATGAGCCACCACAGGATTGAGGCCCAGGGCAAACATTGTGCCGCCGTCCTGTCATCCCCGATTCGTTTTAGCTGCAAGAGTCCATGTGCTGGAAAAGTTCCATAGCAAGATGACCGACGGATCAAGGGGTCTGACCGTGTTGGATCATAATCGGAATGCTCTTACGAGTTCGTCCTTGGCCTGCTGGCGCCCATCGCCGACATTAGGATTGAGCGCCGCATAGAGCAGTTCGGAAGTGACCTACGCGAAACGAAAGACGGTGTCACTCACAGACTCGAAGCTCACACACGTCATCAGAACGGTTCGTCTTCGGTTCGAATACAGTCTCTACAGTATCTCATTGCGACGACTATCCTGCCAGGTTTCAGCTTCGTACTCTGAATAGGGTTTGGGGGGCCGGTGTTCGTCAACTTCGCATGGCACCGCCCATACCATCTTGCTGTGTGCAACAACTTGTGGACTACTGACTACCCCCTGTGTCAACATCCCCAGGCCAAACGCAGACGAGAAGACTGACGACCTGAGCCGGAGTGGCTGGACGTATAGCATCTGCGGCGAAATGATGTATCAGTAAGGTGCACCATCCTCTGGTAACATTGCGATGCTCATTACTCGCCTGCCACGTATTCCACAGGCAATATCGCCCCCGGGGGTTACCCATCGATTCTTCGGTCGGGCTTCTTACGCTTCGAACACTCTCATCATCAATCACATGCCCGGCCGACCCATTCGGTCGTCTCACAGATACATGCGAGAAGATGTTATTATTGCCACATTCCAGCCTAGAGAAGGACACGCTGCTCCTGGTTTGTGTCTCTTCCCATCTACCCCGGCCGCTATAGACCAGTTCAAGCGCCCATGGCATATGATGGGCTTCCCCGAAGGCGTCCTCGTCGCCATTCAGAAAGTGCACGATGAGTAGGAGCCCGGCCACCAACCAGCTCCAGTTCGAGCTTCAGCACAGACAACCCGAACCAGCCCGCCGGGTTACGGTAGAGACGGTCTCCTAAGGCACAATGAAGGCACAGTCGAACGAGTCTTCACACACATTTGCGACGACGACGAACCTTGCCTCGCACGCTTCGAGTGAGGCACATCGACTATGAAAAGAGCTTGAGGCCGACCAGCTGCAGAACAATGTTGGTCTCGAGAAGGCATCCTGCCAGGATTTGGGCCTTTGCAGAAGTCCTCGGTGTCTTGATCAGCCAGATGGGGGAATGGAATGCACGGGGACATGCTATCAACACTGAATAAGGCTCAATGATTCAGTCATGATGTTGGCCAGGGAGTCCGCTGACTCAATACAGCGTCCATGGTAGGTTGAAGGTTGGCCGACTGTGTGAATGCCGCTTCATTTGCGGCCGGTCGGAACGGATGGGCACTCGGAGGCAGTCAAGGAGGAGGAGCATGGGAAGGCGCATAATTTCGACGATGCTTTCGGTGAATGACGAAGGCGGTCAATACAGGAGCCGTGGGTCTGTCACTCATTCTCAGAGGCCACAATCCCGAACGCGCAGCCCAAGCTGTGAATTACAGGCCAGGAAGATTGCCAATGATGTCTGCTGAGGAGTCTGCAGATTGGCTTCGGATGAGTCCTACATATATATACGGTGGGCCCTTGCTTTGTTCGCACGGCGCCGTTCTGTGACACGGGACGACGATGAGCAACCGTCCATCAGGTGAACAGTCACAGCGCGCCCTGGTATCAGGAAGTTTGCCGACTTAATGCTGCTTCCATGGTACGTTGGAGGTCGGATCTATGACGCCTTAAGAGCCCCTACTACGATTGAGTATGAGATTATGGGCAATGTGGGAGGCTGGGAATAGCTCCATAACTTTACCCTATGTAATGAAGCTGGCTGGGTCGGCGAATGAGCTTGGGAATGCGCATGCTTCATCACGGTGCTTCCGAGCCCCAATGTTTGACACTTGACCAGTAAATGACAACTATGACAGCATGCAGAAACATTGGTCTACGGGAAGGAAAGGTAATGTAAATCTTGCACTCATTGTATGCGTCGAAAAGTTTCCAACTACCAGCATGAGCGGTGAATGACTGGTCGACAAGTGCGTGGAACGTTGTTTGCTACCATGATTGCTGGATTATGGTGTTTCAAGGACTCGAGGATATGTATTTGTTCGCCATCGTGTGACAGAGGGAGAAAGTGACTAGCTATCCAAGAGGTGAATGGCTGCGTCCCGTCATCCGTCGAGTCGATTACGAGTCCATGGAACTACCATTTGAAGATAAATATCAGTATCCGCCCTCGCAGAAGAGGTCTCCTGGGACTCGGCTATAACGCAATTCGACCATTACACAATTCGACCATCCTTCACTCGACGCAGGCCACAGCAAATCACGAACGACTCCCCACACACGCCCACATCATGTCTGTCTCTGACTACACAGACACGACCCAGCGCACTGACCTTACTGTGGTTGACCTCCCCGAAGACTCCGACGCTACCAAAGCCCCTGTGTATATGTACATCCTGAACAACCGCGGCATAGTCCTCCCTGGGTATAAGAGTCAGATAGACGGCGGCGAGAATGGTGTGTTGGTCATAGCCGACCAGAAGGGTGTCGGCCTCAAGTGCCAACGGGCGAAGCCGGATTACGAACGACTGCGATATCATTGGCAGCCAGCTCCTTTGCCGACTTTAAACTTCGATTCAACCGGGCTGCAAGAGCTTGGAGTCACGGAATCGACACGGTCATGAACTTCAGGGATAAAGAGGCCATCAACCAAGCCCATGCAGTCATCTACTGGGATGGGCTGCTCTGGAACTTCGAGGCGGCAGCCTACGAATCCTTGCATGTGAGTTCTAATACCTCATCCTTGCAGGAGATTCCTGGGACAGCGACAGTACACGGCCCAGATCTCTCATCTATGTGAGAAAACACCTTCAAGCGGATCAACTTCGGCCCTATGCTACACGAGACATCACCTGGGTCAAGGTACAAGGCATTATATTTGCCAGTGTCTACCGGCCTTGTGACAACCCACAAGAAGTGAATGACATTCTGGAAGTATGGACTCCACCTTTTGGCTGCGTTATAGCTGGAGATTTCAATGCTGGCGATATATCCTGGGACTCAAGCAATCCAGGATATCATGGTGGTGTCATACTTGCACAGACTATGGCAGATCATGGACTGGATCTGATTTCTGAACCAGATGTTCCAACACATGATGACAGAAATGTACTAGATCTGGTGTTCTCAGATGTCCCCATGGCTGAAGCCTCAGTCAATGATGCACTTCAGTGCACCTCAGATCATGAGACATTACGAATAGTCATTCCAATTCAGGGAGATCGGGACCGAGTTCTTAAGGCCAATCATTGGATAGTACCGGATGATAAACTACAAGAGCTGGCAGACAATGTCCAAACCAGGATTCATGAACTCCCCCGGCTGGGTGTATCCCCTGGCCAGGTGGATACCTTTACACAAAGCTTGATCAATATGATTCAAGGCTGTATCAGGACAGTGGGCAAGAAGCCCCGTCAATCTAGGCCCACTGCTTGGTGGAATGATGACTATAAATCAGCTATTCAGACATACAGAGTCCTTTCCAAACAGACTACAAGTCAAGAAGGGCGGAATTCAGCCCGACGGGAATTTCGTCGCGTGGTTCGCAAAGCTAAGAGAGAGTACTGGCAGACTCTAATCAATTCAGCAACTGAGCCAAAGGACCTATAGAGAATCGTCTCTTGGCACAAGTTATCAGCAGGACTGTGTTCCCTTCCAATCATCATAGGAGACCAAATATTCGAATCACAAGAGAGCAAGGCAAATGCACTACGCTCAGCCACGCTTGAACGAAGTACTTCAGACAACGATATCATCGACCCCTGGTCTGCGCAGATCATACAACCTAAGCCATACATCCCCCTTGAATACCATGTCGGACTGGAAGAGGCTGAAGGGTGCACTCTAGGAACCAAGAGCAACTCCCCGGGAATAGACACCCTCACAGTACGGACTCTGAAAGCTTGCTGGCTGGTCATTGGTGAACATATCAGAGCCCTTTTCCAGACCTGCCTACAGATTAGACACCACCCTAAACCATTCAAAGCAGCTGAGGTGGTGATGATCCCAAAACCAGGAAAGAAAGACTACTGCAATCCCAGGGCCTACAGACCAATATCGCTATTGTCGTGTCTTGGCAAAGGCCTAGAACGATTCATCACAAAAAGAATTACCTGGTTTATTGTCAAACTTAGAATTCTAGCTCCACAACAATTTGGAGCTCTACCAAAGCGCTCTGCCACTGATCTGGTAGCTGCACTCATACACGATATTGAGCAGGCCCTCGATCAAGGCCTTGTTGCAACAGTAGTCACGTCAGATGTGAAAAGGGCCTTTGATGCTGCCCTAATGGGACGGCTGGTGGTTCGCATGAGAGAACAGGGCTGGCCGGGCTTTCTCATAAGATGGGTCCAGTCATTCATGTCCGAGCGGTCCACAAGAGTTCGGTTTGAAGGTATTATGACCGATATAAAAGCTCTCACTTGTGGGCTACCACAAGGCTCACCAGCCTCTCTAATCCTTTATATGCTGTATACCGAGCCAATCTGTGCCCAACTTGGCATGAAAAGAAGACGCTTTGGATATGCAGACAACCTAGCAACTCTCTGTATTGGAAAGAACCTTAAAGAAACAACTACAGAGGCTTCTAAAAATCTTTATTTGCTTAACTAATAGGGACATAATAATGCTATTGAGTTTGACCCCAACAAAACCGAGATCATGCACTTCTCACAGAAAAAGAACTCAGACAACCCTCCAGTCTGCCACAGGACAATAAACAAAATAGCTAAGCATTCTATGCGATAGCTAGGTGTCCTTCTGGATAGAAAACTAAACTTCAAAGTTCATGTTTCTCACTGGGCCAAGAAAGCTAGTAGGGTAGCAAATCACCTTCGAGGACTATGCAACACAGTCAAGGGACTCCCAGTAAAATCAACCAGGAGGGCTGTGAAAGCTCGTGTTATTCCTATTCTTACACACGGCCTAGAGACCTGGTACCCAGGAATCGAAAAAATCAGGAGCTCAGGTGAGACATCAACATGTCACATTAAGGGGCTTCTTGGGACAATAGATGCTGTACTACGAACGGCGATCAGGGCTATCTTGCCAGTCTGGAAAACATACCCTGGGCATATCCTACATTTTGAATCGCAGATTCCCCCAGCTGGCGTTCTTGCAGAGTCAATATGACGACGTCACGGCCTCCGACTAGGACGAATAGACCAGAGACACCCTCTTGTTAGCAGGCTCCAAATACAAGCTCGCAAGGATCCAACAAGGCTACAAAGGAGCTTCCAGCTAGTCCCTGACTTCCAGAGACCAACACTTACCAGGCTATCATGGAAGAAGCCCCCAGTCCGTAAAGACAAAGACAAAGAAACAGAGCTCTTCAAGCAATGGTTACAGGAAAGAAATGTGAACACTGACCTTGTCATCTACTCAGATGGATCACAATTGGTTGACCAAGGTACAACCCGCACTGGATGGGGTTACACCATCAGGAAAGGCAACACTACTCAAGAAGTATACCGGGGAAAGGCTAGACTTCTACAAGCAGAAGTAATAGATGCTGAAGTCTATGGTGCTCTCCAAGGTCTTGCAGCAGCCAGGGCAATTGGACACAGAAAACAGCTATATGTCTGCCTGGACAACACGTCAGTGGTAGATGGGCTCAATGGGACTCCACCCGAGACATCACAGAATATTTTTCTACGATTTCAAGAACTTGCCACAGCACACACTCCTGGAGTGACCGTCAAGTAGATTCCTGGACACAGAGATATTAATGGCAATGAAGCTGCCGACACATTAGCAAAAGAGGGTGCCATGCTGGAAACAGACACAACAAGCCTTCCTACAATCTCTTGGGTCAAAAGAGATCTCAAAAGAAAGGGCAGAAAGGAGTTCAACCAATGGTAGAAAGACCAATCAGAATCTAGGTATCAAGAAGTATACTCACACGCAGTAACTAAAAGAGACCTGATATCTTTTAAGAGGAGTACTTTACACAGACTTCTAGCGGCCAGATCTGGACATGGCGACTTTGCCAGATACCATGAACGCTTTGGGCATACAGACTCAAATGACCATTGCAGTTGTGGTAAGAAAAAAACACCACAACATATTTTCTTTTGTAAGAGACTGGGAAAAAATCGGCTACTGCCTAGGTACTCGCCTAGGACAGCTTGTTTATAATACTTAGGGGAGAGGAGCACAAAATGGGCAAAATTCGTGAAGAAGAGCAAGTTCTTTTCAACAATCTGTCCCCGATAGATAGCTTTTCTCGAAGGACCAGATGGATGACCCCAAGGTCATACCGCCGCAACAACGGGGATGGGCCCGTGAGCGGGACTGACTGTACTTATTATCTTGAGACCTCCACAACCCTGCGATGCAGAGGCTCTGGGAGGCGTGGTTTGCACTACTGAGGAGCTACCCCCCACGTTAAATACAAAACAAACAAACAAACAAACAATCATCCTTGCAGGATCTCTTCCGCACTGGACAAATTACTGAACACCCTTTTCTTGTTAGCCTCTCCAATGGGACCAGATGTTTTGGAATGAAAGTCAAATTATTTGACTGGATTGTTGTATCGGATGCTCATCGGAGTCGCGTCTGCTTGTCGGATTTCCTGTGGCTAAGGGCATGGACGGTTTATCTACCTAGGCAGCTACTCTTCGGGCCTGGTCAACCTTGCGGCGATTGGTGGATACTTCTTTAGGAACTTTTTGGGGATCTCGTTTCTCATAGCGCGTGTAGTTTATGAGATTGGGCTACGTGAAATAATGCGACTTATTATTCAAGTGGTTATCGACATGTGCATTCAGGTGACAGTGTAGAAGGGATGGTGCGTTGAATGCCTTGCCAACAGGCCCCTTTATCTCAGCCAAGGAGGAAGGTGCTTCTCACATAGACGCGTTAGTATTTGTGATTCTTTGCTCAGGCTAAATGGGCCTATGTCTCGGGATCACTCGGAACTGAAGTCCTCATATGACCCTGATGGTCTTAATATCCCTGGCCTACACTGCTCTAGGTAGTAGTCTAATGTACTCCCGCATCTTGTACAATGGTGTTTCAGGGGATATGCTGGAGTTTATCCTCTGTTTCCTCCTGCTCGACATTTCGATGACGCGTCCTTGAATGGTTCTTCCTCCCAAAAGCACCAAGGTATGCTTAGAAGTTAGAACCTGCCGTAATCTGCGAGTCCGACACCACGCCAACATTCTTCACCACGACAGTTTTCCCCGAGGCACTGGTAACACGAACAGCCACAGTCGTCGTTCCAAACCCGCTCTCATTCTGGAAGAAGTTGTACTCCGTGCGCGTCGTCGACTTCCACGTCGAGCCGCCGTCGGTGCTGACCTCGAGCACGGATACAGGCTCATTGGCGTTGACAACCTGCATGGCGAACCAGTACTGCGAGGTTCCGGACTTGTTGTGTAGAACCAAAGGGGTCTTGATGCCGCAGTCAACGAAGGTGTATGATGTCGACAGTGGGTCGCTTGACGATGGTGACAGCTTCTTGAAGGCGTCCTCGAAGAGGTCGAGATGTCCTGCGTCGCACTCGGGACATTGGTCGACGATCTGTACTATGTTAGTGCTCGCTGACTCCACGAGAGTCCCGGAGGAATTGCGGATAGCGCACCATGGCGGTAATGGGATCACCGCTGGGCCCAGTGACCTCAATGCAGGCTCCGCAGTTCGCAGCTGTGGCCCATGCCGACCCCGAGAAAGCGGTGCCGTAGATGCCGGAGGGGAGAGTGTATGTGGAGAAAGAACACATTCCGCCGTTGAGGTTCCCGCCGTAGAATGTGGAAGTTCCGCTGACGGCCGCTGAGGTTCCGCTGACGGCCGCTGAGGTTCCGATGACGGCCGCTGAGGTTCCCGTGACTGCCGCTGAGGTTCGATGAGGGGAGTGATCCTTGACGGGACACGCACAAGCCAACGGCCTCGCCCAGTTTGAAAGGAGTGTAAGTCCAAGGGCCATTGAGACCGACTTCGCCAGTCTGACCAACATCGCTGTGTGGAGATATGTGAAGACGGAGGGGATGTATAGAGCGCTTCGCCCGCTGATTGAGTTGTGCGTAGGAGGTGTTATATTGAGTGGACGATTCGATCTATTAGGAATGACTGGAAGCGAAGGAGTCATTCGAGGAGTACGTGAGTTCTTGTAGTGAAGTTTTGAGAGTGTCAAGCCTGCGTGGCAAACAGCGGCCGGGTGCCGAGCCGCCATTTAACATCATGATCAGGAGTTCTCCTAATCTAAGCAAAACCCATGGCTGCAGATGCCAGAGATTCCGCTTTTCTCCCGAATAACCCAATCAGATATGTTTTCACGTCGGGATGAGTGATCCATTTGATTACTATTGTAGATGAAACAAGCAGGATTTGTCCACCAAGGAAATTGAACATGGGTGTGATTGCCAATTTGCCTAGGAGGCAAGCTGCACCGCAAAATGAACCCGATGCTTTTTCGGCGAAAACATTATTCATCCGTGCTACTACTCGATATAATCCACACTTTATTGTCGGCGGTGTCGAATGTCTCACCTCGCTTGTGTTTTGTGTGGCTTTCTTGAGCATGCTGGTGCAGGAGTGGAAGATAGCTATCATGGCTCGACACAGCTTTGACTGGATGTTCTACCAATATTTCAAGACTTATTTGAATATGCCAGTTCATCGCAAACAATTGTGGGTGCCACCGGCAGTGATTACCAAGCACCGCAGTATTCTTAAGACAAAGACGTTACCGAAGGGCCACCTGCAGGGCAATTATTGGATAACTATCTCACGGACAGGCATCAAAGACCATTGACAATGCGGCCTCTACTTGAATCCGTGAACGACCTTGAGCTTTACCCAGGTGCTTTGAGATGAAAAGCCACAATGTTATATTGGAACCATTAGGTTTGTTTGTTTGTTTGTTTGTTTTGTATTTAACGTGGGGGGTAGCTCCTCAGTAGTGCAAACCACGCCTCCCAGAGCCATTGCATCGCAAGGTTGTAGAGGTGTCAAATTAGATACATTCAGATCCGCGCACGAGCCTATCCTCGCTGTAGCGGTACCAATCTGGAGTGTTCAGATGGTTTTAGTCAATACCCAAGCACGATTCCGTCAGAAAAACCTCCTATCTAGTGACAAAGCGACCCAGTGAACCTCAGTTCTCTGGTGTACATATCGTTCCAGTAGCCGTTCGATATATGTCGCATTGGTGGGTGGAGTAGGTGTTTGTTATCTGCTGGCGAGGGAAACCACAAGGGGGAAAACCTCGCAGGAGTGGGTATTGTGGAGACAAGCTGCTTGGCTATCGGGCTCTGCGATAAAATGGGGCCTCTCCACTGTCGTGTGCTGGTTATCGACTCGCACAAGCCGGGTCAGAAAGGGGGCCATAGCAGGATTCGAACCCACTTGTTCTCGTCGCCCACCGCACAAACGAGAACACAACCAGGCGCATTTGACCATTGCGCCATACGGCCCGGAACCATTAGGTAATTTGTGCTCGAGTGATGAGACCCTGCGCTGCAGAATCTACCACCACCGACTGTTGCGCCACGGCCTGACTTGCATCATGTTGGACCTATACAATCTTCTGCATATATCTCCTCCGTCACTAAGATCGTCTGTGGTGTATACCGTGATAGTATTTCTCTCCGGCCTCCTTTTCGGGGGGTGGTACAGTCGCGCCCCCATAAGCAGTCAAAATGCACCACAGCGAAGCGAAGGTGGAAACGCTCCAACAGCAGCGGAAGCGGCCCGCACGCTGTCGACGATAATCTCACGTTCATGCAGCGCATTTTGCAAATGGCCCAGAGACTGTCAAAAGCATCTAGAGAGAGGCTATTTGTCAAAGCCTTAAAGAAGCGTGCTGTCCGTGACCGAGAGCTTGGGGAAAACTACGGTACTTCCTCACCAAGCCCCACGACTCTCATTCATTCTTCATCGCAGTTATTGCTCACAATTTCTCTCAGTACTCGCGGGGGGCGACTTGGAGCTCATCATGCACGGCGAAAGGGAATTTCCCGAACTCGACGACGAAAACTTTTTGACCGCGCGGGCTGGTTATCAGGACATCAAAGCTTGTTTCAGTACCGACCCATCGCTCCGCAGCAATGGTGTCCTTGGTTTTAGTGGAGGTGGTGTGGTTTCAAAGTACCAACAACTCAACCGGTATGGCGAGCATCAACGATACGTGGCTCTCAAAATGGCCCATGATAAAGGCAAACCCAGCGAGGACCCCCTTGGGAGAGAACTTCAGAGGCATCATACGCTCAGGGGAGCAGAACACATTGCGCAAACTGTGCCTTGGGCCCAGCTGGGGGTTGGAGGCCGCATGATGATCGCCATGGAGTTTCTGGTGAATGGCAGCCTCAAGGGACTAATAGAGGAAATGAACGAAAGGGCCGAGATGGATTTGTTTGATCCGCATATCACTAGGGAAATCCCAAACAGGGTTCTGTGGCGAATCTTCCTATGCCGTAAGTTTGTTGACTGCATCAGGAAATGCTTTGAATAAAACCTGAAACTCATGAGACCCTATCTTCTAGTCACGAGAGCTTGCGTTGTGATGGTGTATCCTCCAGCCGACTTCCAAACCATGCCCGAGTTCACCAATATGTCAATTCGAGAGACCATCAAAGATAAAGCTGAGAGAAGGATCGTGCACTTTGATCTAGACGCAGGAAATGGTTTGTGTTCATCAGACACACTCAACTGAGAAACACAATTATCACACCAGCTGAGATGGCATGAAAGCTAACACTTCGTAGACCGGAGACTTTGGTATCACCACCGAGTTCACCGACGAGGCCAGATACAACAAAGTCGCGTACGTCTTCCATGCAAATGCACGATCCACGCGTTTGTGTCACTAAATTTGACGTGTAGTACGAGACAATCCGAAGAAATAGGCAAGGAGCTCGCTCTATCGAGCTCCAGTAAGTCATTCCAGCCCACACGAGTACTGACTGTCTGGCGCATGTGTCCGCGAAAGCAGCACTTGGTGGTTTGGGCGTCTCGGGCGCACTTGATGCCGCCGTCCCAAACATTCAGAGACCATTGGTAAATGACTTGTGTATCATCGACTAATGAGTTTCATAGGAACAACTCGACGGTCCAGACTCTGTAGATGTCTTCGGATCTCACACCAACATTTGGCAAATAGGAATGGTAGGTTGCGCAAGTTTCTCCAATCGTTGCCAATGGCTAGCATCGAAAAGCATGTACTGGCGGACATAAATTAACTTCTAGGTCATGTTCAACCTTGTGGTACGAGCACACCCCCGCCCGACAAAAGAGGGAGCGAGATGGGTCACCCTCGAGTCCAACGGCCAAAAGCTGGAAACCCACGCCCACTTTATCATCCGGGCCAACAAAATCGCCGCTAGGAAACACGTCCGATGCTTCGACCAGGCCTTACGAGAGCTGATTGCCCGGTGCACGGCAGAAGCGATCGCAAACCGCCCAGGCCTCAAGGAGTTGCTTGCGCTGGTGGGCGCCGGGATCGTTGCAGCTGATAGCAACGCCCAGCTCAGCGGAGACAGGGAGAGCGACGAGGAGATAGGGAGATGGGTGCGTGACTATGTGTTGAGTGCGCAGACGAGATAGGTCAGTATTATCAGAGGCCGCTTATATCACTTCAGATCGCTAATGTTAGGGTTGTTACAGCCCGATGACGAGTACAAGCCCTTCTGGGACGACGACACCAACTGGGAGGAAGAGCATTCGTCCCCAATGACGTCGGTCTCGTCGGCCGTCTCGTCTCCAACAAGTGGAACGGGTAGCAGCAATAGCATGTTTGGAGGCTATGAGAGTAGTATAGACGAGATGGTATTCGCGTAATCAAGATACAGAGCGATTTCTCAGTTTGGGACTGAGACTCACTGTGGAGGGCAGCAAGGTCAGTCAGTCCTAGTGAGGTGTCTATTTACAGCGTTTTTGGCTTTGAGGAGGTACCTGTATTCAGTGCTATTCACTTGAAAGTTATAGAACAATGTCGACTTCCCTTTGGGAAACGCTGGATACTGTAGATAGGGTCACCCGGCGGGGGAAGAGGGGACTGGATTACTCGACTTAAAGAAGATAAATCATCACCTACACTGTATTCTAGATGGTTGAAGTCTCTAAGGTATGCCCAGCACTTGTTCCTTGGCAAAGGACACTCTTGGGCTTGGTTCTCTTGCCGGTTGTCTGCAAAACTTTCCTCAATTTCCTCACGCCATGGAAACCAAGTCATAAGTTAAGCGCTTACGTCGTGAAAATTTCACGTAGTAGGCTAGCCCAGAGTCAATATCCTTATCCGGTTCCTCGCCAGCAAGCTGAAAAACTGGCAAGGACGAGGAGGTGTATACGATAGTCGGGGTTCTAATGAACCATGACTACCTAGCAAAATGGGTAGTACTCCCGCCATAGGGAGCATCTTTCTCCCTTTCTAACCAGTCAGGAAGGCCCTCGTTTCAATTGCCTCAAAACAGCATCCACTCCATGCACTCCCTAGCTGCCAATGTGCGTTCTCCTTATATCTCACTTTTTCCCATCTCTGCCCCAGCCAGTGATGCTAGGTCTGCGTGGACAATCTTCCCCCGCGGTCAGAATGTCATTGCCTGTCAGTACATCGTGAATCTCTACGACGATGCGGAGATGTCTGCGCTCTACACCGCCCTGATCAACTTCAAACCCAAGGCCGAGCACACGTGGACCACCAAGGGCTTCAATGAATCTCCCATTCCTCTTCAACGCGGACTCTCGGTGTTATTCTCTCGAGCCACTCTCAGGTCGACTTTATCCAGCAGGATGCCTTCGTCAGCATCAACTTGTACATTAGCCCGTCTGGTGCCACGTGCGGCAAGTACCGTATCTCCCAGAGTGATCCCACCACCATCTACGTGTATGTTAGCTTCGCTGGTGAGGACATGTGCGTGCTTCCTCGACGCCGCTATCTACGTCGATCACGGCGTAAGTAAACTGTTCCCCAGCCCAGGAACCAGTGTCATACATGCCTTTCGTCCGCCTGGCTTTCCTTGTTTCAGGCACGACTTCCGTCACGGACGATGCGACCACTCTCACCTGTTCCAGAAGCCCCGTTGCCAGCATGTTCCTCGGGAGCAGATTCACGATCACGCGCAAGCTTGTTTCTGGCTCTCAGTGCTGGAAACGACAGCGCGAACGCCGCCTATACTGATCCCCTGCCTCGTCCAAGGGCGCTTGCAATGTTGGTGCCGCCACCTAGGCTGACCGCGTTGTGGCACAACTCGAACTACCGGGCTCTGGTCTATAAAATAGACACGGGTACCTCGCATTCGTTCCACTCACGGATATGGTTTGCCTTTCGGGGTGTTGTTTCCACGGACCCTTTTCAGCTAATAAGGCCAATGGAGGGGGAAACTTCATCGATGAAAGGGGTGGAAGTTAGAAAATACAATCGTAGGCCCAGAGACTCGCAGTCATCGGCATATCTTTGTTGCGCAGAGTCTGGGAATCAACGGAGGTATATTAGTTACAAATAAATGCGGGCGTCCAGACATACAGCTGACCACTTACTCACCTAAATTGCTTCATTGGTCACAGTCTGCACCCCTACCCTCTAACTACAGATTGGCCAAATTGCCCAACCCCATGAACCTAAGCACCCTTTCCACACCAAACATTTCCACAACACACATTCCAGCAAAACCAACCCAACAACTACCAAAAGCCACAGCAGCATCTTCAGAAACCACAGAATCCAGCAACATGCCTCGCACTTACGCGCAAGACGTACAGGCCTCCAGGGCGCCTTCCGGAGGCGAGGCTATACATAAGTCTATAAAGAAGGCTTTTCAAAAGGCTAATGATACCTCGAAGAAGACTGAAGCAGCCAAGTCCGAACAAGCGGCAGCGAGGGGCTCTGATAAATCTGACGATGATATACTCGTTCCTAACATTAAGCACTAAGGCAGCAGACATGTTCGCTGTGTTGGGGTTAGAAGGACTAGGGGGAGAAGTTGGTAGGTAGGGAATGGGGCACACAAACTTGGGGTGTCCGAGGTTTATAATTAGAAGTAAGGGAATCAGATTGATCTACTCGTTGGACTGCAGGAGAATATGTTTTTTTGGCCCCTTGCGGGAGAGAGTGACCTTCTCCCCTAACTACCTGTTTTTCCTCGGGGCTAAGATGGTGGATGTGACTGTGAACCGTGTACAACTAGAAGCCGGACGCCCTCGATTCCAGGGCACGTATAATCTCGCTCCGTAGCAAAGTTGGTCGACGGGGAATTTGCGAAGCTAAACACAATGAATGGTCAAGTATTGACATTGTCTACATATTCTAGTAGTGGCTTGCAGGTCTAAAAGCTGCGCGTCCTTGCTGAGCTCTTGCTCATCGTCGTTAACCTTGCCTTCGCTAGTGGTTCTGGATCTTTTGCGAGAGATTCTTTCCGCGTGAGCCTTTATGATCTGATGAATCATTGCGTTGTTTCGCGTAACGTTTACTGGGTAATCGAGGCCTTCAGTTTTATAGATCCATGTTGCTACGCCGATGAGGGCGAAAGCAACCAGAGGCGAGGCAGTGACGGGTTCGCCTACTGTATTGGCTTTCTTGAAGGCGGTCACGTAATAATGGATGACCATGTCGACAATGAAGTTGTGTTTGAGGCGGTACTGTTTCTCGGGTGGCGTACAAAGAGCCCGTTGTGCTTCTTGATGTCCGACGGGGCAGGCTTGTCGTACCGGTACGAGACCTGGTACTGGGCCAGGTACTGGTGGCACACACAGATGGTGCAGTCGCAGTGGTATGGGATTTCCGGGAAGGAGAATGAAGATGCGTCGTCCATTGAAGACAATGAACAGGCTAGGGTCGCCGATAGGTAGGTAGAGTACCTAGACAGGTCGTCACGTGATGAAGCAGGCTTAGGATGATTCATTGTCAGGAATCCGCCATTAAGGGAAAGAGAGAGAGAGCAGGCACGGCCTGTCAACAATCACACTGGTACCACTGTACATATTGCTTGCTTGTGCTCGGCTTCACCTTTTGCAACTTACCCAGCTGCATTCGTATCACCCCAATCCAGCGACTGCAGATATCCCACGCCGACAGGATTCAACCCATCAGCAAGTACCATGGCGGGTCGAGAAGCTCTGGTGTGGATCGATTGTGAGGTGCGCGCGATGACTCCCAAGCCTTCTTTCTCATGGGCAGATGGCTGACTCATGATTATTAGATGACGGGGCTGGACGTCGACCGCGAAGAGATCATTGAAATCTTCTGCATCATCACCACCGGCACGCTGGATGTGGTCGACAAGGATGGTTGGGGAACGGTGGTGCACCAATCCAAGGAGCGCATGGACATGATGGACGAGTGGTGCACCCGGACACACGAGAAGAGCGGGTTGACGGCGGCCGTGCTGGCGTCGAAGGTGACCCACGAGCAGGCGGCTGACGAGCTTCTCGCCTACATCAAGAAGCACATCCCGGAACGAGGCGCCATCCTTGCTGGGAACAGCGTGCACGCGGATCGCGCGTTTCTCCGGAAAGAACCCTACAAGAAGGTGGTTGACTATCTGCATCACCGAATCCTGGATGTGAGCTCCATCAAGGAGGCGGCACGTCGGTGGTGTCCGAAGAAGATTATCCATAATGCGCCGCATAAGCAGGGTCTTCATCAAGCCAAAGAGGATATCCTCGAAAGCATCGCTGAGGCGCGATACTACAAGGAGGTCATCTTCCCTGCCGACGATTAGTGCATCGAGGTTCAGCTAGACGGGACCCCAGTTTGGACCTCAGGAGGCGGCCGTCAATAAAGCGTCAGGGGCTGGCAGATCTAGACCATTGCCCGGCTGTCAGTCAACCACTAATTTGGGAATAGCTTCATGGTGGCTTGAAGACGTCTTCAACCTCGGCCTTCTTCAACTTGTACAGTAGGAAAATCAATAGAAAAAGCTGTTCGTGCGCCCACCAGATTTGAACATTGAAATGGCGTAGCGAACATTGAAATCATATCCATGTCAAATTGACGTAATCGTGCCAATACTGGCCGGAAGACTTCTCGTGGCGGATTGTTTGGCCCAGAGATGCCCCCGTTTAGGACTCGATACCCGATAAAATGCAGGACGAGTTCGCTATCACTTCTCGCGGCGGCCAGGCTCAGGGGTTGCATCCATAGCGACTTCACACTGTGTAAAGCCCACCCACGGTGACGGGAGTGCACGGTATTCTGTGCGATGAGCACTGTGATATGCTATGGTCTCACATGTGAAATTATGTCACCGTGTCGGTAAAGCAGCTGTAAGAATGATGGTCTGCTAGCACTGTGACAGCCCTGGAGATCCCCTCAAAATCACTGTACGGCCCCACACCGGCGCTCATTATAGGTAGTCTTGCTTGCTAGAACCCCGCGATCCTCCTCGTCCGTGATACTTTATTTTAGCTCACCACCTTTCCTTGAAGCTTGGTTCCTCACTTCTCCAAGCTTTCACCTACCCATTCATTTCTAGAATACTTACTGGTCCTCAATTGACATCCATCATGAGCGTCAAGACAGTCGAGTTCAAGTCGTTTACCGACCAGAAGCCTGGAACGTATGTTGCCGCTGTTGGCTTGCCCGAGCTACCCCGCCGTCTATCACTGGCCATCGTCATATCCCATATTCATAGATCCATCCCCACCACCGCCAGCTCCTCCACGAGACTACGACTTGGGCAGTGCAAATAGTTGACCCGAATCTAGGTCAGGTCTTCGCAAGAAGGTCAAGACCTTCCAGCAGCCTCACTACAGCGAATCCTTCGTCACCAGCATCCTTCTCTCCATCCCCGAAGGCGTCGAGGGTCAGTCAGCAGCGGCCCCTCCCGAGCCTGCGACGATCCCGCTAATGGCTGCTGAACAGGTTCTTTCTTGGTCATTGGTGGTGACGGACGCTTCTGGAACCCCGAGGTTGTCCAATTGATCGCCAAGATCGGTGCTGCATATGGTGTCAAGAAGCTCTTGATCGGACAGAACGGTATCCTGTCTACCCCAGCTGCCAGCCATGTCATTCGCAAGCGAAAGGCTACTGGAGGTATCCTCCTGACTGCCAGTCACAACCCTGGTGGTAAGTCTTTGAAGCCATGTCTGACCACACCGGTTCAGTCACTAACAAGATATCTCACCAGGCCCCAACGAAGACTTCGGCATCAAGTACAACCTGGCGAACGGTGGCCCCGCTCCCGAGAGTGTAACGAACAAGATCTACGAGACGTCCAAGACCCTGACTTCCTACAAGTTGGCCGACATCCCGGATATCGACATCACCACCATCGGCTCCAAGACGTACGGTAGTCTGGAGGTTGAGATCATCGACAGTGTTGCCGACTACATGCAGATGTTGAAGGACATCTTCGACTTCCCCGTCATCAAGAAGTTCTTCACCGACAACCCAGACTTCAAGGTCCTATTCGATGGCTTGCACGGTGTCACTGGTCCTTACGGAACTGCCATATTCGAGGAGGAGCTGGGCCTCAAGGGTTCAACACAAAATTGCGTCCCGTCGCCCGACTTCGGTGGTGGACACCCAGACCCCAACCTGACTTATGCCCATTCCCTAGTTGAAGTGGTGGACAAGAACTCGATCCCCTTCGGTGCTGCTTCTGATGGCGACGGTGACCGCAACATGATCTACGGAGCTGGTGCCTTTGTTTCACCGGGTGACAGTCTGGCCATCATTGCCCACCACGCACAGCTCATCCCCTACTTCAAGAAGCAGGGTGTCTATGGTCTTGCCCGAAGTATGCCGACTTCTGGCGCTGTCGACCTTGTGGCCAAAGCCCAAGGTCTCAGTTGCTACGAGGTACCCACAGGCTGGAAGTTCTTCTGCGCTCTTTTCGACGCTGACAAGCTGAGTATCTGTGGTGAGGAGAGTTTCGGTACTGGTAGCAACCACGTCCGTGAAAAGGATGGTCTCTGGGCCGTTGTCGCTTGGCTCAACATCATTGCTGCCCTAGGAGAGAAGTACCCTGACACAAAACCGAGCATCAAGCAGATCCAGGAAGATTTCTGGAAGACATACGGCCGCGTGTTCTTCACCCGTTACGACTACGAGAATGTCGACTCGGATGGAGCCAACAAGGTTGTCAAGACCCTGAACGATCTGGTTGCCGACCCTGGCTTCAAGGGCAGCAAGGTTGGAGGTAAGTGTGTTGGGTCAACTGGTGAGAGAACACAAGCTAATCAACCCGACCAGAGCGCACCGTAACCGATGCCGGCAACTTCTCATACACCGACCTTGATGGCTCGGTGGCTTCCAACCAGGGTCTCTACGCCTGCTTCTCCAGTGGTAGCCGCATTGTCGTCCGATTGTCAGGTACTGGTTCGTCAGGCGCGACGATCCGCCTGTACATCGAGCAGTTCAGCAAGGACCCATCGACCTACGGCATGGACGCCCAGGACTTTTTGAAAGATGAGATCAAGTTTGCGACGGAGCTTCTGAAGTTCAAGGAGTACGTTGGACGCGATGAGCCTGATGTCAAGACATAGACACAACCACAAGGAAGGATAAGCTCGCACGTGAAGATAGAATAACGTAACATGCAACTCTCACGCCGCGTGTTTGTCTGCATTGCTCCATAGATGATAACGATACCAATGAGATGGACATAAGCAAACTGTATTGGGCGGCCACCTAGACCGGTACATGAGATTGATGCTTTATGTTGCATTTACTCAAACATGCAGGTGGGCCTTGCTCTCAAACGTGTCCTTGGCGACTTTTGCTATACAGGTACTGAGCATGAGTATTCCCCTGTACATGTAATATCCTTCCCAGCACCTCACAATGATGACAACTCTACTTGTTGTGTCAAGCCATCCTAATCAAAAATAGATCTACCAGATTCCAGCCTCCCAGCCAGTTATAGCTTCGAAGTGGATGAAAACTGCTTTCTTGTGCATACTTTAGCTACCACCTGTATATGATCTCACGCGTATTTGAACAGCACTTGTCACCTCCCTGGAAGCTTGACCTCATGTCGCTTGCCTTGCTGCAAGATCATCCATTACGATTAGCCCCCTGTCTGTAATCTCAGAGGCCTCCTGACTTAGAAAGCGAGTTTACTGGAATGAAAAACTTCCCATGTTCTTGAAAAGGCCTGCCAACCTTCGAGCCGAACGGTCTCCTTGGCCAGGGACCATTCACCGATATCAAATTGCTAGGAACAATAGTCAGCCACTCAAATCTTTCTGCGAGAGACTCCTCACCGGTTGAGAGCTAGACGAACCCAAACACAATGGCAATCTCACAATATTCACGTCACAAGGTCGCGTATCACTGCCGCTACCTGCGCGGCTTGATCTACGATTGCGCCGGCAGCCTTGCAGCCATGCTGAACCATCGAATGATTATTGAAGATGAAGGAAGTATTATGAAAGTACGTTGACTCTCAACTGGGCTTGTGGCTACTCCCTGTAGCAGGCCAACAAGTGTAGGCCGTTCCTGACGTCGCCCAGTGGTGGTGCTGCTTGTTGCTGCTAAAACCAGCATCGTCACATTATTCAGAGAACGTCCATGTATTTTTGAATTAGTATCCCATCTCGCTCCCATGGAGTAAAATGGGAGCACTGTGATAACCACGAAATAGTTGCTGGGCTTAAAGGCTGGATCGTTGCCTGGTGATGGCGCTTAGCTGCTTCCACTGCCTTGTATCGCCAGACGTTGGCCATGCTGTGAGTCAGCGCAAGATTTTGAAGCTGACCAACACCTCTTTTCGCCGCTGTCATTGGGCAGTGGTCATGGGCGCTGGTCGTGAAGCCTTGTATCAAGAGATAACATGATAGCCCTCGTTCACAGAGGTAGAAGCATCATGAGAGTAGAACGAGCATTCACGGAAAACTCTAACTCGTATCCGACACCAGAATCGTCCTCATTGGAAATACCTATAGCATGGCGACCGACTATCCCGCCCCATTCATCATTCCGCCCCGTGTCTCTCCCCACAAGCAGACCTTCATCATCCTCCACGGTCGCGGCGCAACAGGTGATAAATTCGGGCCGGTGCTCCTAGACACACCCATTCCACATCTCCCAACCTCTACCGCACCATCACCAGAAGCCGACGACCCATCCGCCACGACCCTCGCCTCAATCTTCCCGCACGCGCGCTTCGTCTTCCCATCCGCCGCCAGGCGCCGCGCCACAGTCTACCGCCGCGCCTACACGCACCAGTGGTTCGACAACTGGAAGCTCGACCCGCCCGCCACGGACCGCGAGGACCTGCAGATCCCCGGGCTGCGCGAGACGACGACGTACCTGCACGGGCTGTTGCGCGACGAGATCGCGCTCGTGCCCGGCGGTGCGGCGAAAGTCGTGCTGGGCGGCCTGAGCCAGGGGTGCGCGGCGGCGCTGACGGCGCTGCTGCTGTGGGACTCCGAGGGCCGCGGGGCGCCGCGCGTTGCAGCGTTCGGCATGTGTGGATGGCTGCCGTATGCGCGGCGGATGAGCGAGCAGGTGGAGATGGATATGGCTCGGGATGGGGTGGGTGGAATGGATGGAGATGACGACTCATTCGATCCGTTCCAGCGGGACGAGCCCGGTGGTGAAGCCACGACTTCAGATGAGGCGACTGAGCCGTTCGCCCTGGCTGTTGGCTGGCTACGTGACGAGCTTGGGGTGGTGGCAAAGGGGACGACTAGCAGCCCGGAGGAGACGGGGCTTCAGACTGTTCCGCTTTGCCTGGGGCATGGCGTACTGGATGATAAGGTCAGTGTCGTCCTCGGGCAGAAGGCTTCGCGATGCTTGACGGAGTTGGGAATAAGGGTGCGCTGGAACGAGTACGAGAGCTTGGCCCACTGGTACTCTGGACCTATGCTGCGTGATATCGTGGACTTCCTACATGCAGAAACGGGGTGAGACCTCGAGGAGCATCAAGCCACGGCGATGTTGTCTCATTGAAGATCAAGGGCTTCATTATACGTCTGCTTCTACACGTACATGATAACCTTCCAGGATTACTCGTGGCTTTCACTAGAACTTTCAAACTACATGCTAGCAGAGGCATTAGCAATATGCATGGTCACTTCATACATGGTCACTTCATATGCCACTCATAACCCAATCACCACTATAAAGTAACACCAACCCACTTCCGACTCCTCGCCCCAAGCCTTCCAACCATCTCCTCCTCAACCCCACGCTCCACAATCCCATTATGATTCCCATTCCCATTCCACCCAACAACTTCCAACCCCCACCGTCGCGCCTCCGCAACAACATCCCGCACCGCATGGCTATAACTTACCGGCCGGACCTTCTCGCCCGTCCCCACGTCCACGAAGCCCGCCTGGCTGATCTTCCCCATGTCGGCGTGCATATTTGTGAGTAAAAGCACGCCGCCCGGCCTCAGGAGCGCCGAGGCCTGCGAGAAGAAGGTGGGGAGGGGGATGTGCTCGAGGACGAGCGTGCTGATGATGCCGTCTGCGTTGCTTGCATTGTCCGGGAGAGCGGACTCCGGCCGGGATTGAGACTGGGTCGTGCTGAGGAGGTCGAAGAGAGCAAAATGCAGCTTCTTATTCCGCCTCTCCCAGCCTTGATCCTGCTCCTCAGCCCTTTTAGTACTGGACGCTGGGGCCCGGAGGCGTGCCCGTGCGACGTCCAGCATGCCCGGACTGGCATCCAGCGCCACGACCTCTTCTGCGCCCGGGACTTTGAGCAGACGCGCCGTGTTGCGGCCGGTCCCGCAGCCTAGATCGACGCGGCGCCAGGGCTTGGGGGAGGTGATGGCGTCGAGGAAGCGCGGGAAAAGCGTGTTCTCCATCTCGGAGTCGTCCATGGCTTGCAGGAAGTTGCCGTCCGTGTCGTAGACGGCGGCCCAGCGGTCGTAGGCTTCTGTTGTGGGGAGGTAGCGAATGGGCGATGAAAGGGGTTCCCCTGCGGTGGCGGGGGTCGAGGCTGTCATTGTGAGGTTTGTCGTGTGTGGAAGAGTTGAAATGGTATTGAATAACGCGGGATCGGTGTTGGTATAGAATATGGAGTTTCTGCATGGGAGGACATGATTGAAATAGGTCGATGGCTGAATGGGAGGTACCTATGGTATTACTTCTTGGCGTTGGCGTTGGCGTTGATGAGTCACAAGGCTCGTGTCGGATGAAGGGCGCGCCTACGAGCATCACACGATGGGTAGGCGAACGCTTTTATACCTTAGTCATGATATTCGGTGTAGCTGTAATAAAGCTTTTAAGTTTTCTGCTGACTTGAGCAAGTCGTTTAGCAGGTCGTTTGGGACCTATAGTTCATATGTCCGACATTCATGTTGGGTTGACCGGGTCGTACCGTACCTACCGGTAGGTACCTAACGGCTCTCTATGTTCACTCAGACGACGATACCTACGGTGGAGGTAGGCAGGTGAGGTCCCAGTCCCAGGCCACTAGTCGACTCGGATCAACTTGAAGTCGCTCCGTGTGGTATAGACCTGTGACAGTCGAGACGTACCGGTATGTTGTTGGTTTGAATCCGTCTTGCGAATACCCCTGACATGCACCTGCAGCCAACGGCTTGACATGTGAACAACCGGCAGATCATCGGCGCACCTCGGTGCATGTGCCTGTCCCTTACCTGCCGACCTTAGCGTCATAGGCCTAGGCGGCTTGGCTGGGGGAATTGCTAGGGGTAGGTTCCTTATCGAGGACGCTAAAATGACAGCATGGATGATCGATAAGGTTAGGAGGTACGTACTACGTAACCAGTCGCGAGCTAATGGGTGGTCGCCTATCGCAGCTCATCAATCTGACCACTGCCTCCCTTCAGCCTCTACCTACTACCTAGGTAAGGCAACCTGTCGTCACCCCTTCTTCTCGTCCTTCAGATGGTTCGCGGCCCAGCTCCAGTCAACTGACTTTGTCAACTAACTTTCTCAACAATTGAGCGCCGACATCTTCTGCACTGCGCGACACCAACACCAACACCCGACTTTCAACCCGAGCGGCACTACTCCATTGATTGATTGTGTAGTAGCATCCCGGACGAAGCTGGGGCTCTCCCTTGATCGAGCGACATCCGAGCTCCAGCAGTAGGGCAGTTCAGATCAACTCTTGAACACATCACACAGACCGGTCGGACCGTGGCGCGAGGCTGGGAAGGCATGATCAAGACGCTCAGGCATACATCGGCTTGAATGCAACCCTTGAACCCCTTCCTGGCCGCTTTCTTCAGACCCGGCAACCCCGTCGCCGCCCAGTGTACACCCGTCCACCACCACATCCTGCTCGTCCCGACCACCGAGTCCCTCCTTACCTCCCGCGAGACCGAAAGCGGCTTACCTCTTCCAGACCTCGTAAGCTCTGAAGAGTTCCTGGGAAGCCATGTGCTGCGCATCCCCGGTCCGGCCACCACTGCGGGAGGGAAGGATGCCGTAGGGAACCTGCGCGACTTGAGGGGCAAGGCGAAGCAATACACCACTTTGAATGGCCGTAGTGTAGTTATCAAAGATGCCTTCGTGTATGGCCACAAGGGTACGTGACCACTTAGATTGCGCGCGCTTTTGGTTTTTGTTCATGGTGAATCTTGCCTGACTTCTACGAGAACAGGCTTCAAGACCGTTGCCCAGTCACAGCTACTACATGACTCCATATGGTACTCCGACACGGTCGAGCCGCGGCAATGGCTGCTCTACATCATATCGCGACCTCTTGTCGGCACCTGGGAGGACATCGAGGTTCCGCACGCCATCTTTAGCGAAGGCATGGCAAAGAGGAAACTCGACCAAGACAGTCAAGCAGCGGCCATCGAGAACGGCGAACCGAGTCTTCCGAGAAAGAAGGAGATCAAGAGCTTCCATGACCTTCTGAACCACTTCCCAATAATCGCACGGCAAATGCATCCTGGGCTGGAGAAGCTATTCAAGGAGTTCACCGTTGTATTCGAAAAACCCTTGCCTCCTCCGCCGTCAGCGTCTCATATACCCGATCCTAAGCCTGAAGGTCCCATCACCACAGCCACGAGGAAAGTTCGCTCCAATAGCGTATCTGCTCGGAGACCCAGTGTCAACGGTCAACATGGGGCTCGCGTGACAGAAAACTTCTTCGCCGAAGATGACGAAGACGTGATGCGGGCTTCCTTTGAGACGGCAGTGACGTCTGCCATTGATCTCTTCCAAAATGTCGACAAGCAGCAGCTCTCAATGCTGGGCGCGACTACGGAACTCACGGGACCTCTGGTTGAACGACTCATTGAGAAATACGTGGCTGAGAATGTGCATAATCTTATCTGGCCTCGGTTAGCTGCTATGAGGAGACCGGATGACTTAGAGCTGGAAGCCAAGATCCGACAAATGGAGTTCATTGACATCTCGCAGTTGGGCATCATGATAGAAGGTGGTCTCAAATCGAAGCATGACCTTACTATCCGACTTGGAGTTGCAGTCGATGACTTCCGCAGGATCTCTTCGGCAACCTGCGCACCGGAGATGATGGAGATCCTACTATCAACCATGAAAGCAGCTACGCAACTGGCCGAACAGCCATGCCCCGGGTCGACATCTGGGCCATCATCGGAAAAGACAGTCCTTACCGTTAACGCTGATACGTTGGTGTCTCTGCTCCTCTTCGTCGTAATACGGGCTGGCGTTAAACACCTACAAGCCCAGCTCGTCTACATGAGACATTTCATCTACATCGATGATGTCGAGAGTGGCGAGATGGGATACGCGCTCAGCACATTCGAAGCTGTGCTCTCATATTTAGATGCTGATTCAAGCAGCCTTAGAAAGGCCAGCCGGCGCAACAAGGCCTTGTGGGACGCAACATCGAAGGGCAATATGGATCAGCTCAAGAAGATGATGGATCCCCATGCTGATGCCGTCGAGGATGACGATGCCGTCGAGGACGATCAACCCAACGATTCTCCAATATCGGGTCGCGCACCGTCTGTCAGTTGGAGTATGTTCAATGGCTCTTCCAGCTCCAGACGGTCTTCCACCACTTTCGCCCCGTCCGAATCATACTCGCAAGGGTCGGGACTGAGTCATGTGTTTCCATTCCAAAGCAAAGACTGGGACGATGTCACCAACCACCCAGTGAAGAGAGTCAAGAAAGTCGCCCTGGACACTAGAAGTATGTCCAGCGGTTCTGAGTATTCTTACCGCTCTAGGGCTGGAAGCATGGTCACCATGAGTAGTGGGCTTGAAGGGGACACGTCGATTGAGCGACTTTGCCAAACTGAAGATTCATTCGGTGAATCAATACCGATGATGGCAATCCAGCATGAAAGACCTGAAGCGCTACGATATCTGCTCTCGCTGCAGGATTTATTCCCCGCGGATGTCATCCTGGGCGACAGAGATAACGATGGCACCAGCCTTCTAAGCGCCGCTGTTCAACTAGGGCACACCGAACTGATCGATATCATTCTCGATTTTGTTACGACGTCAACGTCTGAGCCGCAGTTCCGGGACTACCTCTCGCAGCAAGACACCCGAGGACGAAGCATTGCGCATTACCTATTCCATGCACCCACACTCATCCGCCGCATTGGAAAGCTTCTTCCCTGGAGGCAAAAAGATTTGAACGGCCAGACACCATTATTCGCACTCTGTCGGTCGTACGACCACCAGGACTACTATGACATGGTCCAAGCCGGCCTTGAAGCTGCGGCGGACACGCAGGGAGATGGTCAGCCGCTTCACCTGGACGATCACGTGGATATGAAAGGCAACACGCTTCTGCACATTGTCAGTAGTCCTCAGCTAGCTGTGAAAATTCTGCTGCAGTGTGATGTCGACGTCAATGCCACCAACGATAAGAAGTTTACGGCCTTGATGGTGGCGAGCAAGTATGGCCGCTTTGATATGGTCAGGGCACTTTTCTCCGACCCAAGAGTAGACGTCGCTGCCAAAGAAGCGCGTGGCTTGACAGCGGTGGAACTCGCCAAAGATGATGACGTTCGCAACAAGATAGATGACCTGACACTATTCACCATGGTGCCAGCCGAGGACGGTCGTCTTACTGGAGTGGTCAGGTCTTTCTTCGTGGAAGATGCCACGATCCGGCTCGTTTTGAAGTCTGGCGCACCCGCGGATAACAACAGCTACACAGTGACGACGTGTCGGCGTTCTATGGCTGATTTTGAGCGCCTGGCTAACCTACTATCTGTCGAAAACCCAGCATCGTGGATACCAAAGGTGACGACTGCGCGCTCACCCTTCCAGATTCCGTCGAAGCCCGCACGTGCTGTTCTGAAGGACATGCAAGTACGCACCGACTCGTTTCTCAAGATCATGCTTTCCCATCCCACCTTTGCAACCCATGAGATGCTGTGGGAGTTCTTCCTCGTACCTGATCTTCAAGCAGACATGATGGAACAGCGGAGTCGCCTCAAAGCCGAAACGCGGGTAGAAAAGGTCAGGGACGAACTTGAGCCTCTGTTAGATGTGCGGGAAGTAGAGCAGTTTGTTGATCACGCCCGTGATATGGTCCGCAGCGTCAATTATTCGACCAAGAGTGTAGCGCGAAGGGCCAACGCCATCGGCGTCGTCACAAGTGGCAAGTCTAGTCATTCGATATCGTGTTACTGTGTGCTGACTATTTCCCAGATCTATATGATGCAGGCAGGCTTTTGGCAACCGGAGTCATCGGCCTTACATTCCTGCCACAGAGCCACGTGTCTGCGTTTACGACGTACATCCAGACGCTTGCTCCGCCATACTCTAACCCTCCACAGCTCTTCCATCACGCCTTCCTCGCTCTACAGTCGACCGTGCAGGCCATGCTGACCGCGTTGTCTCGGCCACCTCAGCTTGTCGCTCAGATCACAGCATCTCGGAGGGCCATTGAGCGCAACTACAACTCCGTATCTCGCTCGACGAGGTGGCCACTTGGTCTGTTGGATGAGACACGCCAACGTATGAACGAGGAAAAGGAAGAAAAGGCAAGGAAAACGCAAGTGGAGGTCGACAACCTAGGCAAGGAGCTGCGATATACCCAACAGACAGTGGCAAGCGAGTTGGCCGGGTGGCAAGACATGCACGAACGCATGGGTAGACAGGCGATCAAGGAGTTTGCGAGAGGCATGCTCATCTACGAACGCGAGCGTATGCAAGGGATCAAGAGGGCGCTGAGGAGAGTGCAAGGGGTGCCATCCAGACCATCGCCAACCGTTGGAAGAGGAGAGGTACAAGTGCCCTTTACTGCTGTTGATCCCGAGCAAACCATCCCACGTGTGAATGAAACGGCGGTGGATGGCCCTTCGGCTGGCGAGCCCAGCACCATGGGTGGGACGACTGTCGTAGACGGTCAGCTAGACTAGAGCCCGTTAACCACTGGTAAACGTGGTGAAAGCGGAACGCCATAATGACCAGCCGGATTGAATATATAGCAGACTCTGGCCGCCATAATACTTCTACATCTTCTTTACATCCCAAACGGAGCATCGCCGGGTCACGCATTGGGGTCAAATCGTGTAAAAGATTGCATTCAAGTTGGATGAGGCCCGATCTGCGGTCAGGGACCGGATAATATCCTTATATCTTCACCACTAAACCTACCATGCAAACCTTGCGCACAATCCGCGCGCTCACCACCCCGTGCAGGCCCATCTCACAATTACCTTTTCAGAGAATAAGAACAGCCATTCGAAGTAGTAAGTTATCAGGTCTCGAGGGGTGGCTCTAGGACTTGGCCACGGCCGGCCCGGGCATCGTGTACGTGCCACCGCTACCCCAGAAGTTGTAGGTCAGGCCCGGGTCCGTTCTGGAGTATATGCCTGGGATCTTGACGAGCGGCGAGGGCTGGGCTGTGCCGGTGCCGCCCGTGATGCGGATCTGGGCGCATTCCATGTCTGGGGTTGGGGAGGGGGTGGTTAGTTGGGTTGTTGCATGGGGGATGATGGGGATAGGAATCAGGTGGGAGTGGGAGTGGGAGTAGAGGCTTACAGAACTGTTCATGAGATTAAGATTAGTTGTCTGGGCATAGTAGCAGTTCTCAACATGAGGTTGGGGTTGGGAAGGGTTTACCTGGGGCTTTCCGACATCTGTACCGACGGTAGGTTAGCAAGGATTCATCCAGATACCAACGCGAAGGCCCTGACGGCAGGCAAAACTTACGGTTCTCATGAATGCCGATGTGCTCGCCGCGCAGCAGGTACTCGCCGTCCTCCAGCGTGGTCGGCAGCGTGAACTCCATGGTGTACTTGCCGTAGGTCGGCCAGGCGCCGGTGGTGGTCGGGCTGCCGGTTGGGCCCGATTCCCAGCTGTAGTCGGTACGAAAGGATCAGTCTTCGTTTCTAGCTTCTGGTGCCATATCGTTCTCTCTAACTCTATCTATGTTTTTTCCTCTATACATGTGTGTCTAGTAGACGCATTAGGGGGGGGTAAGATCGGTGCTACTCACACCTTGAACCAGTCGCCCGACCCGTCGTAGTCGCTCACGTTGCCGGGCGCCTTGGACATGTAGAAGAATCCCGGGCCCGGGTGCTCGATGAACTCGCTGTTGAATAGCTTGAGCCCGATCTTGTCGCCGGCTTGCACGTCCTGGTAGGTCGCGGTGGAGCCGGCTACGGCGCCCTTGTTGCAGCGGAGCTCGTTGCTGTAGTTTTGGGTAAAGTTAGGGTTCGGCGTTTCTGGTGGTGGTGGTGGTGGTGGCTTGATTGGGATGGGAGCGGATGGGATGGGATGGGATGGATGGGGAAGGGGGCGATGGGGAAGGGGGCAATGCGGATACTCACGTGTCGATGATCTCGAAGAACGAGGGCATGTAGGTGTTGCTGTTCTTGCGCACGTAGGCGTACTCGCCGCCGACGGCCGCGCCGTTGTGCATGACTGTGTTGGTTGCATGGGTCAGTATCTATTATCCAGTACGTACACACTTTTACGTAGCGCACTTGACTGAAGAGGGAACTGAGAAGAGGGAGGCTTACGGATGTTCAGGATGTAGTGGGAGCTGACCAGGGGGGCGGACAGCAGCGCCACGGCGGCTGTGAGAGTGGAGGACACCATGTTTCGCGAAGACTGAGTAAGACGAGAGAAGTGCAAGATAGAAGCCGGTGGTCAAGAGGATCTGCAATGTCGTCGTCACGAACCAGGCGGACACGAGGACATTATATATGCAATCCAGTCCTGCCTGCGCCTTGCCTACCAGCGCCGCCCCTGAGGTGGAATATATTTACCCCACGATTCGCCTCCGCTCTTACTCTCCTTCCCGCGCTCCTCGCTAGAGTTGACACCTTGGCAATATTGCCGTCGCGATGTGCTGGCGGCAGAGGCCCCCAGGAATTTGGCATCGGGTGTGGGCCGCCCGGCACTGAGGCACTGAGGCACTGGGTTAGGTGTGGTTAAATGGCCGTGGTATTACCATGACCAGGTATAGCCTGATCCTGTATATTTGGCAGGTTGCTGCCAAGCGCAACGTCGCGCGCATGACTGGAACAGCTCCGCCTGGGGAACTGCCGATTGCGCTTGGCATGTGTCGGTCCAGAGTGCAAATTCTATATCAATGAGAAGACCCGGCTGGGCGCGCCGGATTGAGAAATCCACGCACTCGCTGTTTGCTTTTGAGGTCGTCAAGGGATTATGGGAGGAAATATTTGTTGGAAGGTGACGTGAAGGTATTCGGGGAATTTTCATGTCTCTGTGCATACATCCTTACTCATTATATTATGACAATTCCACCGGAGATGTACGATTGTCAATCGAGAGACGATCAGCCACGTCTCATTTGCATGGAAACACTCGTCAACTCGAGCCTGTCGCTGAGTTATTCGCCAAGCTCCCCACAAGGATCGAGCCACTGATCAAACTTGGCTATAACATCTTTTGGGCTTCATTACAGGCAGCTCGGCATTTTATCTCTCACATCCACCTCACTTCTGTTAGGTGGCAGAACTGGGTTGACTGCATTCCAATGTTGGGTGGTCATGATCATAATACACCGAGTGAACTAGCCACGCGTAGGAAATATGCAGGGGTGTCTCTATTCGTACCTGGAGCTGATGATGAATTGGCTCTTCTGCCTGTGACTGTAAAGGAACGATCCTCTATATCCGGCTTCACCTAGGTGTTGGCTAGATGAATCGTGTAACCCTTCCCGATGTGGTGTAACTAGTAGCATTACCTGGGGCGATCGTAAAGAAGGATTGCCCTATCCTTTGTATACGACTGTCAAGGAAGCCGTTTCCCACGCGTTCTGCCAACGCATCTGGACTAAGCGCTCTGTGAAAGCCTTCACGGCCAGTGTAACTTGGACAAGTAAGCCACTACTTCTAAAATCAGAGTCGAATCTTAAGTCTAGGAGCATTTTACTCTGCATCTTGCAGTGAATCGCCTCACCGTTAATTTGACATCCGTACTATTGCAACAGAAGCTCCGGAAGCAGGACGTATATGAGATGGGCACTTGATGCTCATATGCTCACCCTCGTTGTCGACCAGACTCAAGACTTCACACTTCACATGTTGCTCCGTCTCTGTCCCGTCTTCCCTGTACGTGTGCCAGCCGCCTCACTAGCCCTCGTGAACGACCTCTTAGACACTCCAAGACGCATCACAAGATGGCATGGCAGGCTCACCACACCACCCAAATTCTATCATTAGACATCGAGAATTCGCATTGTTTGTATTGCCATCCTATGTGGTATAGTGAAAGCCTTAGCAGGCCATGACTGAGCTGCTGTCGATCTATAAGTGAAGATGTGCGAACAGCGTTCACGGCCCCTCGATCGAAATTTCCAACGCCATGCGTCAGATGAACACGCCTTGTAAATAATGCCACGGATATCAAGCTGTGCACCTGACAGACTGAGCGTCTACACTCTGATATCGACCATGGACACCTCAGTCCCACTGCGAGGCAGCAGAGCGTCTGTTCCTGAAATCTGCCAGTCCTCACGCGGTCCAAGCTGAGGGACGACATCATCACGTCCCGTTCTGGCCAACGCGGGTACCATCGCGGGTCCCTCTGTCCAATGCGCCCAATAGAAGGCTTATGGCATGATGGCAAGCTGATCTGTAATACGGGGCAATACTTCAAATAGCAAATTCTCAGTAGTGAATGGAAAAAAGATCTCCGTCACAGAACCACAAACCAAAGCTCTTCTTTGGGTTTTTGAGACAACTGCACCAACAGCAGCAACAACAAGAGCAAGAACAAGAAGAAGAAAACCCCCGACATCGCCATCGCCATCGCCATCATGGAGTTTCCCGGCCCCGCTTCCTCCGACTCGGCTCCGGCTCCGGCTCCCGGCTCCAGCACCCGGCGCGTGTATCGGCCCATGCGGAGCGCCTGGGGGTCCGGCTCCTTGTCCGGCGCCTACGGCCCCTGCGGCTGCCCCAAGTGTAGGGTCCGCGAAGCCATTGCCGCCGAAGCCGAGGATGCCGCTGCCCTTTCGTCTCCCTCGGCCCCGGCTCCGGCCCACGCCAATTCCTCCTCCGCTGGTGGCTCTGCCGCCGCCGATCGCGCCTTGGTGGCTCCTGCTGCCCTCTCTCCCGTTGCTGGCCCGTCTGCTGCCGCGATTGCTGCCGCCGCCTCTGCTGTAAGTTTTGCTACCTTCCCAGTATAACAACACGATCAGCCGCTGACCTTGTATAGCTCTCCTCTGGTTCTTCTGCCTCATTCGACGCCGCCGCCGACGCCATCTTTGTAAGTACCCCTTGTTATAATATCACTTGATGTACTAACAGGTGCTTAGGCCGATCCTCGATTCGCGCCTGCTGCTCCTCCCCCGTGGGTTGCCGTCGCCGCTGCCTTCACCGCCGCCGACACCTTTCTTCCTGTCGCCCCGCCTATCCGCCTTCCTGTCGCCCTTCCTGCCGTCGTCGCCGCTCCCGGTCCCGGTCCCGCTCCTGCTCGCGCTCCGGCTCCTGCTCGCGCTCCGGCTCCTGCTCGCGCTCCGGCTCCTGCTCGCGCTCCCGCTCCTGCTCGCGCTCCCGCTCCCGTCCCCGCCCAGCAGCAGCAGCAACAGCACCAGCAGCAGCAACCCCCCGGCCCCCAGGCCCAGTGCCCGAGCTGCGGTGTCTGGCGCGCCCGGACGAAGCTGGACCGCCACCGGATCCAGCACCTCCGCCAGTGCCGCGGCTTCGATCGCTGCCACCGAACCTTCGCCACTTGGAAGGAGCTGGGCGAGCACCTGCTCACCCACACCACGCGCGCTGTGCCGCCCTACGCGTGCACCTACGGCAGCTGCGACCGCAGCTACAGCCGCGAGGACACCCTGTCCGACCACATGGGGCAGCACTTGCTGTAGAGGAGGAGAGAGAATCCGCCGATGGCGGATAGGGCGGTGTGGCGGCCGACCCTAGTCCTGAAAGTCTCGGCGCTGGTTTTGTTGTTTGGTTTGGCGTTTCGTTCGGGGTTCTGCGTGCCTGAATAAAATGTGTTTTCCATCCCCAAAGATTTCTTCCTAGTGACTTCGCTTCTGTGAATGATCGACGACATTGATGTGTTGCGGTGCACCATCTCGGCCAGCTGTCTAAGTATCTGTCGGGGCTTCTGTCAGGGCAACTGTCTGGGCCGGCAAGTGACGGAAAGGGGGCAGTGGAATAAGCAGCGTTTCGGTGGTCATTCCAGTCCAAGGACCCTGGAATAGTCGCTTATACCAGGCGGTTATGCCAGTTGATTCGAACACGTTGCTTGACGCCGCCGAGAGAAATGATGTCCTAGCTGGGGGCACCGAGCGCTTCCACATACTAAGTCTCTGCCCAAAGGGAGCGATGTTCATGGTATGTCCCTCATGGCTCAGCCGACTCCCTTGTCATAATACTGAAATCGTACCTGGTTCAAGAGGTCACGTCATGACCTCACACACACCAGAAAGCGGCGCATTCATGGCACGTGAGAAGTTGACACAACACAATACGAGAGACCGCGTAGCAGTGACGAGATCCGATGAAGGAATTCGGGAGGCAGCCCATGCCGAGTCGTGTGTACATCAACGACCAGTCCCACCAGGCGGCTCTGCTGCCGCTTCAGCTATCAGAAGGTGGCAGTGTTTATCCCACTGTCCCGAGAGAGCGGCCAAGTTGAAACGAGTGGTCACTGATAACGGCCACACGTGGCCCCTCAGCCGGCCTTGCGGATGTCATGTGGGTGTAGGGTAGGGCAAGGTGCAGTGGACATGCTATTGCTACCTAGACGGAGAGTTGCACTTTCGTCTGCTGGTGACCAGCTTGAAGTTTGGGTGCGAATTGGGGTTTCGGGGAGAGCAGATACCGCGGGGCTTGGACTTGGGAGTGTGTGGTGAGGTGGTGTGGTGTGGGAGCTTGGAGATACTCGAACTACAGAGTGAGGCGTGACGTTGGACGATTGACGTCGGAGTCACAGTCGCATCATACGCGTCTGCTTCCGCTTCGTGCTATTCGTCTCCGAATTCCCAGCCACCTGGCATTTCGCCACTTCTGTCACCATCTTCGGCAACTTACTGTAGCTCGGCTGCCTCCGCATGAAGCTATGACCGACCGACCGCCATGAAGCACGCCTGTTCGAGTCATAACCACCTCAAAAGCTCAAGTTATAGCTAGGATAGCTGTAGCTTGCTTACACCGACAGATAGTCCATCCGCAAAGCTGCATGATGCAAGCTGCAAGTGCCAGCGTCGCAAGGAAAGATGACTCACTCTGCTAGCCCGGCAGCTCTCAGAAACCCAGAAAACCCAGAGTCCAGATCGATCTGAAACACCACGACCAGATCTACGAATACCCGTCGAAAAAACGCCAAGCCTGAAACGAAACAGTAGCCAGCCGGCGCGGCCAATGGAAGGGGAGCCGGGCGCCAAGACAGACAAGAGCTACATTATACAAAGGCCGGTCGGGGGCTCGACGGCCAATCGACACGGTCGCCAGGAAAACCGTCGACATGTCGCGAGCCGATTGGTCGAAACCCCCATTCGCGCCGCATGAGGAAGATGGGCGAATTGGGCGCGTGCTGGGCTGCCAATCAGAGATCGAGCCTGGGATGCGTCGATTATGCGCGAGTCGCGGCGACGGATAGCCGCTCTGCTTTTATTCTTAGGTAGGGCAGGTGCGGAAAACAGCAGGCGCGAGAGGTCTACGCGCCCACGGAGGCGGCTGTGCAAGTATTCTCGCGCTTCCAGTCATGGAACACACAAGCGACGTCGGAGTTCTGGAATTACCTGAAGGGTTTCGAAGCTCGAATGAAGGGCACTCCTCACACAAGTTCGTATGCCGGGGCCCCGACCGACTACGCAATTTCTACAGCCGCCGCCGCGGGTCCGCAGGTGTACGAGGTAATCCGATATTTCCGTCCTGGCCTACGTGACCCTTCTTCAGCGGCTCCTACAGCGCTTGTACTACCACAGCTCTCCCTGTTGGGGGTTTCGGTGTGGAGGTCCGGCGGTCCCCGGAGGCCGTGTTCACCTCGGTCGGCGCCTGTGTCACCTGACGGTGGGCAGACGCTTCACTGATCAATGACTGGAGGAGCATGTTGTGTGGGGCAACCCGACTCCATTTGTCACCCTCGTTGAAGATTCTGTTCAATCCGGATTATGAATCTGCACATGCTCGCAGGCTACACGGGCAGAACGGGATGCACTGACGAATACGGGCGGACTCACCTGCAATTTCATCTCATACTTCACAAGCAATGATCTGACGTTTCGAGCGCCTCAGACCTGATCAGGGTCCTTGCTTAGAAGGATCAAATCTGCAATAGCCGCCGCGGTTAGTCAGCGGCTACGTCTATTCCGGAGGGTAGCAATGCGGCGCCTGAGCGGTCGCTTGGCCGCTCGGCTTCATCTCAGTTGCCGCTCGCTAATCCCAAGAGCCGAGACCGCCCTTCCACTCTCATACCAAAATAGCTGCGGAGGAGAACACCAAGTCGTCAACTGACACAAGCGCAAGCGCGCAGCGGCAGCTGACAGTTCTGTCTGTCTATCAGGCGAGGGTCCTTGGAGCAGATCTTTCATTCATTCCCTCAATCCGGTCAATCAGTATCGATGGCCGGGAATCGGCGGATCGGACGAAACTGGGCCTGCGACTGGCGCTGATGGACGATGATGATCAAGAGGACTGCCGCTATGCTTAGCAAAAAGAAGAGCGCGGCAAAAGATACCTAATGAGGAGTGTCTCGTCTGCGCGACAGGAACAATTGAGTGAGTGAGTGGGCGACATGCTGCAGTCTTGCTGCACTACACTATCACAGTTGGTAGAGCATTGGTGCGATACAGACAACCTGCACTAACAGAGTGCCATCGCAGGTAAGCAGTCGTGTGTCACGCTCTCGTTCGCCGTGGCAACGCACGACATCTGTCCTCGTGTGTACATTGTGTGTCGTGTTGCAGCAAAGACCGCGTCCATTCACCATCGTCTGTCTTGACCACGTCGCGTCAAATAGCAGATCGCTTCCCAGCCCCCTCTCGCCTCCCCACACCCGCGTTGGCGCTCTGCAGGATACATGCAGAACAACATCCATCCCGGCGCCGGGCTAATGCAGCAAATGCAGGATGTCTGGTCTATTCTCGAGTGACTCATAGACGCTGCATATTCTAGAGTGTCGTAGTCCCACCGTCGACGCCATGGCCGAACGGCTCTCTGCAATTGGGGCGACGTTGTACCCGATGGGAGATCACTGGGCATCGTGTGCCGTGGCGTGTCCATTCACTCAGCAGAACCGGGCTTGTACCAAGACCACCCCAAATGTTCTCGGCTTGACAGGGAGCGTCCCACGCAAGATAGAACCAACCGGCATACCTAGTCTCAACCAGTGATCGAATCGAGAGGAGGAAAGGGTGCACTGTGGTATAGGGCCTGTTGTTGCAGAGTCTCTACCGTATAGACGCCTGCTGGACCCCGACTATACACGGCCTTGCTGCGCCTCCTTTCTGCTGTAGCCGCACACAGCGACAGCGACAGCGACAGACAGCGCCAAGATGCGCTGGTGGGTCAGCTCCACTCACTCAATTTCGGTACGTACCGCCCGCCTTCTTGCCGGTGCGTGTAAGTCAGATCGACCTCGACGTTGAACCTCACCCATCACGGCCCAATACTCTGGCCCCGAGACCTGCCCAGCGGCCGCTCATACGTACATGAAATGGTACATGATACTTGATACTTCTTTCTAGCATCCGAATTCTCGTCCATACCCCATGTTTCAGGTTGGACTGCCTGCATCTGACCTACATCATTCAACCTTTTGATCAAATATGCTGATCCACGTCCGGCCCATCGTGGGCCTAACATCCGTCCCGCGAGGATAAGAGGACCGATATCCTCCTCCCATTCCGGCTTTCATTCTTCAGCCCAGTTCTTCAGTTTCACCCTCAGACCAATACCATCTATTTCTTTTGCATCTTTTTCCTACTTGTTCTCTTAGATCCACCTTAAGGCAGGCCTTCTCTCCCACGACCTTGATTCCCTCTCTTGCTTCACAGCAGAGCCATCTCATCCACCCAGACGTCATCAACATCGTACATACCCGTCGACATCAACAACCTGCCTGCTCGGAGCTGGCCTCCTATTTCCCTCTCATCCAATAATTCATAATCCTCTTGTTCTTGTCTACGCAGACAAGAACACCTACCCTATCCTTCAACATGGCTTCGTGAGTATACCCTCCTCCCGCTGTACCGCATGAGACGAGACCCAGCTTGAGACTAACACCTCTCGATACAGTCTGGCAGCAGACATGTCTTTTGAGTTCATCTTCCCATCATGCGAGCCCGTCACGCCGCCGAGCTTCTCTTTTGACCCGTCTCTGCTCGAGATTCCCTACAATTCCGGGCACGCTCGCACAAACTCGTATGGTTCCATCTACTCCTCCACCGAGACGTCGCCCTCCGACTCGGTCAGCACGCGCAACACCACACCTTCGCGCTCACCACCACCCATCCGCCAGCATGGTCCCATCCTGCTGCCCAAGATCCGCTCCCAGGACCAGGCCATCGCCTCCCCAGCCAAGCGCGTCAAGACCTCGCCTACTCCCACAGCCAGGCCAAGTCGGCAGCAGAGCCGTAAGGGCAGCTTCCGTCCGGCTCACAACCGGAGCTTCACCAACCCTGAGACCCTGAACTTTAACAACTCCTTCTTTGCGCCCACCGAGGACCAGAACTCCTTCACATCCTCGCTGCTATGCTCTCCCATCACATTCGCCCAGGACAGCATGCAACCTCGCCGCGCCTCAAGCGTCGGTCTTGATGGGTCTGCCCTCGAGAAGTACGGTTTCCCCACCTACCGCCAGATGCCCTCCTACGCCCCGGCCATGGCTCAACCGCAGCCTCAGCACCAAGCCGAGCAGTTCATGTACAACTTCACCCCTCGTGCGCCTTCGCCCCTGAGCCTGGCATCAACACCAGACCCAACACCGTCTACCACGCTCATGAACTACCTCACATCCTCCAACCCGGCGCCATCGCTAGTCCGCACAATCTCATTCCCGCTGCGCGACCCCAACACCAAGCACTTCTGGTGGGACGTGCGACAGATCCGGCCCTGGACTGCCTTCAACCTATCCACCATCCTTTCCCTGCCTGGCGCCTCTGGTCTGCTCCACTGCCCAGTACCATCACCCCTTCTCCAACAGCCCTTGGCCAGTAGTGCGCGCCACCCAGAGACGGAAGCCGCGCTGCATAACATCTACGCCAGCTACTACATCCCCAAGCTCAACGCCGCACTAGCTCTCTCATCCACGCGTGCGCTCCAACTCTCCGTCCCCTCCACCCACCCCAGCGCCGCGGCCACCAAACCCTCCTCCTCAGGCGCGTCCCCCAACGACCACTTCATCGTCGTCAACGCGGCGGGCGAGTCCTCGACGGCGGCGGCCATGTTCGGCGGCAAGCCGACGGCGCGCGCCGTCGGGCTGGTCAAGAGCTTCGACCGCTTCAACACGGGCATGCGCGTCGAGGGCAACGTCAAGCGCGTCGAGTACCTGCGCGGGCTGGCGCACCTGCACCACGCCATGCGCGAGCACGGCACGCGATACGGCTTCATCCTCACCGAGATCGAGCTCGTCGTCGTGCGCAACGGCGGTGAGGCCACGCCGCACTTTGGGTACCTCGAGGTCGCCAGTGTGCAGCTCGCCACCTCAACCCAAGGAGAGGACGGAGGAGATGACGAAGAGGGCGAGCTGACGGCTTGTCTGGCGCTTTGGGGTTTGTGCATGATGGCTGCTGATGAGTCGGCACCTCAGGGCCAGGCGGGCTGGAGGGCGGAGATTGGCGCGCCGGCTGAGGGCACGAGGCGCAAGGCGCTGCCGCGCGATGAGTGGATGCCGCAGCCGCAGCTGGCGGAGAAGAGGGAGGCGAAGCGGGCGAGGGGGTGGGTGTCGCCTGAGGATCCCGTGGGCCGGAAGGAGCTGGGTAAGAGGGGGGTGCGGTATGGCGGGTGCTAGGTTTGGGATTCGTTTATTTGTGAGGGGTGTGGCGGCAAGCTGGGCTGGTTCCTGGCTTGTGCTGTTGTTTGTAATGATCATGTTCATGATTGATGAGGTGGTACATTTATTCATTCATTGCATTGGTTTCATGGCTGGCTGGGCGGATGGCAACCATTGGGCTATGATCGGGGACGGGAAAAGGGAGACGGCACTAGCAATAGACATCTTTAATGGTCAATAAACACAAGAACCCTTGAACCGCTTCTCTTGCTGTCTCGGTGCCTGCTTCACTTCTTACTGCTTCGACTCGGTCTTGTGCTCATTGGGAGCTGGTCTCATTCTGTTAACAGCAGCTTTGCGAACAACCAAAGTCTATAAGTTGCCAGACTTGTATCATCACATGCAATCACGTTCAAGCTATGCCCATCCCGTGACACCGGCCCATGGCACCATTGGCATTTCCGGTGGTGCCATCAACCTACTCATTCGAGTGGAGTACTGTATGCTCCGAACGCGGGGAGCGATCACGGCGATGGTTGCATCGCCTGCATGAGGGAGGGACAAGCTGCTGTAAGTAGACACCGAGAACAACAGCTTTGAGGTTAGCTTGCCTGCAGCAGATGCTGCGGTGGAATGGTTGGGCATCACTATCCTGAATACTACCTTACCTAACATATATCCTGGGAGTGTAGCTGTCAAGGTTGTGCGTATCGTAGACGCATTCCACGTCAGGAATTCCGATCCTCACATCACCTCAGTGTACGCTATTCACCATGGCTGAGCCCAGCATCGCCGACGAGGGGAGATCCGCTGCATCTACAAATACAAAAAGAGACCGTGACTCTGCTAACGGTGGGACGACCGGTCCGACGATGTCAGAAAAGGATTCCCGTTTCCGCACACTCGAACTCGTAGATCGGTACATCGACGAACCGCGGAAGTTACGCGTCGTGGTCATCGGCGCCGGGATCGCGGGCGTGGTCGCGGGCGTGCTGCTGCCGGCCAAGGTGCCGGACATCGAGCTCACGATCTTGGAGAAGAACGCGGATGTGGTATGTATTCCCTCGCAACACGTTGCCTCACAAAGACACCACGGCATCTATAACTTAGAACGATGAAAGCACAACAAAAGCTAAACTTCGTGATAGGGCGGCACCTGGTTCGAAAACATATATCCAGGCGTCCGATGCGACATACCCGCACATGTCTACCAATCCAGCTTCGAGCCCAACAGCCAATGGAGCGAGGAATTTGCCCAAGGCGCCGAGATCCTCGCCTACTGGCAGCACGTCGCGCGCAAGCACCGCGTCTACGAGCTCCTGAAGCTCGCGCACCGCGTCGACAGCCTCGACTGGGACGACGCCCATGGGGCGTGGACCGTCGGCGTCACGGACCTTAGCTCCTCAAACTCGAACGACGCAGAGACAAAGTCCACGCTCACGCTCACGGCCGACTTCGTCATCACGGCCAGCGGCCGCTTCAACGCCTGGCAGCTGCCAGACTACCCCGGCATGTCGGAGTTCCAGGGCCTCCTGCGGCACGCCTCAAACTGGGACCCCAATTTCGACCCGGCCGGCAAGCGCGTCGCCGTCATCGGCAACGGCGCGTCCGGGATCCAGCTCGTGGCGAACCTATCGCCCGTCGTCGCGCACCTGGACCACTACGCGCGCAGCCGGACCTGGGTCGCCGCCTCGTTCGCCGGCGACGCGACGTCCACGATCCCCAAGCCGTTTCCGCCAGATCTACTAGACAGCTTCCGCAAAGACCCGAGGGCATACACGCGATGGCGCAAGGGCGTGGAGGATAAGTACTGGCGCGGCGCCGAGTCGTGGCTGCGGGACTCGGAGCGCAACGAGAGCGATCGCGCGGGGTTTGTCGAGTACATGCGCTCGCACCTTGTTATAGCCAGGAAACCGGAACTACTAAAAGAGCTGGTCCCGGACTTCTCGCCGCATTGTCGCAGGCTAACACCTGGACCGGGGTACCTGGAGGCGATCACGAAGGCGAACTGCGATTATGTGCAGATGGGTATCAGGCGATTTACGAAGAACGGCATTGAGACGGTGGATGGACGCCTCAGGGAGGTGGATGCGGTGTTCTGCGCCACTGGGGCGAATGTCGATATGGTGCAGCGGTTTCCGGTCCGCGCGAGGGGACGGGAGCTGGGCGGGCTGTGGGGGAAGGGAGGGGAGTTGGGGTTTCCTTATACTTATCTTGGGGCGGCGACGCCTGGATTTCCTAATTTGTTGTTTCTACGTAAGTGGTGTTCCTGTACTGTGTCATTACTACCCATGCACTCACCCCCGAAAGAAAGGGGGAAGCAAATCACTGACTCCAGACCTGATCCCAGACGGCCCCAACGCCTCCGGCCGCTCCGGCAGCGTCCCCCACGCCATCGAGTCCCAGATAACCTTCTTCGCCAAGATACTGCGCAAGGCCTCACGCGAGGGCATCAGGGCGATGCAGCCTTCCACAAACGCCGCCGACGACTTCGTCGAGTACTGCGACACCTTCTTCAAGACGACGGTGCTGTCCGAGAACTGCAGCTCGTGGTACAACAGCGCCACGCCGGGGGGTCGGATCCATGGGCTCTGGCCCGGGAGCGGTGCGCATCTGGGTATTATTCAGAGGGAACCAAGGTGGGAGGACTGGGAGTATGAGTATTTGGATGAAGGTGGTGAGGGTGAAGGGGGTGGAAAGACTAATCGGTTCATGTGGTATTTTGGACGTGGGGCTACGCGCAAGGAACAAGATGGGGACGCGGATATGACGCCTTATCTTAAGGATCTAGAAGATATCGATTTGAGGGCGTTGCATGAGGGTTGGTGGGACATTCCCTAGTTCAAGAGGGCTATCACATATTCTACAACTATATTCTACGTGGATTGGAGGCTTATGACGGTGAATAAAAACCTATTGTTTCAGTTATATGGGGGCATCACATGAGTTCATCCCAGCTCGCATCTAGGAGGGCAAAATACAAGCACAGATGCTGTATGCCTGTCGAGTTGCATCGGTCAGGATATTTATTATTAGGCAACTCATTCAAGATGTCCGTAAAGGCGACCCTGTGCCCCTGGTGTTCAGCTGGGCATTGCTTGGTGATCTTGGCCAGTTTAGAAGTGTTTAAAGACCAACACAGCGGCGCAGGGTGCGGGCGGCAAGGGTTCGTCGCCATAGTGTGACGTCTCCTTCGCTGACACAAAATTAACATGAGTTTCCTCGACGCAACTGCGTGGTCGGGACCAAGGAAAAGGCCAATCACCGACTGCGTATCTGCATCTCAAACAGGACCGAATCTGTTGGCGGCCATGGAAAGCCGATATTCCCGATACTTAGCCACCTCTATGTCTGCTGAAGACTTGCTTACGGTCTTGGATGGGAAGCTTGACTGTGACACTCAGTCTTCTTTCCCAGAACTGAGGAAGGGGCACTGAACAACCACATCTACATCGAATGACCATGTCCAACCTCCTGGGTGCCCTGACGACAACATTCACGCCGCCTTCAGATTGCGCCGCCAGTACAGGCATATATGTTTTCCCATGCGGAGTCTCGTGCGGGTACTGACTTCAAGGACCTATACCGACATCAGAATGCTATCCAGATGACTACTCGCCCAGTGTAAAACACTACTACAGCCCTGGGATATGCCCCTCGGGCTACATAGCTGCTTGCACCAGCCTCAACTCCGTGGCTACGTTGACCGAGACTGTGTATACATGTTGTCCGACGTAATTAGCCACTCTCCAGTCTCTATCAATAGTTACCGGATCATTGTTTGCTGACACCTCATAGACAATACAACTTTGACTGCGCGCCGAACTCCCTCGCCTGGCAGAGCACCCAAGCCTATGGTGTTAACATGGATAACGGCCTCTACGCCTTCCCGAGCATCAACCCCATCAATACCGACGGGCAGATGCACATCGTCTCTACTGCTAGGACTTCGGTGGGGATCGGCGCGTATGGGGTTGAAGTACGCTTTCAGGCGACGGACTTTGCGGGTGCTACAAGCAATGCAGCACCGGCAGGACAGGCAAGGCAACTCCCAGTATGGCCTTGATGAGTCAATTGCTAAGACTCATGGCGCTAGGTCACGCCATCTCAAAACTCAGCCATATCAGCGACAACTTCCCAGACTTCGACAACCAGCACCGCCGTACCCTCATATGACGGTGCAAAAGGCAGTGGACAGATCAACACAGGGAGAGCCATCGGAGTAGGCATTGCGTCAGCCGCGGTCTTAGTACTGATTGGTTTCGGCGCGTTCTTTCTCTGGCGACGGAGGCGTGCCAAGAATAATGTGGTCCAGATTCCTAATGTGCCGGACTCGAGTTCGGTCCTCAAACACCAGCCTGTGCTGGGGATCCCGGAGTTTCCAGAACAGTGCCTTCCTCATCAACTACCCACGGCCAATTACCATGAGAGACACGAACTAGATCATCAATATAATGGTCACGCTGCGCCTGGCGGGAACGTGTATGAGATAGAGGCTAGTGGGCGTTGACTTAGAGGGACTCTACACATGTGGAACATGGCAAGTTGAGGCAATGGGCTGGACGAAAGTACGGCTAGGAGCTATTGTGATATCGGGACTTTGAGGGATCCGTCTGGTGATCCTCTTAAGAATGTGTGTTGAGCATTCTAACGGTATTTCGCTTGTGGCTGTTTAGGAGGCAGAGAGATCAGGAGGCATCCGACGGGATGATGGCGTTTAAGACCGTATCACCGTGTCAATCTGAGCCGCCATGTCCAACGCGAACTGATAAAAATACTATATGAACGTGGTGAACAGGCCGTCTGGTACCCAAAGCATTGCAGTCGTAACTGTCCGCAGACTTCCACTGAGGCGAACCCGCTCAAGGCTCACGCTCGAGTGAATATTCAAGCGATGCTGCCCTCTAACGTACTAATTTACACTACCAGCATTCAGTCAAGTATCCCGGTTGCGGCACGGCGATCACGGGTGCACGATTGCGTGCTTTGCAAGGTTTGGCTCGCAACAAAACAACTCCCGGTAATCGCCCGTGATAATGCACATGTCATGATGCGAAAAGATTGATTGGACAGAGGCGCATGGCGATGTCGTCCACAGCGAGTCACACCTTATGCGGCAGTCTTCGTGGTACAAATCTCAATCATCATATTCTTTTGAGCACAGTCGACCGTTTCTATCGAGCTGATCAGAATACGCGGGTAGGATTACTCAGTATCAACCATGGCCCTGTCTCAAGTTGTGAATGATGGCTCGCCAACTCCTGAGGAGCGGAACTACCCAGGTACGTCCCATGCCTCAATATCACTTTCGTTTGACTTCAGAAGCTCATGTGAACAGTGAGATGGTACCGGTCGACGGGTTTCAACATGACCATCCTGGGCCTATGCAACCTAGCAGCGCCCGGGATCTGGGGTGCGATGAACTCTCTCGGTGCTGGAGGAGCACAATCCCCTGGGCTGGTCAACGCAGCCAACGCGCTGACGTTCAGCCTCATGGTTGTCTCGTGCTACTTCACGAGCGCCATCATACACTACATCGGGGTGAAGAACACATTGATCATCGGAACGTGAGCCGTCTTTGCTCCTTCATGTCTTCGGTAAATTACCAACCTGACCACGATGACCACATGTCTAGAATTGGCTATGCGCCATACGCCGCCGGCCTGTACACGAACAACCGGTACGGCGTCGAATGGCTGGTCCTGCTCGGCGCAGCCCTATGTGGGATATCCGCCGGGATATTCTGGGCCACGGAGGCCGCGGTCGCCATTGCCTATCCGGAACCATGGAACAAAGGACGGGCGCTAGGGTGGTGGTTGACGTTCCGGCTCGTGGGACAGACAATCGGAGGTGCTATCAACCTCAGACTCAATGCGGATCGGGACGAAGCTGGAAAGGTGTCTTATACGGTCTTTTTGGTGTTCATCGCGCTGCAAGCGTCGGGGCCGTTCGTTGCGCTCTTCCTCACGAAGCCGTCGAAAGTTGAGCGGCGCGATGGGAAGAAAGTCGGTCTTGCTATTGCTGGTAGGCCCTGGCACGAGATCAAGATGACGACGAAGAACCTCCTCCGGCCGGAGTTCTTGTTGGTGCTGCTGTGGATCGGGCAGACTGTCTTTGCCGAGGCCGTGTTCTTCACCTACCTGGCTCGTACGTTGTATACTCCCAGTCCACAACGCGTTTCTGGCGGCTGATATGTGCTCAAAGTGTGGTTCTCCGTTCGTGCAAGGGCACTGGGCTCGTTCCTGGCCGGTGTCATTGGAATGGTTGTGGGTAACGGAGTAGGGGTAAGTTGTGATCTTGGGATGAGTTTGTGCTTCTGTTGCTGACATCAATGGACTTTGGTAGGCTTGGCTGGACCATTCCCGGGTCTCCATCAAGCTGCGCGCTCGCTCGACATTCGTCTCCATCGTCGTGATGTCCGGAGCATGGTGGTTATGGGCTACTGTACTGGCCACACGTTTCCGCGTCACGCAGCCAACCTACGACTGGTCCACCCCAGGCTTTGGGACGGCGTTTGCTGTCTATGTCCTGCTTAACGTCACGTTCCAGGCCAATTACCTGTTCCTGTGAGCCACCTTATAAAAACCTTTGTGACGGAGAGGCGAAGTTACTGACTTCAAGCATAGCTACTTCATCATAGCACATATCGCGAAGGGCGAGCCCGAGATAGTGCGATTCGCGGCTCTTTTACGAGGCACGGAGTCAGCCTGGCAAGCGATCAGTTATGGACTTTCTTCCGTGACGGTATTTGCAGAGGTTGGCGCCATATACATCAACCTGGGGCTATGGGCACTGTCAATCTATCCGGCATGGCTTGTAATCAGGCACATTGGAGCTGAGGCAGGCAGCGATGAACGCCAACTGCCAAGCAAGACAGAAGATGGCATTGGGGAGGCTTCCGAGCACAAGGCACTCTGAACCATGGTCTGCGAGGTCATCAGTGAATTTTGGTGTTTGGGCAGACTCAGTTGCTTGGGGTGCTCAGGGCAAGGTCTGACGGATGAGAGAGTCTCGTTTAGTTGAGCATGCAATATCCCGAATCGAAGACCGGGCATATACCTCTGGAATGTACCAGCGGCGAGCATGACCTCTTTGCGGGGAGATAACGTGAAATTATAAGTTAGGACTCGGAGCTGCAGGGTACGGGCCGATGCCTGTTTCTCGACGCCGGCGGCCGAGGCTCCCTATCTCTGACAGGGTTGTTGACCCCTGACAAACAAAGAGAAGCCATGCAGGCCATGCCCACTCGGGAAGTAAAAGCGCGAGTCGTTCGCGCTAAAGTGGCGGCGAGAAGCGTGATGACATGGATGACGTCCAGCGCTGATAAGGAAACCTCGGCCCCTTGCACTATCTCATCGCCTGCACCCACATCCACAACACAACACCCCGACATCTTGTCTGCTTGTACTCGATGCAGGAACCAATACCGGTACCTGCGCCAACCAACAAGATGTCGGTGACCTCCGGCTTACACAGCGGGGAAAGCTGTCGGGGTGTCAGGGTGTATTCAAGATGCGCCGCAAGGTTGCATTTGTAGCTCGTGGCATATAGTTCGCCCCGTCCCCCGGGTTGTTGCTTGGTGGTTTGGCTCTCTTCCCTCCAATCTCACAGGCACGCCACGGCTTCTCATCTTCCGTTTCTGCTCCTGCTTCCGTCTCGTCAATATGCGCGCCTTTGGATCTATCGCAGTCATGGCGACGCTGCTCGCTGCCAATGCCTACGCAAGTCTTGTTGTACCCGCGAAAGTGGAAGAAAGAGCTTTGGAATGGGTCATCAAGCCGAAGATGTTCATCATAAGCATGTTCGGTATGTAAATGTGACAAGACATGAGCGATATGGTGGATGGGGGGATGAGGGCTGACTAGATCTCGACCCAGGACCGGAAGCCGAAGCTTGGTACGGCATACCCGAGTTCGACATCCTAGCCATCAACATCACCGTGCCTGGCTTCTCCCCGCTGTACCCCGATGCGCACTGCACGGCGAACGGCGACGTGTGTCAGCTCACCACGGGGGAGAGCGAGATCAATGCTGCCGTCACCATTGCGTCGCTGGTACGCTCGGAGCGCTTCGACCTTACGAGCACCTACTTCATGGTTGCTGGTATCGCGGGTGTGAACCCAGAAGTCGCCACCATCTGCTCCGTCACATTCGCTCGCTATGCCGTGCAAGTGGCGCTGCAGTACGAGTTCGCGCAGTCTGACATCCCGGCCAACTTCACGAGCGGGTATATCCCGCAGGGCTCTACCGTCAACGACGAGTACCCCCAGTCCATCTACGGAACCGAGGTCTTTGAGTTCAACCAGAACCTTCAGAAGATGGCAGCTGGCTTCGCCCGCAAGGCGACACTGAACGACAGCGAAGCCGCTGTTGCGTACCGAGCCAACTACGCAGCAGCTTCTGCCTATGCTGCTGGTGCCGCCGCGCCGTCGGTGGTAGAGTGCGATGTCGCGACTTCAGATGTTTACTACTCTGGTAACACACTCTCGACAGCGTTCGGCAACTACACTACTCTTGTCACAAATGGCACCGGTGTCTACTGCACCACTGCGCAAGAGGACAACGCCACTGGAGAGGCACTACTCCGCGCCGCTATTCAGAAGCTCATAGACTTCTCCCGAATCATCGTCATGCGCACTGCCTCCGACTTTGACCGGCCTTTTCCAGGCGAAGCTGCCACCACGAACTTGCTCTACGCCGACCAGGGAGGCTTCGAGCCTGCTGTGATGAACATCTACCTCGCTGGCGTACAGGTGGTGACTGGGATTTTGGATGGCTGGAACAGCACGTTCGCAGCTGGCGTCAATGCTAGCAACTACATCGGTAAGTCCCTCGCTCCTAAGCATGCTGTGGATGCAGTACTAACCTTGGTACAGGCGACATATTCGGCACCCTGGGTGGTGAGCCGGACTTCGGCCCGTATACGTACGACAACAACCCTGTCAAGCGAAGTGTCAAGGGCAAGAGGAATGTGCCGGTCAATGTCCGCAGCAATCGAAGATATATATAACCTCGCATACGCACCGAGGCCACGAAGCAACATGTACGTCGCATAGATAAGCTTTGTAGTTTTTGAATCATTACCGCGGCCACACTGGCATCGTATATGACGATTACTACGTCTGATTCAACGTCGAGCTGCAGCGACGCTCACACTCCGGTCTCTGCCGACGCTGGGATGAGGACCTGTGAGGCCAGAGCTGCCGGGCCGGAGGACTTCGTTGTCCAAAGTCCCAGGAAGTCCCGTGCTTGCGAAACTCATCAGCAGCTTTCCAGCAGACGGAGCCGAGTAAACGAAGCCGGAGGGGGACCTAAGTGGCGCTCCATCATGCGCGTCGCTGGGCTCACCTACCATTCAAAAGGTCGACTTGGAGTCCTGCTTCAGATGTGGAAGGCTGAAAGAGGGCAACATGTACATCCGGCCCATAGCCGCTTCACGGTGACCTTACCTGGACACCGGTGAACAGACAGCACATTCCCCCATGCAATGCCACGGCAGAGGCCTATTCAATGTTGCTGCGCTGTCTGGGGTCTACAAGCGGAGTGATCAACAGCTGACCACGCTGGTGTACTGAAAATATGCGGAGGTGATATGCACGCATGTGATATTCGTGCCGTTGATCGGAGAAGATGGTGGGTTGCGCGATTGCGACACCTCTCTTGCGCCATTGTTGTACCCCCGCAATCCAGCGCATAGCCTAGGGGATAACCAGTTAGGGAGGGGACTATCTCAAGACGAATTTCACGTGAGGCTCGGAAGTCCAAGGATATTTCTACTGCTGCAACGGAAGGAAGAACTCACCACAAAAGCCACAGATCGTTACAGTCTGCCCTCTACCATGTCCGCGGACTCCAAGCCAAAGAAAAGCCTTGTGCTCAATGCCTTCGTGGAGATGTGTAAGTGATCCCGAGTCCATGGACTCCGCTCGGGTTGGAGACTTACCCAGCCATGCTGGCCCAGGCAGCGGGCACCAATCGCCCGGCCTATGGCGACACCCAGAAGATCAGTCGTGGCGATTCAACGAGGTGTCACACTGGGTCGAGCTCGCAAAGCTACTAGAAGACGCCAAGTTCCACGGTATCTTCATTGCTGATGTTCTCGGTAAGGAATATCGTCCATCATTTCCGGCGGCAGAACAACTGAATACTTATTGCTCATGCCTAGGTGGATATGATGTCTATCAAGGGTCACTCGAAGCTGCTATCATATCGGGTGCTCAATGGCCGGTTAATGAACCACTGTCAGTCGTCTCTGCCATGGCTGCCGCCACGAAGAGCATTGGCTTCGGAGTTACGGTGTCTACGACCTACGAGCAGCCATACCATCTGGCCAGGCGGCTGTCTACTGCTGATCACCTCAGTGGAGGGCGGTATGTAGCCTTCCCCACCAGATAACAACGCGCGACTGACAAGACGTCAGGCTAGGATGGAACGTAAGCTCAGATGATCATCATTACGCTGCGCATGTCAGTAACTTACTACCGGTCAGGTCGTGACTAGCTATCTCGACTCTGCTGCTAGGAACATGGGACGAGCCGAACAACCACAGGTGACAGACCTACATCTACCGCATTATCACTCGGTCCGCTAACGAGAGCAGCATGATGACCGCTACGCACAAGCTGAAGAGTACATGCGAGTGGTGTACAAGCTCTTAGAATCCTCCTGGCGTGACGACGCAGTCCAGCTTGACCGAGAGAAGGGCATCTACACGGCCCCCGAACTCGTCCGCAACATCAAACACAACGGCAAGTTCTTCACGGTCCCCGGACCGCATATCTGCCAACCGAGCCCCCAGAGAACACCCGTGATACTGCAAGCGGGCACTTCGAAGGCTGGAAAGCAGTTCGCCGCCCAGCACGCCGAAGGAATCTTCGTTTCGTCACACGCGCCAGAAGTATGCGCCAGGAATATCGCTGAGATCCGGAGTACGGCGGAGAAGCAGTATGGTCGGGACCCGACCGATATCAAGGTATTGGCGCTTGTGACTCCGATCCTGGGCGAGACGGAGCAGGAAGCACAGGAGAAGCTGGCGGAGTACAGGAAGTATGCTTCGCATGATGGGGCACTGGCTCTGTTTGGAGGCTGGACTGGGATCGACCTGAGTAAATATGGGGATGAAGAGGAGCTGAGACATGTTGAGAGTAACGCTGTCAAGTAAGTGTTCTTCAATACCGACGCGGCTAGGACTACAGACTGACTGACATAATCCAGATCAACAGTGGAGGCCTATGCGAGATTCTCCCCGGGAACCAGCAAGTGGACCAAGCATATAATCGCCGAGCACGTCAGCATCGGCGGCAACGGCCCCGTCCTCGTCGGCACAGCTTCGCAAGTCGCGGACGGGCTCGAGACTTGGGTCCGTGAGGCCGACGTGGATGGATTCAATCTGGTAAGCCTCTATCCCTCCCCCCTTATCTTCTACATCCGAGCCCAAGAAGTCCTGACCACCATTTCTCTAGGCATACGCCCTATTCCCACAGTCATTCAAAGATATCATCAAACTCCTCCTGCCAGAGCTGCGGCAGAGGGGTCTCTTCTGGGATGACTATGAGGTGCCTGCAGGCACGTATAGGGAGAACTTCTATCGCAGAGCAGGCCAGACTGGGCCTCCGGCGGAACATGTGGCTGCTTCGTTCAGATGGAAGAAAGGTGTCTCCTCCGATGAGCATCCGATCCCGGAGTGAAGTTCTTCTGCTGGTATATTGGGGGAAGCCTGAGCGTCAGTGTTGCGGCCATCTGGTGCCTGGCCCGGTCATGGGTTGGCGGGTAGTGATCGTATAATGTTACTGGGCCGAAGACGGAGTATTCCTGTCTGGCTTGGTGGAACGTGGTAGTTGATAGTCTTCGCGTGTATATCATCATGGTGCTCGTTAAGTACACGCATCTGTATCTTCTCGAAACAGTCAGTCCATTAAGCCGGTGCTGGTGAGCAGAGCGCGGAGAGTGTCGAGGTGCATCACATCAGCCTCGTTAAAGCTGGACATTATTCCACCTATCAGCACCCTGCAGCTTGGGATGATAGCTAGCCTCGGGCCGTGCCATGCCGAGCATTCCCGCGTTCCACCTCACCTCCGCATGCTCCGCATCCCGTCGACGTCACACGCAAAGTTGAAAGGAGAAATGCAACCGAAAATTCACTTGCAACATCCGCCGAATAATGACAATCTATGCGGCGCGGTGGGATGGACAGTCTAGCGTCTTGGCCCGCTGGAGTATCAAATCGTAAGGCGATTCAGTCTTGAAGATGTGCTTCCATACCAAGTATCGAATCAATTCAGATGCTAATTTCGCTCGCCCATGAATGATGAGGGCCTTCACTCTTTTTCGATCCCTGACTCATGTGTTGTTGGTGCATCTGGCTGCGACTTCGTGCGTCGTGCCAGATGAATATGCACTGCTACCATCCCCGGACGGCCATTTCTTCCAAGACTCGAACAACAAGCCCTTCTTCTGGCAGGCGGATACAGCTTGGTTGCTATTTCACCGGCTCAACTTCTCCGAGTGCGAAGCGTATCTGGCTGATCGAGCCGCCAAGGGATTCAATATTGTCCTTGCTGTAGGCTTCACCCAGATCGGAATTGACAGCCCAAACAGAAACGGGGATCTCACCTTCATCAACAATGATATCTCACGGCCCAATGAACTATATTGGGCATATATTGATTCCATCGTGGAGCTCGCGTGGAGCAAGGGCATCCGTATCGGGCTCGTCCCTGCATGGGGAAAGTACATCCATTCAGACCGTGAGTATCACCACGCGCTCATCATGTGTACTTCGCCTCTAACGACCTCAGAAAATGTTGGCTCGTTCATCGACTCCACCACAACCTACCCATTCGGCCACTTCATCGGACAGCGCTATCCTTACTTGCCCAAAATCCTCGGCGCTGACACAAATCCATGGTGGACAAACAAAACTGCAGTCAAGGCTGATTATGCCGCGGGAGGTGTGCCGTCTACGTACACGTTCACAAGCTGGAGCAACATCTATAACAAGCTTGTCGATGGTACTGTGGACGGCGAACGTTCTGCCCTCGCCGCTAGGAATCGGACTGGAAAAGATTCCTGGTGGCCGTTGATGACCATCCATCCAACGAATCAATGGTTCCAAGACGGACCACTGGCGCTTGCCAGCGCTTTCTTCGGAGGCAGCTCATGGCTTACTTTTGACGCCAGCCAATCCGGCCACGCTGACTATCCACCCAACCCACCTATCCCTTGGTGGAACGCCCGTCGTGGATGGGAACCAGTCACACTCATGTATTCGGGAGGAGAAAAGAGCGAAAGAAAAAGACCAGTGCTAGATAACGAGGCACACTACGAAGGCAGGTAGGTCATACGGTTTTTGTTTTGTTTTGGAAACGATCACGCTGGTGACATTGTCTGTATCGGACCAAGCTAACAACTTGAAATTATGATAGGTATATCAACGGCAAGGCTGGTAATCCTTACTGGAACGCTACCGATATACGCGTGGGGAGTTGGCAGGCTGTAGGTGCCCGGGTGGTCTTGTATTATGAGAACTGAAAGCTGATGAAAGCGAAAGGTATTTTCCGGTGCCGCTGGCGTCACGTACGGAGCAAACAACGTGATGCAGATGTACATTCCCGGCCTCTTCAGCCCTGATGGCAGTGGACCTGCACGCTCTTGGGCAGAGGATCTTCATCTGCCGGGCTCAGGTCAAATGCAATACATCAAGAAAGCTGTGATGGATCGTAGAAGTACCATGAATTTCTCTACAGTTCCGGCTCAGGAACTGCTTGTTGGAGATATCGGTAAGGATCTTGCCAACACCCAGAATGGACTAATACCCGCCTTTACTCTCGGTTTTGCAGACACTGAAACGAGTACAGGAACGGACGATGAGCGCATTACTGCACTTCGTGACTCAAAAGGGTCGTGGATCATGGTTTACAACCCTACCGGAAGAGCATTCTCTGTCGAGATCACGACCCTCGAGGGGAGCGAAATTGGCGCCAAGTGGTACGATCCGACGACGGGAATTTACCGTGTCTTCGACTACCACCGGGAAGACATGCCCTCGCAGACTACGAGAGAGTTTGTACCAGCGGCGGCAGAGGGTCACCTGGACTAGGTTCTGGTTCTTGAGGCTGTATGACGGAGAGGGGAGTTTTGGGGAGTTGCGTGGAGGGTAGTATCGTCGGGTATCCGGGTTGGTGAGGAAGGAGGTGGGCATCCCGGATCATATGGGATGTCCTGGGAGGAGTGGCAATCAGGTAAGAGGATATGGAGGCGCATTTGAATGAGGTACTGTAGGGGACCAGACCAGCGAAGCCGTAACGAGTGGTGGGGATGTTACCGCGGCATACAGGGCGATGGTGCTGAGGATATGCTGTGTGTTCGCTCGACATACGGTGCTGGACTCAAAAAACCTGGTCATCGCGCCGACTGGGGTGAAATCGAGAGTATGGCAATGCCATCGGGATGCTTGCCAGTACATGATCGAGGAAGCAAGTGGGAGGCAGAGCCTCGGTGAGCAGTGCGTCGAATTACGGCAGTCGGAGGGGGGGTATCCCTGATACCACCACCAGTTTCTTGCTGTTGGCAGGTTAGGAAGAGAGAAGGAGAACCACATCTAGGAATGAAGATGCATGCAGAACAACATGCTGTACTCTGCGTGACTCTGATCAGCCATGTTGGTGATACCAGCAGGACACCGTGACGACCAGTCGCACACGTTTCGATCCCCCATGCCGACATGTGATGGCTGCATTTGGACCCCCATGCCAATTTACCATACGTAGACGACTAAAAGCAAAGACCTCAGACATAGCAGAGATATAAGCGAGCTCACATGGTCAGTGTACCTACCGGCAGGGGGGCAGACTGATCAACCATGTTGGTGATACCAGCATGGACACCGTGACGACCAGTTGCACATTTTTCGATGCCCATGCCGACATGTGATGGCCGCATTTGGACTCCCATGCCAATCGACCAGGAAACCTGGACTACCATGAACAAAGAGCCCAGACATAGCTGAGGTGTAAGCGAGCTCACAAGATCAACGTGCCTACCGGCATGGGAGCAGATTGCAGGTCCCAACTTCGAGTTGGTCGTACGAAAGGGAGGCAAACAGCCTGCGCGTTCCAGTCTAGTGGCCAACTGCCTCAGGATGCCAACTACAAACGATGCATTCCTTTGTCAGGCTCCGCAAGAATGTTTCACAGCATGACTTCAGCCCTGCGGCTCTATTCACTCGTTCCTTGCATTCGCTCGGTCTCGGGGCGCTGAATCTGTCTATAAAGGACGTCCTCTTGCCCATCCATCTCAGTGCAAATCATCCATCCACCCATCCATCCACTCGACAATCCACCCCAAAGCGCTTTCAAAGCACCAACGGACGCATCTTTTCTACTATAATCCCCTGGTGGTCGACCACTCTCGAGCCTCAAGCAACACTTCGGCTTCGAAATGGGCGAGACGGCCGAAGAGAACCCTATGGAGGGATACTTCAGCCTCAAGACGGAGGCCCCATTCTGCATCGACAAGGGCCTAGACCGTGTCACCATTGGTCTAGGTTGGGACGCCAAGAAGGAGGAGACCAATGACGAGGATGCAGATCTCGATGCCTGGGCCATACTCAAAAGTGGTGGCGCCTATCGCGACGTCGTCTACTACGGGCACTTGGCAAGCAAGTGTAAATCGATTCAATTATCGAAGGACAACCGCACTGGCGTTGGAAAAGGCGACGACGAACAGCTTTGGTTTGAACTGAACAAACTGCCTGCCACCATCACACATGTCGAAATCTGGATCACGATCTACGACGCTGTGGCGAGGGGTCAACACTTCGGACAAATTCAGGGAGCACACTGTCGGTTATTCAAGGGTATCAAGATACCCAAGCCCAAAGAAGAAGCAAAACTTGCGAGGTTCGAAATGCCCCGTGGGAGAGACAACATCAAGACCATGCATGTCGCGACATTGGTCCGCGAGGAGACCGAAAGGAAGAGATGGGTTCTCAAGCGTGTTGAGGAGAGCTATGAGTTCGATTATGAAGAGATGTGTAAGCGCAACAGAATCCTGTTTGCTCGTGCTTGATTGATTGATTTGATTTGTATTTAACGTGGGGGGTAGCTCCTCAGTAGTGCAAACCACGCCTCCCAGAGCCATTGCATCGCAAGGTTGTAGAGGTGTCAAATTAGATACATTCAGATCCGCGCACGAGCCTATCCTCGCTGTAGCGGTACCAATCTGGAGTGTTCAGATGGTTTTAGTCAATACCCAAGCACGATTCCGTCAGAAAAACCTCCTATCTAGTGACAAAGCGACCCAGTGAACCTCAGTTCTCTGGTGTACATATCGTTCCAGTAGCCGTTCGATATATGTCGCATTGGTGGGTGGAGTAGGTGTTTGTTATCTGCTGGCGAGGGAAACCACAAGGGGGAAAACCTCGCAGGAGTGGGTATTGTGGAGACAAGCTGCTTGGTTATCGGGCTCTGCAATAAAATGGGGCCTCTCCACTGTCGTGTGCTGGTTATCGACTCGCACAAGCCGGGTCAGAAAGGGGGCCATAGCAGGATTCGAACCCACTTGTTCTCGTCGCCCACCGCACAAACGAGAACACAACCAGGCGCATTTGACCATTGCGCCATACGGCCTGCTCGTGCTTGATGTTGGCTCTCAATGTTATGGTGGAGCGTTCGGTGGCTCGGAATGGACGAGCAGCATTTCCTATTCCCTTCTATTTCCTACTCGGCTTTCGTTTCCTTTCATCCACTCGTTTTGGTTCGGAGTTATCTCTTTTCACGTTTGTTACCTGGCGTTTCGGGTGCACGCGATGGTGGCGGGATTCTCAAGAGAAAGACTGCAAGGTTCTTGTGTTAGATTTCAAAGTGTTCTATTAAGGAGAGGAATTCCAGCTACTCTGGAGCGGCCAGAATGGCCCTATATATATCCAAGATACTAAAGGAAAGGATACGTGGCCTTATATTGGCCACGTATGTGACAGAGTCACAAATGGGGATGGTGATCCTGAAGGATGACTATGGATGGGCTAACGTAGCCCAGAATCCAACACGCCCTCTCAGACTGAGGGAATTAACATAACCAGAATATCACCCCTCTACATGAACCAGTCCTAGCAACTCCAGAAACTTGAAGAACCTTGCCTTTGTCAAAGCTTTGATGAGACCGTCTGCAGGCATTTCATTAGTTCCAAGGAAAGAGAGCCGTATATGGCCTTCCAAGATCTCCTGACGAATGTAGTGTTCCCTGACTCGAATGTGCTTAGTTCGACGATGGAATTCAGCGTTCTGAGCCAAATTAATAGCTCCAGCACTGTCTGAATAGATGTTGATAGCATTCAGAGTGAAACCAAGTTCCAGCATCAGTTCTCGTAGCCAGGCAGCCTCTTTGACGGCTTCAGAGAGTGCGTAGTACTCCGATTCCACAGTAGACTGAGCCACAACAGTCTGCAGCTTGGATGCCCAGGAGACAGCGCCCCCAGCAAACGTGAACAGGTAGCCTGAGGTGGATTTAGCGCTGGTCTTGATGCTTCCAGCATAGCTGGCATCACAGTAACCAACCAGCAGATCCGGAATCATCTCAAGGACCTCCTGGGGGGTCTTCCTGACATATTCGGGACCTCCAAATTTGATCCCAAGATCTTGAGAGTGCCACAAGTAGCGAAGTAGGCCCAGAGCGGCCTTATATTGGGCTGAGCCAGGGTTGTGAAGGTATCGCGAGAGAACACCCATAGAGTATGCAATATCTGGTCTCGTATACGACGCAAGGAAGTTCTCAGAACCGATCAGGGACTGGTATGTCTGAATAGGACGTGTATCGACCTCAAGGTCGTTGTCCAGGGACTCCATCTGTTCCACTGCTTGAGGAGATATCGGCACGTTCATCTTGCCAGTGTTCTGCTGGTCGAAACGCCTCCACAGTCCTTCTCACATACGTCTGTTGAGAGAGATATAACGTCCTCTCAGCTCGGTTTCTGACAATGTGGACTCCTAGGAAGTGTTCAGCAGCTCCCATGTCCTTTATTTCAAATGTAGAACCTAGTTCCTTCTTGAAGGCAGCGATCCCGTCACGATTAGCCCCCAAAATGAGGAAATCGTCGACATAGCTGATCATTATAATGCCACGGCTGATGTTGACATAGACTGCGTTGTCAGAGACCAGAGGGTCGAATCCGAGGTCCTTCAGAGCGCTGCGAATGCGCTTCTGCCACTGCCTGGGGCTCTGCTTGAGCCCATATAGCGGTTTCGCAAGCTTCATAATCATGCCAGGTCTCCAGTTGATGGTATTCTCATCTGGATACATCTCAAAGAAGTCAGAGAGACCATCAGGCGTCTCCATAAAGATCTCTTCATCCAGTTCTCCCATCAGGAAGGCAGATACAGCATCCATCTGGTCAATTTCCCAGTCCAGAACGGCAGCAATGGCTAGAAGGAGCCTCCAGGTGGTAGTACGAGCGCCTGAGGCCTGGGTTTCGAAATAGTCGAGGCCATGACGTTGCATGAAGCCTCGTACAACCACCCTAGCCTTGTACCGAGAGGTGTTGCCGTCAGAGTCCCTCTTCCGCTTATAGACATTGCGGCTAGAGAGAGTTTTATGTCCAGCAGGCAGATCAGACCTCCACAAAGGAATGAAGGTATTATTGCGCAGCAATGCCCGTATCTCTGTGTGAGTGCCATCCAGCCATTGAGGTGCCTTGGCAGACTCCATGGCTTCCTTGTAGCTAAAAGGCTCGTCATTACGGGGAAGTGCCTGATCAGGGTCAGAAGACGGCCAATTGGCATAAGATGCCTCGATCGTAACATGTGGAGATATGCCAGGGGTGGAAGACTCGGCCACGTAGTGGTTGTGAGTCCTCCGAGTGCGCCCTCCGGAGAGTACATTCTCTGGGTTGAGCCCTGATTGGATTCTTGACCTCAGAGCAGCCGTTGGGGCTACTTCTTGACGAGGTGGTTCAGATGATAGAAGAATCGAGTCAGCTAGAGCAGTACTAGGCTCAGGGTTGCTATATCCAGAGTCAGAATGATGACCATCATCATTATCAGAAGCGTCAGGGGACCCAAGAGGGGTCCCTAATGTGACAACTGGTTGGGGTGAATCATCTCTACCATCCCTTCCGTTATCTGACTCGATATATATATGCTGAGGATCGTGAGCGCCCTCTGGTGAAGACGGCGCTGGCAGATCTTCAGCATCGGGTCTGGTTGTCTCATAGTCATCGAGTGTACCACGGAAGTTTGGAAAGATGTGGATCAAATCCCTTGAAAGTACATACCCATCCAAAATCTCAAGATGGGCAGTAACTACAACCTTTCTCAGGTGTGTAAGATACACCTGGTACTGGTTGGAACCAAGGGAACGAAGAATACGACCTCTCCTTGCGTGTGGAGTGGTCTTGTCTCCCTTAGGGCGGCGCTGCTGCGGCAAATGGACCACAGCGGCCTGCCCGATTGACAGTAAATTCGTCAAATCAGGCTTGTTATCCTTTCCAGGGTTCAGATCGTCAAAGAAAACTTTAAAGGGAGTCTTCTTAACGCCCTGGAGGAAAGATGTATAGCTCACATTGAGCCTATCACATACGGCAGGTCCAACAACCGGCCAAAGGGCTTCAGGTAGCCCGGAATCCTTCATAATACTGCGAATGAGAGCGTGTATAACGCCAAAGGATCTCTCAGCCACTCCGTTCTGCTCGGGAGTGTATGGAGCGCTGACTTCGAACAGGATACCACGTTCAGCTCCCCATTGCTTGAATCTCGCGTATTCAGAACCACCATCCATTCGGAATCGCTTCGGATAACGCCCGTACTGGGTGTGAGCGCATTCACAGTAGCGAATGGCTTGGTCGGAAGCTTCCCCTTTCTTCTCGTGAGGGCAGTACTCCTTTAAACGAGACTTGCCATCCACAAATACGGTGGCATAGAGAGAACCATCATAGCCTTGGACAGAGTGCTTGGCTGTATCCATATGGACCAGGTCTAAAGCATGATCTGGATGTTCCTGCTCAACTCAAGAGACTAGGCGACGTAGATTGGACTCCAGACATTCCAGACAGGTGAATTCTTTTGCCAGCTCTCGTACATTCGGCGGCAATTCAATCCCTTTGGTGATACTGGCTGTCTTGATCAGGTCACCAATAGATCGGTGGCCAAGTCTTGTATGCCAGCGGTGGAGTAGTCTCAGCGCCACAGATTTGGCTTGAGAGGTCAGTTCCTGGGAAGAATCCTCGGATACCATATTGGTGAACACGTCCGGGGCTTGATTGATCCCGTATACGTCCTTCTGGACACTAGGGATCTCTGTCTAAACGTACATTCCCTGGTGGAATGATGCCACCCATGTACCATGGGGGTCAAACAGATCGCGGATCATCAAATACCATCCTTGGCAATACATCTGGTCTCCCGAGAGAATATTGATTGGAAAAGAAGGCACAAATAGTACTCCAGAGATTGTCCGAGTGACGGTATCACCGTTGGAGGTAATGAATGGTATCTCCACGTCGCCAACACCTTGAGGAGTAATAGGGCCTCCTCCAGTGTTAAAGGGGACCAGGTCAGGGTCCATTCGAAGGCGGGTAAACCACTTCTTGTTATTGCAAATAGGAACAGTAGAGCCTGTGTCAAACAGCCATGAGTCTGTGCTTGTCGTGGCATGAACGATGTCAATCAGATTGGTACTCGCTCCCTGGTTGGCGCTATGTGGTCCTTGAGTGAGGACAGATTGACTGGAGATGGCTTTATCGGCATAATTGCACTATTGAGCAGCGTCAGAAGCGCCAGTGCGTCCACTCTGGTGAGTGGGAGCGCTGCTTGAAGGCCTTCCATCTTTCTTAGCCTTCTCAGAGGCCTGGATGATCTGGCTGAGGATGCGTTTGTTGCATCCAAGGTGGCCCTTCTTCTTATCAAGCTCTCCGCACTCATAGCACCAGATAGGATCCGTGGTGTTGCTGTTGGAAGAGCCCTGGTTGACTCCAGGGGTTCTGGGGCCATCAAGAGATGGGCGATTACTGCCTTTCCCCTTGTTCTTCCACTTGCTCTTGCCTTTACTAGGCGTAGCAGGCTTGCCAAAGTTGGTGGCAAAGGTCTCATCTTGAGCCTTGCGAATCTGTATCTCCTCCTGGAGCCGGTACAAGAGATTCTCGGTTGTAGGGAAGATTCCACGGTTATAATCTTTCGAGATTTCGCGGTGAAGGGTTGGAAAAGCCGTCCGAATAGCAGCCAGGAAATTGGCAATGCGAATATTCGGAGGATATGTGATATTTTGCCGCAGGACCTTGTCCATTAGTCTGCGGTAATTGCCCACGAACTTGTCTCCATGGTTAGGGAATCGAATGGCAGCCAGTTCATCTACAACGGATGAAACTGCGTCAATTCTCGTGCCTGAATATGCCTGTCGCAAGGCTATCCAGATCTGACCAGGGTCAAATAAACCCGTGATACGAGAATCAGGGTCAGACTTGATGTTCTGGGTGATAGCGAGGTATAATTTTGACCTCTTGATGCTCAGACTAGCATCCAATTCAGGGGGCTTGGAAGAGGCTCCCGCGGAAGGTGTGGCTGGGGCGTCGACAGCTCCAGTTGTGGCCTTATATGGTTCCTTCTCGTCCGCCTTGATAGCTTCAAGGATAAGAGACCAGAGCCCGAGAGTAGTGAGCAAATGTTCCATCGTTTGGGCCCAGACCTCCCAGTTCTCCTCGCCGACGAGCTTCTGATGGTCTTGGAGGCGAGGGATAGAGGTGGATGTAAAGGCGAGGGCCGTCTCTGGGGTGGATTCAGACATAATGTAAGAAGGATAATACGTCGTAAGGCTAGCCTACAAATAAGGCAAAATATAAGCCAAGGAGCGACCTCTTTCTGTATAAAAAGAACAGTTACGACGGAGAAACACTTGAAGGCTTGTGGCAACAAGGGTAGCTAGTCCTGGAGGCGCGCAAGCAGAAAGAGGGTGATCAGAATGAATCAGACCAGTAGAAAAAGCTTAAAAGGTAAGGGCTGCTGGAGGTCGTGATCGATCAGAGATGCTACCATGTTAGATTTCAAAGTGTTCTATTAAGGAGAGGAATTCCAGCTACTCTGGAGCGGCCAGAATGGCCCTATATATATCCAAGATACTAAAGGATAGGATACGTGGCCTTATATTGGCCACGTATGTGACAGAGTCACAAATGGGGATGGTGATCCTGAAGGATGACTATGGATGGGCTAACGTAGCCCAGAATCCAACATCTTGTCAAGCTGACCTGGCTCGTATGCCGGGAAGGCAAAGTGCTCCAGTATGAGCAGGTTGAGTTGGCTGTGTGAAATCCGTCCATTCGTTCTTGCTTGAGACTGCTTTTAGTCAGATAATCAGGATTCACTCGCAACCGCCTATAATATCATGTTGTGTCGTCTCAAAGTTACTGTGCACGCAGCGATGCATGCCGTTCGGCGTGTGACGCATCGGCCTGAGACTGTTGACGCCATCCGTGGTTAAGGTTTTGGTGGATTGAGATCATTTGTGGCGTTTTATTTTAATAGACTTAGCGTACAGCACTGGGTCTCTGCTTTTTGTTATTCTTTGGGGTATTTGGGTTTGGCTCTTCCTTCCGGTCGAAGAGCTTCCAGGAAAAAAAAAAAAAAAAAAGGAAAAAAAAAGCTTCTAGACGTCAGCCTGCTACTCGAGAATTATGAAGTACTTGAAGATTTGATGTCGCTAGCCCCTATGGCGGGAACTCTGGCTGCCGATGAGTTCTACGAAGGACGATACACGAATGCTATCTCCTCATAGACCTCAAGCTTGTGCGACCCGGGAATATCGTATTCCAAAGACAACTTCTCTGTCGGTTTGAAGCCGTTTTTCTCATAGAATGATGCTGCTTCGAGGGTGCTCTCGAGATATGCTGGAGTGCCGTCCTTTTGGCACTGCGCCATTCCCCACCGGAGCATCATTGTCGCCGCGCCCTGCTTCTCATATGCTGGAAGAGTACCCATGAAAGTAAGGTCTGAGACGAGATCAGTGCCCTATGTACTTGGTCCCTACCATGAATCAACGGTTCACCAACGTATGACTTACGATAACACGGAGTGTCCCCCACAGTTCGCGATTGCGCCTTTTCGATGGTAGTCAGCCAGTCTTCTAGTAATCCTAGGTCCGTACCGGGTGGCCAGATCCACTGTGGCTCTGTGTATTCCCCGTCCTTCGGGATCGGGTGTGTCCACTTTGCGAAAGCGATCGCTAAGCCCGTTTTCTCCGGACGAGCACCGTCGTTGCTCTGCGTATTGCTCGATTGGGCACTTGGCGAGTTTGTCCGAGACTGGACATTATCCACGTCTCGTATCACGAGAACAGTCGTATTGGGATCATCGATGTCTGCTTTGGTCTTTATCACGCTGCTATGCAGCAAGCCTTCGCGGGACTCCTCCGTAGGGAACTGAGCCAGAAGCATGGCATTTGACCCGAACGCCGTCATGTGGATTTCGGCAATTCGAGTCGCATCGTCTTTATCGGCAAAATCTAACAGAAGAAGCATGATCCTCGGGTCGCGAGGCCAGGCTCAGCAGGATAGAGTTTGGTAGTGTTTCGTGGCGGATCAGATCTTCCACCGGCTAACTTACCTACTTGCTCACGGATACACGGATGTAGACATATCCCCAATCCAGCTGTGGCTGTGCATTCCCCCGCATTACCCCAGGTGCTGCTGTCCTAACTGTACCTTCCTACCTAGATAACCGTGAAAGTGACCTCCGGCAGCTATCTATCTAATCAGGTGACCCCATGTGCATGATGACCAACATTCTACTCAGTGGCGTATCTAGGCTGCTAACTAGACCGAGCACGTATTCTGAGTCACAGTCGTGCTCAAACACTGGTCGAGGTAGGAAACACCCAGAGGACAGACTTCAATCGCTCGGTCTCCCAGATGTCACGGCACTAGACGACAGCCCCACAGCTCCAGGGGTCAACCCCTATATATACCAGATCCCGTCACCTAGCTAGCTTCATAGTTTCTTTCGTTCTTCACGTACATCAACAAAGTCATTTCTGGAGTCACCAGCAGCCGAACTGTGACACCAGAGTCGCAGTACCCAGAGTCAAACAAGGTCCTGTTCGAAGATGTCTTCGAGAACACTTAATCGACCATGGCGGAGACGACCGCGGACTGAGCACCCTTTTGCAGAGATGGCTGCGGGGAGCCATCCGAAGGACTTGACGCCCCCGCTGGCCTTCAAGCTCCTCGGGGAACCTGGTTCAATCAACGAGCAACGGCAGTCTCCCTTGTTCGGAAAGCTCCCGGCCGAACTTCGAGTGCTGGTCTGGATCTTAGTTCTCACGCGTTACGAGGACTTCGACAGACCCTTCAAGCTTGGCAATCGCGAAACTCGCCCTGGACAAGCTGGGCCGCTTCGCGTGGCCGTCGATCTACTGCTGGCCTGTCGAGCTATCTACACCGAGGCCTTCCTTGTTCCCTTCCAAGTCAATCCCATGATCATCTTCGACGGCGACAAGTCGGACATACCACCATACCACCGCACTCTCCCGTTACCAGCATCAAATTACTACAAACCTCTTGCATCGCGGTTCTGGCAGTTTGCGCAGTTCTCCTCGGTCCAGTTGAACGTCCAACAGCATAATTTGGAAGGGAGTAAGTCTTCCTTCAGAAAACGGCGCGATGACGAGAGTCTAGGCGCCTCTGGTATTGACTGTTTCATTAGGTGCGATTGAGAAAGCATCACGAGCAGTCGGGACTCTGGGTCGGCACCGAGGGCAAGTGGTTCGCGGCTTCGCGTCGGGCTACGCAGCATTTCACTATCCTAACGAGACCGCGATGGGCAGCACGCAGGAGAACAACAACCCAGATGGCCCGCTTTCGGAGGCTGACAGAATCTGCATTGGTAAAAAGATCACACACCTGACCGTCCGCATCGCTCGCACAGACTGGTGGTCGTGGACTGATCGTCCCGAGGAAGGGGCGGCTGATTTGTCCAAAGCCCTTCGTCTCGAACCGGACATCCACACGACATGTCACGATCATTCAGCTATGTTACGGGGCTATGAAGCTCGCAAAGCAGGTATGGAAGTCGACTCCGGCCTTGACGACTTCAAGAAGCCACGACGATGGGGTCAGCCTGGATGGGGTGACCAGATAGCCCTATATTGGCCAGACCTGGAAACTCTTGAGCTCGTCCTAGAGACTTTCGCCCAGAAGCAAAGCCAGCTTGAAACCGTCATAAGTTGTGCCAAGTTGTGGCAGTTTCCCGTCGAACGCGGATACCGATTGGAATGGGATGGCAAGGAAGAGTCAACAGTCAGATGGCAGGGAGCTAATAAGTATGACTACGAATACCAGTCGCCCTGGGTTGATGCGCGGTATGGACATACAGATCCGGAAAAGAGCCACAACCGTTTGACTCGATGGCGGCCACGATCCGAGCACGTCGACGAGCTAAGTCTTGGACAGGTTTTCATCATCAAGACTCTAACGTTCAGACGGCGAAAGGTAACAACCGAGAGGCCTTCGGCCGAGGCTTGACCAGGAAGGTCACTACCGGTACGGGCTGAGATTCTGGATATGGGAGTTGTGTGTTTTTCAGGTCTCACGTCACCGCTAAGGCAGCCGACATTTAGGATGCCAGATTGGTTACCATATATCTCTTGGTTTTTTTAGGTTGGTCATGAAGCATCAATATTGTAGCTCTCACCAATGTATCCCGCAATACACGTTCTACAGGAGCTGCGATCTAATTTTTACATTTCTACCACTGAACACATCACTCAGGGACAGCGTTCAGTGACAGCATGAACTGAATCGTGAAGATTAGACATTAGCGTATAGGCAGAAGGGCCACTTGACCTTCGCGAGAAGCTCGATGCTCTTCAATGGGCTCCTCCACGGGGTACGGTCATTGCCCCTGGCCAGCCAGTTCCTTCCACAGGTCACCACGCGGTGTGAAAGTCAGATAAGGTCCATCATGCGACGAAGTGAACACATCGTGAAGCAGGAATTCCCCCATCTCATTCGTGTCCCTACCCAGCGCACCATATTCACTCGCCGGCTCGAAATCGAAATACCACAACGTCTTCGCAGAAACAAGCCCGACTTCCAGGTACGCCATGGCCTTGCCCGCACACCCGCGCGCGCCGAGACTGAACGCCACGAACGCCGCGCGGTTCGCAGCAGAAGGCTCCTTGGAGACTTCGTCGGCGGGGAGCCAGCGCTCCGGCTTGAAGGAGAAGGGGTCGGGGAAGTACTCCTCGTTATGGTGCAGGGCGTAGTGGCTCACGCCAACCTGCGTCCCCGGGGGAATCACATGGCCGTCGACGACCCAGGGCGCGTCGCCGTCCTGCGGTAGCTGCTGCCGCCACAGCGTGCCGGGGACCGGCGGCGACATGCGCAGGGCCTCGTCGATACAGGCGCGCAAGTAGCGGCAGCTCGTGAGCTGCGCACCGCCCCTGATCTCGTCGCTGGACGCGAACGTGGAACGGATCTCGTCGGCGAGTCTGCGTCTGCAGTGCGCGTTGCGGGACAGGTAGAAGAACAGCGCGCTGAGCGTCGCGGATGTCGTGTCGCCTGCCGCGGGCAGGAACGAGATGCCTTCGGTCCAGATCTCGCTCAGCGAGATCTTGTCGCCGTCAGGGGCGTCCAGTGCGTCGGCCATGAAGGCGTACAGATCGTGGTGCGCGTCCTTGTCCTGGGCGAGGCGCGCCTGGATCATCTTGGTCAGCGTGGACAGGAAGCCCTTTCCTTTAATGAAGGTCAGGGCTATCTCGACGATCTCGTAGCCGAGCTTTCGGAGGGATGGGTATTGCATGTAGATGTTGAGACGCCAGAGCCCGCCGTTCATGCCGGGGAGCAGGAAGCGGTTCTCGTTGTCCGTCTGCAGTTTCAGGGCGTAGCCGAACCCGAGGTACCCCGCGATGTCCATTCCGAGGTGCCTGCATCGCGTGGACATGTTGACGACGTTGTTGGAGCTGCCCTGGGGGCTCGGGAGGAGCAGCTTGATGAAGATGTCGATCTGCTCCGTCATCGTCGGCTCGAATGTTCTCATTGAGCGTTCTGTGACTACCGCGCCAACGAGCTTGCGCTTGACACGATGCACCGGCTTGTTAACGGTGTTGATAACGTTGGTCTTGCCGGGGTTTACGGTATAGGCCACATAGGAGAGGGACTTGGATACTCGGTCATTGGCATATATGTCTGGCGTTCAACAGGGGTAAGCGCCGGGTGAATTTCACTTGGGACTGTCGGTGCAACTTACCGTGCACCGCTGCTACCGAGTTGAAGACAAGCTTGTTCGGTCCTTGCCTGATAACGGGGCCTGTGTTGGCGAGTGTAAGTAAGTGTGCATCACGAGAAAGAATACCAGGGTGCTCTCATAACCCACCGTAGTTCAGATGGTCTGCGTATGTCCTCAAGTAAAGGTTCCTGTTCCAGGCGTAAAAGGCCCCGTACACATCGGAAAGCCGGGCGAGTGGAGGACCTGGGTAGTGCCGCAGGGGATGGGCTAGGACACGGTAACCGCCGAGCAGAATGAGCTGTTCGTTGTAAGTTATTAGCTATGAATTGAGGTAGCCTGATTGTCTGACGGGGCGACTTACATAGGGGATCAATAGTAGAACGGCATACTGGGCAGTCAGGACCACCGTATCAAAGACACCCATCGCGAAAAGTGCGGGCGAAAGAAGGATCGAATATTGCAAATAACGATGTTATGGGACAGTCGAACGAGAGGCTCGTAATCTGCGTGTGTAATGTCGTGCTCTATTTGGAGTCACGTACGAACCGGACGGCAACAAATGAGGCCTCCCTGCTCCGGTTCACTTTAGCGGCTGCCTAGCAGACGATCCCTGCTGTCAGCACATCATCCCACCCGGCACGGTCTTCCGGGTTCAGCTCGATGGGGCCGACCGGGGGCCGACCGGGACAGGCGGACTCTTTAATTTTGCGGCGCAAAGGGAACAGGAACCGGAGTAATAAAAACAAGAAGGGCACTTTCTAGGATCAATTCAATCCTGGTAGACTCAATGGCTCTGAGGGTAGATTGACAACGTTGGTAAGGTTGGCCATCTATGCTACATTTACCTGCTTGACCCATGCGCTTTGGAATTACGCGACATCGCGCACACTCGACGAGAAGCCGCTCATGCAAACCCCTGAGCTAGAATCCAACCTCTATCGGCGACCTCCCAACAAGGCAACTGTGGACTCACGGTCTCTTGAGGAGCCCCAGTAACTGATCGCCAGAGTCTGTTTTACGAGAAAACACGACTTCTTTGAGCTGGTAGTGGCCGAACCGCGGCGGACCACCTACCTTGAAGCTATATCCACTTGTGGCAATTGCGGGACCTGCTTCACCTGGGTCCTGAGTATTGAGTATCGCTGGACTAGAGTCCACTATAATGTTCGTAGGATCATGAGATCCCGGAGTATGGGCCCAAAGGTACACGCAAACCCTGCTAGATGAAGATACCTAGAAGTTCCTGAAACTCTGCACGTCTTTTTACCCGGCGGGAGATAAAGACTCTCAGGTAAGAGGTATCGGAGGGCTTCGCCACGCATTGTTTACTAAAAAGATGATTATTCAGTTGGCATGTAGTACATATTAAAGAGTACGTGTAATGGCCTGTGGTAGTTGCAAGGGGTTGAACGTAGGTTCATCACTAAACCAACGAGATGGCTTTGTCAAAATGCAGGAAATAGAAGTAGGCTCTTTTCAATGTAAATTCCATTAAGAACTCGCTGGGAGAACAGGGGGAGAGACAGAAAGGGAGCTACTGTAGCTTCTGCGAACGTGTGGAATGTCTCCCCTATTGACAAAGCAGTGCACATTGCGGGGCGACATTCCTCATTCACAGTTGAAAGCGAATTTAGCAACCCCGATGTCTCAGGCGACCTGTTTCCAACCAGTAACTCAGACCGCAAACGGGTCCGAATGCCTTTGATGCAATATGCCTCATATATGAGCTCGTTGGCAGGCACCCCGGATCAAAGGCGCATATAGTAGACCTTGGACATTTCATAAACTAAGGGCATCATCGAAACCAAGTCCTTCTCAAAATAAAATAAAATACAGAATCAGCCATGGTGTCAGAGGAAGGACCTCTTTACCCGCACCGGGCCAAGTGCGCAGGCATGCCGCGAGGACGCCCCGCGAAGAAGCCTCGCTACACGGAGCCCGAGACCGACTCCGAGTCGGCTACTTCCGCCGATGCCTTAGGCTTAGAGCACATTTCCGAGGAATCGGCAAGCGAGGAGGAGACCGAGAGAGTCCACAACCAGCCGGTTAAGAAAGCAGCCAAGTCGGTCAAGAAAACAGCCAAGAAGCCGGCCAAAGAGCAGTCCCTCGGCGCCCCAACCGACAAGGACACCGAGTCCGAGTCCGAGTCCGAGAGCGAAGACGGACAAGACAGCAGCGCCAGCGAAGACGAGATGGTCACCGCGGCCATCGAGGACGACGCCTCAGAGTCAGAGGCAGAGGACCGGATCAAGGTGCCGGAGGAGCTTCGTCCCCTGCTACGGGACCTTGCCAACGTGCTGAACTTCATCGCGCGTGCCAAGAAGGAGGGAATCGACCCGGAAGACCCCGAGGCCGTCGGCGAGGCCTGCGAGCGCTGGAGATTTGAGGGGCTGACGCCCGAGGACGTCGCGCGGGAGAAATCCGAGATCGTCATGAAGAAGCTGCTGGAGATCTCGGTGGCCAAGCTGTGCGAGTTGATCCCGAAGGCCAAGAAACTGCAGGTTGACCTTCGCGAGTCTGGGAGTATCACGCTTACTGGGAGGGACGTCCGTCCTGACGGGCCGGATGCAGATGACTACGAGAAGTACAAAGGTCTGCCGTTGTCGGAATGGCCACTGGATCGGTTTTTTGGAGCGGACGCTTAGTAGTATAGCTATCCCACCCTTTTGAGATTATGGGATTGTTGAGAGAATCTGGGAAGGAGAATAGGAGTCGAGGGAGGATACGAAAATGCTCAGTCAATGATATTTACCAACCTGCTTGATCCACACACCTCCAATGCACAACGATGTAATTCCGTTGCCACGAGGGAGAGAAATATACATCATTACTTTATCGTAGCCGCCCCCTGCTTGGTCCATCCAAACTCCCGCTTGAGGAAGCCCCTAACAGCGACAGTAATCTCCCATATCTTCCGACCCCATTCCTCCTCGTCGTCGTGCCTTAGCCGCTGGATCTCCTTGATCTCATTATTCCTGCCCCGCCCCAAGATGACGAGCCTCGCCTTTTCCCCGCCGAGCTTGTCGCGCAGGGCACTGAGTCTGTTGAAGTCCTGCCGCGTGAAAACTACGACGTAATCGTACGTCCTGAACATGTTCCGCGACAACCCGCGGCTCTTCCACAACGCCAGCGGCTGGTTCTCCATCGCCGTCTTCGGCAGGCTGGGCGTCTTCGCGAAGAGCGCTTTCATGGCCGTGATGTTGGGCGGCTGGTCTCCGTTGGTCATGTTGGGCACGCGCACGATTGCTTCGGTGTATTCCACGCAGTCGCTGCGGTTCTTCACCTCCAGTCCGGCCGAGTGTATGAAGTCGATGGGCCAGGCCACGGCCCCTTTCTCTGTCCCCGAAGTTGGATTCTCCAGGGCCCAGCTTTTCAGCATCTTGGTGTAGGCCTCGGCGACCCGGCTCCGGGACACATTCCACGGGTCCACGAAGATGATGCCGCACTTCTGAACCGCCTCCCCACCTGCTCCTCCTCCAACCGCGGCGGCTGCAGTCCCAGACTGCTGCTGCTGCTGCTGCTGCGCCGGCATCTTCGCGATCTTGCCGTAGACGTTGAGGTCTAGGTGGCTCTGGAACTTGGCAATGCCACGATCTAGCATCTCGTCGAGGTGCTCGAGCTCGGCCGGCAGGCGGCTGAAGCCGGCGAGCCACTGGCGCTCGAGCGTGCTCGCGGCCTCCCACTTCTGAAAGAGCTTCTTGACGGCGCGGGCGTCGCTTTTCATGCGCTGGAGTAGAATCAATAGAGCGTCCCGCTGGTCCGGCGCCAGGGCCGCCTCGCGCGCGCGGTACGTCGCGTCCGTCTCGAGGAGCCGCTTGGCGTGCGCGAGCCAGGCCGCGTGCGACTGCATGTTGCCGGCCTGCCGCCGGATGATGCCGTCGGCGCTGCTGATGCGCGCGTAGACCTCGAGCGCGCCCTGGACTACAACGACTACGTCGCCGAGGGAGACAGGCAGGGACATTGCTGTGCTTGGTTGGGCTAGATACCTAAGTAGGTAGGTCACTCGGGTTCGCCTTCACGAGACGGCTTAGATGGTGTGAGATGTTGTTGAGAGGTGGGACGTCTCTTTAAGCAGGACTTTGACACGATACATCTGTCTTACTCATCCGACTCTTCCAAGCTGGCGAGGCTGGGGCGAAAGCGCTATTGAACTGTATGCAGGACATGCAGCTTACGCCACAATGCAGGAAGATCGGCCGCTCGACTAGAACTGGTGCAATTCCTCGCAGTTCCAAGGTTAGGAACATGAGAAAAGAATGTAACTATCACGACAGCCGCTTTCGGTTGCGTGGGACCAACACACCATGTCAGGAATTTGGAGGCAGCTTGCGACGGTACCTCCCTCCACGAAGGCCATGCACAATTATCCCTAGAGTTTACACCCAGCTTCATGCTCACGGGTTTGAATAGCAGATGCGGAGCACGGCAGAGATTGTCAGTGATGCACGGGGAAGTGGCTGTTCAGGCAGCATAGCATGTCTCATCAATGTCGTTTGTTTCATTCAACTCTAAGCTCGATCTGATATCAGTTGCTTAGCCCTTGGCGGCACCAGCTTTGATCAGCAGGATATCACCATCCTCAACTACGTATTCCTTGCCCTTGGTCATGATCTTACCCTTGGCCTTGACTTCACTCTCATCGCCGAGCTCCTTCAGCATCTTGAAGTTGTAGACTACGACCTGGATAAAAGTCTTCTCGAAATCGGTGTGAATGACACCAGCAGCCTGCGGCGCCTTCGTGCCGTTCCGGAGTGTCCATTGCCGGACCTCGTCGGTGCCTGTCGTGAAGAAGCTGCCAAGATTCAAGGCCTTTCGCATTGTTATGACAATCTTTGGCAGCGCAGATTCATACCCGCAGTTCTTGCACTCCTCCGCGACTGCCTCGTCATTCTCGAAGCGAGTGAGACGCTCTTCGAAAGCCACCGATAACGGTAGAATGGGATCACCAGCAGCATGTTCCTTCATCCATTCCGCGATCTTGGCAAGATGCTTGTTCTTCTTGCGAGCGTAATCCTTCTCAGACAAGTTGACCAGATATACCACTGGCTTTGCCGAGAGAAGGAAGAGGGTGTTGATGGTTTCGACCTGCGCAAACCGTTAGCTGAGATCCAGCCCAGAATGGTCAACTGTTTGGTGGAAAGATTTGCAATTTCAGAGCTTGGTTTTTATCACATATGCACTCTGCGTTGTATATTGAGGCATTCGAAGAGCTGGGATTATTCAGGCGCTATGGCCCTTTGTCATCATAAAAGGTGCAGTGGGAAGTAGGAGAAGAAAAGGGTTGATGTCTTACCTCCTTTGGTGTCCAGGCGCCCTTTCGGACGTCCTTGCCATCCTTCAGCCACGCAAGAACCTTTTCTATTGTGGCCTCTTCTTCCTTGGCCTTCTTAACCTCAAGACTTTGACCACCGATGCGAGTTCTCTTCTTGACGGCCTCGAGACCCTTCTCGGTGAATTCGATATCTTTCGATCGCAATTCCTCGGCAATGATATCGAGATCTCGGACGGGGTTAACATCGCCTTCAACGTGGATAATCTCGGCGTCATCAAAACATCGCACAACCTGGAAGATGGCATCGACGGCTCGGATGTGTGATAAGAAGGAGTTGCCAAGACCAGCACCGGTAGACGCTCCTCTGGTAAGACCGGCGATATCGTAGACGGTCAAGTGAGCAGGGACTCTGGACTTGGGCTTGTACTTGTCACACAACCAGTCATAACGCTCATCTGGGACAATAACCCGGGACTCTTCGGGGTCGATGGTAGCGTATGGAAAGTTCTACTCGTAGCCCAGTCAGATTGACACACGCGACGTGGCGCGGACCAATTGACTCACAGCAGGGTTTCCAAGACTGCACTTGGTGATGGCCTGGAACAGCGTGGACTTGCCGACGTTGGCAAGACCGACAATACCAGCCTTGAGGTTGTTGCCGGGTCGGCCCAGCAGGACCTTCTCCTCGACGACCTGCTTCTTGGGGGGCATTGTGGCGCGTCGCTTGTGGGCGTATGTGCGGGTGGTGATGCAGAGTGTGGTGCAGCTAGGCAATTGGTGTGGGTGTGGGAGTGGGAGGAGGGAGAGAAACGCAGAGCTAGCTGCGACGGTTGGAAAGATGCGCGAGAGAGAAGTGAATGGTAGCGGGGAGAAAAGGGAAGACGTGGTGGATGATGTTTTGGCTGAGAACCAGCCTCAAGGTCTGGGCAAGGTCTCGTCAAGGAGTATTCCCAGTTTCGCTCAATTCTCTGACCGAGTGAGCGTGAGCGAGAGTCTTGGTCAATGGTCCAATGCTCGAAGGCAGACCTCGTCAGAAGGGAAGGAAGAGGCTGTTTGGAGAGAGGTTTTGGTTGTGGTTTGGGGACACACAACCTTCTTGTCCTTGTCCTTGGAGGGGCAGGTGAGAAGAGAAGAAAAGCTTTGCAGCTGTTGTGGGCTCCGAATCAAATTGCATTGTCCCGTTTCGTCTCCACGGGATCCCCGCCCCTCATTGAGCTGAACCGGACGTCGGAGTTTCAATTGGCCGCACCGCCGTAGTAGCCCGAGCCACTGCCTTTCACCCCGCCTTCCAAGCCCCAGCACACCCCACTCGGGTCACTGTCACTGCTGCAGCTGGCGGCTCGAGTCGGACGACCTCATCGCAGTTGGTCCCGCATTCGTTCACCCGTCAGCTCGCCCAACTGTCTCAGCATCCGTCATCTGTGGCTGATGGGCTTTCCATGCCGCATGCCTGCGCTGCTTCATCCTTCCAACGGATGCAGCACTGATTCGAGCAGTCCTGCCTGATCCAACTCTGCATCTGTCTTTCATGACACGCATGCCAAACGCGCGTCAGCTGAAGGTTCCTTAGCACACTGTCCTCATTTCTACCTACATACTCCAAATTGTACCTCACCTTATGTCATACGCACTGCCCAGAGGGCAGAACTTCCATCTTCTATGCGGTCTTTCACCTGTATACCTAGCACCTACTATATACCTAAACCTATAAACTTTATCGCCTTGGTTCCCCCGCTGTACAACGTTCCAGACTCTTCCGCCAACCGGATACCGGGCCCTCTCGTCATACCTAAACGTCTCATTGGAACCGGTCGTGACCGTTGAACCTTCACAATGTCGTCAAAGAAGTCGTCATCTAGGAGATCATCGAGGCAATCGCACAGGTCAACACTCTCTCTATCCAGAACCGAAATAAACATCAACGTCTACGACCTCCTGCCAGTAAGCACCTCCGATCCCGCACCACAGCCCAAGTCGATCCACCCATCACTAACCACTACCACCCACCACCAACAGCTAGGCCGCCTCTCCTCCGTCCTCTGGACCTTCGGCGCCTCGCTCCTCCACTCGGGCGTCGTGATCAACGGAAAAGAATATGCCTACGGCGGACACGACAAGCGCGGGGTGACAGGCGTGTACTGGACGCCGCCCAAGACGGAACCGCCGGGCGGCAGCTTCAAGACAGAGATCCTGCACGGGTTCACATTCGCGACGCAGGCCGAAATCGACGCCATAGTGCGGCGGGCGTCGGACGAGTTCCACGGCACCGCCTACAACCTGTTGACCAAGAACTGCAACCACTTCACGAGCTACCTATGCCAGAAGCTGACAGGCCGCGCGGGGCCCGGCTGGCTGAATCGCGCGGCGAGTATTGGTGTCGCATTGCCGTGCATGGTGCCCAGAGACTGGATCGAACCACCGGATTTCGGGACCGCGGATGGCGAGCTGCTCGAGGATGAGGATGACTTCGATGCACACGAGGGGACGAGGATGCTGCGACAGGATGATACGAGGAGGCTTGCCACTGAGGATAGTGAGGAGGAAGAGGAGGAGTCGGCTTCGGATAACGGGGACCAACGCCGGCAGGGTGGGAGTGGGAAGGGCAAGAGCCCGGCACGAGACACCGGTGGACGAACGCTACCCTCATCCGAAAGGGCACCCCAAGCTGGAAGACATTGAGGGTCACCTATTGGTTGAAACAACGTGGCATTGCATTTTGGCATTGCATTCCAAGGCGTTTGGGTGGCGATGATGGCATTTGATGCGTTGGCGTTAGGAGGGATTTGCGATCGATACCAGATGATGCTGTTCTCAAAGAGGCAAGGCATATTGCATGGAATTCTCATTTTGTTGTTGAGTGTGATAAAATTGGATGATCAGCGTTCTCTTGATCGATATCGTACAGGATGTACATGTTTACAGCTTGGACATATGATACATATTCTCGAAGCCTTACTCTCCTATTCACTCCCCTATGCTCTCGAATGATCCATCTCCAACCACCAAGAGACCACTCATGCCAGAAGTATACTCTGGAAAGCGGAAACCGTAGCCACCATGGACGACACACGAACCTCCCGCTTAACCCAGTCTCCTCGGCTTCGGACTCCTCGTACCACCAAACTTGATCCTCGTAGCATCCGAGACCTTGCTAATCTTGTCTCTAAGCAGACGGCCCTCGGCGCCCAGCAGGACCTTGGTAGCGGCCTCGCGTCCCGGCCCGAAGCCGCGCAGCACGACCTCAAGCGTCGTGATCTCGCGGTGCCACCCCCATTGGTTCAGCTTATCGAGCACGTACGCGCACAGCTGGTAAGCGGCATCATAACTGCCGCGCTTCGCCTTCTTGAAGCCGATGTTGCCGGCCGACAGGCTCAGGATCGCGCCCCGGTTCGGCTTTGTCACGGTGATGTGCGCGTTGTGCTTGTGCGCGTAGATGTGGAAGTGGAACGGCTCCGCGCCCCATTCCGACTTGCTGTTTGAGGAGCCTAGGATTTCTTCGGACGCTGAGGCGTTGGGGGTGGGCTGGTTGCGCGCGCTTTGGATCGCTCCTGTGGCTAGGATTCGCTGTATTTCGGCCATGGCGCCGCCGCCGCTGTTGGTGGAGGACAACGGAGGTTGGGCGGCTGTGGGCTTTGCTTGTTGGGGCTGCGAGCGCTGGAGTTGGTCCAGGAGGGACGGAGGGTGGTCGGAGTCGACGTTGCGTCTACATGTTTGCGAGAAGGGCCGGGTGGTTTGGCGGAGGGTGCGTAGGGGGAGGGAGGAGAGCTGGGTGCTCGTGGTCGCCAAAAGGCGACTTGAGGAGCGGCTCATCTTCGAGGCATTGGGTGGTGCCCGTCAACTGTGAGGTCGTAGCCGTGCCGTATCTCTGCTAATCCCACGTCGAAGAGAATTAAGAACCACCAAGGTTCAATTGGTAGGGGTGGACGCTGGGCGATACGAAGCTATTCAATCGTCGAATTATTGGCCCTGGAAATTTTGAGACATGAGTCGGGTCTGCGAAAGTCTGTATGCACCTGCTAAGTTGGTGAGTTCCAATGGTGGTCCAAGCTTCTTAGGGGATTTGGTCATCTGGTCCCTGGCTCAAAGTCAGTCGCCCCAGCTCGAAAATTATCCCCGTCCTTTTTTTTCAAACTGCCGGAGTCGCCCGCCTACCATCACCTCACTCGAGCGTCAAAGTCGCAAAGGTCCCTTTCTTTTGTTGCGCGACGAAGTACCTGTGTTCTGTGCATCTCCCTTTTCAAAGCTTTGTACCGTCTGTGGAAGCTCCATATACGGCCGGACATGAGTTCACTACGGCAAGTCGCAGGGAGTTCTGCTCCCTCGGCCATCGCGAGGACGCCTTCAATGGCTGTTTACTCCTACGGACGATCTCCAGCTTACAGACGGTTACTCTCGAGCACTGGCAGCATATCGAGCTCGATGAGGAGCGAAAGTGCGCCGTTCGCCTCATCTGGACTGTCATCGCCGACCCTTGCCTCCCTCCGATCCTCCTTCCTCCCCGAAACGATAGCTACGATACAGTCGCGCAGCTTCCACCAGACATCACCATGGCGCCAGGAACAGCCCCAACACGCCTCACAGCCCCCGAAGCCAGACCCAAAGACGGCGGCGCCGGGAGAGAAGGCGGAACAAAGTGCTGCAGGGCCTGAATCAGAGGCGAAGACCGAGTCGAAAGAGCAAGCTAAACAACAAGACGGCGAGAAGTCGGAGGAGGGGGAGAAGAAAGAAGAGAAGAAAGAGGACCCTCCACCACCTCCACCCCATGGCGACAAGACACCATGGCAGGTTTTCATGGAGACCATGCAGACCGAGTTCAAAGCTTCGAAAGAGTGGAACGACTCGACCAAGCAGCTGGCTGATTCGGCGCACTCGTTCACCGAGAGCGAATCTGTCCGTCGCGCAAGGCAGGCCTATGAGAACACCACCGGCGCTGTTTCGTCAACTGCTGGTAAAGTCCTGAAGACATCAGCTACTACGATTGGCAAGGGCGCGGCTTGGACCTGGGAAACACCAGTGATGAAGGGCGTCCGCAAAAGTGCCAACATCACCGGCGAAGCACTCGACAAGGCGACGAAGCCGATTCGGGAGACTGAAGCATACAAGAACGTCAAGAATGTGATTGATGATGGTAGCAGTTCAAGATACGGTGGATGGGTCGAGAAGGAGGAGCGGAGAAAGGCTCGTGAGTTGCGCGAGCAGCAAGCTGCGTCCCTTCACGGCAAGGCCGAGGACGCAGTTGAAGATCCCAAGTACGTTCATCATGGTCTATATATGAGTTGCCATCCCCATACTGACCATTGCCAGCGCTGGAACCAATGTCACCCTTCACAAGGACGCTGCGTGGAAAGAGGCGTGGCGCGACTTTCGAGATCAGAACGGCTTCGTCCAGGGTGTGTTCAACATGAAAAATGTATACCAAGAGTCGGAGAACCCCTTGATCTCGACTGCTCGCAGCATCACCGACCGAGTTGCTGGCTTCTTTGCCGAGAACGAGACCGCCATGGTCATCAAGAGTTTCCGAAAGATGGACCCCAACTTCCAACTTGAACCCTTCCTCCAAGAGTTGCGAGAATATATTTTGCCTGAGGTTCTCGACGCCTATGTCAAAGGTGACACCGAGACCCTGAAGTTGTGGCTTTCTGCTGCCCAATACTCGGTTTACGAAGCACTGACGAAGCAATATCTTCAAGCCGGCATGAAGTCAGATGGCCGGATACTGGACATCAGACATGTGGATATTATGAAAGCTCGCATGCTCGAGCCGGGCGAGATCCCCGTCTTTATTATCACATGCCGAACGCAAGAGGTCCACGTATACAGAAACGCCAAGACGAATGAGCTTGCAGCTGGTATGGAGGATAAGGTCCAACTTGTCACCTACGCTATTGGAATTACACGGACACCCGAGGACGTCAACAATCCCGAAACCAGAGGGTGGAGGTTGATCGAAATGCAGAAGAGCGGCAGAGACTATATTTAAGCTGACGAATGCTGTCGCTTTGATGTTGTGGTTACAATATACATGTTTTAATACCTGTACAATACCTAACGACTGGAGGCGGAAGGAATAGAGGCCGTGGCAGGCGATGTCAAACACACCACTCCCTGTGCCTTGGTTTACGGGCGTTTCGGGTGGCGTGCAGCATATATCGCCATGTATGATAGACAAAACGGTGCATCACGGTCGTGCCACGGACGGCCCTGTGGCCTATGTACTTATTTGTCCCAACCGATGGCAAGCCCGCCATGAATCAATAATTGCTCATGAATTTTCATCTTTTGGGACACGGACCTAACCTTCAAAACTAGAATTGTCGACTCCCGGGCATAGCTATGATGTCACACTAAACTAACGCAACGCCGCGAATGCGGGTACGTGGAAGGAGCGCCTGAATGCACTTCCCGTATCCGGGCTCGCGTACCTATCCGCCTCATATTCAATCCAAAGAGTCGAAAGCCAGCACACAATCACCCTGCCTCCTCCTCTGCCTCCACCCCATCGTCACCATCCTCCTCCCCCTTTTCCACATCCTCCCACCGGAACTGCTCCCGCACCTCCATCAGACACCCACCCAGCAGATTCAAGCCCCAGTTCTCCCGGTTTTTTGTGTGTTCTGCGCCTTTCGCTGCGGACCCGATGCCCCAGATGGGGCTGGCCTCGACGAGCGGCCTGTATTTTGGTTTGTTGTGAGCAAGGCGTCGCGGAAGCTTCCGAGAGGCAGCACGGGGTCCGAGGTTCATTCAGAGGGTCCGGACGTATGCTCTACTGCCGTTCACGGTTTGGAACGACAACTAGACAGGGTGCTCGAATACTCTGGCCTTCCTGACAGCTTTACGTGGCATTGAAATACTTCAACCAACATCAGGTACTCGATTTGCTTACAACGTGTTGTTGGATGTCACGAATGCAGAGGAACAATGCGATGGTTGGCGGATTGACTGAATACCATATACAGATGGAGTGCGCATGACGAAAGGTTCTAGGGAGATCATCATGGTGACTGCTTTGAATCCAGACCGGAGAATAGTCGTCTTGGTGTCCAGGGCACATTTTGACATGATCAAGAACACATCGTCTCCGTGCTGCATGTCCTCCTCACTTTTATTAGTTGAAAGAGCGATTTCCAGGTCCGGGGTCTGCATCTGGACTCCAAAGTGCATCTTCAAGGACTCCAGGAGTTCGCTATGGGATGTACCCCCTTTTCAGGTGAATGGTCTGGCTGGCTTCTCAGTCACGGATCGATGGCATGAGCTCGCTCACTGGGTACACGGGTTGGAATGTAGGTACCCCAGTATCTTCCCGCATCCGGAGGCCACTCATCAAACGCGGATACCCTTCTCATTTCCTTACTAGCTTGTCTTAGCTGAAATGGAGCTTGCTGGACCTTTGTGATTGACCAAGGGTGTCGAGCTTCCTGCGACTTGGCCTAAGAATAGGCATTTCGCGAGCGTGCCAGATTGGGACAGCTTTATTTCCATGCCTCCATTGTAAACGCTGGTGTTATTCTTGACATGGTGGCCTGACGTAACCTATGTGCAGAGGAGTAATACAGATGTGAAGATCTTATTACCAAGCTCTTGGACCGGGAGGCAAGAGGCAAAGCCAAATACCCTAAAATACAACAAAAAGAGAGTCAAATATCAAATCGGACTCGTAAGGTGCCAAAATCTTCCTCGGTGTGGTGTAGTTGGTCATGTTGCGCTACAGGCTGGTTGGTGTTTGTGACGTACGGCGTAGATGGTGGTTGCGTTCAGACGCCCAACAAACCCGCCTCGCAGCATGAACCCCTGTCAACGTGAGATTGCCAAACCACGAAGAAAGTCTGGTTCGCTGAAGTGATTTAAAGTGCGAAAAGGGGTATCTACTATCACGGTATTGATCACGGTTTTCGGTCCTCCTCGCGTTGACCCCCTTGCGAGCCCGAAGATCCATACGGTGGAGAGGAGCCCCTGTATAGGGGTGACGCTCGGGCTGCATTCTCTGTCTTCCTCGGACTATCTTTCCCGCTTATACTCACTTCTGCATTGACAGAGTACACTCCATATCACGGACGCCGATTCCAAGAGGCGGCACTCACGTCAAAGACACGGCGGGCCTAGGCAAATCCCAAATCCTTGGCGATATTGTCGAACGACCAGTGTGATCTATCGCCAAGTCGATGCAGGTGAGCCTTGGCTTGTTGTGTGTAAACAGAATGACCACCTGGAGGGCCAAGCCGAACCTATCAAGCTTACTCGAATCTTACCTGCATTGTCACTGCATACAGAAGTGCTGTGAGATGTCACGTCCCGACAACGGCCTTGTTGTCCACGAGCCCACCTCCCGCTTGCGCGGGGTAACTGGCCATTTTCAAGTGCGACGTGAATGTTCTCGTTCTATCTTGCATCCTCAACAATCATCGTTTGCTCTGCTATGAAGACCACAGAGATAAAACTATCAGCAGCGGGCATGTTGGCTCCTATCGGAGACGAAGACGAGGGCCGGGTTGAGGTTGTGAACAAGTACCTGGGAACGCAAGACGACCGCTTGGATATGGACCGCCTAGGCAAAGTACAAAAGCTGAGAGTGGGCAATATCCAGCTCGATGCGGAAATCGGAGACTGACAGAGTCCAAAAGCGCAACTTTCGCTTTCTCTCCATCGTCGGGTTCTCGGCAGTGTTGGGTTCTACCTGGGAATGGGCCTTGGTGTGAGTCGATGCTATCTTCTCCTGCGCACCACTGAGCAACTCGATTAAGATCACATGTAGGGTGGCAGGAATATCGACGGTGAATGGTGGGCCTGCGGGAGCCATCTGGCTTTTTTTGATCGTCTGCTTCGGCATGTTCTTCGTCACACTTTCGATGGCCGAGATGGCATTGATGGGTAGGTATCGTCAGACTCTGCAGATACCGAGCCAAGTTCTAACGCTTCTTAGCACCTACCAGGTAATGACTTTCAAGGAGGCTCAGACCACGCTTCATTGCTAGGTAAGCTGTACTCTACCGAAAGGTCATGTAATGATTTGTGAAGTGGTGGACAGTATCATTGGGTATCGGAGTTCGCGCCCAAGAAGTTTCAGAAGATCGCCAGCTACGTAGTGGGCTGGCTATGTGTTCTGGGCTGGCAAGGGGCTATGGCATCGTCGATGTTTGCAGCAGCCCAACAGTTTGAGGCACTGATTGCCTTGAATATCCCGACGTACTCCATACACGGTTGGCATGGGACCTTGCTGAGTATTGCAATCGCCCTGCTCGCCATCGTCTTCAATACCGTTCTTGTCCGAAAACTGCGGATCTTCGAAGGTATCGCCTTGGTACTGCATGGATTTGGATTCATCGCCTTCATGGTCGTCCTCTGGCTCCTGTCGCCCAGATCCGACGTTGGTCAGACCTGGACAGACTTCCAAGACAACACTGGCTGGGGAAACCCGGGACTCGCAACATTGGTGGGCATCCTCGGTCCAATCGTTACGTTGGTCGGCGGTGACTCTGTCTGCCATCTCTCGGAAGAGCTCCGGGACGCTTCGTGGGTTCTTCCGCGCTCGGTGGTTGTCTCCGCCATCGTAAACTACGGCCTCGGATTCATCATGACGGTGACAATCATGATGACGCGCGGAGACCTCGAGACTGTAATGGAGACGAACACTGGCCAGGTGTATGTCCAAGTCGTAATCAATGCGACCCGGTCTCGCGTGGGCACATCCATCCTCACAGCAGCGGTCGCGGTGCTGCTCGTCTTCTGCTCCTCGAATTCCGTAACCACTGCTTCTCGGCAGCTGTTCGCTTTCTCACGAGACAAGGGCCTTCCGTTCTCTAAGTGGATATCGACTGTGAGCGTTCCCTTCGCCCCCGGATAATCGCAATTACTGATGAATCGCCCCCAGGTGCCTGAGGGATGGGACATCCCCATCAATGCTGTCATGGCCACTCTTCTCTTTACCACTTTGATATCCCTCATAATCATCGGGTCCCCAATCGCCTTCAACGTCATCACGTCCTTGGGCACAGTCGCACTGATTTCTTCCTACATCATAGTTATCATCTGCATGATCCTTCGGCGCCTTACCCAGCGGCCTCTTCTCCATTCCAGGTTTAGTCTAGGAAGGGCTGGATTGGCCATTAACTGCGTAGCATTGATGTTCCTCTGCGTGGCGTACATCTTCCTCTTCTTCCCCGCTTCACCCAATCCAACTGCGACGTCAATGAATTGGGCATGTCTAATCTACGGGTGTGTCATTGTTATGTCTTTGGCTTATTATTACTTTACCGGACGATACCATTATGAGGGGCCGGTAGAATATGTCAGAAAGGATCTATAAGTAGTTGACTCCGCGTGGTGCTTGTAGGACTGAACACGTCGAAGGACCGAGCGCGTCATAGGCTGATAGCCGTCTCGTCTACAGGTTGCTTTGGATTTCGATCCGTGACAAGGCTCATCACATCTATCAGTCAGCATAATGCCCCATTAGATCAGCACTATTTGTACACAATCGTCCAACCTCCTAGTTACTAGTTGACTCAGTAACAAAGGAGACCGCATCGTAGTTATATAAGCAAGCTTCCATCGTGTCGAGGACAATGCGTATCTCGGGGTCAAAACAGATTCCATTAAGGCGTCAACCCTTGGAACTGTTTGGGGGTTTGCTCATTCGTAAGCGTCGGGACGACAATCTTACCAGAGTATGACGAGACCATCAGCCTACCTTTAGCCAGACAATAGCAAGGTCAATATACACAATCCTAGCCAACATAACCAGGGAGGTCCAAGTGCACTATGGTAAGCGCATTGATGTGTAGGTTTGCAGACCATTATCCAGCGATTTCTGTATCGTTGGGAGACTGAAACGCTCATGGCCGAGATACTGCAAGCATTCAAGAGTGAGAGCGCTTCTATTCTTTACCGGGGTGTGATACTATGACATTGTGCTCAATCAAGGAGCGACGACGACTAACTTGAAGAAATAAGTTACGCTTCAGTTCAATGTCACAATGGTAATCCCAATCGATATCCCATACCCGAAGCTAATGGACCGTGCTTCGTCCTGAATGCGGCAACACGAAGATGGCATTGTCACGATGTTTGCTTTCTCAAATGCATTGTGCGTTCGGTGGCCCCCAATGGACCAGAATGTTCACAGACCATGTTCAATGGCATTTACATTCATCTGCTTTCGGATGATTTTTACAAACGAAACAGCATAAAGTATCAGGAGACAACTGGTTATCAAGGAGCCAACAGATCTCAACATCTGGCCTCGCTCTTCGTTCAAGCATTGAAGCTCATTCACCTTGTTGTCAACCCTTAACTGGCCCTTTTCGCAGATCGACTGTCTTCAGTCCAGTTGGGAACTACTTCAATCCCATCACACACAGCCTCCCCTACTACCATATCCTGAATCCAAACCCCTATTTCGACATGTCGCTACGACGCCTGCACGCGCCCGCGATGCGCACCCATCAACGATCGGAAACTCCGCCCCCGCCATACGCCGAGTACGACGAGAATTGCCCGCCCAGATATACGATTCTATATCAGTACGAAGGCCTCGACCTTCCTATTCAGATATAAGTCCATGAACCCTGCTGTATCTCCAGCCGCTGCAGCAGATCTACCACTGGAGGAACCCACTACTGCCAGAGACACAAGTGCCGCAAATACGGATGCGCCAACCGTCGACTCAAGGGACGGCTTACGAACTTCTGCCACGACCACGCTTGCTCTCTACCGGAATGCAATGGAGTCAAGGCTGGCGCTCTACCCTACTGTATCAGTCACAAGTGCCGCCGCAGTGGCTGTGAGGAGCCTAAGCTAGGGCAGCAGAGCCGGTACTGTTCTCTACATTCGCGCCATTGCAAGGAGTGCTCAAGACGTTGCGATACACAATCGGAGTACTGCCACAAGCATAGATGTCGCATCGAAGACTGTACCCACCCACCTTTACGCTCAACTAAGTTCTGTAAAGATCACGGATGCGATGTGGACATTTGTCCCATACCTCGACCGCCAGGAAGTCGATATTGCATCAATCACGAATGCCAGGTCGGTGACTGCAGCGAAGGTCAGACCGGACAGACCTGGTTTTGTAGACAGCACAAGTGCGCGTCTGACGGTTGTGGGTCTGTTCGATTCAGGGGCTTCCATCACTGCGCCGATCATAAATCTGGGTCGTGCGCCGTGGCCGCTGGCGTGAACAGCAACCTGCCCGGCGACGATCAGTGCCGGGAAACTGGTTGTCCACGACGTCGCATACCCGGACAAGACTGGTGTCGACGACACTGCTGCCACTGGAGCCGGTGTGATTATCCAACGCTTCAGAGGGGAAGATATTGTCGGGACCACACATGCAACGCCAGTGACTGCGAAGACAAGGTCCAATGCATCGGCAACACCATTGGCAACTATTGTGTCGACCACAGCTGTGCCCAGGATGGCTGTTATTTCCGGTCGTCCAGAGGGGCATTTTGTCGAGACCACGAATGCGGAATACGAGATTGTTTTAATCGCCGCTATTGGGATGATGAACGCGGTCTTCATCAGGAGCATGAGTGCTGTCGGTTTCACACCTGCGTTCAGAGAAAGTGCTATGCTTCGACAAGTCTCATCGGAACTTTGTGCGATCGTCATTTGCGGTTGGATATGCAAACACGTGGCTATGGCCACTCCTGCCAGGGTGATGGCGGCAGCTTGTGCAATGGCACTCGCAGGATCAGACGAAAGGGGGCAGATCTGAGAGGAAGGATGGTGGACGATGGTTTGATATTCAGGAGGTGACAAGCTACAGAAGGTTGGAGACACGAATAGTTAGAAGCTAGTCGTATGCCTCAAGGCGGACAGCTTTTGGGTTAGTAGCCGCGTTCCTGTTTCTATTAACATCCGAGCGACGGGGGAGTCAGAATTGCCAAAGCCTAGCACATTACATAGGTTCGAGTGCGGCTCGAGAATAGCGTATTACTAGAGTAATTTGACACTCTTCAGCGATACTACGATGAACTGGTTGGCAGTGCTAATACATATGATCTGGGCGCTTCTGAGCCCCTGGATCGAGCCAATATCACTGAGGTAATATAGTGGGATAAACACTGGACATCTGCTCATGCCACGGTGTGTTGTGTATCCGACGGCCTGCTGCTGTCGCCCCAGGATCAGGAAGTGCGAACGCTCGAGTTCGCAAACATCCACACGCCACGCCGGGTAAAATTCCGTTCCTTGTATATTTTCTGCTTGGGTCGACGTGTGACTGTCCCTAAGTATCAGACATAACGCGCTTAATTAACTATTAACTGTCAAGATAACACGCGATTTGCCATACCGCCCACTGCTTCATCCACCAGGCGCCTGTGAAGACAGGCTCATTTAGGTTCAAGCCTTCTGCAAGCTCTTGGTAACGTTCGCAACCACTTCAGCAGTGTATTCCCACAAAGCAGCTGAATCATGACTGACCCAAGCCGCTCCCGTCCAGTACGTGTTCAGGTGTCCCTGCAAGTTGTACATCTTCTGATAGTAACCAGGCTTGACATCGTCGACTTCCATGTGCAACCCATAGGGGCTGTGGTTGGCAAGCGCCACAATCTCATACGGATCCGTCGTCGTGGTGTTGTAGGCGCCCGCGTCCCGGAGCCGCTGCATGGTCGCCTCGATCTCGCCCCGAACCTCATCTTCAGTCTTGCTCTGCCCCTCGGGCAAGCCGTACGCAGTCACGTAGCAAGCTGGCGCCGGCGAGGCTCGGAATAAGTAGTCGGCGGGAAGGTCGGCGAAAAAGTATGGGATGGTCATGTTTCCAGGAGACACGTTGTCGATGTTCAGGCCCGCGGGGATGGCAGGCTCCCGCACCACTCCGGCCCAGCACTCGAAGTACTTGAACCTTTTGAACACGTCAGTTTCGGCCGAGTCCAGGTCAAAAGTTCCGAGGTAGCCGACATCGGTGAGAGGAGGGATCGAGACAATGATGCGGTTGGCCCGGATGACGGACGTCCCCCCATGCTGGACGTTCAGACTTGAAAGGGCAAGAGATTAGTTCAGTTTCAATAGATATCGAAAAATCATGGCTTACCTGATATATCCTTCAGAGTCGACTTCACTGCGCTGGGCAGTCACGACCGTAGTGCGGAAGAGCACATCGTCGCCAAGGATGTCAGTGGCCTTGGCGTAGATGGAGCTCATGTTTCTGTTGGAGGGGATGAGGAACCCGGCACCCCTGAGGCCGTTGACCACACGAGCACTGAATAACTTGAGAATGTACAGGGCGGGGACCTCGAGAATCTGGCCGAATCCCTGAGACCACTGGTAGATCGCGCGACTCGCATCACCAAGCTCGTACATCTTCATGAAGTCGCCGAAGGGAATGAGTAGGTCGGCGGGGATATCCGCGGTGAGATCATATGTTAGGTTCAGGAAGGGATAATTCTCCAGCTGGTCGAAGTAGCGCTCGAGTGCGTCCGAGGGATTATGCTCGACGTAGTAGGGGTTGTGTTCACCCGACTTAAAGTCGAAGAAGCTGACATTTGTGAAGCTGACATTGCCAGTGACGGTGGTAAGACCGAGTCGTGCCAGGTAGTCTTGGGTCGTAGGCGAGTTACCCAGCACGATGACACCGTAGTCGACGGCTGCACCACTGACTGGGTCATCCCAGGTGACAGTGTGGCCGCCCAGCCGGTTGCTCTTGTCGACGACGGCGACGCTCACGTTGGCGTCCTTCAGCTTGATGGCAGCATAGGTTCCGCTCGAGCCACCACCAATTATGACGACATCCCGAGTGATGGTGTCAATCGCTGTACTGAAGCCGGCCCAGGCAAGGCAAGCCACGGTAATGGGAACTCGGAAGACCATATTCGTAAGTGTTGCTGGCTATGTCTAGAAAGGCCTCTGAGGGTTGTCGGCTGCGTGTCGTATGGCGGAGACCTGATGTATGGTGTGGGAGAGGGTTGCTGCATAATCTGCTTTTGGAGGTGCGGAAACTGCGAGCTTTATAGGCAGCGAAGACGAAGTGTTATCGTCCATTCTTCATTTTCCATGGGGAAAGTAGCCGGTGTGGGAGATTGTACCTGGCCAGTGCGGGTGTTTGAACGGTGTGATCAATGGAGCGGATCCCCGAAAAGATCAGACGGAGGGCTTTGCCTGCACAATGTTCGGTATCGGGACTTCGCAAGTAGAGGCACCAGTAGGAGGCAAACGGGAAAAGATTGCGATCCATTTCCACGATTGATACCCACCACGCGGTAGAACGCCGCACACCCATTCATCAAGCTTGGCGGTGTATCTCCTGTCGAGTTCCGCGGTGTCATGGAAAAGGGGTTCAGGGGTCGGACCCACTCAAAGTTTATAGGATGAACAATCCCGCAATCAGCGGTCTTGGAGTTTGCCTCAAGCACGCAGTTCGAGGACACCCAAAGAAACGAGACTGAAGGCAACATGCCACAAGAACCTCTGTCGTCTAAAGTCCCTCATCTACCCAAAACGTGTCGGCAAACACGCGACTGGGAGGCTCATTCATCGTAGATCGGCACGGACTGGCGGCCCGAAGTGTATTCCCTTGCATTCTGCTTCATCCCTGCAACGAAACCCGGCTCGGACCCCGACGACGGTAACGAATGCGATAGCCTCCCATGTACTTCGCTAATCCGTCCCATGATATGGCACCAAAGAACGTACACCCATTTGCGTACAGTGCCCTCCTCACACCATCGGCACTACCCAATTGCCCAACACACATAATACCGCAATTCAAACCATTAAGCGCTATTCTCGCTTGGCTCTTTGTTCTTGCCTTTCGTTTGAGAAGTCGCCAAAGATGTACTGCGCGGATGCAAGGATGCGGAGTTGGGGGTCCCCGAGTTCCTACACTCCTCGAGTCGTCGTTCCCACTTATCGAATTTGGGTTCCACTGTCTCGAGAACCTCCCGAAATGCTTTGGCGTAGCCCGCTACGGTGTTGTACTTCGGCACAAGTTCTGTAGTGACCTTGTCAATCGTTTTTAGGAAATCGTCTATGCGGTCGCTGAGCTTCTCGACGGGTGGATTGTTGACATCTCGATAGTTTGCCATGTTGATAAGCCACAGGGTATCGTCTGATATGGAGGATAGGTGAGTGATAGGAATATAAATGCGGAGTCATGAACTCACAGAGATTATTGGCAATGTGTAGTCGTGGCGAATGTATTCTCGAGTTGGTTGACCTACTGACAATGCGAATGATTGGGGTGGTTGCACCCGAGAACGCAACCCAAAGTCTCAAAAATTCCTCTACAGTCTATCTATGGATGACGGAGTTCTGTGCAAAGGTAGATATCCAGCCCGTCACAGTTGAAGTTCTTATCTACTTTACAGTGTGATTCACCGTCTAGACCCGATGTGGTCATCTTCACCATACGATCAGGCAATCGAGGACGGCTCAGTTTGTACCTGTGAATCACGGATGAGCGTCGAATGGCTCGAAAAACCAGGTTCGGTGATGTAGATGATCTCAAGTTCTGGCCGCAAAGGCTTCAGGTACCCGTAACCCAATGCGCCCTTTTGTTGCGAGAGCCGAGGGCTGCTGAGACTGCCAACGCTGTCATTGCGTCCTGATTGCGTCCCGATGATTGCGCAAGATGTCGATACTGGCGAAGGCCCAACTGGCGAAGGTCCAATATCCCTCCGCCACATAGTTCTAGTCAGAGTGGGCGGGTTTAAACCACGGAGCATCATAGCGAAAGTAATAGACAGCGCCGAAGGAGTGATTGTGCAGCAGGTTGGTCCAGTCGGTGACGGCAACCTTCGCTGCGAGCACAGTGTCTTTCTAAGCCATCTGGCGAGTTACCGCAAGCGACAGCGGAAGGAGTTTGGCATCGCCAGTGATGTAGCACCGTGAGCAGAACGTAGACTGGCCATCTAGCCTGTGTCCAAGGTTTACTGAAGCTGCTAGATATGTGTGTACCTCAACAGTTAGGCTCGGCATGACCCGCAGCTCGTCCGACGAAGCGAATATGAGGTGATCTTCACTCACCGCTAATTCTCGGCCGTGACTATCTGGCAAAATTACAGTCGCCTCATTCAAATAGAGTCACCGATGCCCAGGCCGGCCGCCTGGACAAATGTTGAAAGTCATGCCGCGGGAATCGGCAGCGATATCGCCATCATCCCCTGGAGTAATCGTCGAGTCCAGATGATGATGCACGCTATCTTTCACGGCTTCGGCTTTTGCATGGCCTCTGAGCTCGACGCAGTCATCAATGCACGAATTATATCTCCAACGATTGTTTAGACGAGGTAGGTGGTAACGTTAGCTAGAAGATTGGGTTTTGGGGTATATGGTGCCGGGGTGGCCTAGCCAATTTGTTCTATTACACAATTTTGATCCGACATCACAAAGCCTTTTCCTGCCGGATGACTCATGTGTTGTCGCTATTCCTTGGCTCTATAACGTGAGCGTCTGTTGAGTCAAGAAACGTCTTGCCGCCCTCGGCGATGTCGCTTTTGAGCTTCTTCTCCAGGTCTGCTGCGCCGCTCGAGCGGGGAAGATATCATGACTCACAAAATCCACCATGCCGCCGACATGACTATGCTTGCCTGTGGCAGAAATTATATAACTAGCTGACATCAATCCCATCAATCCCATCATCCCCTGCCATTTCGCACCATCTTGTCGTTGCCATCTTCGTTTTCCAATCTTCACAATCACCAACTTTCAATCACTGCCCTTGTCGAGCCACACAATGGCTGGCAACACATCGCAAATTCCGGCGGACGTGAAGGAGCGGATCAAGTCGTCGTACGACGCCATCGCAACCGAGTACAACGAATGGTGAGTACTCCCCATTGGAGAGACATTGTCTCTTCAGCAAATGTTCCGGTCAAATACTCAAGGGTGAATCCAGGACGGTTCCGCACTCGGCACAACGCATGCAATATCTCGCAACCGTCCTTGAGAAGCTGCCTCTGTCCGATCCTTCGCTGCAGCCTAAGATCCTCGAGCTTGGCTGCGGTTGCGGCCTCCCCGTCACGAAAAAGCTCATGTCATACCCTGCAGCCACAGTCATCGCCAATGACCTGTCCAGTGCTCAGATCGCAATCGCGAGAAAGAACCTCCTCGACGGTCCAGATGACGAGAACGCGAAGCGATTGACCCTCATCGAAGGCGACATGTTCAGTCTAGCCTTTCCTGACGACTCGCTTGACCTCGTCCTCGGATTCTACAGTATCATTCATCTGCCGCGAGTTGAGCAGACTGCACTGCTCGAGAAGATCGCACGATGGCTGAAGCCGGATGGCTACTTACTTGCTAACTTCTCAACGGTGGCCGCGGACGCTTCTATCAACAAGGCATGGATCGAAGATAAGGGGTGGATGTTTTGGAGCGGATGGGGTGTCGACGGAACTCTGGAAGCAATCAAAACCGCAGGCTTGGAAGTCGTCTCAAGTGAGGTCGCGAAGGATACAGTTGACGATTCCTCGTTTCTTTGGGTCATTGCGAAGCGGTGAAGCTAAAGCAAGGCGAAGAAGTGCGTGGCACGGTAGTTGAAACGGGTCATGTTTCTCATAGGGACAATAGGATGTTCAACACAGCCTCCAAAATCGGTTAGAGCTTGAGACACTGGTAATCTCCAATCTAAGAAGACAATGGTATGATATGGAATTAATTTTGGCTTTGCCGCAACTGACTTGGAGCAAATTATCGATGGGTTTTTTTGGTGCCTCATGGCTGAACTTTGTTCGTCTTCTTTCTCAACCTCAACGCCAATATGGCACCAGCGAAACCTTCGTACCGATGAGTCACAATAGCCCTATATAAGGACAAATCCTCGCATGGGAATCTCCCGCTTCGCGAAGATTTTCTCCACAAACCACACACAATTATTCCCAACGTCACCTGAGACATACCACAGACAATGGTAGTGATGAGATGATTCTTGAGGATGATACATCCTTTTGGAAACATATCGGGCTCTTTTCGAGGACTTCATTTGTCACTGAAAGGAGGAAATAGGGCATGCATGTTTCACACCAGCCAGTGTCTAGAGGGGCTGACGCGAAGTGCAGCTTCTCGGTATCTCGGAGGGAATATAAGATGTTTGTTTGTTTGTTTTGTATTTAACGTGGGGGGTCGCTCCTCAGTAGTGCAAACCACGCCTCCCAGAGCCTAAAAAAACACCACAACATATTTTCTTTTGTAAGAGGCTAGGAAAAAATTGGTTATTGCCTAGGTACTCGCATAGGACAGCCTGTTTACAATACTCAGGGGAGAGGAGCACAGAATGGGCAAAATTCGTGGAGAAGAGCAAGTTCTTTTCAACAATCTGTCTCCGATAGATAGCTGTTCTTGAAGGACCAGATGGATGACCCCAAGGTCATACCGCCGCAACAACGGGGATGGGCCCGTGAGCGGGACTGACTGTACTTATTTTCTTAAGACCTCCACAACCCTGCGATGCAGAGGCTCTGGGAGGCGTGGTCTGCACTACTGAGGAGCTACCCCCCACGTTAAATACAAAACAAACAAACAAACAAACAAACATTCATCATTCCACTAAGCAGTGGGCCTAGATTCTTGGGGCTTCTTGCCTACTGTTCTGACACAGCCTTGGATTATGTTGATCAAGTTCTGTGTAAAGGCATCTATCTGGCCAGGGGATGCACCCAGCCGGTGGAACTCATGAATACTGTTTTGGATATTGTCCACCAGCTCTTGTAATTTATTGTCCGGGACTACCCCTGATTAGCCTTGGGGACCTGGTCCAGGTCTCCATGAATTGAGACAACTATTTGTAATATCTTGTGATCTGAGGTGCACTGGAGTGCATCATTCACTGAGGCTTCGGCCATGGGGACATCTGAGAAAACCAGATCCAGTACATTTCTGTCATCATGTGTCGGGACATCTGGTTTAGAAATCAGATCCAGTCCGTGGTCTGCCATAGTCTATGCAAGTATAGTACCACCATGATATCCTGGATTGCTTGAGTCCCAGGATGTATCGCCAGCATTAAAATCTCCGGCTATGACACAGCCAAAGAGTGGAGTCCATACTTCTAGAATGTCATCCACTTCCTGTGGGTTATGGCATGGTCGGTAGACACTGGCAAATATAATACCTCGTACCTTGACCCAAGTGATGTCTTGTGTAGCGTAAGGCCGAAGTTGATCCGCTTGAAGATATTTTCTCACATAGATGAGATATCGGCTGTATGGCGCAATGGTCAAATACGCCTGGTTGTGTTCTCGTTTGTGCGGTGGGCGACGAGAACAAGTGGGTTCGAATCCTGTTATGGCCTCCTTCTGACCCGGCTTGTGCGAGTCGACAACCAGCACATGACAGTGGAGAGGCCCCTTATCGCAGAGCCCGATAGCCAAGCAGCTTATCTCCACAACACCCACTCTTGCGAGGTTTTTCCCCTTGTGGTTTCCCTTGCCAGCAGATAACAAACACCTACTTCACCCACCAATGCGACATATATCGAACGGCTACTGGAACGATGTGTACACCAGAGAACTGAGGTTCACTGGGTCGCTTTGTCACTAGACAGGAGGTTTTTCTGACAGAATCGTACTTGGGTATTGACTAAAACCATCTGGTCACTCTAAGTGGGTACCGCTAACATCTCCCACCCCCCTGCGGACCACCCCCCCGCGGACCAGCGCGTTCTGACCCACAAACGCGTAATTCACCAACCACCAGGATTATGGTGATCCACCATCTACACCATCACTTTTGCATCTTTTTTTTCACAAAGCACACTATTTGAATCCTTATCCACTGCTGAATCTCATGATGTCATTTTACGACCGTCAAATAAAAGCTGAAGCCGCCATTTTGGCCATCCAATGCGGAGCTCCAGTCCGCTCGTCAGCCCTCAAATGGCAAATCAGCCGCTCGTACGTCAACCGACGAATCTCTGGCACCCCAACGCGGAATGAGACCAGCGTTCTCCAACAGGCTCTCTCACCGTATCTCGAACATAAGCTGGCAAGCTGGGCCCTGGTGCAAGCACGGTTAGGGTATTCTCTGGCGGTCTCTAAGTTCCGTCTCATGGCCCAGCGGATGCTCCATGCCACCGGGGATGCTCGAGAATTAGGGAAAAATTAGGCATCCAAGTTCCTGTCTCGAAACCCGGAAGTCAAGATAATAAAGTCTCGTGTTATCGACTACAACCGAGTGAATGGTGCTATAGCGGCAAATATCAACATTTTTTTCGATCAGTGTGACGCCCCTGACGTGGTTAACCTCATGCCAGCACGCTGGTACAACGTCGACAAAATGGGAATCGCCCAGGGGGTTGGGGACTCCCATTGGGTGGTCTCCGAGGCCTCCGGCAACGTGGCTATGAAGAAAGGGGTCGAGAAGGGTGAATGGATAACTGCCCTAGAGTGTGTGAGCGGATCTGGTGAGACCTTGCCGCCGCTGGTGATTCTCAAGGGGGTTAACGTACAAGCCCAGTGGTTTAGCAACCAAAACGAGGGCAAATTCACCGACTGGAGCTTTATTACGCCGCCCAATGGATGGACCTCGAATCCCATTGCGTTAGAATGGCTTCAACGTATCTTTATTCCTCACATTCGGGAGGTCCACGGCAACACATGGGTGGTTTTGGTGTGTGATGACCACGACTCCCACACGAATGACGAGTTCCTAGCCACCTGCTTGAGAAACAAAGTATGGTTGATCTTTTATGAACCTCATTGCTCCCATGTTGTCCAGGTATTAGATGTGGGAGTCTTCAATTTGGTAAAGAAAAGGTTGAAGACCTTACTCCAGGAGACGCCCAGCGGCCGTCTGGGACTCAGACCATCTAAGGAGGAGGTTTTGGAGTGCTACGAGCAGGCCCGGAAGGACACAATGACGCACCTCAACATCAGAATTGCCTGGAAAAAGACTGGGATTGTTCCTCGCAACAGAGCGGAGGCGTCGAAGTCAAAATATGTGATTCTGGAGGACAAGGGGGTGGCCAGGGCACGCCAAAGGGACCCTAAGACTTCCGAGCGAGCCACAACACCAGATTTTCTCGAGATGGTAGCTAAAACCATTGTCACAACACCCTCTGGAAGCCGGGCTTTGCGGGAGAGTGCTCGAAAGCTCAAAAGAAAGGACCCTTCCTTTGGGGGGCCCTTTGAGCGCTTGTTGGTACGGAAGGCTGGCAAGGCCATAGATGTTCAGGCTGCTACCATTACAAATCTACGGGCCAAATGTGAGCTGCTTGAGGCTCAAGTGGCTAAAAAGGCTAATACCACTCAAAAAGCAGTCAAACCAACACCAGGGGAACGATTCGTCACAATGGCTAACATAAAGGAGGCCAAAATGGAGCTGAGGAACAGGAGGGTTTATAGGGACTCCGCTATAGGCAAAGAGGTCCCATAAGAGATCCCTGGTGAAGATTTAGGGTCGGAATCGGATTCTGGGAGCTGTATTATGATTAGAACAACACGACCTTAGTGTATTTAGCAACTGTGGTGGTTGTAGATGGCTTCATCTGAATGAGAGTGGTGTGGTGTGGAGTGGTCCGTGGGGGGGTGGTCCGCAGGGGGGGGTGAGATGTTACAGCGTGGATAGGCTTGTGCGCGGATTTGAAAGTATCTAGACTGACACCTCTACAACCTTGCGATGCAATGGCTCTGGGAGGCGTGGTTTGCCCTATAGAGGGACTGCACCCACGATAAATACAATCAATCAATCAATCAAGATGAGAGATCTGGGCCGTGTACTGTCGCTATCCCAGGAATCCACTGGGAAGTATATATCGTAATTAGGGTGTGTCTTTACTCTCATTCTTCTGCCTGGTGGAATGCCGACCCAGGGCTCTTGCATCAGAATGATGTTTGCTTGTTCTCCTTTATAGTCAGCCAGGTTAATGGCTAACTCTGTAGGGCCTGCACTCTTTTGTCCTCTTGCTGCATTTATAGAGTGGATGACTAGATGCCCATGTCGATATGTTTCATTTGATGTACCTAGCATTAACTGACAATAATGGTGTCGGTATCCTTGGGATGAGCTGTATCTGTTGTGTCGATTTGCATTGTGGTGTCTTTGTTATTATTGTTAGGTATTGACTTAGCTTGATTTCTGCCTGTTTTATTGAAGGCCCTGGATCTGGCTCTTTCTCCGGCCAGCCTTATTTCTTGGATTTGTTTCCATGTGTGCTTGTGGATAATACCTTTTACAACCTTGGGGCGTGCAGGGCATTTATCGAAGTCAGTAGCATGAGTTCCTTTGCAGTTGACACACTTTGGGATTGGTTTTTTGCACTCCCCTTGGTGTACTGTGTTGGCGCAATGTGCACATACTTGCTTTTTATATCGGTAGTTCTTACTATGGTATCTGAAGCAGCTCGCACACTGGTGAACCTTAGGGGAGTATTGAATGTGCCTTAAGGTCATTAAGTGAGCAAAAAGCATGAATGGTTTCTTTGCTGCACGGGGCAGAGAGATCACCTATGTGATCTCTGGATCTGAATCAACCGTGTTCCTTAAGAGTATGCACCTTAAAGGTCTGTCACCTGTTTAGGCTTCAACCTTGTTAGTGACAGCAGTATTAGTAATATCGATTATAAACCCTTCTATACTGATGACCTTTTTTGGGCATCTATCGACCTTGTAGTGATACCAGACTGTGTGGGTCTCGATCTTTTCTGCCTTGAGAATATCAGTGATTTCTTCTTGGAAGGCCAGGAGCTTAGCCTGAGTTGGCTTGTCCCTTTGGTATAAGGTAAATCCGGAGGGGCACCGGGTCACTTCTCTAAGCTCTTAAGGGTGGAGCTTAAGTCTTCTGTTCAGTGTAGACTTTATTCCGTAAGGCTCTAAGTGGCTATTATCTATACGGACAAAGACCCGGAGATCATCCTGTTTCTTCTTTAATTAGTTAGTAATGATAAGGGCGCCAGTTATGAGTTGTCCTCGAGGTCTTTCAAATTGTGTAGATAGTCCGACAGAGCCATGCTCTCGGACCCGACATTTTCTGAGGTACTCTGTGTTTCCATGATGTGTAGTATAGCTGGTAACTATCAACTGTGTTTAGGTTTAGCATTGGAACGTATTGAATGGGCAGCGGTCTCCAACTCTTATATTCCCTCCACCACCACAAAACAAAAACAACTATTTTTCTTGACGCCCCGCTGTTAGGGCGCAACCTCGATATCTGCACTCAAGCAGGCACTTCTCTTAATAACTGACTATCTTTGTCAAGGCACAAGAGAATTTTTCTCACAAGCCGGATGGCACCCTTCCACGACGGGCCCCTAAACACGCCCGTGGCTGTCCCAAAGACGACCACCGGCGGCGTGCTCAAATCCCCTGCCCCTAGAAAGACATACGGCCCAGCAACTCCGAGCAGGCTCCGCCAGGCGCTGCTTGACAACATCAGCAGCAGCCTGTCACAGGTCTCTGAGACTGATTTCACTGTTATTTCCCCTCTGAAAGGAAAATCCTGAAATATTAATGACAGCAGCACTACTAGAATGAAACGACCTCAATTGAACAAAATCTCTATAAACCAAGCCATTATACACTATATAAGGAATAAAGCCTCCTCTTCAGAATGCCAGGACCAAGTTGCCAAAATACTGGCTAAAGACAAGCACTTTTATGAAGTCAGGATAACAATGTTTCAAGAATATACTGCAATAGTTGATAAGATATTTGAGAAAGCTGGAACCGAATTATACTCTTATGCCAAAGAGTTCAGCACTTTCTTCTCTAAATGTCTGAACAAGTGGCTGGAAACCCAAGATCCGTCCAAAAAGAAGACCATTCCTGGGGGGATAGGGATGGTGAAGCCCACCATGACCTTTGCCCAAGCCGTCTCCTCTAGCCAGCGACAGCATCCACGGATAGTCAACATTACCATAAAGAAAACACAGTCTCTTCAACACGGACTCGAATCTGCCACTGCAGCTTCCAACCTTGAGAAAAGACCGTGTCAACCGAATCTTCTTCTACCGACGCTTCTTCAACCCCCCACACGTCGGCCACCTAAACAGTCTCAGATATGCCTTTGAAAACTGCGGCGAAGACTGGAATGCCATTGCCGCCTTCGTGTTCGTCTTGAGCGACAAATCTCTGCGTTCTAAACTGGCCGGCCGTCAAGACCCACTGGTTTTCGTACGAGATCAGCGGATACAGCTCTGGAGAGAAGCACTCAAAGAACATGGCATGAGTCATTGATGCTGGGTAGGGGCGAAACCAACTGCCCCAGGATTCGAAAGAGACCTAAAAGACTCGATCAAGTCTGCTGGTTTCAAAGCGGAGTGCATCGACCTTTATGGCGCTGACCATGCCAGCATATCTAACACCCTAAATTTGGGGTTGTAGTCAGACCACTTAGTTGTCACAAATATCGGCCGCCAATGCGAGTTCGTCACGGATGACACGGAAATTTTACTCAAGCTCAGTGGATACACGAAATGGCGAAAGTAAACCGGCAACCCAGCGTCGTCTGGACTTGCCATTCAGTAGGGCGGCCTCGACATACGATTCGGTTCATCCCATGCGACAATCCGATGGATGAGCGCGAGGTGAGCTCTACGAAAGTCAGGCGTATTATCGCAATGACAAATGATGCGACTCAATTAGAAAACAAGCTTCAGGCCAATGCTTTGAGTCCATCTCTGTTGGCTCGGGTTGTCATAGATGGCTTGTTCTATACGACCTAGGGAGTGGCAATGGGAGACTTTTAGAGCTTGGGGATGTTGTCCCAGGATTCAAATCCCTTCAATAAGGTTAAAGAGATTATAGTAACAACTGATTGCGTTTATGGTTCAGCGGCTGACTTGCCACGGCCTGGGTGGACTCCTCATTTTCCCGTTGTGATGGAGAGGGTTGTAACATCCCGAGGGGAGTCACACATCACACACACCATGAGTTTAACCCTTGCACCTCCACTTCTGCTTTATTGCTACACATATATTTTATCTCTTGACCCACGTGAGTATGGGCCAATATCTTACAAGCAGCTGGATCGATGAAATGTTCCGTAATGCCCCAGTGACGGATGTCGACTGCAAGCCGAGCAACGAGTAGGGAAGATCGAAATTGCTTCTGCATGTTGAAATTGCCCCCATCTCAACGGCATCTCGTCAAGTAACCGCCAAGGTCCAGCTGGTCCTCGAGAAACCCTATGCCCCACGGTCTCCCCTTGTAGATTCCGGCCTAGGTTGCGGTCTACTCGTCTTAACGAGCCGTGGTCGTGTTTATCTGAATCTTTTGCTCTGAAGTCAGTCTGCATCCTGTCCGTTGCATGCCATCCATTGGTGCAAACTTACCGTAGCCACGAGTCTTTTCTTTTGACCACCCTTGCGTACTGGAGATCTGGTGATGGGAGATGTGGCTCGCCAGTTTCTGACGGTCCTTGCGAAGTTGGCCCGAGGTTGTCTTCGGTAATGCTAATTGATCACAGAATCTGAAGGCTGTGGTTGTTAGCTATGATACCCGATCTGTGTATTGCTTTGACGAGACTTTACCTCTAGCACCAATTCAATCCTGACCAAAGACGATGCCTCCGTCCAAGCTCTCGAAGACCAAGCCAACGGGACTGGTATGGCCATATGCAGCCTTCGCAGTACCGGCGCCGATGTCCCAGAGGGATGATTGCCCAAGCAAACGAGGAGTTTGAAGCCCCCATGCGGCAAGCTGACGTCTGGTCTGCTCAAAAGACCACCGTCTCTGCTCGTCCAGATCCCAGATGCTTATAACCACGAATTCGTACGTGACACGTCCTTGATCTCCGACTGATCTCTCGTTCTGGACTCCGACGAGAACGATGTTGCGATTGAAGGCAATCAGCTTCTCGGCAAGGCCTGTGGTAAGCGCGGCTCGCCATGACGGGTTGGAGAACATCTCCACGTAATCGAAGCGCTCGCCGCAGACTCCTACTCGGCCTGTCTCGACAATGCGGCCAGTTTCGCAGTGTCGTATCGCGTCGGCAAAGGCGGATTGCGTCTGCAAGTAGTAAACCGCCATGGGGTAACCGAGCGGTTTGGCGCTGACTTGGAAGTTAAGGCAGTAGTTTGAGGCATCTTAGAATGCCGTAGTGGCCTTTATGTCCGGTACAGTGTTGATCGGAATGAAGTCGGGTCGTTCATAAACTATGTCGAATGCAACCTTCGGCTCCCAAGCTTTGAGGCCCAAGCTCACAGGGACTTGAATACCTAGGAATTTCTGATCGAGGCTGGTAATCGAATGGCGGGAGGCGAAGGCCCGAACTTTGCCGTGGATGTTTGGATATAGGTCTGTCTTCAGTGCAAAGGCTGCAGAGAGCTTTCCATCTAGGATGATAGGCTTGACACGGATGCCTTCAACGCCATTTAGGGTTGCAGGGTCCCGGTGGGCTGGGGTTCGGGTTTGGTCGAATGTGGGCGCATGTCCGGCGCTGGGGACGAAAGTGTCCGCATTGAAGACGATCACAACATCGTTTGATGCTATCATTCCGGAGCCGACTGCGCAGGCGGTGCCGTTGACGACGGCAACGCCGACTCTCGGGGTTTCATCCGAACCGTATATCACCTCCTGGACCCGTCCTGTGAAGGCAAGCTTTCGGGGGGGAGCCATCATGCATGTATGTGGTTATACCGCTCGTGATGAGGGTGCCGAAGGCTTACGACATTCGGAAAGTTGTGCAATCGGCCGCGGCGATTGAAGAGATGGGAATTGCTGGCCTCGTGGATGGGAAATTTGCGAGTAGCGGGTAACGGATGGTGTGAAGGAGGTTTGCAGTATCTGGAGCAGGTGGTGGTAAATTGTGGTTGACACGGTGGGGGTCGTCTAGGCGAGGTGGTTTGAGTTGTCCCAGGAGACCGCTTGGTTGATCTTATCACGGGGCAAGAAGTAAAAGACTATCCCGGGCAGCGGAGGACGTCAACAGAAAGGAGTCGTGTATATATTTCAATCAGGAAAAAGGATCAAAGTACACACATCGCTATATTCACCTGTGCTGGCAACTGGTTACTTCATCAAAGCATGTTCAAGTGCTGCGTATATCGACCATACTATATTTATAGCCCGGACTGTGGCACGTACGGAGGATGACAAGACTTGCAAATATTGGATTAGCTAATAAATGTGCCGCTGTTTGCAAATATGTTGCTCCTTGCTGCGATGGGCACTTGTATATAGATAGGTATAACAGACCCACAGTTACCCCGAAGCAAGACGTATAAAACCTGAATATCGATTGTAGGCCTAAGTAAAATAAAACTCAAGGTGGTGAAATAGTTCTACAAATGACCGTAAGTGCCAACTGATAAAAGCCACATTGACTAAGATATTTGTACGACGCGACACTCAGAGCATGCGAGAGGTCGACCGACTTGATGAAGATAACACCAGGATAATAGATTTGCAGAAAATCAAGACGCTTTCGTACACAGCTACTCGTCATTCTTCGCATATCGTCTCATGTTCGGCAGTATGCCTCCGTCCACCTTAACTCCTCAGGCGAGACTTGATCATACGGCTCCTGGGCGTAAATCGATTGAAAGAGTTCAATCCCTTGAGATACCTTGACGTGGTCGGGAAACGCGCGTGTGGATAGGGCTCTTCTAACACGCAGAACCGGTTAGAGGAGGCCTTCGTTATGGTGATGCACCGCACTTACACGTTTTGGAGTTGCTCGGATTCTGCCAACCGCCGAAGAAGCTCCCACTTGGTCTAGAAGTGGCTTCGGGAGGGACGCTGAAAGACGGTGAAGAGGAAGTTCCGGCCTGCCGGGCTGCAGATAAACCCTCGGTACTGAAAGGGTTTGTGGACTTAGGGGCGGAGATGGTGGACGTCGCGCGTAAGGATGAATTGGGCGTGGCGAAAGGTCCTGCCGGGTCTGGTGAAAACTGGAACAGAGAAGCAGACGGTGGTGGTCGATTGGCTAATGGATTGGATTTGGCTTGCTGTGTAGGCGGTGTTGGGGGAGTGAAGAGGCTTCGTGGTGATGTCCCTGGTCCTTCTGAGCCGTGCCGACCTCCTGATTCTGAAGAGCTCATCGACGGCGGGGCTTCCATCTCCAGCAGCACCGAGGGTATGACTGCATGACGCGTATCAGTGAGCCTACCCACTGACTCTTGAGCGGCAATCGACATACCTGTTGTTCTACGAGATCTGTACTTATTGCAGAGTTGCAGACCCTGTCCGAGAGCTTCAAGTTCGGTTGCCAGCTCAGACCGTTCGACTTGGATTTCCGGCGATTCTGCAGCCAGTCGCTGAAGCCTTTTGTCTCCCATATGGTTCACATTCTCGGTGGTGAATATGAAGGGAATCTTACTAATAAGGCAGTTCTCGATCGCCAGGATGATCATGTTGTCCGTGAAGGTCCTCAGAGACATCTGTCCACACTGGTTAGCTGAAATATCTCCCGGGGGCGGCCGACAGACCTCATAGTAGGCTTCGGATTTATCAATCAGTCCCTCAACTCCGAAATCACTCGTGCGCCTGGGAATTTGAAGTCTTCCCAGTTCAAGACGCGCTTCTTCCGTGAATAACTCAGGGCGCTTGGCGACAAGGTCTCGCATCACCTCAGACGTGAGGTTCTTTCGCCGGCGACTAGCCAGAATCGACCGAAAGTCGGCGTCCAAGGGCTGTGGGTATCCGCTTCGAAAGTGACGAAGAAGCTCCTGCAACTTCTTTTCTAGTACTGAAGATGTTTTCTCGAAGAATGGATCGACAATTTCTGATAAAATGGCAGAGTTTGTCTTCTGATCAGGTCCAGTTATGTGGCCTATAAGCTTCTCGACGAACTCTTGGGTTACACGCAGCATCAACTCAAGATGTCGCCGCGCGATTGCCTCCCAGGGTTGAGACTGGTCTTGAAAAAGCTTCACAGCTAGACGGTCATTCGCTGTTCCTGGGAATTCGTTGCCTTGATTGGCAGATGAGAGTGAGGCGAGATCTTGAGTGATAGACGCGAAGGTGACCTTTTCTGGATCATCAAAGTTGTAGTGTCTGGTTAGTGCCTTCAGGAAAGATGGCAGTGCAACATCCGATGCGTGCGAGTTGACCTTGTAATCTTCGTCATCCTCGTCATCTTCTTCATCTTCTTCATCTTCTTCATCTTCTTCATCTTCTTCATCTTCTTCATCCTCGTATATAATCAATCGCCGGGAGCCTTTGGTCGATAGAACATAAGCAAATGCGCGGTTCAGATCTCGAACAAGCGCACGAAGCTTTCTGATCCTGCTGTCCGTGATGGACGAACGTCCACTAGGGGGGTATAAGCCGCCGAAGAAGTCATTGGCGTAGTTGCCATCAACCGCGTTCAGCGACAAAATCTGAAACTGGGAAATAATACCGTCTAGATGGGCTCGGAGCTCTCGTGGTGTTGACCGAGACTCACCGAGACGCTTGAGCCTGCTCTGGCGATCATTGATCTGCTCCTGTAAGGCCTGGATGAGTTCTTGAAGGTTTCCTCTGATGTGTTCAAGTAGGATGGTACTAAGCTTCTTGCGGAGCGTCCCCACCCCTCGGTTGATCGATGGCACAATGGACCAGAGACCTGTCTGGAAGAACTCTTGTTCTTTCTGATCTCTCTCGGCGTGAGAATCAGATTCTTCCTTCTCGCCGCGATTGCGTAGAACGTGCCATCCAAGTGACAGTGTGTGCGATCTTTCTATGTTCTTGGCTAGGCTGATGAAGCTGGCCTCATCTTGGGAGCCAGGCACCAGAAGGTCCGGCTTGGTAATGATGCCAAGCGTCCGAGTTTTGTTCGGGTCATGGTGCCTGACCATCGACAAAACTCGCTGTAGTATCACCTGGTTCCTCGCGGAGACGATTGCCAGGATGATACTGGTCTTTCGAGCCATATAGCCTTCCACCAGGCGGTCCACAATCGCTCGGCCTGCAGCAGACTGATTCTCATCCTCAGAATGATAGAACCCGGGAAGATCGACAAGGGTCAAATGGGGCACATTTGGGCCACTAATCTCGACTCGCAGAACGTCCTCGGAAAAGGTGGCGAGACCGCTGAGCATCTGAGACTTGGCGGCCTCGATGATTCCGGGCAAATCGTCCTGGCTGGATCCTGATTCTTTGAATTGGGAAGGTTGACTCAATGAAGCCGTCGTGTTCTGGATTCGAACATCAACTTTTGCCTGTGTGTCGGTACGAAGTACAAGCTCGGTCGCGAAACGTGTACAAAGCCCATCCTTGACGGGGAAGCGAACTCTGGAGATTGCTTCCAGCACTGAGCTTTTCCCCGACGACTGGTCTCCCACGACAATGATCTGGGGCAGATCAACGAAGCGACCGACTCCGTGCTTGCGCATGTCATCTATAGTATCTAGCAGTGCTTTCTGCTCCCCGTGGAGCTGCTCCAGAGCGACGCGGTCGAGGGTTATACTGTCCATGATGAATTGATGATATGGTGGAGGTTGGCAGTGACTACCGATGTGTGATAATGGGTAAGGTACCAACGATTCAAAGAGAAGGAAGTCTGCCCGATAAGTATTCCCGATGCTGGATATGCTGGAATCTTATCAAATGGTGATTAGAGGGGCGCATTCGGGGTCGGGTAGCCAACGATTCAAGTCGGCGCTCTCAGGAATATATGGCAATCAAGATACGGAAAGTCGTAGCCGCGAAAGTGTCATTCGTGCAGGGCTGACAGTGTGGCCTCTTGACCCTGGGAACATTACAGAAAGCTTCCGCCGCTATCCATCATCTTCATATACGGGCATCATCTGCGTTTCAGACAACCAACATGGTTTGAAGTCAAGTGGGGCGCAATCCGGCCTGTCCCATGAGTTACCACAACGTTGGTGTACCCAATCGCTGAGTCGAAGGATTCGCGGCCAGCCACCCTTACATGCGGCCAGGGCACGCGCGCTTACAGTCGCGAGCTTACTGGCTAAACACCGTCAGGGGTACAGTTGGGAAGGCTGATTATGCAAGCCACAGCACAGTAGTCAGGGTTTAAGGGCGGTGTGGACCATGCACACCGCAGAAAGCGCAGTCCTGGTGATCGAAACCCCGTCCTTACATAATGACATCGTGAGCTATACCATCCCCCCCCCCACATCTTGTACACCCCCACATCTCGTACAGCCAAACCCCACCAACACCACCAAAACACCCCCTTATTCACCCACATCTAAAAGAAGTCATTCAGGTCAAAGAAATCCAGCAAAATTATCATTCCATAGCGCTGAAGTTGCTCATTCGTGATATCTAGTAGGCGCCCGAATGGATCCCTTTAAACGGGTTTATTTAAGCTTTTATATAGCTTTTAAAGCGGCCGTTTTAGCCGAGTCTTCATTTTCCTTTCTTTCTCGTTACTATTAACTATAACTTTTAATATATGTATAAAAGTACTAGGGGTAATAGTACTACCTGTACTTAGTACCTTTGTAATTGTTTAAACTTTGTATTAAAATTAAGGATTTTTTAGCGCTTTTTTAACCGTAACCGCTTTAATTTAACTTTTAAGGCCTTAATTTTCATGTTTTAATTAAAAGGTCGGTTTTTTTAACTTTAAACCCGGTAGCTATATTTTTATACTTTAACTATGTTGGATCCATGCGATTCCAGACTGCAAACCATCTATACCAGGACCCACATGTATGATTAGATAAGATAAGATAGTGGATTGAGAGGGCACTTGGCCAGACCTTTGAGTCCAGCTAGATTCCTCTCAATCCAACCATCAGCAACATCATGACCTTGACACCATACTCGAGTATTATGATTGATCGTTCAAGCCTGTTCCAACACTGATCAGTGTTGTCTCCCAAGACAACACAGATAAGCAAGGAAAAGAAGAGGTCTTACTGTATCAACGTTCCTGACACGAGACTTGGGATACAGCCAAAGATCTGGATCTTCTGTCGCAAACGTTCCTCAAGAGGCGATTCGAGGCACAGCACAAGATCCGAGGTTTTCTACTACAAACATTCCTCAAGAGGCGACTCGAGGCAATAGATTACGCTGCAATCACAGCAATACTCATATCCCGCGCGGCAGCACAGACTGTTGACAGAACCCTCCCCCACACATCCATCTGACGCGCCCGTCCGACACACGCCCATCCGACACATGCCAGATTGTTGACAGAACCACCTGACACACATCCATCGACACGTCCATCCGACACGACCATATCCAACACAAGTACATCCGACACGAGTACATCCGACAAGATGGCCTCCAGCAATGGCAACAGCGAAATCCAAGTCGCTCAAGACCCTGCAGACATTGTGAGAGACAAGAAGCTACGATATCTCAGCGACCGCAACCTATATGTCAACCTTGTTGACCTCATTGATCTTGATCGCATCAAATTTAGAAAACAATCGACCTTGAATATGACGAGGATACCCATTTCAACTCGTACACCTTGTCATGTATCGACCGCTACAATAATGCTAAGACGCCCGTCCCCTTCGAGATTCACGAGACATTCTAGATGGACTTTGAGAACTGGACAAAGGCAGACTTTGAGAAGGTTGAGCGCACCATACGAGACATCTTCAGGAAATGCCTCAACTCTAAAGGAATCTATCTAGGCAAAACAAACCATTCCATTGCAGACGCCCTTGCCAACCTTGTTACCACAAAGGACCTCCCAACCTGGGACAAAGTCTTACTTGACAGAGCAAGAACTACTTATCCATACCCAAATGTCTGGAAAATTATTAATGTCTGCATGGCTACACAGACTAATGCTCCTAATGCTGATACCCCAGATTTGATTGATCCTCATGATGACATCCCTTCTGTTACCGCTGAACATGCATCACAAAAGACTACCCCAGATCTAAATCTAGCCCAGTACCAGAATCCCTCACCACCACAAATCCCAACGGCATATACAACTGGCAACTTCATGCCCGATCCTCGGCACATCGCTATCACACCAGACCCTGGCTTCGGAACATACCAGCAGCACAACCAATGGCTACAGAATCAACCACCTGATCCATATACCCAGATTCCCCCTATCCCAGTGCCCAACAAGGACCTAACTCCTGGAACAATCACAATATTTGCCAAGATCTGGAAAGAGAAGAACTGCTACTCAGGACGACCCTACGATATTCTGAATGACAAGATACGCTACTTCCTAAACACATGTTCTACCATTGGCGTCAAACCTGGCCAGTTCCACGCAGTATTCCCCCAAGTCCTCACTGGCACAGCTCAAGAATACTTCATACACCATATCAGCCGTCACTCGATGTTCTCAGACATGTACAACCGTCTCAAGGCATATTTTGACACGGAAGTTAACAAGACTCAATATCATCGCGATTGGTCAACAATCACCTATATCAACATAAAGGCACGACCTGAGAATGCTGGCAAGACCGGCATGGAGATCCTTGAGGCACTCCTTGGCAAACTGCAACTCTGTCAACGTGCCCTTGGCCCTTCGTACCTAGGCAAGACACAGCTGATTGCAGCTGTGGAACGCGCCTGCTGTGGTATCAAAGAATTCAACTACGCCTTATTCACTCCTTCACACACGTTTAAAGCTCTTGCTTCAAATCTCTAACAATTACTCCAGACCTCTGAAGACTCAGCTGACAGCGCCCAACATACTACTAATCAGTACTTTACTGATCGCAAGTTTCACCGGCGGAAAGACAAGCAATATAGCAAATGAGATGGCAACATTACCAGACGTTGTTACATCTGTAGTGACCCTGACTGTCGATCGTGGAAGCATTCTCCAGAGGAACAGCGGAGATCCAAAGAGAAATGGCGACACGATCAACATTTCCGTTCACGACCGACCACAGGCTCTGCCTATATCTATTTCCTGGCCGATTACGAGCCAGATCTTGACTCAGACCCCGATGACACACATGACCAACATGTCATGGATTCTAGAAGTGACAGCAGTGACGATGCTGTCCAATATCTCATATCCACCTTACTTATCGACCGAGCATTCCAACATTCAATCACTGCCACGGACAACTCGCAAGTTGGATTCGAGTCTGACAGTTTCACACTGGATAGATACGCCAGTTCCATATTCCAAGGAATTATACCTGATTCTGGTGCTGCTTCTGTTTCAATAGCCGGCAAGGGTCAATTCCTAGCCTTACAACGCGAGCTACCCTCAGTTTTACTCGATAAATCACGCGTTGGAGAAGCTACGGTTAAATTCGGTAGAGGACAGCCCCTAGATTCCCTTGGCACGATCCATGTTGACACCCCCATTGGAGACGTGACGTTCCATGTCATTGACACCCAAACTCCCTTCCTCCTCTGCCTGAAAGACTTCGACAAGCTTGGCGTAATGTTTGACAATATTGCCAATAGAATGATCCGACTGCGAGATGGCAAGTCCATCCCAATCACCCAAAAATGGGGCCACCCTTGGTTCTTTCCCTTAGCATCCACGACTGCGTCAACTGGTATTTTCCTCACAGAAGCCGAGCTGCGACGTATTCACACCCGATTCGGCCACCATTCTGTTGGCAAGCTCCACAAGCTTTTAGAGAAATCTGGCAATGGAGCTAATCGAGATGCCATTGCAATGATCAACAAGTTTTGCCATCATTGCCAGGTCAAAGGCCCATCACCACAACGCTTCAAGTTTTCCATTAAGAAGGATGTTGATTTCAACTACGAAGTCATCGTCGATGTCATGTACTTGGAGAGCAAGCCCATCCTTCACTGCGTTGATGCCGCTACAGCCTTCCAGGCAGCCCAATTCCTCCCCAACCTGTCTGCCAAGGAGACCTGGGAAGCATTGAAACGATGTTGGATCAACACCTATCTTGGTCCTCCAGATGTTCTAACGCACGACGCTGGTACCAACTTCGCAGCCACAGAATTCTGAGCTGAAGCCCGATTGCTTGGAATCACCTGTCACCAGATTCCCGTCGAAGCTCATTGGTCGATTGCGAGGTTGAACGGTATCATACCCCCATTCGACGCTCTTACGAGATCATCCGAGCCAATCATCTGGGATCTCTTGAGAAGCTGCCCTACAGATGGCAGTAAAAGCCGTGAACGATACCGCCGGTCCTAATGGCCTTGTACCAACACTCTTGGTCTTTGGAGCCTATCCACGCGTTACAATGGATTCACCCCCGACACAATCGCAGCTTCAACGTGCCCAGGCCCAGGCCAAAGCAATGATCGAACTACGTAAGCTTCGAGCCAAGCGCAACGTTCAAAGTGCTCTAAACACAAGGAACGGCCCTGATACAACCCCAACACTGCCTCTCTCTCTTCCCATCGGCAGTGAGGTCCTTGTCTATCGCGAAAAAGACAAATATCAAGGCCCGCATAAGGTTCTATCGGTAACAGACCGAGAAGTGACCGTTGAGATGGTCAACGGACCAACCTTATTCAACCGCACGCACGTCAAGCCGTACAACCGTCACCCTGACAC